ACGCACCCATGTACATATACATCGCTCCCACACCTGGTGAGTGCTGCAGCTTCCTGCACATCAACATCTCATCATTCTCCCCTTATGGTTGGCCTTCAGACAGTGACCTCCGCGAGAGCATGTGGGATGTGCTAGATCAGGCAATATTGCCCGTCACACCCTTACCCGCCCAGATTCATGGATTAAGTCGCATTTGTGACCTATATCGTCGTATTATAGGCATCCAAGACGTGAGCGGGAGGCCGGGACGCGTCTAGAAGCTCATTCAGCCTGATTTACATGCTGCTCGTGCTGATGGCTCGAGTCTCACTGCATGAGACAGGCCGACTGTGGCCCTCGTAAAAGCAGCGGGCGTAATTCTAGACCCCCAAGGACGAATGCTCAACGATAGCCCACAGGAGGGTCGGGAGCTGTCATGACGAATGAAGGCACGGAACCGGACTGGCCTCCGCAGGTAGACACGAGACGTAGGCCTAACAAGACGCCTATCGGTGCTTTAGCCGACCATTTGCTCGAACGGCAACGGGAACCCCATAGCCTCTAACAGCGATAAAGAAGACGCGATTCTCTCGCGCGCGGCGCAGATGCCCTATGGGTACGGGACCCAAATTTCTAAACCCCCCTAATCCTAGGAAAAGGGGAGCTAGTCTCCATACCGCATCTAGACCGCTGAAGGAGCTTACCACTCTTGGAAATTACGCACAGAATCAATGGGGATGGGGTACAGGTGGCCCCCTAAAATAATGGACCTCGGAACAGGGGCAGAAGTATTGTATCTCTTGACACGATAAGATACTTCGACTTCCTGAGATACTCCGACTTTCTGTTTTAAAAGGAAGACAGGCTATGCAATTTCTCGCGTAGGGAAGTGCGAGTCCTTATATACTGGTACTTGGCAGAGCTGCCTGCCGAAACCGGCCCCCGGTTCTTTATTTCAGGGGGTGAGGTGCCAGGCAGAACTGTGTGACGAGCCGTCTCACCTATGAGGCTAAAGGGTTCTATAGGATTTATGTTCTGAGGTAAGTCAACACAAAGGACGATAGAGGCTTCTGTCAACTAGAAGGCACTCAGATACTGGGGCTTGGTCTGATCCAGGGGATCACTGAATAGTCGAGTCATCAGGAGATTTCTCCCACCTTAGGGTTGGCTAAGATGCTTAGATTAATCACTGAGATAGAGACTGTCTATCTGTCTGGCTAAAATGTCTATCCTTATATATCCAATCTCTCCCTCACTGATGAGATGTGCTCACTGTTGCTCGCGTGAGCAGACGTGAGCAACTCTAGTCACGTGATCCTGGCTCCCTGGATCACTGGATCACGTGCCTGGATGCCCTGCGCTGTTTCGTGTTGTGCCCCCGTTCTGATTGGGTTCCCTCGTAGGTCATCCTTTTCCCTTCAGGCCTGCCAACGGGCCTGTGGTATTTGTTGGTTCGTAACAAACTGCCAGAGTCCGTGAGAAAATCCCCTAAGCAACCAGCCACACCACCAATTGCTCGCTTAATATCATGGTGAGAATTTATTACCATTAGTTCCTAAAGCTGCATAATAGGACCAAAAAAGGAAGCCATATCAAGAATGTTTATATAGAACTATAAAGAATTGCTTGGTCTTTAATGTATTGTTGTTTATCTCAACGGAATAATACCTCTTTATGGAGGATACTCGATTGAAGGTTATGGGGGGTTTTTCGTGGTGTGACGGCCGTCACCCAGTGACCCTCCGGCGACACAATGGTCCTTGGATATATCTCCCCATAGACAGCAGAGTTTCTCTCTTCCTTTCTTTCTTTTCTTCCTTGGCATTAATCTGGTATCAATAGAGTAACTTCTGCTTCGCTGTTGGCTCTGTCCCAGCTCCAGTACACTCGCCGTGACACGTGGACTCTGCCTGGGGGTACTAACAACAAGTCGTAGTAGGTAGAAGGTAGACGTTCCACAGCATCAGTCCTTCGAAGGTCCACTGGGCGATCCCACGAATGCAATGGCAGCGTCTCACCTCAAGACGCGTACAAGATACGGTACCACCAGCAATACTAGTAAAGGTGCATACGATAGATAGCCTTATGCTTTCTTTCCTTTCTCTTTCTCGGCTAAATTGTAGAGACCATATAAAAGTCGAATAGCAGCCACGTTGCCTCCACTTGAGGTACCATCAAGGTAGGTGCTGATATTTACTGAGCATCGTAAAACACTTCAATTGTTCATTGGCTCATTACGGCTGACCGAGGAGTGCCAGACGCAAGATCTGGACTCGGTGACGGCTGAAAATCTGCTGAGAAGCCCCTCAATCCTCGCTCTCGCTTCCTACCCGAGGTCTCTTGCTGATGAGCTTCTTCTATCCCTTTGAGATCGTGATGTGACCAAGGTCTCAGCTCCGTCTCTACGTCTCCCGCGATGCCAATTTCCTCACCCGTTTGCTACTTTAAGCCATATATCTTACTTCCGATCAGTGTATGTTTCAATACATTACGACTGGATATTTACCCGAGATTGAGTAACAGGAAGAAGCCCTGCACTTGATCTGATTCGCCCTAAAAAGAAAGCTCAGACCTTGGTAACATCACGATCTCAAGGGAGTACGACATGTCTAATCATCCCTAGGCTTGGAGTTTCCAGTGCCCGTGCGGTATCGTGTGGTCACAGGGGTCAAAAGGTGTGGCAGGCCTAGCTGTACTCAGTATGGTGTTTGTGCTTAGCCGGCGTGCCCAACCAAATCACGCCAGTGACAACGAGGTAGCGATTGCGAGGCCCGTAGTTATCCGTAGAGCTTCGTATTGCTTGCCAATCGGGAACAGTCCAATAGGTATTCTGTGAGTGTTTGGGACGCTGTATGCGTTTGCCGAGGACGATATTCGTGATGAGCACGATGCTGCCCTGTCGAAGACCACCTACGCCGCTATGGTAGGAAGCAGAATTCGTCCGATGCTTACGTGGAGGTCGATATATCACAAATTACAATGCAGCTGAGCCGTTTTCAATAACTGTTGCAGTCTGTTGCTACCTTACCGCATGATGAACAATACCAAATCGACCCCGTACGTGTCACCTTCTGCATGGCCGCTGTTCATTGCCGAAATCAGTGTTCTCCTGACACAACGCGCTATAAATTCCATATCCAACTATGGGACTCCGGGCGGTACGTCGGACGATCAATGTGCCCACCAGGACCAAGATCATGTTCGAGGACCTTGCGACGCAAGTGGAGGCCGTCAGCGGTATTGACTTGGCGTGCCTAGGAGCGACTGTGGGAGAAATAGGGCTGGGTTTTGCTTCAGGGGTTCTCGGAACACGGTCCCGGTAGGAGCAGAAACCCATCCAACTTTTTGTAGCATCAGATATCTAGCAGCATGCTTCGATATTCACTAGGAGAGGTGTTTCTGAAAATCAGACAAGGATGACTTGATTGAATATATTCCTTCTAGATGATGTCTATGCTGACTTCGTATTGAAGCCGGCGGTATCAGATATAAACTCGGGGTACTTCGACCCCTGAATTGACTCCTGAGGGCTTCTCGGGGCCTCCAAGAAGAGACCAACCAGCAATGCAAACTTCCAAGGTTGTCAAATATCGCCGCCCACCTATCGAGTTCGCTAACGGCAACTATTGTTTGGCACCCGTGGCCGAAGTCATTAAGACCACAGGCTAATGGTAGCTAGTAAGTAAGCAGCAGGAATAGCTTCATTAACTAACGTAGCTTCATTAACTAACAGAGGAGCAAGCTCCCCCGCTCAAGGTCCTTTGGGCCACAACTTAAGAAGAAGTGACTGGCTGGTAAAGCGTGGCATCACCGATGTTTCTTCCTGGAAGGTCTCCAACCCAAGAACCTACATGATCCTGTGAACATCCTTTGCATTACTCGTCAGGTCTCCAATGGCATTTGACCCAGCTCTTCAGTCGTTCCTCCTTCAGGAACAAGTAGAAGGCGGGAACCAAATAGATGCCCCCGATCCAGAAGTCCGGATGACTTCAAAACTGGGTCAAGGCTATTGGAGCCCTGGAGCTGAAGAGTAGCCAACAGTAACAGTTGGCATCCAAAAGTACAAACATCGAGAGCCGCGACCCCCATGACCCCACCGATAACCTGGTAGACTACACCTAGGGGGGCCTCTCGTTGGGGGTGTCTGTCTATATAAGGTACGGACAAGCAAGCATCGCTGCATTTGGGACCTCGAGAGCCAAGGTAGGCATTGACTGTACTTGACAACAACGCGACGGTTGCATAGAGTTGACCTGTCGAACTGAACAAGCTGCGCAACCTGCCAACATGGTCCAAGAGACTTCAAGCCGTGGTACCGGGACGTCTCAGGATCTCACACTTGGCTGTAAGATCGTGAAGCGTCTAGGCCACGATGACAAGAATATTGCAATACCTGCAGTTATGCAGCCACACATGCAACTCTGACAGTTGCAGCACAGCTGACATAGATATGTGATGTGAGCCCAGGTAGGCTGCATATAAGGGGGTAAGGGGTAGGGGGCATGGGGGGTATAACAAGCTGGGCCGGAGTATAGCTGACATGTACCCCGCACTGGGCTAAGAACAGTGCGTAATACTGTAAGCGGTCCGTGGTCCGTAGTCCGTACCTTAGTCAAGGGGATAGATACCCCTTTGCTTAAGTAAACATTGAATTGCGGCATCGAGCATCAACATTGAATTCAGGAACAACTTGAAGTAACTGGACTGGACTAGGGAGAACTCGCATAGGTCAAACTGAAGCCCTGGTCTTCTACCAAGTCAATTGGTGTTTTGACGCACAGGAACAAAGTGGGACATCAGGCTTGAAACAGCGGCTGCTGGTTGGCATTCGTCTCCCAACGTTGAACCATCCCCCATCAACAACAACACCAACACCAACACCAACCAACCACCAGCAGCCGGGACAGTAAGTCAGCGGCAGCCCTCTGCCTCCTGGACCGATCCCACTTCGATCAAGAGCAACCACCCCCTACCAGAAACATCCTTGGCAATAGCAGCGAGCTCAACACACCACACACATCATGGCGGAGACCAAGGCGTCGTACTCGACTGACCCCGCCCTGTACGTCTACACCTCGCTCACGGCCGGTTCCTCGCACATTGTGACCGCCACGTCACGGCTCGAGACCATCCTGCGCGCCAACCGGGTCCCCTTCAAGGCCCTCGACCTCGCTACCGACGAGAAGGCACGCATGCTATGGGGGCGAAGGGCTGGCAAGGACGAGGGCGGCCGCGTGCGCAAGCTGCCCGCCCTGGTGCAGATGGGGCTCGTCGTCGGTGTAGGTCTATCTCTACCTCTCTACTTCCCTTTTCACGACACGAGGGCTGACAGACAATACACGGAAACAGGACCTGGTGGAGATCGAGGACTGGAACGAGTACGGCGAGCTGAAGCAGCACGTAAAGATCTACTACGACGAGTTCACGATACCGCCCAAGGGCGCCGCCCCGCCGCTCAACCTCCTCAAGAAGACCGTGGCCAACTCGACGGCCGTGGCCGCCTCCAAAGCCGCCGCGCCGGCTGCCTCATCCTCATCCGCATCCGCGAGCAAAACTACATCATCCGCACCTCCTCCGCCCCCGGCGGCGCCTCCCCTACCCACCGAGAAGACCAAGATCCCGCCGTCCTCCTCTACAAATGATGGCACAGCAGCACAGAAGGCCGGGGGTGCGGTAGCCACGGCAGCGAACGCCGCTGCCAACGCCGCTGCGAGTGCCGCGCAGGCTACCCGTAGCATCGCCGAGGAGGCGGCTGCCAAGGCGAAACAGATACACCTCAATACCCTGCGCGAGAAGGTGTACGGGAAGAAGGACGACACCACGGAAAACAAAGCCAAAGAAGGAGCCAAAGACAAAGACAAAACCGCCACAACACCAGCCGCAGCAGGAGACGAAGACAAGAGAGAAACACCCACCCCGGACTCAGCTCCTGCCATCACCGAAGGCATGAGCGCGCTCGCGATCGCCCCGCCGTCCACGCCCAGCAAGGCCGCCGGCGAGGCGGGCCTGCAGTCGCCAACGACGGGCACGTGGCGGGCCGGGGTCCCCGCGGACGGCGTCCTGCGGCCGCTGCTGCAGAGCCCGACGAGCGGGACGTGGAAGCCGGACCAGGGCGCGCCGGCGGGAAAGAGCGCTGCGGTCGAGAAGGGGGAGAAGGATAAGGTGGGGGGTGAGGAGAGTGAGGAGGATGAAGATGAAGAAGATGAAGAAGATGAGGACGAGGACGAGGACGAGGACGAGGATGAAGATGAAGATGAAGATGAAGATGAAGATGAAGATGAAGATGAAGATGAAGATGAAGATGAAGATGAAGATGAAGATGAAGATCAGGAGGGTGGAAGTGGTGAACAGGGGAAGAAGAGTACGGCGAAGGAGACGGAAGGCAAGGCCTGAGAAGACAGGGTCTTGGTTCCGCAGTGGATGGACTATGTGCGCCTTCAGGGAAAGGGGCCTTCCCAGGTGACCGTCAATGTCAGATACCAGTTGTCGAGTCGCAGTAGATGAGATTCGGACAGATGTCATGCCGATGAATCACGTTCTCACTGGTGATGCTTGAGCGGGAAGATAGAGTACAAAGATCAATAAAGATATGTATTACTTTCATATACACAGACGACACGGATCGTCCCATGCTGCCTGTTGATATCTAACCTTCATACAGTCCATCGTCGTCACTCGCAGTCCCATCCTGGAACCGAGCGACCGCCTTGCCCTTCCCCTTGGCCCTCCCATTCACACTGCCATAACTCGCATATTCATCCCCGTCGTCCTCCCCATCGCTGCCCGGGGCCACGGCCTTGCCCTTCCCCTTTCCCACCGCCACAGCCTTACCCTTTCCCTTCCCGGCTTTCGACGACGGCCTTGCGCCCTCAGCCATGGGGTTGGGCGTGGACGCAGCTGCGGACACGGGCGTCGTCCTCGCGGCCTGGCCCTGCTCTTGTTTCCGCTCTCCCCGGCCGCCCTCAAAGGTAGCGCGCACCTTCTCGTAGTGCGCCAGCTCGCCGGCGCTGACGCTGGGGATGAGCTCGCGGTTGGCGTCGAGGAAGTCCTGCTCCGTCACCATGACGGCGATGTCCTCGGGCGCGGCGTGGTGGTCGAAGAAGTTGGCGACTGAGACGGGGTGCCGACCCGTCGCCCCGGGGTCGGCGTTCAGGGCCCGGATCTTGGCGTCGACTAAGGAGGCCTGCCGTGTCACGGCCTTGAGCATGGCGTCGCTGCACAGCGCGTAGAAGTCCGCGCCCGTGTAGGTGAAGGGCAGATGTTCGGCCACGCTGGGCAGCGAGACGGAGGGATGGAGGGTGAATCTGAAGAGGTTCGGATTAGCATTATGGCTTTTCCCGGCGGTTTGAGAACGGAGCAGGAACTTGCTTTCTCGTCAGGGCTTCCATGATCGTGAGTTGCTTGCCGTGTGTGTCGGAAACTCCCAGGTACAGCATCTTGTCGAATCGCCCGGGACGCAGCAGAGCCTGGTCAAGCAGGTCCGGCCGGTTCGTTGCGCCAATGACAAAGACGCCTCCTCCACCATCATCGCCGCCAGACATGCCGTCCAGTTCGGCCAAGAGCTGCGACACGATTCGGTCCATGACGCCTCCACTGTCTCCCTGGTTTCCTCGTTTCGGAGCAACGGAGTCAAGCTCGTCAAAAAAGACGACGCAGGGCCGGGCATCCCGAGCGCGCTGAAAGACTCGGCGGACATTCGCCTCAGATTCTCCAATATACATGTTGAGCAGTTCCGGACCCTTGACGCTGAAGAAGTTCAAGCTGTACTCCGTCGCGATAGCCTTGGCCAAGAGAGTCTTGCCCGTGCCCGGAGGTCCATAGAATAGAATACCGGAGCGCTTCTTCATTCCCTTGGCGAACAACTCAGGTCTCTCGAGAGGCAGTTGGATGGTTTCCATGACTGCCTCCTTGACGTTATTAAGGCCACCGACATCATCCCACGTAACATTGGGGATCTTCGGTGCGCCAATGGCGTCTGCAAAGTTCTTCCTCGCGGCGTCCACAGCGATGTCGAAATCAAGCTTAGTTAAGCACCTCGCCGATGACCCGCCCGCCACTTGAATGTCACGAACCGTGATTTCAGAGTTTTCATCCGAGGCTTTCGTTGACAGGCATTCAAGGCGTGTATCTCGTGCGACCATCGCCCTCTCCACGACGTCAACCAGGTCGCCGGCAACAAGGGCTGCGGTCTTGATGGCAACACCGCTCAACTCCACTTCAGGGGCCAGGGATACGCCCCGGCCTTCTATGATGGTGCGCAAAATGCCCTCACGCTCACCCTCGTCAGGGGCACTCATCTCGAGCTCATGCGTAAACAGCCCCCGCACTCCGTCTGGCACCTTGTCAACTTCGGTCGTGGTCGCGACCAGTACTCTGGCATCGGCAAGGACCTCCTTCATCGCCGTGACCATCCGGTCCGCGGTAAGTGCTTCGACATGTCGAATGAGTAGGGCGCAGCATTCTGGTCCACAGCTCATGGCGCGGTCTGCGCGAGCTTTCAGGAAACCTTCGGTCTTCATGTCACTGCCTCCAGCCCCACTTTCATTGACAATATCGTAGGCATCGATAGTGAACGTATGAAGGCCGATATCCGAGCAGGCACCAGCTGCTACCGTTGCTTTTCCAATATTGCGTTGTGTCGAAACGAGGAGCACTGCTATAGGAGGCATCTTCAGATGGACAGCCCGCTTGCTAGTGGCAGCTGCCATGAGCTCTCTCAACCGCCTTCTGAGAGGTGATGTGAATCTTTGCGGCGGTTGCTGGGCTGTCGGGGCCAGCGTGCCGGATATAGGTTGGGGCATGTCTTCAATACCAAGGTAAAATTGCCAGTTGCTGTCCTTCGTGCCTGGGAGAGAACTTATGCTGCTGCCAGACTGAGCGATCTGGGTTGATGAGGTTTCAACACATGCAACGCCTCCCCATATGTCCTCATCTTCCTCATCTTCTGCGGCTTCCGGTTTCTGCCTCACAACATGGGCAATCTTGAACCAAGCCAGGGAATCTGGCTTGGATCTGTCTCCTCCGCTAGTAGACTTGCTCGAGGCTGCGATTGCTAGCAGGTCGTCAACCGCAAGTCCATCATTTGAGCCAGCCGCCTCTTGGAGCGTTCTCCCTAACCGCGTGTCGATTGGTATGCCGATAAGATCGCCGGACTGGACCACGCGCGTGCCTCGGGCGAAATGACTTTTCAGACCGCCTAAAATAGCTGTCTGAAGTGCCTTCTCCGATGACATTGGCGTTCGTATCTGCTGAATGGTGATATCACGGGCATACGGAGGGTGAGACGAGCCAGTGATCTTTGCTTGGCCCGGCCTCGTGGGATATGCCGATCTCTTCAGAGGTGACAGGCGAACATAAGGCGTGTTCTCCAAGTTGGCAAGCAAAAGGGGTGACATGAATGCGCCGGGCCCTGAAGGCTTTTGGATCTGAGAATCGAAGAAGGACAATCGCCGGCCACCGACTTCACGCTTGGAGCTTGGGATTCTGGTCATCGGCCGACGGGAGTAGCCCTCAGGCAGGCCGTAGACCTTGGCTGGCCGCCACATAGGCTCTTCTTCAGGTTGCCCAAAACTCCCAAGACCAAACAGACCAATGCCATTAGTAGGCGGTTCCTCGGCTGCCTCGATGCGGACCCAGTCCCCAGAGAAGCACCCTATCCGGGTCAACGAGGCAATGTCGACATACACACGCGCCTCTTCGTCGTCCTCAGCATTTGGCTTGGGGTGGAGCAAGTCAGAGGGGATGGGGCTCATAAGGCCGTTGGCTTTGAATAGGCGACCCTTTGGACGATCAGGGCGAGCAGTGGTTGCGGTGAAGCTAGAGAAGACAGATCCAGGTGTATTTATGCCGTTTGTTCTCCTGCCGCGCCCAATGGTCATCGGTGTCCCTGGCTGTAGTGTAGAGACACCGCTTGCATTTGTAGCAGGCAAGGCAGGTGCCTGAAGAGATATCATGTCATCCATCGAATCATCCGAGAGATCATCTTCGTTCTCAAGTTCGGAAACCTCGGTCTCGGTTTCCGTCGCAAAGTCCGATGCGTCGTTTGGCGCATCGGTCTTGTAGCGCTCTTCAGCAGCAGAGTAGAATTGGTCATTTGCAGTATCTTCATCGTCCTGATCCGCTCCGTTGAGAGCTTTGACCGGGGCCATAGAAGTACGATCCTGCTTAGACTGAGCATGGCCTCTCGTCAAGATAATCTTGGTACTCGGGACCAGAACGCCCTGGGCCACGGGTTCGCATAAAGCCACCTTCCCGGGCGCAGAAGGGACATGCGTGATGGGATGTGGTGCCAGTGGCAGGGGAAATAGATCTCCAGTGTGGACAACCTTAAGCGTGCCTAGAGCGACACGTAGTGCAGCGGCAAGGCGGTCAGCAGGAGTGTCACGGGCAGCTACTCCTTTCCCTTTGCCGGGAGGATGGTCTCTGAAGAAAGTTCCTTCTCCGTTCTCCAATCTCTTCACGAGGTCACTTTCAAGGTTGACAAAGACGGTATCCAAAGCCAAAGCAGCCACGTCAAGCACATGTATCTCGATACCACTTCTGCTATGGCTAGACATCTTGGACGGGGCAATCTGCTGCAATGTCGTCGCAAAGCTCTGCAGGGCTAACGAGGACGGGGAGAACTGAAGGGTCGAGTGTGCAAGGGCGGTCGACTTGGCAATGGGTACTATGGTCCAGTTCGTCTGATGACGGCTCGCGTTGGGGGCCCACGGCGCAATGGCAACATGATGAAGGTCGGGGGTACGGCTGGGGTTCTCGACTTCGGTTGACTCTGTCACATCCAACTTGATTAGACTTGAAGGTCTGTGGATATCTCTCAGCACTTACCATGTTGTAAGTGCGGGAACAGATCCGCGAACAGGTCGTCGGACAAGATGCCAATATCCCCTTTTACATGATCGTCCAAGACCAGTCGCGCCGATATTGACGGTTTGTCCTGCCTCCTTCTCCGTCTTCGCTTCCGATTCGGAGCTTGGACACGGTTTGGCGTGGCCATGACGGCGGACTGCTGGCTGTTTCGCTGCTCGTTCTGCCTGGTATGAAGTTTGGGAGGGAATGCGCCAGCATGGGTTCTTTAGAAATCAAGGCCCCGCGGTACGCGTGGTGGGATCCATTGGAAGGCGAGAAGAGTCGCGGGGAACTGCAGTATCTCTTGAGTATAGGTAGTGTGAAGCAAAGACTCTGGTTTAATCACGCAGCAACACTTGAGCTGGCAGTAAGAAGTGAACAGTCCCAAGTCTGGTCGTTATGGTGCATCGTCGGCTCTGGCTGGCGGTTGCTAAAGGGCCAAGACAGAGAATCGGCCGAGGCAATGCGCATCGCGGGCGGGACCTCAGCAGCTTCCAATTCCATTGTGGAGCCCCGGGATGCTGCTCATTGCTAGGCTTGTAAGTTGTCGCACTGCAGGGTAGTCTCGCTTGTGCTTGTGCTTGTGCACGTCGCATTTCACTAACCCAAGACTCGAGAGAATCTATGTTCCGCCCGGCACCACCATAATTGTAGACCAGAGTCAAGAACCTGTCCAAATAGCAACTCAAATCATTCATATTCTTTTACATCCAGCCTCTTCATATAGGTAAGCGAAACTTCTTCGGGAGATTATGGTTTCGTCAACTCCGACTGGTCTTCGAAAACAAGGACCTATCCTGGATTGCACGCCACCATGGCTGCTGCACTGCTGCATGGCTGCATGGATGCCATGAAACCAATGGCTGAAATCCACATTCACATGTGTTTTCTGACAAGTGCGCCGGCTGCATGTTGACGTAGTTCTCCGCATCAGAGGATTCTCTAACAACCCTAGCAGGCCACCCATTGGCACCTCTCAGGCCTTCACAATAACAACAGTACGCTTGTGTCGGTGAAGACATGGAGTCGGGTTCCAATGTCCTGGGATTGCTGACATTTTCTTGGAAGTGGCCACACACCAGCACACCTGCAATGTCCAAGATGGACACTCTTTCTTCCCTAATCGCATGTGCTTTTCATGGCAATTCGGGTCATTGTTCTTGACAAGTTTAAAGCCGCCATTCTCTACTACATATCTGAACCGAACCATTGATGTCCTGACTCTCGAAATCCACAGTATTGACTTTCCGGGTGCCCCTTAGTCCCAACGGGAGGCCGAAGATTAGGGAGATTGCGACGATTCAACCCTCCCGAATCTTGATCAATTAACCATCCCGCATCCCTTCCAATGCGAATGAGTGACCACCCGAGGAATCGATAATCGATCCCGTCGCCATGGGTCTCACAGCAGACCACCAGCGGCATCGGTCCTCTGGCGCCTCTGCCGCGCATCGCGCCGTCGAGTTCGCGCAACAGGCCGAGAAGCTCTCGCACCACACCGTCCAGAACAACGAGCACCCGGACGCCGTCGCCGTCGAGGCCGTCTTCGTCACCCCTCAAGACCCCGTCATCGTGACGGCCGACGGAAACCGGCTGCCAGCCGTGCCCCTCGAAGAAGCCCATAAGTTGAACATGCTGAAGGAGGAGCTGAAGAACGAATCGCCGCAGCATGCGATCGAACACATTGAGGAGAACGAGCACGCTGAGGAGGAGGAGGATGAACACGCGCCGCCGGACACGCGCGCTGGGGAGGATTCGACGAAGAACCTGCTGAATATATCGTCCGATGCGAATGGCTCCGCCATGCAGAAGTCTGCCAGGGGCTCGTTGGAGCAATCGATGCCGCCATCGCACACGAACCCCCTATTTCCACCCCTGCCCCTGTACGGGCCCCCCTCGATTCTCCGCAACCTCCAATGCAACATCTTCCGGATCTCGGCGTTCTTTCTGAGTGCAGGGTTCCTGGGGGTGATTGTCCTTGGATCTCTGTTCACAAGTATACCCATATGGTCAGCAAGGTTATGGAGGCGATTGACTTTCCGCCATCCGGACGCTACGAGACCGTTTCATGAGGAGGAGGTGCGGAGGGCGAACCTGCGCAGGGAACAGGAGAGGTCGTGGAAGAGGAGGACATCCCAGGATCGGGGTCCCGAGGACCACGAAAACTCCGCAGGCGACGGGGGTTTCGTCCCGACCGAGGGCGGGCCGGATCCCGTCATTTGCGATGTCGCATACTACGCGCGACGCGTCGGCCTCGACATCGAGGAGTACCAGGTGCAGACCGAAGACGGATTCATTATCGACTTGTGGCATGTTTACGACCCTACAGAATACACGAGGTTAGACGAGTCGGAAAGGGCATATCGCGGACCGGAAACGTTCACGGGCGAGAACAGAAAGCGGCTCAAGGACCCGAGCCCGAAGCGCAAGTTTCCCGTTCTGCTCATGCACGGTCTCCTCCAGAGCGCTGGCGCGTACTGCGTCAACGATGACGATTCGCTGGCTTTCTATCTGTGCAAGTCTGGCTACGATGTCTGGTTGGGCAACAACCGGTGTGGGTTCAGACCGAAACATGTCTTGCTGGACTACACGGATCCGCGCATGTGGGCTTGGAACATCCGTCAGATGGGCGTCTTTGACCTGCCGGCCCTGACCTCGCGCGTGCTTTTCGAGACTGGGTTCGAGAAGATTGGCCTTGTCTGCCATTCGCAGGGCACTACCGAAACCTTCGTTGCTCTGGCCAAAGAACAGCGGCCGGACCTGGGGGAGAAGCTCACCGTGTTCTGTGCGCTCGCGCCAGCAGCCTATTCCGGTCCTTTGATCGGCAAGATGTACTTCAAGTTCATGCGCGTGATATCGCCGGCCTTGTTCCGGATCATGTTTGGGATCCATGCCTTCATACCCCTGATGATGACCATGCATGCCATACTCCCGGCCAGCATCTACGGGTGGCTCGGCTACAAGGTCTTCTCGTTCCTGTTCGACTGGACCGATCTACGATGGGAACGCGCTCTGAAAACTCGGATGTTCCAGTTCGCACCCGTGTACGTGAGCGCCGAGTCGATGCGCTGGTGGCTCGGCCGGGAGTGCTTCGCCAAGCACAAGTGCATCCTTTCTACAAAGGAGGAGTGGCAGACGGAGGAGAGAGAAGACGAGACGGACGGGCCGCTGGCCGACACGAACAGTCAGCAGCGCAGAGACTCGGCCGTGTCGCATACTCACAGGCCGGAAGAGTCTAGACAGCGGGGTAAGAAGCAGACCAAGGGCTCTCGGGCGTGGTACAACGAGCAAGTCTGCCCGTTCGCCATCTGGGTGGCCGGCAACGACGACCTGGTCGACGGCAGGAGACTCCTGCGGCGCTTCGAGCGTGGCAGAGAGCCCCACGTCAGGATGGTCCACAGCAAGGTGATCCCCGAGTACGAGCACCTCGACGTCATCTGGGCCATGGACGCCGTCAACCAGATCTTCACCGAGGTGCGGGAGGTGCTGTGGAAGACGTGCGATGCCCGGGACAGGTGTAGGGTCCCGAAGGGCTGCGAGAGCGTGGATGCCTGGACACCACCTACGAGCACGGCCAACGACGACGACGACGAAGAGGAAGCCGAACGATCGAGCAGCGACTCGCCGTAATGTTTAATTGTAACCAGTGCTTGCAATACATTTTGGGATGGGATGGCGTGGGGTCCGCATTATGGGAGTCGAAACGGCTGCCTGCTTTACGCTGTTATGCTTTACGAGTAGTATACGCTGGATACAAAGAGACGACGGGACGCATTGGATACATATACATCCTTTGTACTTGTATGTTGTTAGAGCGGAGGCGGTGTCAACATGGGGAACGGAGTTGATGTTTATAGAAGGTATGCTTTACCGCATACGAGTCGTTATACCACCTTATCACAGGTGTAGTCAGCATCGAGCGTCTTGACCTGGCGCAACATGAAGAAAGCTTCGAGTAAAAGTGCCATGACTTGTTCAGTCCATGGATAACCAGCAAACACGCGCGGCAACTTCTCCCTGGAGCATCTTTTGCATCGTGAATTGACCTCGACTCAAGGCTTCTCATTACTGTGTGTTATTATTGGCACTCGAATCTGGCGCTACATCCCGTCCCCAATATTCCCCGCACTCGGCGTTTTAAACCCCAATCTAATCGGCTCCGGGGCGAGCTAGTCAACGATGGTGTGTCGAAGAACGTGGAGGATGTGGGGATGATGGCCAAACTAAGACCTGTTGGAAGGGTTTTGTGAGTCGCCTGGCTCTACAACCATGACTTGGATCAGTTGGCATCAACAGGAAGAGATCTGCCCGGTGTGAGATAAGTTGGAAGGTAGCCTTGATTTATGTATTTGCCCTTTACTCTGAATTCCGAATTCCGTCCGGATGCTCCAAATGTCCCCGTAGTGGACTTCGGCCAACGCTCGCGGCCGTGGGGTATAGACGAGAGACCGGCGGGTGCTTAGCCGAGGGGGCGGTTCCCAGTATCGTCACTCCTGGACCGGGGACCTCGGGAAGGACCTCGGGAGTCAAGGGGCCTTCAAGGATGCACCAACCCTGCCTTGCTGCTCAACTCTCTACCTGGGGTATCTTACATGTTCACTTCACAAACATACTCTTACGCTTCTTGGAAGTTAAGATGCACGACCTGTCATACATAGACTATAATTCATCTGCAACTTTCTAGGAACTGGTTACACCATCACACCTCACTATAGCCCATCTCCCTGAACAGTACATCAAGACGTCATCATGCCGGTGAAGTCGCTCCACGCGGATCTCGACATCCCAGACCTAGACTTATGGACCTATCTGTTCGAGAGGAAAGACAAGCCATTTCCTGATGACAAAGGTATTCTTTCCACCCCGAACCGGCAGAGACAGACAGACAGACACCTGAGTCTACCTTATAAAGCTACCCCAACCTAACATCCAAGCCAGCAATCTACATCGACCCCGACACAGGCCGCTCCTACACCTGGGCGCAGACCAAAGCCGCGGCCACCGCCTTCGGGCGCGGCCTGCGCGCGCAATGGGGTTTTGGTAAGGGCGACGTGCTGGGCTTCTTCTCGCCCAACAGCGTCGACTACGCGCCGGTATTCTTCGGCGCCCACTGGGCCGGTGGCTGCGCCTCGACCGCCAACCCGGTCTACACGGCCTCGGAGCTGGCATTCCAAATGAAGGACTGCGGCGCGAAAGGGATCGTTACGCAGCTGGCCCAGCTGCCAGTCGTCCGCGAGGCCGCCGCCGCCATCGGGTTGTCCGAGGACCGCATCATCCTGCTCGGCGACGGGCGGGACCCGAGTGGGCGGTTCCGGCACTTCACTGAGATCCAGCCGACAGGGCTTCTGAGCGGGTTGACACGACGCGCGACCGTCGACCCGGCGCGGGATGTTGCGTTTCTGGTGTATAGTTCCGGCACGACGGGGCTGCCGAAGGGCGTGGTACTCACGCACCGCAACATCGTGGCTAACCTCGCGCAGCTCGAGTTCATGGACAGCCGCTTCAACGGCCTGCACCACGCGGGCGGGCCCGACGGCCAGGGCGACAAGCAGCTCGCCATCCTGCCCTTCTTCCACGTGTACGGGCTGACGTGCATAGCGCTGGCCAGCATCCGCATGGGGCTGCCCGTGATCATCCTGCCGAAGTTCGAGCTCGAGCGCGCGTGCCGCGCCATACAGGACCATGGCGTCAGCTTCGCGTCGATCCCGCCGCCGGTCGTGCTGGCGCTCGCCAAGCACCCGGCTGTCGGCAAGTACGACCTGTCGAGCGTCAAGTGGCTGAACTCGGGCGCGGCGCCGCTGGGACGTGATCTGGTGGACTTGGTGTGGAATCGTTTGATGATCCCCGTGATGCAGGGCTACGGGCTGTCCGAGACGGCGCCGACGCTGACCAAGGGCGTCGTGGCCGACTGGAAGCGGTACAACGGATCCGTTGGCAAGCTTTTGCCTAACATCGAGGCGCAGATCGTCGATCTGGCGGGCAACGAGCTGCCGGCGGGAGAGGAGGGCGAGCTCTGGGTCCGGGGGCCGAATGTGTTTCCTGGATACCTCAACCGGCCCGAGTTGCAGAAGGATACGTTCAGCGAGGAGGGGGGATACTTCCGCACGGGCGATATAGGGTATTTTGATGCGAAGGGAAACTTGTATATCACGGACCGGCTGAAGGAGTTGATCAAGTATAGTGAGTTTACCCCATTTTCTTTCCTACTGTTTAGTCTCTCTCTTCTCTAAAATACCTATGACCAATTTATATCATCATCCACAATCCCCATCCCCAATCACACGAACACCCACCACCCATCACCCACTAACCCGCTACTCCAAAGAGGGATTCCAAGTAGCCCCCGCGGAGCTCGAGGGCCTGCTCCTCGGCCACGCCGAGATCGCCGACGTCTGCGTGATCCCGGCGCACGACGCGCAGCGCGAGACCGAGGTGCCGCGCGCGTACGTTGTCCTCAAACCCGAGGTCGCGCGCACCGACGACAAGGCGGCCGAGATCGCGGCCTGGCTCGACGGGCGCGTGGCCCGGCACAAGCGCCTGCGCGGCGGCGTGCGCTTCGTTGACGAGGTGCCCAAGAACGCGAGCGGCAAGCTGCTAAGGAGGGTGCTGAAGGATGCGGCGAGGAAGGAGGACCGGGTCACCGAGGGGGCGAAGTTGTGAGGGTTTTGGGTGGATTGTGAGTGTGGGAAGAAAACAATGGGACTGTGGAGTCATGTTTATGAGAACGGATAGGGTTGTGCGTGTTGGAAGATCTTATAAAGAAACAGCAGTAGCTGGTTAAAGTCACAAGTGAAGATATCAAAGTCGACGAGACCACGAGGGAGAATGAAGACACGAGGGACGTCAACTTGGAAACCCAGGGAGCTGTATATACATAAGTTTTGTATGATAAATGACTCAATATATGTGCAGTATTTTTCAAGTAAACTGTGTCTATACACATCGTTTTGTACATTTGTACAGTTGGCCTTCCAACTTTCTCTTCCATCCCAGTCTAGACGACTTCATGAGAAGAGCCGATGATCTCATCCACGTGTTTTACAGGCGTTTCCAACTAACGCCGAGTGTGAACCCTCAGGTCTATAAGTCCATCCCCAGATGGCTCAAGTAAGTCTTCCGACTCTCCAGCCCAGCTCCCTGGGGACTTCCAGAGTAAGGAGTTCTGATCCCCCATGTTATGTTCTTACAGCCACCAGGCCCTTGGCCCAGCTCCACCTTCATATCATCTCACAACATCACCCATTCACCATCTCACCACCTCCCCCATCCACCTATTCACTCATACGGCAGCCAGACAGCTCAAGCCAGCCGCTCACTCTCCTCCAGCAGCCTCTCAACACTAAACTTCCCATCCCCACGTCCAAACTCCTCCAACAACCTCCTCTTCGCGCCATACCCCTCGCCGCCCTTGCCCTCCTCGCCGTAGAACCGCTGCATCAGCATGACCAGCCACTGCGCATCCTGGACGCTGGCGCCGCGCCCATCGACCACACTGCCCGCCATGAGAACCACGCCCCCTTGCACCCCGCGCTCATCCGACAACCCCACCCCTTCCACCTCCGTCCCGTGATCCCAGTAGTGCGTAATGCTCGTGTGCGGCTGCGCCCACTCCCCGCGGGCCTTGTACTCGGCGAGCTGCGTGAACAGCACGGTGCTGGTGCGCGAGGCCTTGTCGAACACCCACTGCAAAAAATGAATCTCGGCGCCTTGGCCGTCGCGCGGCACGGGCAGCACGAACGCTGGGTGCCTCCGCGCCGTATCCTCGAGGGCCTCATGCGTCGCCGCAGGCACCACGGCGCACAGCGAGTTGGCCGACGCAGCGTGCCGCAGCCGCCACACGGCCGAGAGCTCCGGCAGCGGCAGCGCGCGCGCCTTGGGGAGGTCGAGGATGGCCGAGAGCGGCTTTATGGGCGGTTTCGTGGCGGTCGTGCTGTCGCGGACTGCGCCTGCTGCTGCTTGCGTCGGTGTCTGTGTTTGGGATCCTAACCCTGGCGTCGAGGGCACAGGCGGCGGCCTTTGGCTCAGCCCGTCCGCGCTCGGCGCCGCCGTGTGCGGCAGGGGGCTCGGCTCCGCGTCGGCGAGCAGGGCGTCGAGCCCGGGCACGGAGACGCTGTCGCGCTTCTTCAGGTCCTGGATGCGGTCGGCGTAGGCTTCCTTCAGGCGGTCGATGTCGCCGCCGAGCCCCTGCTCGCGCGCCTTGCGGTCGAGCTTCTCGCGGTACTTCTCGGTGACGCTGCGCTGGGCGGCCTGCGTCGTGGCGAGGAACCGCACGTCGTGAACCTGTGCCCAGCGCCGCTGCAGTCGCGACGTGTAGGGCAGGACGGCGCGGGGCAGCTGGGCGTTGTGGAGGTTGAGGGTGCTGAGGGTGCTGCTGCTGCGTCCCAGACCCAGCACGTTACGCAGGGTTGGGAGGCGCGCCGTGGCCATTGTGGGTGGAGGGTCTAAGGAATCAGGATTGGACTATTATATTTCGGATTCGGATGAGATGTTGGTCACGGTACCGGCCGGTTCCAGTGTCGCGTCTATTGAGGCGGTTGTTGGCTGATTTGTTGAGCTGTTGAAGGCAGTCAAGATTTAATCATTTTCGACTGTTGAAGCGGATGCTATCGTTATCGCCGCTGAGACTATTATCATGACGGAGTCACGGACAGATTCGAGGAACGTGGGGAATGTGGGGCACTCCTACATCGGACCCTTCAACTTCATGTTGCCGCAATGCCGCCCCGACCAACTGGCAACGATCCATGCTGCCATGATTCCTTTTCTTACTAATAATAACAGCAGATGGCGATATGAGATCCCGCGAAGATTGGTAACTACCTTAGTTTCTCTCCAAGACTGTTCTCAAGCCAGGATAGCTGAATCGTTGATAATGCCTAGGATTTGAAGTCTTATGCCCCCTTTTACACATATAATTCTGGACCACGATACTTGCGTTAAGGTTGTTGTCCGGAGAAGCGTGTCAGACCAGGTCAGCCAATGGAGCGTATTACAAGATTGCACTGCCTCGGAGGAGCACAGCACCATCGCGTGAGACGAATGCCACCGTGTCGAGAGTGTTGCCATGTGACGGGCCGTGGGTGTTCGCATGTGAGAGGTTATTTCCATGTTTGCTACCTGAGCGGAGGAAGGTGTTGTTTGTTGGGTGGCTGTGCAGCTCCTTCTTCAGCTCGACCAACGTCTTTCCCTCCACTACCTCGTGAACTTATTTCATAAGCGGTATCGCATACTCCACAAACCCTCCACAACTCCTCCTTCTAACGTATCACTCTGTGTAGTTACATCTGAATCACATCACATCACCAAAGATGACTCGCTACCCACCTACAGGCCCAGGCCAAGAAGGCGACATTCAAGGCAGAGGCGACAATCAAGGCAGAGGCGACTATCAAGGCAGCAGCAGCGCCTACGGATCCCAGCAACCCAACGAGCCAGACTGGAGAAACTACAATTCTGGAGAAGGGCAAGCCCGAGGCTACCAGCAACAGCCCAGCCAGCCTCAACGCGGTAGCTATGGCCAAGGAGCCGCGCAAAGCTACTACCCAGGAGGGCAAGGCTACCAGCAGCAACAGCCTCAACGCGGTAGCTATGGCCAAGGAGTCGGGCAAGGCTACTATGGCTCCAACTTCCCGGCTTACTATTACCGGCGGGATCCCAATCAAGGCGATGCCAGCGGCATACCATACTATCCAGGTGGACTGCATCAAACTCCACCAGGGCCAGGAGCATCACAGCTCCCTGCATACGGGCAGCAGCAACAGTACTCGCCGCCGCAGCAAGCCCCGGCGTCCAGCTATGGGGGTGGTCAATATTCGCCACCCGATTGGGCTGCATACGGGCATTGGCCGCAGCCATACGTGCCTATCCCAACTGCCGGCCAACCTCTTCCGCCTGGCGGCGCCGAGGCCGACCGTGGCTTGATGGGCGCCGTAGCCGGTGGTGCAGCAGGTGCCTACGGCGGCCATAGGATGGGCCACGGCATCATGGGCGGTATCGGAGGCGCAGTCGCCGGGTCCATTCTCGAGGACGCGTTAAAACAGCACAACAAGAAAGACAAGAAGCCCAAGCAGCGCCGCGGTTCGAATTCCAGCTCTTCTTCCAGCAGCTCTTCTTCCTGCGATGACGATGAGAAGCGTGTGATGGCAGGAAACTTCTCTGCTAGTTTGGATGTTCGCATGGAGGGTCGATGTACGCTTGTTGCGGAGTGTTTTGATGTCGAGGGTCGTCGTCACACGTCCCATCTGGACTTGAACGAGTGCTTGACCAATAACGGTGGCCGGCTACAGTGGCTCAAGGGTGGCAACTTTGCCGCCAGTGCACGTACCATCACGCTCACCGACGGTGGTGCGGTGCTGGTGGCTGATTTGGGTGATGGACGCGGTGGATGGAATTATGTCAAGGTCCTTCTGAACGAGAGGATCACGAATGATAACGGGAGGTTGCACATGCTTTGCGCTGTTGGTGGTCCTTCTTGTTTCCGAAGAGCCCTCCCATGGAAGGGTGCGGGGAACCCATGTTGCGAACACCGCAGGCGAGGGGATGGAAGGTTATTAAGGGGGTCACCTGAGCTACCTTACCCCGATATATGTATGGTAGATCCCAGGTCTTCTGGCATTCTTAATCCAACGTCCCCTCAACTATCCTCCATCATTGCCCCTCGACCAAGCCTAGGCCTGCTTCATCCGCGGGCTTTAAGATGCTCACCAAGTTCGAAGTGTGGGTTCATGTATGCTTGGACTTGAAAATATTGTTTCGATTTACAAACATGCCGAAGGCAAGCAAAGCAGCCTAATCAAATTGTCAAGTAATGAACACAGCGTACAGCTAACGCGGTCTGCCTCGTGAGGCATGGCCGCCTTCCCACATCATATCTCTATCCCCCATCTGTCTCTCTCGGCAGATGCTGACCAACCTGACACAAATCAGCTCTAGATCCAGGTCTATTTTCTAACGGGCCGGGCGCGTTCTTTCGTCTCCTCTAATAGGGTATCGTGTTGGTTTGTGGTTGCGTTTCTTCTCATTCGTGTGGCACTCTAGGCGTTGACAGGCTTGAACACCATGGGCTCTGTCTCGGGCTTCAACGGTACGCCAAGCTCAAACAGCTTGACGATAACGGCGCTGAAGTCCTTGAAGAATGCGTCGTTGTCCTTGGCGTACTTCTGGACCCACGGCTTCATCGCCTTGTCCTGGATGAGGGCATAGTCGGTCGGCAACATCATGAGGGACTTGCTGCCCTTGTCCTGGTACTGCTGGGGACCGTCCCACTTGCGGACAGACCACTTCTCGTCCAAGAGAAGACGGTAGTAGTCGTTGGTCAGGACAGTAGGAGAAAAGGTCCACGGCCCCTCGAAACCACTTCGGTCGGTGTGGCAACGGCCCAGAGCGTGGGCGCCAGACAGGGCGACAATCTCCTGATCGTTGAAGCCCATACGGTAGAAGATGCCTCGGAGATGGTCCGAGCCCTTGGACCCGTCCGGCAGGCGGCCGTCGGGCGTGCAGGCAGCAGCATCTCTATCGGAGCGACCAGGTCGGTACGGAATCTGGGGACCCTGCATCTCCTGGAAGGCGCAGACACCCGCAAGAATCCACAGGTCGGAGTACGAAATCCAGGGGAATTTCTCTGTAATGGAGGTTAGCGCCACTGGGCGGGTTCGGAGAGTACCAGCAAAGACTCACCCTTCACGGGGGCGAGGAAGTCCCGAGCGTGTTGCAGCCCAGCGTTGGCACCGTGGTCGCCCTCAGGTGCGAATCGCATGGTAGCACCATTGCTGCCGCCAGTTCCGGTCTCCTTATCGTAAGTTCCACTGCAGTGCCAGGCGAGGCGGACAAGGACAGGACCGAAACTGCCGTCATCGTAGTCGTCCTTCTCCTCAAGACGGTTGGCAACCTCATTGTAGACCTTCTGGTAATCTTCCTTGGTGGGGTTGAAGACCTTGGGCGTGGCCGAGGCACCGGCCTGCTGGTTGTAGAACCAGTAGCCACCAGCACCGACAACGGCGGCACCGGCGACATACAACAAAGGCGAGGTGCTCGAGGCCTTGGGCGGCTCGGAAGAGTAGAAACGACGGCCACTGCCCTGGCGGAAGGCTTGGCGGGACGATGTCGCGAAGGTGTTGCGGGCTGTGGTGCGCAGAGCGGAGCGGGCGACCTGGCGAGATACGGTTGGGGCCGACATCTGCGACAGACGTGTCAGCGAAAGTCACACAAGAGTGGTCGAAGTATGCTATCTCGAGACGATAAGAGCTCCGCGGGGCTCAGGAGAGACGGGAGAAGATAATGGCTGTCTTACCTTTGTTACTTGGTGGCTGAAGTGAACGACAAGAGGAAAATGGAAGAAGATGGTGGAGGTGATGGCAGTCAGAGCAGAGAAATTTGAGGACTAGAGGGAGAGGAAGAAGATCGAGGGTGACAGTTGAGGACGACAGCACCCGGCCGTCTTAAGAATTGGCGCGATCTTATTGGTCGCCAGCGGGTGACCCACGACCCTGTCGCCTTCTCTGGAGACTGGAGACGGATCTGTACCTTTTTATTTTGTTAGTCTCGGTGGACCCTCTTGACCCTGAGACTGCCTATCCGCTATCTAGCAAACCAATGCGGCAATATGCGGCCTTCTAGGACCAGGTGCTGACGAATCATTGATACCTACTACCTAGTCCAGAAAACACCAGAAAAACCTTGCAATCACACGTTGGACTACCTACCTGAACCTGTCATCTTGCCACCACCAGTCTGGCTGTCAGGCTGTCTCGAAGATTCGAAGCGAAACATTTGTAGAGGCCTCGGCAGCGACATCGGGCATTGACTGCTGCCACGCTAAGCCCCAAGAGTCAGATCTGCTTATCTCCGTCTCCGAGCCTAAGGTTGTTCGGCAAACACTCCCGAGGTCGGCTGTTCCTGACGGGTATTCCACCAGTTGCCGAAAAATATCCGGGTCTTCGAGTGCATCATGGATGATGATTGAACGTCAGGTGCTTTGTAGTTGGATAAGAAGCGGTTTGGTGCTTGTTCCAGTCAGTTGCAACTGGACTAAACTGCCTATGCCAGCTGCTTACTTACCTATAGGCATGGAATTCATTATTTCAACCGCTTGCCTGTTCACGTCAAACATGTCTGACATTCAACATGAGGCTCGCGCATTTGATTATCGTGGAGAGAAATACTACCTGGCATGAAGACAGCATCCGGTGTCGTATACTTAGGTAGTCAGATGAAGCACGGGGAAAATCCATCAACTCCGGTTCCTTGCTGTACTCCTGACTGGCCTTCAATACCCAGACGGGATCATAGCGAGCTATCGTGAAATGACTTCGTCGTGTGCTTGCTCCCCTTGTTCTCGCCTGAATCAGATGCAGGAGAAAAATGAGTATGGTACAATCGCAGCACTCCCTGCACAGATGCCACCCTGTCATGCAACTCCATCATGCAACATCCTGAACCCCCAAAACTCCGTGATGGCATTCCACATCCTACTGGAAGGGAGCCGTGCCTTGCGCGCTGGACTCAGGCTCTTCTTGGTAGTACTCGTAGTAAGTCGGGTATCTGCTCTCGGCCTTGAGTCTAGTGGCTTCATCCATCAGGCCTCTCGGTGCGCCGTTCTCCTTGAAAACAGGCTTATCGAGAACTGATAATGAAGACGGACTGTGCATCATGTCAGCACACGGGTATATGTTAGAGACAACCGTAAACTTACCCATAGATCTCGCGATCGATCGTTAGGAACTGTTTCATCGCATCCTTGTCGCCACGATCTTGGAGGTAGCCGAGGTATGTCAAGCAAAGCTCCTTCTTCGCCGCCGCGGAGATCCGGCTCTTCGCCATCAGCTCATCAAAGATGTGCTTGATGCGTTCCGCATGTTGGGACTCCAGCTCCAAGTTCGTGGGCTGCTCCAGTTCAAATCCGAGCCATGTTTCCCAGAAGTGGCGGCTGTCTGCGTACCACTGAACATTCTTCGCGAACACCGTGCGCGCTTCGTCCACCGACCCCTTGACCTTCCACAGCAGGGTTGCCCAACGGGTGACCAAGACTGCCTTGGTGAAGATGTTGACATGCGGCGCATCGATCTGCGCCTTGTAGACTTGGATCGCGGCGTCAATCCCGCTTTGCCGTCTTTCGAGGTTTGCCCAAGACACAATCGCCTCAACAGAGTCGGGAAGTTGCATCAATACGGCCTCGTGGATTTCCCGCGCAACGCCGATGCGGCCACACGATTCTTCAAAGTAAGCGAACTGAAGACGGATGCCAGGTCTGCTGACGGGCACGAACAGTGTGGCTGCTCGCATGTAGATATGACGGACTTCTTCCTCTTTGCCAGGTTGAGCCGACATCCATCGAGCATAGCGGAACCAGAACTCGTCGTAGAGAGCACAGGTGATCACCGAGCGCTCGTACAGGAATGTGATCCGCGCAAAGTCGCCCTCGCCTTCTTCGAAGTCCAGATATTTCCGCCAGTTGGTTACCTGCGAATTCTCTAATTCCGTAACGTGGAAGTAAGGTCGCTTGACTTCCGACTCGTAAGTCCATCGCTTGGTCGTCTCATCTTGGGTGCGTTGGAAGATTTCGTAGTACATGCTGTCGATCTTGGCCCGGATGTCCCGTTCCACCTCGAGCTCCGGCCGTGCCATCCCGCCATAGGCAGCTGCCTCGGATTCCACCTCTGCGCGAAAGCGAGCAAGGTCCTCAGCGGAAACCAGCTCTTGAATGGGGCGGCTGTGGGCAAGCTGACGAAACCGCTCAAAGTAACGAGCATACTGGTGCATCGGGATATAGATCACGCGCTGCAGGATAGAAAAGATCTTATCCTGAGCCTCCTGTCGTTCTTCATACTCGATGTACTTGTCCCAAAAAGGGTGGGCAAGGAAGTCGAGCCCGACGCAGGTGGCAGCGCGTTCAAAGAGCCTAAACCGCAATGTTAGCAACGATTGATCCCAAACCAGGGGGAGGGGTCAGGGAGTGAGGGTGGATGGGAGTTTAAATACAGGAAAGGGAAAATCGTGAAGCAACTGTTTCCAGATCCCAGTCAATTCGCGACTGAGGCGTAGGAGTAGATATGCGACGTTCAGGCTGAAGGCCAGACATATGGTCTTGCATGAGCCCATTGTCTGGCAGAGTTTTTTGTGAGAAAATATCCAACATGACAAGGATGTTGTTGGCATCTCTCACCGTCAAAGACTGAAGCAGTCATGGGTAGTGTCTCGTTGTAGTGTGTGGGAATCGCTATGCATTTCTTGCTCTGTCGGTGGTAAAGTTAAGGGGGGTAGGAAACTTCCTATTATACTTACTCTCTGACCAGCTGGGGCGTGTGGGTGGTCTCCATCTTAAAGGAACAGTATGAAGCCCAGAGGTCGACGCAGTTGGTTACACTTGCGCACCCGCGCTCATAGATCTGGGGCGAGTCAGTGTATGCCCTAAATGATGTATGGAGAACTCGGGTCGCATACCATCTCTGCCGATTCCGGGCCGGAGATATTGAACTCGAGGTCGGCATACTTCTTCCAGTAACCGAAAAGCAAGGGGAACTTGAGTAGGAATCGGTCGTAAACGTCGCGAAGGGTGGCGAGGGCTTGGGGGCTGGAGTTTCGGTTGAGCCCGCCTTCCTGAGCCTCGCAAGCATGGATGAGCTTCTCCCAGGCGTCGAAGTTGTCGGTATCCGCTTCCTGTTGAACACAATTAGATTACATTCAAAAGCCATGCCTCATAGATGCAGCAAAATGAATGCGCAGGGTCTCGGGTACACACCACTTCCAAGGTCAACTTCTTGATCTCGGCATTCTCCTCGTCAGAAACGGCGAATTGGTTGAAGTCGGCCATGTCGAATGGAGAGTTCTGGTAGGTAGACGGCGGGTGGATTGAAGATTGGATCGATGCGCCGTTGTTGCGACCACGCGCGATGTGTAGGTAGGTAGGAATCGGGCGAGGCTGGAGACGGCGTCGGCGGTAGCAGATGGGTTTGTCGAATTGCGCTCGCAGAGAATTTGCAAGGTCGCGCGAGTAAGTAGACGCGTTGAAACCTAGCCCGCTCTGATGTATTTACCGATGGCCGATCGGGACAATGTCAACAGTAGAAATATTCAAACGAGCGGTGACTGGATCTTCGACTGTTCCGGTGTTGAGCGATCAGTGATGGTTGAGGCACACTGGAGAATGGAGAAGATGGGATTGATAGGAATTGAGAAGCTTGGACTTTGCATGGAGGATGGCTGGACGGGTACAAATTTAGGTACAACGGGCAGCGGTGCAGGTGACGGGAGCAGCACCTGCAGTGATTCGACTGAATGTGATCCGTGCGTTATCAGACAAGTACCTAGGTACTCTCGAGTCTTTCGCGGCACGCATAGAGCACTCTACATATCCATCTCCAACAGTCATAGCGCATAAAGAATCAACACATACATTATTCGCCGTCGATGGTCTGTATTATGCGCATGCCTGCAGTTGCAACAACAAAGATCAAGAATCACTGTATGCCGTCACCCCATCACTGTTCGCAGGCCACTTCCAAGTCACGTGAGTGGGTCTGGTCCCATATCCTGCGCTACGAGAATTTTCGACTCTGCCCTCGTCTGCAAACTTCGACTCTTGTCCAGCTCCAGGCTCACGACACACCACTGATGTATTTTTGACCGCCGTCGCGGTCGTCCCTGCACAAAGCTATTGCAAGTGCAAGATATTCAAACTGCCCCGGTATGTTTCTACGAGGCTGCTTTGAAGGTTTGTATGGCAGCATTTCCCTTCTTCACAGTCCTTTCCTCAGATATTCCTTTGCTCTTCGATACGACCACACCCAGCAACATGGCCAGTGATGATACTCCAAAAACATTCTATGATAGGAAGAGGGATATCCATTCGTGGAAATGATCTCAAATATCTATTCTGAGGCCTGGCTTCAACATAAGCCCTGAAGTCGTTTCTTTTCTGTCCTTCCATTCTCTTCTTCTCGGTCTGGGAATGGTGGACGAGTTCCCATATCTCCCATGCAGAGACTTACTTTATCCAAGGGTAGCAGGATCAACCTTTCGTTCATTCGCGACCGAGCGGGCTCTTCGGAGCTTTCACCGAGGATTGTGTAGAAGCATTATCACATATTGCCGCCGCAAGCCTATTCGTAAGCAAGGTGAATGCAAATAGGTGTTAGGGACACCTGGGCGATGCTACACCGGGCGCTGTACGATGACAAGGCTGCACATGACTGCGCTGGAGTCACTGAATAAGTCATGTATTGTTATCATTAATGACTCGATTGCTTCTTCCATCGAAGATTGAATCTCGTCGTGGATACCCGTCGCCAACGTAAGACCACCTCATAGCGAAAAACGAGCCAGTCCATTCGACCAGCCGTGTCAATAAAAGGGAGTCGTGGAAGCTGTGGCCTGTGCAGTGATTGCCAGGGTAGTACCATCTCCCATAGCTGATGCGTGCGTGGATGGTGACTGTGAGGTGGAAATGCGCCATATAGAGGGCGCGATCATTCCGCCATCCAAACGCAGCAACAGAGGCCTCGTCGTACATCTTCTCGTGGTATTTATGATAATGGTACGCCGCCCTTTCTTGGTGGTCGTGGGGGCTGCAGAAACCTTTCGAAGTGACAAAGTCTTCCTCGCAGGCATTGCCGCGTACCCTCGCCTATGATGCGGTTAGTCTCAGCTACTACATGGACAATAACTGGTATTACCTTGCATTTCATTGTGGTAGTCTCATTTAGCAGACGCGAAAGGTATGGGTGATTGTTCTAGGAGGCGTACAAATTAGGTATCTTTAGCAGGGATAATTTCCCTGTGTGGGTACATGGTTGAGAGGGAAAGCCAGGTTCCTAGCAAAGTCGGGTTTCGAAGATTGGGGTTAGAACGTCAGTAGTAGCGGGATCGAAAAACGAAGCTACAAAATATTGATGCCTTAGCCATCACGAGGCACCAAGATTTCGGCACATTCCCAGTCCACAAGTCCTCCCGCTTTGAATCGCCATGAATGTAGCAACACTGCTCGATTCACAAGGGCCCCCTTATTTTTTAAATTCGGAAGAATATGGGCCCAGAGATCCCGCTGAACACTCGCCAACAAGCCTTGGGACTTGACATAAGCCTGTCCGTTTAGGTGAAGTGAATAAAATAATGGCGTATGCCCGACATCTTCAGGCTTGGAGGGCAGTTCGAGGCATGACTGCGTCTCTAATGCAAGTACTCTAAAGAGCATACTTCATGGTTACATCTTGATGGCAGTATGTATGGATCGATACATGATGAAATTTGCGTATTCATGACTAGTAGCTCCTATAATATTTACCGAGTCTTTCGCTCAACTTGGGCTTGATAGGCTTACGGAGAAGCAAATACCGAAGGGGGAAAGGCGCAACACCAGCAGGAGGGATTACCGCTTAAAACAAGTCTATTGCATTGTGCAAGACGACAGACAATATAATGATAATCCCCGTGGCATCGTGAGTGATGCCCGACCAGATATCCGAACATCTTGTTCTCTGAATAGCCGACCTTGCTGGCTAACTATCATATATTATTAAAAAGAGTACGACTCACCAGGTACGCACAGAGCCTTCTCCAGAGGCGCCAGGCCTGCTTTGCATATCCCTCTGCGTTTATTTACTCTCTGTTGAAGCAACATATGGCAAACGAAGGCAGTCATTAATGTAACTCAGTCATTGCACGCCAGGAGAAATACAAGCAAGCAGATTGACCCAGCCAATTGCTCGCGTTTCACAGCACACCGTTCGAAAACCAGCCGCAATGAATGCTGCCACAGGTGGATAAGTTATAGGGGAGTACTCGGTGTTCTTCTTGACTTTGACCTGCCTTATTTTCTTGGACCGCGTGTATATATGCCTTCCTCCCCTACGCGCACCTGTCTGGGCGCCGGTCCGCTCGCGGAACTGGCTATCCGCCATATCCACAACGGCGGACGAGGCATGCTTGAGTGTGGCGAGATGCGTCAGGCGCTTTGAAGATGGAGGCTGCGCTCTGTATACTCCGCCTGTTCGACATGGCCGACACCCTCCAGTCTTTCACGTCCAGACCGCAGTGAAAGGCAATCGTTCGTCAATGTGACCACAAGGCAGTGTGATTTGCTCAATCTCCAAGGCGCATTATTAACTATTATCTCGTACTACAGTCCGTCCAGCTCGTAGGGAAACAGCCCAACTCATAATAATCTGAGGGTATCGCCCATTATAATTCCACAAACAGCACCATAATCCAAACCTCGGCCCTGTCCGATACCCAAAAGCGGTCTTCGTGACCGCCGCTCATATCCAAGCAGCGCGTATTAGGCATTAGAGAATACTGCAGTCCATACATCATTTCCAACTCATAAGCCAGAACTTGGTGTGCCTTCTTGGCGATGCTTGCGCTTTCCCCAGCCATTAGTGACGCATGCCCTTCTCACCACCACCGACACTGCCATGCCATCCAGCTGCCACATGCCTATTCCGCCCGTGACATAAGTGACGGTCCATCTAGAACGGCGTAGACAACTCTCCCATCAGCACTCCCCACCCGGCGTACTCTTCTCCAGCAGCTTCTGCGCCCGCCGTAGCCGAGCGGCCGTCTCATCAATGCCCAGCCGAGGCTTTCCCCGCCCACCCTCCTCGTTCAGCTCCGTCACCAGGGTAGCAACCGACCCCGTCCCATCCTCGTCATTCCCAGACCCGTCGACCCTCTCCCCCTGGCGCAGCTGGCAGTACATCTCGGTGCCCGCCCTACGAGGGCATCCGTTCCGATCCGCCTCGTTCTCCGTCCCGGGGGCAGTGGGAGAAAGCGGCTCGCCAACCTTTGGTAATCTGACGCCCCTCGTACCCTTGAAGACGCCCGAAACAGCCTTAAGCAGCTTCCTCCGCTCGAACCGCGCTCCCACCACCGCCGCGGCGCGCACAAGACCATAAGCGCCGTCGCTACCAAGCGGCACGTAAGCCACGCCATCAGTCGGCGACGCGCAGACCGGACACCGCGTCAGCTCCTGTCCCAGATGCCCTTTCGTCAACCCTGATTTTGACCTCGGACCCAGCCCCAAAAAGCCGCCCGCTCGACCCTGTTGGTGCTGGTGCCTCGCTCCTACAGGTTGAGTCGAGGCCTCACCAGGCTTGCTCGCACTGTCCACGTGCTCCGACCCGACCCTATCGGCCGCGGTGGCGGTGGCAGGCGCGGAGCACACGCAGTAGACCTGCGCTGCGCTGACCTCGTTCCGCCAGATGCTGATGCGGTCCCTCGCCGGCAGGGATAGTAGTGTCGTCGAGATCGGTTCCATCATGGTGTTGTTGCACTCCTTTTCCCGCACGACCTCGCCCAGTCCCGCCTTCGATCCACCCCGTGATAGCTTGCAAGCCAGAAAGTGTCAGCACGGCGCACGAAGCCAGTGGGTTGGTTGCGTGTCTTCTGCCAGAAAGAGGGAAAGCAAGTGCGTGTTCATCCGAAGAATGTTGCTGCGGAGAATCTCGAACGTTTGCCCGGCTGCTGATTTATTCATGTGCTCTCGGCTCTAGCCGAGGTTGGTTATAAGGTTCAAGCTACGATGGGTTCGGCCACCCAGGCCATGATTGCGAACCAGCACGTGTGGAATAACAGATGGGTCGTGAGCAGCAACCACAAAACCTGCCTCTTGAATTATTGGAGGAAGGAGGTACCCGAAGCGAGTTGATGCAGCCGTCTGCAGTGACAGAGTGAATGGAATATTAATTGAGTTCCAATGCTCCTGAAGAAGACAGCTGGACCGCTCTGACGTCAAAGGAGGACGGACGGTGATTCCTCGGCAAGCTTGAACCTTCTTTGCCGAGGTGTTCTAACACCCTCTGCTGCCTCTGTCCAGTCTACAACCACGTCCGACTCGCGCGAAGGAGCCCATACTTGACAGTTTTCAAAGAGCAAGCTATTCAATATGAGCGACGGACTGGTGAGAACCAACCATATCAAGTACTTATACGCATCAGCACCGATACATTACCGATGTACCCAAGAATGCAGTCTGTGTCTGAAACCATGCATGTCTTCGTGCCCCTATAATACAAACTACGCTCTTCCTAAGTTCTACTCTACCAGATATCTCGTACAATCCCTCCTGAATGGCCAGTTTTCGACGCGCCAATGGGATCCGTATCAACGCCTGGCACCTATCGAATGCAACGCTGTGTCGAAACCAAATATCAAGTCCGTCTAACTCGGCTTCAACGTTTCCCATCCGTTCATATCACCAGTCGTTTCGTCTCCTAGAAGATCCAGCGCTGGACTTCCCGCTGGCGGCGTTGGCTTTGGCCGCTGTGTCGGCGGCAAGGCTTGTTGCATTCGTGTTGGTGGAACAGGCTTACGGTCCTTGATCGCAAGACCGGGTAGACCAACCCGGCTTGACAACATAGGTGAACTAGAACCGGAGGCAGGTGAAAAGCGACCGTGGCCCGCCGAGCTGGATTGCAGTTGCGTTGGTTGGCCCTTGTGCATACCTCCCGTCAAGGAACCTGACCCATTAGCCGTGAGTCTCGAGGTGAGATTGGAGATGTTGTTTGACGTTCTCCGAGGCAGTGCAGGTTTCGCCGTTCCATGTTCGAGCGAGCCAAACCCGGCACTATCTGGCAGGGAGGGGCTGGTAGCCGGCGAGGTAGATGTGAGGTGGGCGGGCTTTTGAGCCACTGTTGGAGGCGTCCTGGATTTGTTCGACGTTTGTGAGGATGTAGATACTGCTCTGGACTGCGGTGGAGGTAGGGTAGCAGATCTCGATGCCCACGAAATGGGCTGTGGGCTCGCTGTTGTAGATGTTTGTGGCAAGTGAGTCATGTTAGTACTCGACGGTGTTTGCCTACGAGGTGGGGGTAGCGGGGGAGCCTCCGCTCTGTGGCTATGTACAGCTGCTTGATCGTCATTCAGATTGAACCGCCCGACCTTAGCGGGCAACGATGAAGGATCATATGGCGGCGGCAGCTTCCTAGGCGCCGAGCTGGAGGCAGAGGTCGAAAGGAGTGTAGAGTGGTTGACATGCTCGTACGGCGAACTGGACATGCTAGAGAATGAGGAGAGCCTTGAACTGGCTCGTGGCACTGCAACCCAATCAGGCTCTTCCGTGATGTTAAACGGATTTGAGGGACGATTGGGGTTCAATGTCATTGCAGAGTCATCGAGCTTTCCGTTGCTAGACTTTGGCGGAGCGATTGTGGACTTCGCCATCTTGCCGTTGTCAAGCCACCACCTCTGCTGGTCGGAACTCGCGGGCGGAAGACCTGGTTCGATCGGATCATACCCAATGAGGTCTTCATCATCTTCCGAGTATTCGCTGTCGAGGGTTACCGTCGTGTGGCCCACCTCCGCCTTGCGGCGTTCGTAGAGTTGGCGGCTAATGTGCTCTCGAAGAGCCTCGTCGACAATGTTTACCGTACACTGGAATGTTGCATACACTGGTCGATGATCTGAAAATCGGAGAGGGGCGGAGTTGTATGATAATTGCCTGATGTTGGTGCCTTTTCGTAAGATACGATCAGTCCAAGCAGGGATGCGTGCTTTTTCACTGTCGAAACGTTAGCAACTTTTCCCAGAATGTTGTGCTGAATGCCTACGAAGTGTCGAAGCTGTCCGTGCCTATATCGTACTTGTACGTTGGCATAAAGGTAATCCTAGCTTCGGAATAGTACGGGAAAGAAAGACCAGCAACCATCTGCAGATTTAACTGGGACAAGTCAGTTCCTCATCGTTGAGCTTGCATGACATCTTCACATACCTGATCATTTTCATAGAGCTTCTCCAGGTCCTTTCTCTTAGCAAGGTCCATGGCCCTTTCATGAGACAGCCCGATACGGTAGTTGAAATCCCCAAGCCAGATGACGGTATCTGTAAAGTTAGCTTGTACCACCGCAGAAAGGTATCATGGTGTCATACCATGATCATCAATGCCTCTGTTCCTCTGGAAACGCAGCCCATGGTGGATTGTGGCATAATCTCTGTTCCGCTCATCATAGTTGGCAAAGCCGGCAGCCAAATGGGCCGTAACAAAGCATATTTGGGTATTCGCATACTCCATTCTGATAGCAACCGCGCCCTTGTTCCCCGCGATGCCCGACATGCCAGTCTTCTTGACACTACCCTCCACATTCTTGATCTTGGGGAGAGCTGATGCTTTGACGAAGATGCATAGGGCGGCACCGACTAGTTGGCCGCTGCGGAGTAGCACATATTTCTCTTTCCCTGTTGCTTTGGCGCGGGCGTTCAGAGTCTTTTTGATACCCCGTTCCCATTCCTGCTTCCGACTAGGGTCGCTATTCATGATCTGCTGAGCACTCAGCTCAACGATCTCTTGAAACCCAACAGTCACGATGTCAGGCTCTTGAGAACCTAGTTCTTGTGGCCAGAGCCAGGAAGACAGATCATCGTTGATCCCGGTAGTGCGTCCATTCAGGTTGAAAGTACCAACCCACCTGCTTTAATGTCAGTGATCGGGTCCATGAGAAACCGCTGTGTATGTCCCCGAACTTACATGGTAATGGACTCGGTTGAAGAATACTCGGGGCTTCGCTTGCTGAGCTCAACAGAGACGAAATCACTTATAGGGTCAAACAGATGTACAGGGGCTTGACCGACCAACCGCCCCAGAAGCATGTCGATTGTGTTCTGTCTTGCTTTGTCGGTGAAATTGTTGATGTAGAGTCTTGTTGCACTTTTCCGCGCGTCTGCAAAAGCGCCAGCCAACGACATCTTGCCATGTCTTGTGAATGACGACTTTAGAGCGCCTGTTCCAGCATATATTCTCGAAAGCGCATCACCATTATCAGCCCAGAGAGTGGAATGCCGCACCCAGAAGTCTGACGCAGCGTATTCAGCTCGATGGCTCAGAAATGCCTCGACAGCCATCTGCGAGATCAGTGTCTGTATTAGGTTTGTCCTGTCTAAACAGTCCAAGCAATTGGTGCGGAAGACGCCTTCTTGCTGCAGGACAACAACTACCCGGGGCTGACTTTTCGGCTTGTCTGCGACATCATCTGCATCATCCGTTTGCTCCGCGAGATAGTATGCAAAGCCATCGGCAGAATGCTCAATATATCGCCGAATCTCCCTGGCAGCTTCATAGCCGGCAGCCTTCGTTTCCGCATGAAAATCGTAGTCCGTTTCCCGCAATAAGGCATGGTCAGATGCCTGCTTGTCATTGTGACGGCTGAGGGGACAGTGCTGCACGCCATAGTGGTATAGATTTGTGAGCTCTGCTTCCCCAGGTTTAGACTCGCTGAGCAGGTTGACGATGTGAACTGCTCCATATGACTGTTCCAGTTCATCGAAGTGTCTGTCAAATGCTGGTTGGGTCCCATCGGCCGACCGCGTAACTGAGATCTTTTGCTGGCCAGGGATAAGCCCAGCGGTCTGTTCCCAAAATACTGGCACTGAGCCGCGAACCTGCGCGTAGGAGAAGAGAACACCTGACGGGCTCCAGTAGATCGTTTCGGTCTCGACGAAGTTTGCCACGTGGCCTTCATCGTCGATACCTCGACTGTTAAAACGGGTTCCTGCCCTTCTACACGACAAACGAGAAACGACGGTCAAAAACGAAGGCAGACCGGAGTTGGCACCTCGCAGCGGTGCTGCCGACTGGGGTATCGTCATGGTCAAGCAGAATCCACGTATAGCGGAAGTCAGGATTCGGGAAGCATCGAGAGCCTCACGCTCGTGTGCCACTAGTCGCGATCGGAACTTGACAAGAGGGCTGATCATAAACGAGTTCCATAGAAAGGAATCATCGAAGTTGTCTATATCAAAGGTTGCCGAGTCGACGGGCCTGGTTAACATTAGCCATGGTTCGAATAGCTGGACTACGCTCGGTTCTGCGCTCCCGATATCCTGGGACTTCTCCCATATATGGCTGGACTGACCTGTCTTGCAACCGGTTGGTCAGATCGAAATCCGTGCTGTAATAGAAGCTCCCATTGCTCAACAACTTCTGCAGCTCTTGGTACGGGTATTCTACCTCGCCTTCCCTCCGACCGAGGTTCTGGCCGTAGGCTGCCGCAGGGTCGGAAAGCTCGCCATCATATGGGTTCAGAGAGATGACATGATCGTAGTCGGCGCTGTTCAGGCAAAAGAACTCGACACTAGCAATCTTCTCGACCGTCTCGCCAGGTCGCAGTGTCGCAACTCGCGTTGCATGTGTTATCACGCACAGGAAGACATCCCGGTTGATGGAGATGAGCCCCAGCGTGCCAAAGATCGGGCGAGGGATCAGAGGTCGGAAATCGTTGAGCAGCTGCCTCGATGCGGGTGTAAATTCGACCATGCATTTCGACGTGGGACCTTCGTTGCTGGCGCGGGCTCGGGACGAGGCGACGGATGCGAGCGAGCCATCTGCAATTGCTTCGCTCGTGGTAGGGCTGTATCGGAATATTAGGGCGTGGCTCCCCGTCACAATGGCGATTGCTCGGTGAGGATAGTCGCGGATCAGCAGCTGGCTTGACTTCTCGGCGGCACCGGTTGGCGGAGGAGCAGGGACACCTCGCGTGCTCGAGGGGTATTGGTACTGATCCATGCTGAAGTAGCAGGATAGCGAGGGTACAACGCAGGGTGTTTCGAGGAGAAGCTCATGCTAGGGGCTGTGCGTTGTCGATGGCGTTGGCGTTGGAAGCAGCGAGGAGGAGGCTGTTGATGAAGCTAGCATATATCTGCGACGAGCTGCTGGTGTTTTGAATTATCTCTTGGAGGTAGCCGAAGTAGGTACCTACCGGCGTTGGTGCAGTGCACTAACTTACCTGTCAGCCTGTGACGTTGGTTGGCCTTGGCCGACTTTCAGCCCTGTAGAAATTCCCCCCCCCACTGTCCAACAAACATGAAGCCCAACAACATTGAAAGTTGTATTTATCGTACATCTACATGATTAGGTAGGTAATTGGAGTAAGCACACTGGAATAAGTACGTATGAAAGTACCTACACATGTAGAAACCGTGTGAGACCATCGCTGCTAACTTGAATTCCTGTGTGCTAATTCCAGATTTTAATCAATAAATCGAAGCTGCAGCTGATCTGGAATCTCACCGACTTGCGCGCACGACTACCCATGAGACTGAGAAAGATTCAAGTGACAGATAAGTTGACTTGGATGAGAGTACCTACTGTCACTCTTGCCATGCACTGTAAACAATGGCAGCTGCTTTGCTACACTATGCTGTATGCCCATTCCGTGGGCCTGGTCGCTTTCCGTTGAGGCCATGGGCAACACTTATTTGCATGTGAACAGACTACCTGTAGGAGTCATGTCCGTTAGCTTCAAGTAGGTAGGAGTCATGTCCGTTAGCTTCAAGTAGGTAGGAAAGCACTTGAGAATGGCACGTTGCAAGTGCTGTGCATTTAATGTTGTTTCTGGTAACGGCTGCAGCCATTGTTGTTCTGCCTGAATGGACATACATCAGTGGTAGAAACCCATTTTGGTCAAATTTCGTAGCCTTCTCGGTTCATCTCATCTCTGCGAGCGTGATGCAACCAGAACATGGCCAGTCATGATTCAGCAGAAACCGGCTACCTAGTATCCTCCTGAGCATCATCGCAGGGTAGTACCACCTTGCGGGAGCTCCTTGCGGCATCTGACTTAAGGCCAATTTCGGGGAACGTGCTGTTGCTATTCAAACAAGGAAACGTGCGAGATCTCTTCTTGAAACCCACAAGAACAAGGGGGGCAAGAGGAAAGAAATATCCACACAACCATCATCGAGACCTTTTCGCCTTGTACATACGAAGGGTGGTTGGAATACAGCCAGTGTTGTGGAGATGTTGATGGCATTGTCAAGTAGGAAGACATACTATAAGCGCAGCCTCTACCGACGAGTCCTCCAAGCGAGAAGGGACAAGGGAAATCACATGGCCCGCATTTTCCAGCCCTGCGTCAAAACCAACTCCCACACCACCCTCCTGACCGATGCCACAAATCCTTCGCCAGCTGGGTATCGACGAGACCCGGGTCTTCAAGATGGCCCGCGGAACATGAAAGTTCAGCCGAGACAAGGAGGTATATGAAAGGAGCCGCTTAGGACTCGGTGGCAGGGGCTGCCTCCTCCTCCTTGGGCTTCTCGGCTTCCTCGGCAGGCTTCTCCTCCTTGGGCGCCTCCTGAGCGGCAGCACCCTCACCCTCGGCATTGTCCGACGAGGTCCACAGAGTCAGATTGTCACGCAGCAGCTGCATGATCAAGGTGCTGTCGCGGTAGGACTCCTCGGACAGCGAGTCAAGCTCGGCAATAGCGTCGTCGAAGGCCTGCTTGGCAAGGTGGCACGCGCGGTCGGGTGAGTTGAGAATCTCGTAGTAGAAAACGGAGAAGTTGAGGGCAAGACCAAGGCGGATGGGATGTGTGGGGGTGAGCTCAGTCTGCGCGACATCGGTGGCGCTCTGGAATGACGTCTGTTAGAATCGACAATGTAAGGCATCATGTTCGTGTAACTCACCTTGTAAGCCTCGTGGGCAGCAGTGGCGGCGCCCTTACGCTTCTCACCAGAGGCGAACTCGGCCAAGTAACGGTGGTAGTCACCCTTCCTGATTGATGCACACGCGTTAGCACCGCCAGAGGGGTGGGAATAAGGATCGCAATAATTGGTTGACGCACATCTTGTGGTAGAAGACCTTGGACTCGCCGGTGGCAGCGTTGACGATCAAGTGGTCGCTGAGGACATCGAGGACGTCTTCGCAGACCTTCTCGAGCTCGGTCTCGATCTTGTTGCGGTACTCACGGATGGTGCCGACATGCTTGTCAGAGCCCTTGGACTCTTCCTTCTGCTCGATCGAGGAAATGATGCGCCACGAGGCACGTCGGGTACCAACAACGTTCTTGTAGGCGACGGAGAGGAGGTTGCGCTCATCGACGGTGAGCTCTCCACCAAGCTTGGCAACCTCCTTCATGTAGGTGACCATCTCATCGTAGCGCTCAGCCTGCTCGCAGAGGCGGGCCAGGAACGTCTTGCTATTGACGGCCGCGGGTTAGCATGATTATCCGCATTGGGAAGAAGGCGGGATGGGGGTATCGGGGGCGAATAAGTCGCGGTAGCGAGTCGGATGCCACACATACCTTTCACGCTGGAACACAAAACAGAAGTCAGCACACTTTCATAGCGAGATGGCCTTTCAAGAGATGCAAATGAGGAGTAGAGTGGTACGGGAGCGGCATGTCAAGGGCAAGAGGCAGTGCGGGCGGGCGGGCAGGCTGGCTCGAACAAGGCGAAGGCGTTGCTCGAGGATGGGAAAAGGGAGGCTAGGGCAGTCTTACTTCGGTAGTCATGATGGGCGATTCTGACGAAGGATTATGGATGGTGATGTGGTTTGTGAGTATCGAGAGTATCGAAAGGGTGCGGAGGTGGTTGTTGTTTGCAGGTCTCGCGGTGTTGACGGGTGTGCAGGAATTGTTTACGAGGTCAGGTTCGGGTCGACGAACATTGAAAATGCAGCGAGCCAGGTTTGGGTGCAGGTGCGGGAGGAGAAAGTCTGGTGCCAGTGCAAGTGCCAGCGCCGCACCCTAGCGGGCAGACAATGCCTTGACGGAATGTTTGACGGGGCTACCAGTGGTCCGTGCGCGACATCGTGGCATCCCGTTGTGGCATCGCGTATCATGTATCATGCATGTACCGCCACACACAAACCCGGTACAAAGGTACATCGCTATCCATCACTTGACGGTCTGTCAAACTGTCACCGTCTGGTGCTCTTCCCCAGCACTTGAGGACGGGATTGCCCCTCATTTCGTCTCAACTGCCCTTCACGCTGCGATCCTCAAACAAACATTACCGGTTTTCACGTTACAGTGATCCGCTGAACTCAATTCAGAGTCGTCACTAAGGCGTGTTTTCTTCTTCGTGTTATTATAAAGGCAGGTCGTGCCATTCTCTCAATTTCACATCAATCAAACATCATACAGAAAAGGCTCAAAGACGCATCCCCGTCTCCCTCTCCTAATGTTCTCTGGTCTTCCATAGGGCCATACCTAGCACAACCTATCGCGCTGTTCCCCACCGTCATCCGCTAAGGCAAGACCCTTTGTCGTTTGTTCATTAGGGCAGATGGGTCCTGGGCTGCCTGGGCTGGTCGTGAGATCCCAGACATTCATCAGGTATCAGTTGACCAAAGGCTTCCAAGCTTCACGAATAATACCCGACAACGAGGCCTCTTGTTACGGGTTCTGAAGGGGCAATCGAAGCAAGCGGCTCGACCCGTGCGGCCGTTGGTCAACGTCTAGCAGCATTCATGTTCCATCCATTGCCGCGCCACTATCGTCCCGCGGGTATCATCGTCAACATCATCTACTCCCAACTTCTCTGGACCAGTGACTCAGCCCAAGTCTGGTACAACAGCGGCTTTGGAGCGGCCTGAGGCGTGAGTGTAGTTGTATGCTTTCGTTGTCTTGTGCTTGTGAGGGGGTCTGATAAGGGTAAAGCCCCCACCGCCTGCATTCACCAATCGCCCTTATCTCCTGGTCTGCGAGTCTGCGAGTCTACTCGTTGCTCCGAGGCAATCATTGCTGAGCTGGCAGTTTGTCCATTCCGGCCACCAGTCCCTCCTCTTTCCGGGCCATGAAAACCTTTTCATGCAGGCAAACGCGCTTCTGCCACCACGCACCTCCTTACACGGCTTTTCCTAGCTAAGCGATTGGTCTTTGGACAGCCAAAAGCTCTATTGGCTCCCGGACAGTTGTGGCTTCTTCCCAGTCGTCATGGGAATGGGAATAAGAATAATAATGTGATTTCTTTTTCAATCCAACGCCTGCAATGACCAGAGATGGGTGGGATATGTATTTGAGGTTTACTTCACGAGTCCTGCAATCCAGGCCTCCAGATACCTGATTCAACCGACATGTTAGGAATTACTCACAGTGACACCTCCTAAACAAACCCCTATAAAAGGGCGATACTGAAACAATCGTGTGAAGCAAAGGTGCCCCTTTTCAATTCAGATCTATGTGCTCTCCGTGGCCGAATATAGGTATTGAACACCACTAGTAAATTTACATAGCAAAAGCCTGTGGTCTATCCTACTCCGTTCTGTAGCAGGAAGAGTATGCCTGACAGATGGCTACTCACTGCGTTACAGCACGCCCGGCCTATCTGTTTTTCCAAGTTCTCCCAAGCCCAGCATCCCGCAACCAATACCACTGACAAACCCCTTTCTTCCGCGTTCATACAGCGGAAATCTATAAATGGGGCAGCATGTCGTCGTCTTCGCACTACTATACCGCTTCCCAGAGTGCTCAACTAGGCGGTTTGTGAATGGACTCCAACGCGTGTCCCAGCACTCCGTTCTTGAAGTATATCCTTGAAGTAGACCCTTCCACGCACGATGTTGCTTGATGTGAGGACCTAGCCCCTCGTCGGGAGCTCAGCAGTGGGCCAGGATGTATGTGACGGCTGTGGTGTTGAGAAGCGGCTAGCCGTGTAGACTCGTCGTAGACGAGGGTCACGAATAATCATTGAGTTTCGGTCACCCACCACGATCCTCTCGCCCGCCGTATATATCCCAGTCGTGAGTCTTTCCCAAAAAGCCCTTACGTCTGTCCCTGAAAAGAAATTCCGACCAAGAGTCTCAACATCGAATTCCCAAGTCGCCCACGTTTTGTTATAGGGACATGCCACTCAAATGTACAGGTCCAAGATACCAGGCTGTAAAAGCAATGGAAGGCTCTTGCCTTCCACTGTAGTAACAGCCAGCATTTTTTTCGGAAGGCGTCTGGTCATTTTCTGTCATCGCTGTGATCGCTGTGATTCATTTGTGTTACTGCACTAGACAGCCCGACAGGATTAACCCCTATATGTACTAGATTATGTCTTCTTGCTAGCTTCATAGTTTCTTTTCTTCTTCACGTACAACAACAAAAGTAATTCTGGAGTTACCAGCAGTCGAACTATGATAGTTTGTTTCGAGAAGACGCATATGTAAACGACTCTCATCGCAGATAAGAAAATCGTAATCCTCGGGCTAAGCCATAGTAATCTCCAATCTCACGGGGCTCAGTGCCGTCAATAAGAGACCAGATATAGATTCCTAGGAAGTCTGACTAAGTGAGGTAAAGTACGTAAGAAATGTAATGTGCGAGATGCAAGGGCAAACTGAGGGTACAGTGCATCTAGCTCATACGTGCACTAGTAATCCACAAGACATATTGTCAAAAGGAGACGACCGATCCCTCTTTTTTGTGTGGCTATACAGCAGGTACTCTCGTCTAATAAGCAGCTGTACTTTGAGAGAGGAAAGCTATGAGAGCATGGCAAACTAGTACTTTATGCTACTACATATTTACGTTACCGTCATGTAGTATCGGTACGTGCTAACTTTGCTACAGCCCCTGACCTCATCTCTATGCCGAGGCTTCAAAATAGAATGGCATCCGTGAAGTCGAGGTTGAGTGGTTGGGACTAGGACAAAACAGCTGCCAAAAGTTTCAAATCCTACCAGAACTAACATGACAACTAGGCAGGATGAAATTGCCATCCTTGTGTATTATTAGCTACATAGGGAATGATATCTATTCTGCTGCAGATGTTGTACATTAACATCCGACAGTAAATATCGCCATGGACTCCTCCCACGGGCATATCCGCATGATAATATTGTCATATGTCTAATCACACAACCTTAACACAAAAATATCCAATGGATTCCCGAAAAAGAAAAGTAGCAGTGCAAGAAAAGATAGCGCGCAGTCGCCTCTCCGAGAACCGAAGTCCGTATTGCGTATGAAGCTTAACCCTTCCGTCGATCCCTGATTAAATACTGTGTCTCCCGGGCAGGCAGAAATCTTTTATATCCCAGGACTGGTCAAGGTCCAGTCATCACGATCTCGGGATCTTTCACCGTCCAAGGCACCGTTGCGATGGGGCAGAGTGCTCCCTTCCCTCCGTTTGTCTTCAAGCGACCTTCAGGGCCGAGCGTCCACACACCTTCCAACGGACAACGTCTATTCACCCGCTCAAGGTTACTGCTCAAACAATTTCGGACCAAAGTATGATGCTATCTGTCATATCATCGAGTTCAAGATTTTGACGTCACCCAAGACATTCCTCCTCCTCGTCACCAGAATAACTAGACTCACCACCAGACAGCATGAATAAATGCGAAGCCCCATGACACACCAGACACACCAGACACACCACTCACGCCATAACTTCCGCCAAAACATATTTCACCAACTGCCCCACGATGCAATCCCCGCTCATCACCGCACTCCTAGCGGCCCTCGCCACCCACATGGCCCTTGCTACGCCAATGCCGACCATAGGCACAGACACAAGCACAGACCCACCCCGAGACGTGGCCAGATCCGAGCAGGACGCGGCAGCAGCCCGGGCCGGGCTCGGGCTCTCCCCGCGATGGTGCAACGCCGTAGGGGCGACCTGCAAGCACGATCACGACTGCTGGTTGGAAGGCTGCACCGGCTGCAAGAACGGACTCTGCCATGGCGACACTTTTTGGGAGCTGGAGGAGGAGGCGACTGGGTATTTGTATAGTTATGCCAAGACACACGAGGCCTGACGGTCACAGCATGGAGGACCGCCTGCTTCAAAAGTGTCTATTCAAAAAAGTGTGATGCGGCAGTGAGTCCAGTTCGAAAGGGGTTTTATGGCACTATGGTCGGATCACGATGAGCTTCGGGGGAGTTCAACGTTGTGTCAGATATGAACATAGAGTTTTTTGGGCCGGCATTATGAGCTGAATATCACCTATGTCTGTACCAGTTATTATGTTCAGATACTGTATCAGACTATTATATTCGCATATTCCTATGGTGTGGTTTAATTCCACGAAACCTCGATGGAGGGCCTCGCCCAATCTCGGCAACCCATACTGCCGTCAAGTTTTTCACTCTGACGTCTAGAACACACCGGTTTAAAAGTGCAGTGGCATAAGACGCCGATAACCAAGCATTTGCCTACCTCCTGAAAGTCATCCCACTCGTGGCGGGCTACAGTTCGTCATTCGAGGTAACATTAGGGTAAGGGTTCCTGTCCCAGTCGATCGGATCTCCGCCAGGCACACACAAGCCCAGTCTCCAGAAGTAATCGCGGTGTGCAAACAGCAGCTCCCAGAGCTTATATCGCGTAGGGATATCCCACATACCGCGGGCGGTGATGCTTGCTTCCTCTTCAGCACGAATCGCGCGTCTAGCGTGACGAGTAACCCTGGCGTTCTCTCCAGTCGATCCCCCGATACACTCCGGGTCATAGTCTCCAATACAGGGCCGAACATCCCACGGCTCGGGAGGCAGATCGGATTTCGATATGAAGAACTCGCCAGCGTGCGACCTGTAGCCCCATTCTGAAAGTGGAAGCAGCGGAACTGGATCGTCGACGTGAGTGACTCGTCGATAGGCTCGCTCGTCAGTCGGCCTCGTTTGGTTGTTCAACTCGAAGACGGTCTCGAGATATTCCACGAACCCGTCGTTTCCGACTCTGGGCTCTCCAAAAGTTGTCACCACGACTTTGCCCCATCCAAAAATGACTTTAAGCTCCAAAGAGGCTAGAGCAGATACGGCGCCCCCAAGGCTATGCCCGACCAGATGAATCGGATAGTCAGGATATTGCTTATGCAAGGGCTTCAGGGCGGCAAGCACCTCCTTCCTCGCAATCTGCCATGATGCCAAGAAGCCCATATGTACCGTACAGTTCTGACATCTGTGCTCTGGCTCATTGGGCGGTTCGTCCCCACCATCGTCAGGCGAAGGATATGGCACGTATTCTTGCGGCACGGTGCTCAGGTCGACGACCGTATTTGTTATGCTATACGTCCCGCGGAAAGCAACAATGATAGCACCTTCATCCTTGCCATAGGTGCCTATATCTCCGCCTTCATGGGAAGTCGATTCCAACCCTGAAGTCGTACCATGGTCCACAGCGATGTAGCCGCAGCTATCGCTCATCAAGACGCCAGTATTCCATGTTGTGACGAGCTCCAGCGATGGAAAGTCTTTGCATCGTGACACGCATGAGAACGGTTGACTGATGCCGGTCGTGCCAACGCAGTATGTGATGTCGACTAGACGAGAGAGGCGCTCGAGGGATGCGAAGAGACGTATTGAGATGCCGCCTCCGGTGTTCGAGACGTCGCCATGCTGAAACGGATGCTGCTCCGCGTCGGAGGAGGTAAGTGCGAGAACGATCGCCAAAGATAATAGTAGGAAGATGTGTGTCGCAGACAGCATTGCGCAGAATCGAAGTCAAATGTAGGTTGTCTAGGTTGTCGAGGATCGTGATGATGATGATGATGTCGTCGTCAAGGCTCGATATCAGTGTGAGGGCCAAGAACCCTCATATTCTGGGCAGGTCACGCCCCAGGGAAGGTGGCAGGCAAGTACGTGTATCAGGTTGAGTAGGAAGACAGGTTTGAAGCGGCACAATAGACGCGGCTCCTGCAATCTGATCATGGCGTCAGTAATGCTCGATCGCGCAGGTCGTGCGATTCTTTTAGGAGTTGGAAGGGAAGGTTCCAAAAGAGCTCACATGTTAGCTGAGAGGTTTCGTGGCTGGCCGGGGGTTCCCCAGATCCATGACGCCCGCGAAAGGCTGGGGCTGAGGCCGGGCCTGGGCCCTGGGGTCACCTGGGCAGGGCACTAGAGAAAACGCGGACATGGCGGGGTACATGCCCTACATTCTGGATGTCTGAATCGGGCAGGCTTTCCAGCGCCACCACCCAATCAGATACATCTTTCCAGATACCTATACCTGATCAGATTTCCCCAGTTCCAGGATGGGCTGCTACTGTAGGCGCCATGTCATGCATGGAGGATGGCTCTAAACTTGAGACTATCTCGCAGTTCATGTTGCACTAGTTAACGACCTTCAAGAGAGTGTTAGAGCCTCAAGTCTGATCACAGCAAATCACTGCATCGCTCGTGAGTCAAGTCTGTTGCATGTTCTGAGGTAGTAGACATTATCAGCTAGTCGAGTGGTCAGTCCATCCAGGCACTTGAGAGCATTATCAATATCCCATTCTTCCCTCCGTCACTCCTCCTGTGGTGACCATCCAACATGCTAGATGCTGTTTCTCAGGGCACCTAGTCGTGTTCGTCGAATCTTTCGAGATCCCGACGATGGGGGCGCTGGCTCGAAGCTGTCGAAATCACCGATCATGGGTGAATCTTCACTCAGGCAGGTTGTTCCCGAGTAGGTGTCGGTGCATTTGAGCTCGGGCTTGACGAGACCGGAAGCCTCAAATGCGGGCGAGCTGCACTTTCCAGTCAGTCCCATTGTAACAGACCTCACAGACCCGAACGGTGATACTCACTTTCCAGGGCACGCCTCCTCGATAACCGTCAAGCCAGCAATGCCGGTTGTCTGGTAGATGAAGAAGACATGAGGATTCTCGCAGGGGTATCTGTTGCCACCCGAACCGGTGACCTTGCTGGTAGAGTTCTTCCGGCACATGGTGTAGAGGTCGGTGTCGGCGTCGACATACTGGAACTCGAGTGTGTTCTTGCTGGCGTCCGTCTTGTCCGTGTAGATCTCGAAGGAGGAAACGGCGAAGTCTGCGGGCATGGTGCAGTTGCTGGCGGCAGCCTTGAAGGTCGTGGGAACGGCGTAGTGCAGAGCCTTGGTCGTTGCGGCGCTCGCGGCTGCAGCCATCAGGCTGAGCAGAATGATGCTTGACTGCATTATGGCGAGGTGGGAGAAAGTAGAGATGGTGAACGAAAGTGGGTAGTTGGACGAAGATACACACGGGGGTGGGCGATACAACAGGAACTTGGATGTAGTGAGTGAGTGAGTGTGTGTGGAAAAGTATCGGGGAGGACACGTCGTCACGGCAGAAAGGACGCAGAGGTGGCAACCGTTAGTAGTAATAAAACAAGTGGCAGAGTGGCAGAGTGGCAGAGTGGATGGATAGCACCTGCAGGATGAGCAAACAAGATCGACATACAACTACGTCTATTATATCACATCGCAACTTCCCGGTTCTGGCATGTCTGGCTATGTTTGGTTGGCCCCTTCCGCCCCTCAGCCCCTCTGACCCTGCCGCCCCTCTTTCATTCCCTCGTTCCCTTCGTTTGTGAGGTTTGCCCGTTGCAGCGGTGCAGCCTGTGCAGGTGCAGGTGCCTGCACTACGGGATTGCAATCGGCGCTTCCGCTGCCATCCTACCCACCAAGCCCCTGCCAAGACATGCCGCTTGCTAGCAGGTGCTGGTCATCGTTTTAGATCTCATCATCTCGAGGCGATCACCCGGAGTCCATTCGCCCAAAGCAGGACTCCCAGTGTCCCACCCACAACAACATGAAGGTAACCTTCTCTATGCAAAACCATCTAATTGACCATTGGCTATTTTGCGTCGTGCCGCTGAGATGACGATGGCGATGACGATGACGATGAGCTGGCCTTGGCCGGTCTGCGTTGGTCAATTAATGGCCATGCAGGGCCGCAGGGCAGTTGTATCGGTACGTACCTGGGTAACCCCTGCAGGAACATTCTTGGGCGATGTTTCAACTTTCTTGGCCGTTTCCTTCCATTCCTTCGGGCAAGATCTCAGTGGAGCCCGTCCCTATTCTTGGACCTCACCTTCACCGGCGCCCCGATCTGACTACCGGCGCGGTCAAACGGCGCTTCCACTGTCACCTGTGCCGTGTTTTCTATTTAGGTGCCATCTAGTCCCGTCTCAAGCAAAAAGTGGTGGGACTGGCGCCGGTCCTGTAATAGCTGTGACTTCAGCAATGTTTGGCATCATCATACTGTAGGCGGTCCATTCAGGGGAACCAACTGGTAGTATAATCGAGTTGTTTGTTCCGCCCGTCCGCTGATGAGGTATGTACCCGCAGGATCCAAGTCTCCGGAATATGTATAAACGATGTGTCTCACCACCGTTCTCGACTAGGCGAATCTCAACCACATCGATGCTCAGATACGAAAGATTGTACGACTCTGTACGACAAGAGCAATGCCCGATGTCCGTGTTGAGTATACTGTGGAACTACACACCTGCCCGTTATCGTCCATGTTCTCTTCAGATATCAAGGTTCGTACACGACCAAAAAGGTCATAGGTCCTGAAGAGTCTTCGTACCGGTATCTCACAGGCACTTGATCGTTTGCCCCGAACCTCTGGTCACTCACGTAGCACATTTATGACGATTAGGTAAGTTCACGAGGACGATACAAACATACTACTACAGCAAACCATGGCTAGGCCGGGTAATATCTGTGTCACAGACAGGGACGATCAGCAGCACGCAACGGAGCACAAAATCGCAGTCATACCGCAGCAGCTCCAAGTCACGCACCGGCTTCGCGAGTACAGGACACACACGAGAACCTGGCAGTCCGGAACCGAACCTGCACGAGACCAAGCGCCGGCCGCCTCTCCTGCTTTTCCACCTCGTCGAGCTGATCCACATGGGCAAGCAAATTCACCGAGTCTGCACACAGCCTGGGCCAGGTGTAGCCCACAGGCGACACGTGCGTGGTTGACTCCGTGTCTGCATGCTCAAGAAGCTTCGGCTCGTAAGACGAGTAAAAACGAGTAATACACATGTACTCCCCGCCATGCCGAGGATGACTTGGCAATTGTCGACAGATCATCGGCCACGAGGAATGCCTCTGTCGCGAGCTGCGCCGCCTGCTGCAGCCAGTCGTCCAGGCATGTGACTGCGTTCTGCTGGGACAGTGTCGTCGTCTGGCGTAGTCGGCATACGTGGCGTTGAAGACGCGTATGAGGTTGCTCAGCCAGTTTGTGAAGCCCCGGTGATCGACCTGTGGGAAGTACTGTGCGCCTAGCAGAACAGCCCCCTTCAGCACTGTTTGGGAACGACACCTAGTGTGCTCTGGAAGATCGTTTCTTTGCAGTCTAGATAATCCACGAAGAAGGGTAACGCGGTGGACCACACTTCCAGGAGCTGGCGGTACTCGGCACGCGACATGTCCTGTGGTACGGCGTGGGACAGCTGACAGATTTCGGCGAGGGCACCGGCCTTGACAGCGTCTCCAGACGCTTCCACGGTGGGCACCGAATCTGTACCGTTATCATGACGTTGGAGTGAAGGCATGCGCACTTCCTCCGCATTCATGTCTGCGAAGAACCCTCCCTCGTATCGATCGTCGCGAACAATGTCACTCCACAAACTCCTAGACTTGTGTCCACGGTCGCTGGAATAGCCGCAGCTAAACAGCGTCTCTGGGTCTTCTCTTTGGGAGGGCGGAAGAACATGGTCGACTTACTCATTTCTGATTGTGTTGCGTGTCTGAAAAGACGATGGCACATACCTGCTGGTAGTGACGAATCACTCGTCAGGCGCGATACCGATACCGTTGAGCAGCGCTACACGAATGTGTACGAATAGCGTATAATGTTAATTAGGCTCGACTCCTTTCACCGTTGGCCAATGCGGTGGTTTGACATGTATACATCCATCTGATACTATATGGAATATACCAACATTGGTTGATCTCATACGTCCCCGCCAGGGCAGGTAGCTTCGTTCTCAAGGTATACTATTCGATGTTCCTTGACCAACAAGGTTAGCGTTTGCTGCTGGAGGCTGCCATGGGGAGCAGCACAAGTGAACATCCGTAGCTCAGCCATTGTGGACGATTTCCGTTTTCGTGACGATTCTCAGTCCCTCTATGCGCCAGAAGCCCGGCTTCCAGCTTGCGAAATACCATCGCCCAACATGCTCCGCTGCGCGCAGTCAGTATTGCCTGCTAGTGAAGCAAAGATGGGTTGAATAGGGGTTATTGTTTGTCGGTCTAAGACTAGCAAGTGGTATGATCCATTCGGTCCTATTCTTTCCTTTCAGGAGCAACCCATGTGATCGTCATTGAGCAAGAGGCTGTCCTCCCGCGGGTTAGATGTAGTATGGGTTGACTACTGGATAGGAGACGATGTTTTTGCGTCTCGCACAGGGTAGGGTGGTCGCAGCCTGGAAGAACCACGGGGTCAGAAAGATGTGGGAAAGTTAGCTAAGTTTGGAACGGTGAGTTGCTATTCTGTCGTAGCAACTTGGAAGTGGTTGTGTATTCATCAGTGTGGTGGTCCTCTTTAATATTCAAGATTGGTTTTACATCGACGTCCGTAGTTCATGTTCCACCTGGATCACTCTGGCGTTTTCGGTCTCGAGCTGCGTTCTTCCTAACTTGCTCCTGATATTCCTCTCAGTGCCGGGTAGAGATTCATACGAATCACGGCGCTGCGTTGCAAATCGTCCTCCGGCCAATTCTTGTACACCCGGCCCACAAGCGCACGAGACATGTGCGGGTACGGACTCTCGCCCAGGGCCTTGGACGTGACACGGAAGAGTTGCTGGTCACCGAACCAAGCCTTCGTATCCTTTAGCAGCTCGTTCTTCCCAAACGACACCTTCATCCCCTTCCGGCTGCGTTCTTGGAAGACTTCCCAGGACCGCACCAGGCCAAAGGCGTGTTGCCGCAAGGATGTGGCCACGTCTTGTTTGAGCTCTTCAGCGAGCCACTGGCACTTCCGCGCTTCGTCCAATATGTGTACGATCATAATGTTGGGGACACTGCTTGCATTCTCGTCGTCCGTATGCTCACGGAGAGACTCTCGAATCTGGTCCCACATTTTACTGCAGCTTTCGGCAAAAGAATACCAGTCGAAATAGAGATCAGAACTTTCGGTCATGATGTAGAATGTCAGGTTGCCCAAGATGGCAGTCATCGGGCGGTCAGGCTTGAACCAAGGCTTGCTGAGTTCTGCCTCGTCCTTTGGCGACAGACCGGCCTGTCGAGCTTTTTGGGCAACCGTTTTCGGGTCGCTTATGACTCCGACAAGGTTCAGGATCATATCATCAGTCATGAATTCACCTCCACTCATCCAAAACGCGAAGATGGCATCAAGCATACAAGGATTGGATACCGGACGTGCCTTTTCGCTGTTAAGTTCCGGATCTGCATTCCGCCGATTCCGCGCGAAGCTACTCGCGGTCACACCGGAGGCCAGCAGCAACTTCTTGTACGCTTCTTCCATGGAGCCTGGCAGTCCACCCAAGAATAAGTTGTCCAGATCCTGGAATTGTAAGAAGTGTCCCTGTGCCGCACTAAGAGTCAGCAACTACCCTATAGTGGTTTGTTCGAGACGGTTATAGGACCAGGCAATGGGCTCGAAAGGCGGAACAACCATTGCGATACCCGATTCAAGTATATCAACCATACTGAATGAAGCACTGAGCAATGTTAGAGCCCCCTGAAATGTCGGAGACGGAGTCGTCTTATCCCGCCACGCTGATTATCCTAGGATCGAATGCACGCGGATGGCAGGCTAAAATACTTACCATGTCAGGCCAGACAGGATCGTTCGGGTATAGCGAGCGACAGGCGACGTAGAGATGCACCATGGCGGTAAGGCCTCGCTAGCCGTACTCGAAGCTGACAGCATTGTTATGTGACTGCAAATACACGCCATACTTTATTTAGCATGCCACACTTGACGGGGTTGATACGAAGGAAGTAGTCCGGCTCAGTCATGAAACTTGGCAAGTCGGGCATGTTCCTCGTATTCAAAGCCCTGCCAGCGTATTCAAAGCCCTGCCAGATGTATGTCTCGCAACGGCGAAACTCTTCCGAAAATTGTCCCCAAGAACATCGAGTTCGTAGGCGCCCAGGACGCCGGTCAGCCATTCTGTCTTCTGGGAACTACCGAGAACGGCTGCTGATCGAGTTTCTTGCTTCTGAACTCCGAAATTTTGGTACGAGTGTGCCGCTGAACCTCTTTTAGTGCTTTTTGAGGCACCGTTTGGAGCTCGTCCTGGATATCAAGGAGCATCTCCATTCCGAAGGCGGTCCAAACGGGGATGCTTCTAGTCTTGAACATGGCACCGATTCCCGAGGTGATTCCATCACTAGCGAATGACTGTGCCATGCCCTGCGAGATGCTCTGTAAACATGGCAGCATACTTTTGATGCGGCGGAACGTCTCTGGGACGTTAGGATCGCCGACGTACTCCGCTTCTCCCAACAACAAATATTGACTGCCTCTGGCTTCGCCTCCCACAGAGAGTGCTTGAGAGCCGTGAAGGTCTCCCATAAGCAGAGTTCCGAGTGGCTACAGCCAAGTGAAGCAACCCCTGGTGACGGCTCCAGAAAACTCCTCAGGTCCACGTTGTTTTGGATCATGCTGGACTGGTGGTTCTCGTATATGAATATGCCCGGGAAATTCCAAGCAGGGTATGCCGAAGAGGGGTATTTCTTAGGCCGTTCGATTGGCAAGCCCAGCTCATGCTCGGCTCGCCGAACGAGCTGAATGGCGGTGTTCGTGATCAGCGAGCAGAAGATGAGTTCTGTCCTGCCCTCTCTGTACCCACTCCAACCCTGCCGGACCATAGATCGTACGTCATCTACTTCCTGCAAGAATGTGAAGATGGGAAAGAAGAAATCTTCCTCAATATCTTCCTCGCTCTTGATCAGGGTAACGGGGACTAAGTCTGTCAGCTTGTAGTCGTTCTCATCTTGCTCGACGGGGCTGCTCGGCTCAATCTCCGGTCCTTGGTCTGAAGAATGCTCGACCTGGAGGCCGGAGAAGCGGTTGACTAGCTTGATCAATGGGTCTGGTTCTTCCGATCTTGAAGCCGCATGAGTTTGCCTCTTGACATGGGAAGTACGAGCTTCCTTGAATGGGCGTAAGATCTCTCAGGCGGCGGTGAGAACATTGGTGAAGTGTGCATGGCATTGATTGCTTCCAAAGCTGTCATGGGCGTGATCTTCATACCACTGGGTACACCTCCTTCGGGCTTCGATGGCACGACTGAAGACGTTATCCAGTGCTCTAGGTATGGTCACCTTGGGCTTGAAGTCGGCGATGGCCTTCGCCATGCGGCTGAAATCGGAGACACTGATGGCATATTTTGGCCAGTGGTCGTTGACTTGGCTGTGGCTTGCTTTGGACGTCTCGCGAGCCTGCTTTCTGGCCTTTCCCTTCAACCTTGTGCTTGGGGTTGGACTCGCAGAGGCAGACGAGGCAGGTTCGGCAACAATGTAACCACATTTCAGCGAGTTCAGAGCCAGCCACCCAGCGATGGACTCGGTGTCCTCCTTGTACTGTCTGTAGGTGGCAGCGTGATCAGCGGCAAGTGAATCCATCGTTGGTAGGTGAACAGTCTGTAAGAGCACCACATGTTAGCCTAGGAATATGGTTGCTTTCTTATACCACTAGCAATGAAAAGGCAACCACCTACATGTACTCAGGCAACCTTCAACACGTATCTTGGGAGGGTGTACGTGAGAGAAAAGAACAGAAACTTGGTCATCGGTGAATCACTTCACCCCGGGGACTTTTGTGGACTTCATGCTGGGGCAAGAATCACGGCCACCTATCACCGCCGCCCCGCTCACTGGAGCCGGAGCTTGGGAAACACCTCGCCATTATTGGGTACTGAGAATCACCAAGTGTGATGAAGATACGACTTTAAGTAGCAAGATACAGGGGCAACACTGAACTGTCCTTGTTCTGAAATACCTAACGTTGATGTATGCAGGTTGGTGGGCATTAAAGCTCGAAACCTAACTGATGACTGTGGCGGGGTATCGTGCACACACTTAAAGAGACCCCTATAACCCCGCCTCGCCCGCCCTTGCACCCCCGACCCCGCGACAGCTCCAGGTCTCACGCTGGGACGCGTCTTCGCATTGCAGGCTGAAGCCTCCATCTTCCATCTTCCATCTTCCTCGCCCACAAACCAACCACCTCCTGGTCTGCAAGTCGACACACCTCTTCTCAGATAATGACCTGATCCTTTCCACCTGCAATGGGCCTTCCATTAAGAATGGACAACATCCACGCACCAACTGTCCCCGCGGGACCCTCGTCTGGCCGCGTCACGAACGGCAATGCGAAACAGCTCTCCTTTGCTGAGCTGCAACTCAAGAAGGAAAACATGGAGGCCGAGCTGAAGGCTCTGGGCAGTGTTCTGGATTCGGTTGGCTACCAAGGACCTACGTGTTTCCGTCTTCTTTGCTGATCACGTCGAATAGCACGGTGCCAATATGGAAACTCCTCTTACCACAACTGATGGATTCCCCAGGGCAGACATCGACGTTCCCCAGAGTATGAGACCCAGCTGGTATGGTACCGTAACCTGGACTGACAGTTTTGATAGTCCGTACGACGCGAGCGCGGATAATCCACCTCAAGAATGACTACAAAGACATTATGAACGCTATCGAGAAGCACCTCCACGAGCACTTTGCGAGCCTACAAGATACCGACGACGTTGTGCCTACCTCCACAACCCATGCTGGTATGATGGGTGATTACATCCCCCAGACTCTGGACGAGCCCTTTGCAAAAGTCAACAGTGTTGTCACGGACAGCCCAGCCGACACAGCAGGCATGAAGGCCGGTGACGAGATCCGGAGTTTCGGATACGTCAACAAGAGGAATCATGACGGCCTCAAGAAGGTGGCTGAGTGCGTTCAGGGAAACGAAGGGGTAAGTCCAGGTCCCGGCATCTACAAACGTGGGAGCATTGGCGGGAATTGGTATGGTCCCACTTTGAATCCACACCACTGACCTTGTAACTGTTAGCAACGGATTCTCGTCAAAGTATCTCGTCGAACCGAATCAAGTACGAGCCAGGAGTTGCAGCTCAACCTAATACCGAGACGCGATTGGGGTGGTCGCGGTCTTCTGGGCTGCCACATCTTGCCACTGTAGGGTGCAGTGATGAATGGGTGGCCCGACGTGGCGAGATGACACCTCCGAGACAGCCTGAACATTAGGGCCAGTATCGTACTCCCTTTCCTGTGTTGTGCCTGGCGTATCCAGAGCACGGCCCAATAACAACGATTGATCAATGGAACCACGAGGCACCGGTCGAGCATCGACTGCGTCCCAATCTGGGCTGCCATAATAATACTGATCTCCACGTACCCTTGGCTGCCCATAGGTGAGGCTGAAGAGCCCATACATGTGCCCTTGAGTCGCTTTGCTCTGGAAGACGATGCACTACCACCAGCCACGTATAAACAACCCATGGCCAGACTGCTCCTGAGAAAACACCACAGGCTTGTGTCAAACTCGATGGAAAAAGCCAGAGATAGGTGGAAGCAATCGGATGATCCAGATAACAAATAGTGGTGCCAACTGCTTGAACATGCCCTCAAATAGCAAAGGCATCGGGCACTACCAGCGTCTTACCTTAAATCAGCAAGAGACAGCCTAGAATGGACAATAGAAGATGAAACAATGACCACCAAATACTAGAAAATGCTGCACGTGAACGTTGAGTGCGTCCCCGTCCCAAATACAAGTAGAAAGGGGAAGTACTCCTGCCGGATGCAACCTTGGAATCGTCACTGCTCGTTCATTCCTGCTACCGGTACACCTGCACCGGACCTCCCAGCTGCACACAATCGATTGTCGGGCCGTCACGTGCTGCCCCGCAACCGACCGACGCCCAATTTCTTTGACAGCCCAAGCCCCAAGTAAGGCTTTAGGTCTGCACCCAAATTCCCGCCCCTCCAGGCCCTCCAAACTCTTCCACCCAAAGGCATCGGTGAACCACCAAGAACTTCGCGAAACAACTTACTCCCGACGATCACCCACCATCCAGGTACGCCCTCTCCCATATAAACCCCAGCTTCCTGCGCCGGCTACCTCACCACGCTCTACTCCATACTTCCTCCTTACTCCTCGGCCGGACATCTATCTCTCTGCGCATTCGAGCTCTTACCCCATACTGACGTAGAGACTAGTCTCCATTCCGTGTTTATCTCCCAACAACACCCGAACCATCATCCACAATGGCCGCCGAGGCTCCCCCTACCTTCAAGCTCGTCCTTGTCGGCGATGGCGGTACTGGAAAGGTATGTCATATCATCCCGCCTCCTCGCACTTCCCGCGATGCATGCGCAGGCTGTATTGTCACCACCGCAGGCGGTTTGCCCCTCCTCTGGTCCCAAGACACAACCATGCTCTTGATGATGATGCATGCGCTGACTGTGATATCCAGACCACCTTCGTCAAGCGCCACTTGACTGGTGAATTCGAGAAGAAGTACATGGCCACTCTCGGTGTCGAAGTCCATCCCCTTGCCTTCACGACCGTAAGTACCACAGGCGACACACGCAACCGCCCTCTCTACTCCCATCACCCGGGGAATGCCCGCTGACCGTCGACAGAACTTCGGTCAACTCATCTTCGATGTCTGGGATACCGCTGGTCAGGAGAAGTTCGGTGGTCTCCGTGACGGGTACTACATCAACGGCCAGTGCGGTATCATCATGTTCGATGTCACCTCCCGCATTACCTACAAGAATGTCCCGAACTGGCACCGTAAGTAGCGTGGAAACACCTGCCTCCCGGTTACATCCTCTAACAAATTTCCTTAAGGTGACCTGGTCCGCGTCTGCGAGAACATCCCCATCGTCCTGTGCGGTAACAAGGTTGATGTGAAGGAACGCAAGGTCAAGGCCAAGACCATTACTTTCCACCGCAAGAAGAACCTCCAGTACTACGATATCTCGGCCAAGTCCAACTACAACTTCGAGAAGCCGTTCCTGTGGCTTGCCCGCAAGCTTGTCGGCAACCCTGGCTTGGTGAGTTACCAATCAATTACTGATCGGCATGTAAAAAGCTAACCATTTTAGGACTTCGTCGCTGCCCCTGCTCTTGCTCCCCCCACCGCCCAAGTCGATGAGGCTCTGCTCGAGGAGTACCGCAAGGAGATGGAGACCGCGGCCACCATGCCCCTGCCTGGCGAGGATGACGATGATGACTTGTAAGCGGGTCATGACGACAGACGGACTGCACGGACGAAGTGAGCAAAACGACTGTGCTCGGCTAAGAAGCGTTGCCACTCATGCTGGCAGGAGCAGGAGTTGCTGGCATACATGGATATGATGGGTCATGATAATGCTTTGACTTGGGCAAGGATCAAGAGCTACGTAGTGTGGGCAGGTGCGAACAGTCGCGTGGGTCCTGGGCTGTGGTCGACAGACGGACCTTTGATGGCGGCTGATTTCCCAATGCATCGCTGCTTTTACAACCACTAGATAGTTCCCGCGATAGACACCATTACGGGAGAAGAAACAGCGTTTTCTCCTGAATACATGCTTGTGCAGTACCCAATATATGAACCCTTCCAGACTAAAAGGCTACACGCCCTGAGCTGAGGCGACATCCATGCTGTAATCAAATTACTTAGAAGCACGGCTTCCCCCTGACTTAGTTCAAGAAGCCGAGGCTTATGCTCACGAGCCGTTTACGTATGAGTCCAGAATGACTCTAACGAGAGCATATTGGTACAGTTTATTTTGGACAGTTAGCATAGTCGCCGGTCTATGCATTGTCTCTGTAGATTTTAGCAAGGCTTGATCACCTTGATGTATGACGAGTCTTAGGTACTGACTCGACGCACGACTCGGAACCGATATAAGGTAAGCGTATCAGGTAGTGATGAGTGTGAAATCCTGACAAGTCAAGGGATTCTGCATGACAAGAGCTACATGTCGCTTCGCATCTAGCTACTCTGGCCATCACATCCAGACGAGTATAGGATACATGCTCGCATGTCCCGTCAGGCCCAGCCAGCGAGCTGCCAACACTCCTGGTTCAAGATAAGTTGGATATGCCGTCAACCAAATGGTAGAGATGAGGCTGACGGTCGTTCCCGTGTCTGAACGGTGAACCCCCCTCGCCCCGATCTCATGAGTAAGTCAAGGACTCTAGCCCACAGCAGCCTTGCAGTCCATGATGCACGAAATAGCAGCTGTCCAATTAGAATGTGGTCGAGGCGTCGGAACCGGCAGACTGGCCAGGTATAGGGGTCTTGATTGTGGAAGCTCGATTTGTCAGAGCGCTTTCCAGGTTGTATTGGGCGATGGTGCACCGCACAGGGCATCTGCAGGAATACCTAGGAGGTACATGCAAGCAGAGAACACGTATTGAAAAATAGCGCCCCCACCTCGTGCCCTGAATGCCCTGAATGCGCCGGGTACCCCAACCTGGAAGTCGGAAAGTCCCTGCCAACTGCAATCCGCGTGCCGCTTTCCACGCATCCCGGCATCCATCCACCCACCATCCTGCCAGCCGCCAGCCTGCGAGCCTGCTAGCATCTTCTTGACTTCGAACCCATTCTTTCTTTGGCCACCTGCACTCCAGCAGTTCGCGGTTAGTGTCTCTGTCTCACGTAGAAAGACATGTGGCATCTTTGAGGAATCGCATTGCCCTCCTCCCACCGGCCGTCCATATTACCAGCCTCTTTATCCCTTCCACCTCTCCTACTGCTTGGTCTTTGACAATTTCGTCTCTACCCACCCACCGTCCTCGTTAACGGTTCACATCGTGCTAAGGCCACACCCCAACACAGGTAGCTAGCTGACAGCAACAATGGAGAGCGCCTTCGCGAAGCCTACACAAGCTGTCCTCGCCAACTTTGGCGTCGACGCAAAAGACGGCCTCAGTTACGAGCAGGTTGTCGAGCTGAGGAGCAAGCATGGAAAGAATGGTACGTTGCGCCCTGTAGCTGTGAGGGTGAGAGGGTGCGCAACTGAGGCTAACTGCTACTGCTACTCCAGCCATTCCCGATGAACCACCAACTCCCCTGTGGGAGCTCATACTCGAACAATTCAAGGATCAACTCGTTATAATCCTGCTGGGTTCTGCTGCCGTGTCCTTTGTCCTGGCTCTTTTCGAGGATGAAGGCGGCTGGGGCGCATTCGTCGATCCCCTCGTTGTAAGCCTCCCTCGTCAACGCATCTCTTGCGCCGGGCATAAGCTAACCTTGATGGCCACCAGATCTTGACTATTCTCATTCTCAATGCCGTCGTTGGTGTTTCCCAAGAAAGCAGCGCCGAGAAGGCCATCGCCGCCCTCCAAGAGTACTCGGCCAACGTTGCTAGCGTTATCAGAAACAATGGACACATCACGCGCGTCAAGGCTGAAGAGCTGGTACCGGGAGACATTGTCTCAGTGTCTGTGGGCGACCGAATCCCCGCCGACTGCAGAGTCATTTCGATCGAGAGCAACAGCTTTGCAGTCGACCAGGCCATCCTAACGGGAGAGAGTGAAAGTGTTGGCAAGGACGGCGAAAAGGTCGTCAGTGACGAAAAGGCAGTGCTTCAGGATCAGACCAACATGCTCTTCTCCGGAACAACCGTTGTGACTGGCCGGGCCAAAGCCATAGTCGTTTTGACGGGACCGAACACTGCGATCGGCGATATTCATGAGAGCATCACCGCTCAGATTTCGGAGCCCACTCCTCTAAAGCAGAAGCTCAACGACTTCGGCGACACCTTGGCCAAGGTTATCACGGTCATATGCATTGCCGTCTGGCTTATCAACATTCCCAATTTTGCCGACCCAAGCCACGGAAACTGGACCAAGGGTGCCATTTACTACCTGAAGATTGCCGTGTCCCTTGGCGTCGCGGCCATTCCTGAAGGCCTGGCCGTCGTCATTACGACATGTCTGGCACTGGGTACCCGCAAGATGGCTGCCAAGAACGCTGTGGTTCGAAGCCTGCCCTCTGTGGAGACTCTGGGAAGCTGCAGTGTCATCTGCTCAGACAAGACCGGTACTCTGACCACCAACCAGATGAGTGTCAGCAAGGTCGTTCATATCAGTGAAAATGGCCAGGACCTGGAGGAGCTCGATGTGCAGGGAACTACCTTTGCCCCAAAGGGTGATATCTCACGTAATGGCAAGGTAGTGCGAGACCTCGCCCAGAGCTCCGCGACGATTTGCCAGATGAATGAGGTGGCTGCGCTTTGCAACGATGCCCGGCTGATGTACGATGCTCGATCGGGAGCCTTCTCCAACGTAGGAGAACCTACTGAAGGTGCCCTGAGAGTCTTGGCCGAGAAGATCGGACCCTGTGCACCTGCGAACTCGAACCCCGAAGACTGCGTCCACCACGCCAGCGCCTGGTACGAACAGAAGTTCCCCCGTCTTGCGACGTTCGAGTTTTCCCGAGACCGCAAGAGCATGTCGGTGGTTGTTCAGGCTGGTCAACAGAAGAAGCTTCTTGTCAAAGGTGCTCCCGAGTCCATCATTGAGCGATGCACGCACACCCTGGTTGGCGCCAATGGCAAACGGGTTCCTATCGACAAGAAACTCTACGATCTGCTTATGAAGGAGGTAACTGATTACGGCAACCGTGGACTTCGTGTTATTGCTCTTGCGAGTGTCGATGATATCGGATCCAACCCCTTGATCCAAAACGCCAAGTCGACCGCTCACTATGCCCAGTTAGAGCAAAACCTTACGCTCCTTGGTCTTGTTGGCATGCTGGATCCCCCTCGCCCCGAGGTCTCTGGCGCAATCAAGAAGTGCAAGAATGCTGGAATCAGGGTCATCGTCATCACCGGTGATAACCGCAACACCGCAGAGAGCATTTGCCGAAAGATTGGAGTTTTCGGAGAATATGAAGACCTCAAGGGCAAGAGTTTCACTGGCAGAGAGTTTGACAATCTGAGTTCCAGCGAGCAGCACGAGGCCGCAAAGCATGCATCTCTCTTCTCCCGCGTTGAACCCAGCCACAAGTCGAAGCTCGTCGATCTCCTCCAGTCCTTGAACGAAGTGGTCGCGATGACTGGAGATGGAGTCAATGACGCCCCTGCTCTCAAGAAGGCTGATATCGGTGTCGCAATGGGCTCCGGCACCGACGTCTCGAAAATGGCTGCCGACATGGTTCTCGCTGACGACAACTTTGCTACCATCGAGTCCGCCATCGAGGAAGGCCGATCCATCTACAACAACACGCAGCAGTTCATCCGCTACCTCATCTCTTCGAACATTGGTGAAGTGGTCTCGATCTTCCTCACAGCTGCCCTTGGCATGCCAGAGGCCCTCATTCCCGTCCAACTTCTATGGGTCAACCTCGTCACCGACGGTCTGCCTGCAACAGCTTTGTCTTTCAACCCACCGGACCATGATATCATGAAGAGGCAGCCACGGAAGCGCAACGAAGCGCTCATTGGTGGTTGGCTGTTCTTCCGATACATGGTCATTGGTATCTATGTTGGTCTAGCTACTGTTGCTGGCTATGCATGGTGGTTCATGTACAACTCCGAGGGACCTCAGATCAGCTTCTACCAGCTGTCTCACTTCCATCGATGCTCAGCAGAATACTCCGAAATCGGCTGTGAAATGTTCGGTAACGACATGTCAAAGGCAGCTTCGACCGTCTCACTCTCGATCCTTGTCGTCATCGAAATGCTGAACGCCATGAACGCTCTCTCATCCAGCGAGTCCCTGTTGACTCTGCCTCTGTGGGAGAACATGATGCTTGTGTACGCTATCGCTCTGTCGATGGCCCTCCACTTCGCACTGCTATACACTCCGTTCCTTCAGACCCTGTTCTCCATTCTGCCTATGAACTGGAATGAGTGGAAGGCAGTGCTCATCATCAGTGCACCTGTTATGTAAGTTGTCCTGCGACAAATCTGAAGAGAATCAAGCCCGCTAACCTTCATTAGCTTGATTGACGAGGTACTCAAGGCTGCCGAGAGACAGTGGTTCCTGCAGACCAACACGGACGACGCCGCTGAGGCCAAGAAGAAGGCATAATCTCAGACATGAAATAGATCTTGGTTCTAGATAGACTAGACTAGATGTACTATAGCTCATTTGCATCTGCGACGACCACGCAGCATATCAACAGTAAAAGCATTATGAATTTCAAACAGACCGATGACCTGCACTCGTGGTAGATCTTCGTCGTTGATTTAGCCGGCTTTTAGGTAGGCTGCTCAGGTATTGGTACAAGATGGCTCTTCGCCATCGCAAGTCTATTCTGGTCCATGCTCCATGCCTTCCACTACCAGCCTCTGTGAACTGTGCCTGTAATCCCGTGATACAACACGGGCACCCGAAACCAGATAACGACCTCTACGCTCTCTGTGGCCATTCGTAGACACAAGTCTGGTTAGAAAGCTCCGCCTCCACCTCCTCCTCTTTAGTCCTGTCGTCCCTTGAGTAATCTCTTGGTCACCTTGTCCTTCTCGACGATGTAGACATGCGCACCCCATCCAGACAGGGCATCTCGGTCGACGGCACTCAGCAGAGCCTGCGAGATGGTCTCGAAGAGGTCCTCGGGGCCCTGAGAAACAGAGTATCGAGTCAGTAAAATCATATCTATCGCGGCACAAAGAAAGAGAGAGAGAGAGAGAGAGCAACGCACCAGATCGGGCTCCCACAAGCTCTCGCACATGCCGAACAGCTGCTCGCTCGCGGTGCCGCTGACGATGAAGTCCTTGGCGAAGTCGATGCAGCCGATGGAGTCGAAGCCGCAAATAAAAGGCTTGCCGGACTTGGGCTCGAGCCCGGCGACGACGGGGCTGACGAAGTAGGGGCCGAAGCGCTTCTCGTAGAGCGAGGACGACACGAGGTTGGCGAAGGTGGTGGGCGCGATGTTGCGCTCCTCGCGCAGCCGGTACATGTTGACCTTGTAGCGGAACAGGTCCGACACGGTCGACACGTCGGTCGCGAGGCCCGTGAGCCCCAGGAACACGTCGCCGTACTGGAAGATCTTGGGGAAGTTGTTGGATACTGTTAGGGATTGCAGGCCCAGCCGCAGGTCGCAGGCTATGGCTACGCAGTCCTTGCCTACCATGGCGACGGCGGCGCCGCCGTCTGCGAGGGGAGGGGAGGTTAGTTGGACGTTCCTACTGATTCGAGGTCGGGGTGGGATGGGATGGGACGGGAGAGGCGTACTTATGGAGAAGGGGGAGGACTGTGGTGGGTGTTGTTAGCTAGCTGTTCCTGATGCCGTCTCGAGCTCGTCGGTGCTGGGAGATGGAGCTTACCATGATGCGGAATAGAGGTGTGCGATATCGAGAGAGGGACGGTCGACTTTAACCTGACTGTGTATTCGTGTTCTCGCGCCGGATCGTGGGTTCGCGGGTGTTCTCGTCGTGTGGATGTGAAGCTTGTTGGTGATGGCTAGTAAGGTAGCTCTCTTCGGTGTCGGTGTCTCGCTGGCTGGCTGGGCTGAAGTCGATCGGTGTTCGGGCCAGGCAAGGCAAACACGTCTGGCGCGGCAGCTTCCCATGGAAAGCTCCAGCGGATGACCAATTAGCGACTTTGCAGGGGTACCTACTGTAGTGGCGCTGCCCCTCTACGGGTCCAGTCTTCATCAGCTCAAAGCTGCCTAAGCTCAGTAATAAGCTGCCCTGCGACCATCACCATCACCATCACCATCACCACTGATGTAATAAGCAACATTGAACTCCTACGTTTCCCATAGCGATAGATACCCGGCCGACAAAATTACGGTACGCGCAAATAACTGGCAAGACTACACGACTGTCTTTGTAGGCCTCAGGGCCAGTGTATCGACTTGGACACTTTCCTTACGTTACAATCCGGCAATCATGGCGACCAACGTCAAGGTGGTGGGCACCGACCTTCGACAGGTGACCGTGAAGGTCAACCCTGGTACATACCTGACCGAGGTCCTAGAGAATGCTTGCGCAAAGCTCAAGGTCACCTCCGACAAGTTCCTCCTGAAGCACAAACAGCGCCAGTTGGACCTCTCTCAGACCTTCCGAACATCGGGCCTCATCCCCGGAGCCAGGCTCGAGCTGGTCGTCCGGTCCAACACGCCGACAGCCATTAACGTCGCCATACAACTCCCGTCCCCTGAGTCGACTCTCTTCCCACCCCACGGTCGAATCACCGAGAAACTGCCGAGCGATTTCACAGTCTGGCAGGTCTTGCGCCAGTTCGAGAGCGGCAAGGCGAGCGCCGGCAAGAACCTGAATATCACAGTGAGAGGAGTGGCCCAGACAAGCAATGGCGCCGGCACAGGTAGCGGACAGCTATACTACGAGACACCAAACGTGCAGCTGGAGAACAGAACATTGGCGACGTTCAACGACTTTCAGAAGACGCTGTCGCAGCTTGGATACAACTCCGGCGGCGTGCTGATGCGCTTGTCTTTCGAGAAGACGGGTCAGACCTTGGCGGATGCCATGACGGAGATGGGGCAGCATTTCAAGATGGAGGAAATGGAGAACGCGCCGGGACAGACTGGCGAGTCTGCGTCGATAGAGGAGCCAGCCAACACAACGGACCCTTCGGCCATGGACAGTCTGCCCATAGATACAGCCCATGGAGTAGCCGCCTCTGGACCTGTCACAGGGGCTGGTGCAGATGATGTTACCGTCACAGGACAGCCTGACACAGCCGCCACCGGCGATGCTATGGACGTCGACGAGCCTGTAACGTCCGGCGGTCGCCCCGTCACCATCTTTTCGGCGCCTACCTCATCCACGCCAGCTGCCTCACTTCGGTCAGACTCTGAAGAGGCATTCATGCCAGACATCAGCCATGCCAAAGCCCACCAAAGGCTACTGAAGAGCCTAGGCGAGAACAAGCGCCTCCCCTCGGACCAGGAACTCCAGGAAAGAGCCGCCGCGGAGGCTGCAAAGGTAGCGGCAGTCAAGTTGTTCAAAGTCAAGGTGCGCTTCCCAGACAACACCTCTGCCGAGTGGTCCTTCGGGCCCGACGATACGGGAGCAACCCTCTACGCAGAAGTCAGAAATCTCATGGCGAACGATACGGCCCCCTTCAGGCTGGCGCTGCCGCCCGGCAAGGTGACCATCAAGGACGATAGCAGCGACGCCAGCAAGCTCGTGCAGGGCTACCGACTGAGCGCCAACACCCTCGTCAACTTCTTGTGGGAGGACGCGGTTCCGGCGGACGTTCGGCAGCAGCCTTTCCTGAAGGGCAGCCTGAATGACCGGGCCCGGGAGGTTGTGGTGCCTGAAGTGCGCGAGGTCGATGTTAAGGACGAGGCCGGACCGAGCATACCCACGTCTGCGCCTAAACCGCGGAATGAGGGCAGTGGCTCGGGAGTCAAGAAGCCGAAGTGGCTGAAGGGACTCGGCAAGAAGTGATGGGCTGGTGATAAATGTCATGCGTACTGTTGGGGCGATACGATAAGCCTGATGAGCGACGATTTGCCTACCTATGTGATACCCTCATCGGGCTCTCTGAGATAGATACTGGATCACTAGGTAGGGGACGGATGGATTATACGTGTTAGCATTGGTCTGGAGTTACGGTGGACATCATCCTGTCACATGCTGGGCTTGTTGACATCAGCGCATTGTAGACTTGTAGACGGACTCATTCGCCACGGCGAGCAGATAATGAATGGCATGTCATGAAGAACTCCCTTTCGTGTTCGTTCGTGGTATCTCATTCAGCAGCTATAAGCTCAGAGCTATCTGTCTGCCCTGGAATAATCCACTTGCAATCCGTGATGTGAAATCCATGCCGAAAAGAGACGGACGCCAGACCAGATAATGCCATGGTTTGCACTTTTCTCCTCTTCCACACACGTGTGCTTTCGTGCTACCAAAGCATCGCGAGAGTCAATTCGACGCTTAGTGTCCGGTACGGCGGGACTCGGCGATGACTCTCTGGAGTTCGTCGACCTTTCTCTTGCCACGCTATCAAGTTGTCAGTCATGCTTGAGCATCACGGGTGTGAGCCCTCATCCCGGGTTTCGCTACATACCTGGAAGGTACCGAGTCTCTTCTTGGCGAGCTTGCGCGCCCGCTTGTCCTTGGAATTTCTAAGAAGCTCGATAACGCGGCGCTCATACGGTGCGAGTCCGGCGACCTCTGCGCAGAAGAGCAGCGTTAGCTGGTATTCAGATTTTGAACGAGGATGAGGGGAGCCAACAAACCCTTGACGATGTCGCGGACGAACGCAGTTCGCTTGCTGAGGTGTCCCTTGGTGCGGCTGACGCGGGGCTTGGTGACGCGAGCGGTGGTCTTCTGTTTGGGAGAAAAGGGAAAATCCCGAGTCAGCCCAGTGTCCATCGTCTGCATGGTTGTTTTTCTGCTTTGCATTGGGAAGATACAAATTGCAAGAGAAGCAGGCAGAGATCCTCCAGGAGGTGAGACACGGTCGATGGGTGGGTGGGATGAAGGCAGTCAAGCGAGGAGGACTGGTTTGTTCTCCTTCTTCCCTCATCCAGCACCACATCGCATCCTCCTCTTGGTCCTGGCCTGTCCTTCTGCTACTTCTCCCACGAAGGGTATTTTGGGATATTCGACGGAGGGAGGGAATCGAGGTGTTCATACGTATCCGCGGGCAGGGCCGACCGTGAGGCCGCTCTTCTGGACTGCTTCTTTCGCCATCGTGTGTGGTTGGCGATGCTGTCGCTGTGGGAGGTGGTGGGTTAGTAGCGGTTGGAGAGAAAATGTGAAGTTTGCTCGCAGCCGGGGATTTTGGAAAATGGTGTGTTAGTGGAGATTATGGGTTAAGCGAGTTTTCCAATGTGGCTTATCTCATTCCAAAAGCTGTGGCTAGGTGGGCAGTGTGGGGTAGTCGGTGTGGCTTGAGCTGTCGGTCTGCCAGCCCCTGTCTTTCAGCTGGTCACTGCACAAGCGGGCTAGCCGGGTCCTAGACCCCTTTGAATTGCACATGTCCTCGAGGTGCAACAACACCAAACATCTCATCTCGAAGATCATCTCTCGTAGGAGCAATCTTATCAATTCAATTCAGACTCGTCGAAATGGCGAGGTGCTTCCCAACTCCTCATATTTGTGGGCTTCCCGGTCCGTCTGGTGGCCCTGCCTCCTTCCAAGACCGCATCCTTTGTGAATTGTGATGTACGGAAATGCAGATGCGGACCGCTATCTTGCACATCGGAATGTCCCATGGATGTTATCGCCTGGCAGAGTGATATGACGCAGCTCCCTTTAGTGTGTTACCGTGAGTTCCGCGACCTGTGTTACATTCATAAACATTGAACGCCTTCAGGCGCCTCCGTTGGATTATATGAGACTTTTCATAAGGTAAGAACATTGAACTGCGTCGCAGTCTCTCGTCTCCTTCTCGATAATTGGCCTTTGGGAAAGAGGTGACCGGCGTTTCCTTCTTCAGGCTCCGACAAGACTGTTGGCGTGCAGGTGTCCGTACGTCGTTCGCCCTTTCTTTTCGAGGTGTGATATTGCACGGCTCTACTTCCGAGCACCTTCATCAATGATGCCCCCGGACAGGACTCTGTGTCCTGCACCTCATCTGCCCCTCTCTGCATCATCCCCTTCCCCTTCTTGTCGGTAGTTCCATTATGTTTTGAATCCAATCCTGTCCGTTACCTTTTGTTGGCTGTATCGCCATCTTTGGAGTCTTGGATCCAAATCTTGCAGCATCATCACTTTCTTGGGCCTCATTCCATGGGCATCATCTCCCTGGTTCAGTCATGGCTCTCGCGCTGCTGGGCAGCCACTCCCCTCCGCCGTGCTCACGGAGCAACTCGGTACATATCGTGGGGAAAACAAGCTGGGCAACATCAATCCCGAACCCTTCGGCCCGCAGACTGAACCGAACCGACGGCGACATTGGTCTTGACGACCTGGACCTCTTCCGTAACGACGTGGACGAAGCTTGGAAGACATTGGATAACATTGCCGCCTTGGGTCTGACTTTGGAGAATGACGAGGAAGATACCAGCCGTCCTGAAGACCTTCCGAGGTTCTCACTCGACGACTACGACCATGGTAGCGGTAAGGGAGAGGAGACCCCATCACCTTTGGCCAAACCGTTCCACAAATGGATGAGGAATTTGCACAGACGAGCACACCGGCCTAGGATTCGACATACACACAGTCTCAATGAGCCTTTTCCGGAGTACTCGTTCGACGTCGCATCCGTAAACCATGATGGCCACAGAAAGTCGTCTTCAGGCTCCTCTTTTGGATTCGTCACTGCTGTCAGAAGCGCAACTGTCAGTCTTGCAAGTGCTAGCGTTATTACGCGACCACGAAGACATACCGCAAGATCGTCTTTCCACGCCAAGACAGACCACAGCAGTCGGGGATCCATGTCTGCCCCGAGGTTTTCGGAAGACAGCATGTGCTTCGAGCGAGCCTCGATAGCAGACTCAGGGGTGACAGAGCGCCTGTTGCAGCGACGCCGTATACTCGAGGAGCTCATCAACACCGAGGAGAGCTATATTGGGGATATCAAGTTTCTCATGAACGTCAGTATGTCCTCAAACTCTGTTTCGGCGTGTACTAAACTGAGCAATAGGTCTATGTCACGATATTGGCTTCTTTGCCGACACCGCACCACGGCCTCCGGTCATCCATCAATAGAAACCTGACAGATATTGTCGAGCTTCATGAGGAGATACTTGGCGAGCTTCACCGAGTGGTGCCGAATTCAGAATATACACAACCTGAGCGCATTCCAGCCACCCCGAACCCACCACCGAGCAGAGGACATCACCGCTGGCGTAGCTTGAACTCTGTTCCGGAAGACAAGGGAGGAAGCTCATGGCTGCAGAATGTTCCTAGTGTGATTGCTGAGCCGGCTGTCGCAGCTGAGGTTGCCCACATCTTTGGCAAGAGGGTAAGATTTGACTCCGCTTCCGAGTCTCCGTCCCGACCGACGGTTCCAGATATTGACTATGCCGATGTACTGACAATGTTTTAGATGAACCGCTTCTTCGTTTACGAAGAATATGGCGCAAAATACGAGATGATGATCAAGGACGTAGCGGCTACTCATCGGACTCTGCCGCAGTGGGAGACGTATCAAAAGGGGCTCGAAGCATTGGCTGCCTCTCTTGGCGCAGTCAACTATCATCTAGATCATTCGAAAAAGTCGCTCACTATTGGTGATCTCTTGGTCAAGGTCGGTCTACTCGCTTACTATGACTTGAGACTGCCCGCTGATGAAAAGAAGCCGATTCAAAGAATCTGCAGATACCCCCTCCTCTTTGCCGAGCTTCTCAAGTACACCCCTGTTTGTGATTGCCCCAATTCGCACATGGAGATTGACAATGTTCTTATCCGACTTCGCGAGGCTACGGCCGAGATCAACCGAGCCACAGACGATCCTGGGATGAAGGTCACGCTGGAGCAGACTTGGATGCTCCAAGACCGACTGGTCTTTCCCGGCCAGGTAGGTACTCATCCACCTAAATGTCTACTTCACGCTGATACAGTGTATAGAGGCTCGACGCTGCGTCCAAAACGGCAATTCGCTCCTTCGGGCAAGTACGTCTCTGCGGTGCGCTACATGTCTGCTGGCAGACCAGAGAGGGTGTGAACGGTCATTACATGGTCTCGCTGCTTTACAAGGACTGTCTATGCCTCGCCACTGCCGGAAAAGTAGATCAGATCTACACTATTCAGGCTTGCATTGGTTTGGACAGCATCAGGGTCGAAGAAGTCGACAATGGCCGAGGTAGGAACATCCAGATCGGCAATTCTCAGTGGCAAGTGTACTCACCAACTCTAGGGTTGCAATGCCACACGGCCCCTTTCTCCTGGAAACTCGTTTTCGAATGTGATCATCAGCTTTATGAGGTGATCATGACGGCCTGCTCACCGAAGGAGGAGCTGGAATGGCGTGCTCGTCTTTCACGACCAGATGCATGCGAGCGTTACGCCCAGGCGGAATCCGACTTTTATAGCTCCATTTCCCTCAACATCAAGAGCCTTGGTACGGTGTTCGGGAAACCAGGTGAGTGATGATATCAACTTGACCATTTTCTTCATTCACTGACAACATCAGGCACCATCGCTCGTCGCCTCTCTATTCACAGGGCGACCACAATTGGGCCGAAGTCTCCCTTATGCCAAGTCATACTGAAAAACACAACTACCATGAAGGACCCGTCGTCGGCGAACCCTACATCGCCAATCAACCGGTCGCAATCACTCTTGACAACCAATGCTCGGATCCCAGTCCTCGCTCCTTCGCGAGCGGACCGAGCTCGCCTAGAGGCATTGTTGGGCGATGTATGGAGTCGCAAGGTCCTGCCTTTCCCTGGTATAACAGCCCGGTCGAGAAGCGAGCATCTTGTGCGCAGCTCGGCATCGACCATGATGCGTAAGCTGAGCGTCGCAAGCATCACCAACTCGTTCGCAAAGCGCTCGGTAAGCACGGCCAGTCTGCAGCGGGCGAACGACGACGAACTGCCGCATGTGCATGACTTTGCGGATTCGCGTGTCAAGACGAATCGCGAAATGTCGACACCTTCTTTGAGTGGAGCCGACTCGGTGGATGAAAGCCAGCAGCGGAGGCTGCCTATGATTCGGGACGCGACGGAGAGAAGCAGCAGTGCGAGCGCGAGCTGCCTCGTACGCAGCGGCAATAGGTCATCAAGCACAGTCGTCAGACTGAACTCGTCTAAGCTAGATGCAGATGGAGGCGAGGATGGCAGGTTCAGCACGCCAGCCTTACGAACGACATCTGCAAACAGCGTCCGGCAGCCCCGTCAGACGCCTCCATCGCCCAAGTCATCGTCTCCTTGCTCTACGGAGAGAAGTACAGTGTATGCGAGACCGGAGAACACGAACTCGGTACAGGAGAGCTTGAACAACGCAAGATGCAACAGCAAACGGTCCAGAGTGAGCGCCATCAACCGAGGGTTGAAGGCTTCGGGCATCAGGAGTCTGTTTCGTTGAAGTGTATATGAATTATCAATGAAGGGTGGTAAGATAGAGACTTGGAGCGCTGGCTCACACATTGGGTATAGGTCATCGAGTTGGACTGTTTGGCTTTGCTTTGGGATTATACCACTTATTATCGGTCTTCTTTGTAAGGAGTTTGGATTTGCACATGGTGCATCCGCTACGAATGGCTCTAACTGCTTGTATTGCCGTTACGAGGTTGAAAGTCCGAGAAGGACTATACTTATCAACTGGGGATTGTACATACTTACTAAGGCAAGTTGTCGCACCTACAGGCAGGCAGGTAGGGCATTGACACGGGACAATCAACTGTTTACATGATTTGACGCATCCAGTACAATCCAAAAAGCCTGAGAATATCTGGCACCTGATACGAGGCTTGAGCTGTCCGGCTCAGCTTGCAGCCTTACTAACAGCATTACCATGAACAGGCTGACAGGTGACAGGTCGGATACTCCCGCCTCGAGCTGTGCTAGTTTACGCCGGTCCTCGGCATGTCCAGCCACAGCTTCTTCGTTTGCTTCCAGATGTATCCCCCGTATCCAGACGTCCGTGATACATTAAACCAGATAGAGCCGGGAATGGGAAGTCGTTAATGATCCCTGTTCAGCATTGAGCTCCATCGGTGACGTACATGTTCATTACGGCGAGCCAGGGGAGCCAGAGCTAGCTGCAAGGAACGGAAGGGAAGGGAAGTTACCTAACCGAAGAAGAGAAGCTGCCAGATTTCAATGGCACTGGGCAGAGTGCCCTGGCAATCCTGGCAAATTGGGATGGATGCCCAATGTTCGCTGTCAAGCAAGTGAAATGGCGGGGCACGCGGGGCAGCAATGCCCTGGCCCCTGGCAGCCCGCCCTGTCGTGAGTCCGAATTAGCGCGGTTATAGCAGGTGATGAGGGGCAGTGGGGCAGACCTGCTACTATGATGACGTAGACTGGTAGTTGGCATGCCATGCCACTGGACCCGACACGATGATCGAATGGGGAGCCGGCAAGCAGGAAACAAACAGCTTCCAAGTAGGTCCAGAGTTATTTGAAGCTTCCCCTGCCTTTCCCACCATTCTCTTCTCTCATCAATTGACAAACTCAACTCCCCACGTAACGACAACACCAGCAATCAACGACAGCTACGACTACTACGAAACAAACAACAAACCACCGACTACCAACCACAATCCAGTACAGCAGGCACCGTCAACAGCTCTACTGATCCTCACGCGACCCCTCAAAACGACCCGATCACAACACCCGACCCCTCACCCACCAACACCGCCGCCAACATGACCAAGGGAGAAGCAAGCCAGGCCAAGGTCCACTATAAGGGCTCGGAGGAGGACTACATTGTCTTCGTTGACGATGTCGAGACATTCAGAAAGTGGACGGAGGACAAGTCGGTGCCCATGGCTCACTTCATCTCCTCCTTCAAGATCTTCGTAACGCACAAGTAAGTCCTGCCAGTCCCTTCAAGGCACCCCCTTCCAGGCACCCGTGACTCCGGCATACTTTGCTGTGTGGCAGTGAAACCCGAGCCTAGCCTGTTTGCGAGGCAACTCAGCTGGCCCGTAGTCCTGAACGCCTCAGCGCTTAGGAGCTGAGTTTGTTATTCCCACCACCCAACCACCCAATTATGTGGCACTGGCTTCGGCAACACGGCCAGCTCCCGGCAGAGCACTATGTTCATGCAACCCCAGCCGTAGCCGCCGCGCAACGGGAAGCGGATGAGGCGCCCCTCCAACTACATGACCCCGAGTGTCAGCATGCTCAACACCGGCGGCTAACGCAACATCCTCAAACAGGCAAGGAACCCAGGGCCAGCTGGATGGCGCCTCAGACCAGCTGCTAGACAACGAGTTCAAGACTCACGTCGTTGAGGAAGTCATCCCCAAGATCCTCGAGAAGGGCGACCTCCAAACGACCACGGTATGTCACACCCTTTCTTCAACTCCTCGTGGCCGCACAAGACATAGACTAACCCAGTTTGCTTCTGCAGGGTCCCGGACGACAAGCTCAGGGAGGCAAGAGTGAGAGCAAGATGACGAACCTCGTCGGCGGTCAGCCCACCCACTAGATGGGAGTATGCATCGCGTGGGATGATGGCGCTGGAAGATGAGCTGCCACGTCCTTAACGACTGCATTGGTGCCCACTGAGGACACTGGGATCATCGCGAGCACACAGCCTTGTCCTATGTTCACGTCGACAGCTTTGCGAGATTTCGGAGCAATGATCATGGACTAGCTATGCTATCCTTTCATCTACATGGCGAAGGATATCTTTATCTGTGATGTGTTTCTACGGCACTTGGTCGTCACGCAGCTAGCAAACTATGAATACCATCCTCTGTCTCATGACCAACACCCTACATCTGTCTTCACATGTGCACACCACACTGGTATTTCATCACTCATTTCCCCATGTCATCCATGGGTGGTTCGTGCCTCTTCGGCTCATGTCAACCCGCTCCTGTCGTGTTTCGCATCCTGGTCAGCCGCCCAACTTGTAAGGCTCAGATCGTATCAGCCTCCTAACATCGCTTGGGTTTCGAAACCTCGCTGAACCGCTTCCGGCGTCTGTGCACACATACTCAGCCCAGCTAGCCCAACTAGCCCCAGATGGACTGCCGGAATGCCCTGGGAGGTATGGCTGGCTGGCTCCTCATTTTTTCACTTGCATGGCTTGCTCGATGATCGCGGGCTTCTCCTATGTTCACACAGTGAGTAGCGAGCGTCAACTGTCCGAAGTCTTTCATAGTGATTTGTTCATTTATTTTGATTTCTCCTCCAAATGTATGTGGTTGGTAGGGTATTAGTGACCGTCCGCTACATGCATCATTATATGAGGAGACAATCCATCGCGAGCCGCAGAATATAAGAAAACTAGACCCGTAGGTCCCCCACGATGGCCGCCACTAGCTCGTAGGTAGCTAGCCCTTGCCTTTCCCTCATCCGTCCATCATCTGCAGCATATCAAGCTACCGACTTGTTAGCCGCCCGTTGTCCCGCATCATCCTCCTATTCACCGTCCTGCCCCTTGCCTGACAAAATCTAATGGCTTCTCCGCTGCACTGTCTTCCGCGAGGATGAGACAGTTTCGTTGCGTCATAGTTGTAGCCAACCGTAGTAGCCGTCGTCGTAAGAGAGAGAAAATCCAGAAATCCAAGTTAACGCCGGGTTTGGTTGCAAATGCAGGGAATGCCAGGACTTCGATATGCGGAGTTGAGAAGACGAAGACGTTTTCTAGACGGATCGTGTCCCCCGATTGATCTATGTAGACTGCTGGAAATGGGAGAATGCCGTGTAAACACAGTTGAGTCATATGTCGGTGGTTTTGTTGGTTGGTTGTTGGTTGGTCAGTTTGTTCGAGAGACCTCCCAGAAATGACAATATGCGAGGCGATTTGTTGTTGTATGTACGGAGTCTCCCCCAAGGGGAGACAAGTGTTGACATGTTCATGATCCGGATCGTTCTAATCCGCTCGAGCCTCCGGGTGGCAATTTGCAATTGCTACTTACTACCCGGAATCTATGCTCGACCGCCACGGCCACCTCTTTGAGGCAGAGTCCAAGGTTTGGCGCAGACAATCTGTTCACTAGTTAGCTACATGGGACCTCAGAATTGTCCGTATCAGATAGGTAGACATACCTCGCCTTCACTGTACGCCCAGAAGTACACGATCATGGCCGTGAGGTAGTATATTGCCGGGTTGGTGCCCTGGTATATTAAGACGGCGGCGAGCGACATGAGCGGCAGCAGGGCGAGGCGGGCCTCGAGGCTGCGGTGGAAGGAGGAGCCCGCGAAGAAGCCCAGGGGCCATTCCCACGCGAACATGAAGAGGCCCATGACCAGGTTGATCGTCTGCAGCACCGGTATGGGCTTGACCGCCGGGTCGAGCGTCTTCGTCAGGAAGTCGAAGAAGATCTTGGGCCAGAAGAAGCCTTCCAGAGCGGCAGCAACTTGATCTAGAAGCGTCGTGTTAGTGATATGTCCCCTCGTGGGGTTGTCATGTTCCTGAACATACAGACTGCGGCCGTCAGGGTGATGAGTCTTGCCCAGTGGTTCTTGATAAGCTTTCCCATTCTGGCGGCTGGTATTCAATTCGTCTGACTCGTTTCGTCTCGTGACTGTTTGCCTCTGAAGGTCCCACAACTCTTTCTATTATCCTTTTGTCTTCTGTCTCTTTCCTCTTTGCAAGAGATTCCCAAACTGATCCCGTTTCCAGACGATACAAGCGGTTGGCGAAAGAAGGTAGCGAAGGTATTGGTCAACTGGCAACAGCAAGTATGCAACGACCCCCGGTGAGATTAATGAACCGATATAATAGTGGCGAAGAGAAGTGAAACTGCAAGGTAGCCGGACCCGCGTAGTGAATGGGAAAGAAGAATCTGCCGATATGAAAGAAGGCTATCGACAAAAGGATGAGTGCACAGCGCTGGCAGCCAAGAGGAAGAAGAGAGTAGGGGAAAGCCAAGAGAAAAGGCACCGGCCGGCCGGGGACCTGAGGCTATATTGGAGGTTCGTTAGGAGAGGCTGAGGGAGAGAGGGGAGCGCACTGCTCCCGTTGAGGGAGGGCTTGTATCAGGACGGAACGATGTGCGCTGGGGTGTATCTGATCTTTCCGGCCTGGTGGTGGTGAGGTTCCCTCGTCTGAGATCCACGTTCTAGAGATTCGATCTATTATGACTGCTGGCATCCGAACGGCATTGGCGACATCCGTGGGGCGACTGGGTCCCAGCGTGGGATGATGCTTGGCCTCAACCTTGATATCAACCCTTGGGCTGCTCGGTTGAGGCAGTATGAGACACTATGAGACACGCTCTTGAGGCAGGACGGCTTTGTGTGAAGCGATGACCCAAGGCGCTTCTCTGCCCACAGACCCTATGTCGATGATCTACAGGGATACCGAGACCTTAGCTTGTTCGGGTTGGGGCTCTGGCTCTTTCGCATAACAGATGGGTTGCTGATCAGACGAGCTGGACGACGATGATACTTGACGGAGGTGATATCATGAGGCGACAGGAGTTTCTTCATGTACGAAAGGGGAGATCTTCAGACACGAGGCGGCATGCAAGAGCTTAAGAACGAGCAGGGCAGACGGGGTCGCTTGGGAAACACGTACAGTCTCATCAGCCACGGGCGAGACGGCCATATGTCCTCACCGGCCAATACATAGTGCCTGCATAGTATCTGCGGGGTGTGCTGATGGGTAGCTAGGCAGCTGGGGTCGGGCAGCGGTTCCCATTCTATCTTGCCTCATGATGTGCAGAATGGGTATTCGTCCAGATGCAGGTTAGGGGACCTGATCTCTACCCGGCCATGGCAACGCTGGCGGGCAGCAGCCAAGGGCCAGAACCGGGGCGGGTGCAGTCAGGCAGTACATTCGGTGCTGCCAATTGGACAGACCATGTCACGAAGCAGAGGTACCCCAGTGCGAGCCCTCGGGTCCTGGAATAGACGGTAACGCAGCATGCTGCAGAGACGGGCATTGGGCCTTCACGTAATTGCGGCGGCCAGAGGAAGTCGTCGATAATAGGGAATATCATGCCAGTCCATCGCGATTGGTCACAGCCGGGCGGTTAGAAGGCGTGGTATAGCCAATGGGCGGGGTTTGGCCCTGCAGGGTGGTGACGAGAAAACAAGGGGCAGCACCTCCGTTGCAGGGATTCAGGGGTCAAGCACCCAGCCAGCCCCCCGCCTTGCGAATGGCTTCTCATCGACCCGTGCGATGCCGGCTGGCGTTGCTCTGCACCATGACCATATGACAGATGCCATATTTCACAATGGTGAACTGAGTTAAATCGTGCCATCTCGTACGTGTCGTATCTTGGCCTCCAAGAACAGTGACCACGTGCGCTCGTGGATAGCGACTCGGGATAAAAACGTGGCGGGAGTCCCCGATCCCCCATCCGAGTACGAGTAACGTCCGCCGTGTGACCCCCAGCCGGCCCTGCATGTCGCTTGCCTTGCTCCTGTGCTCTTTGACGTCAAGCCACCGCCTATTCAGCCATCATATTCTGGCCCCAAGCGCAGAGGCAGAGCAATGCATTGCTGCTGAAGGACTTTGAGAGAGCGCTTGGGGCTGATGGGAGGTCCCAAACGCAGACGGGTTTCGCAGAGGCCAATGCTGAGGCATCTGGAACCTGAGGTCGTAGATCACCAGGATGTTGGAGGGCAGGGGTCCGACCGCATCACCCGAGGAACTAATAAACTGGATCCCGTGCATGAGAAGTTGAGAACTTGTACTGCGGGAGCCGGTGCAAGCCGGGCAGCTGCTGGGGTCTCAACCAACATCAGTGATGGAGGGGTCGAGAACCTCGTAAAGGACCAGAAAACCTTGATCAGAGATAACTATCGTCAAGAATAACCCGGATGTTCTTTCTGAAACAGCCAGGTGAACCTTCACTCATTACCACCAATTTGGGATTGAGACTTCCATCGTTGTTTGGCTGGTCATCCCCTTCATATGGGTGGAACAGGTAAGCAATAACTGCCATGATAGTGAAGGGCAACAAAAATGGATGGTGATCGTTCGAGACAGATAGATTTGTCGGATGGCCGTCAGTAGATGAAGCACCATTCATCTTGTAGATCGGGCAACTGCTCGTCCCTTCCATATCACTTCATCAATTCACACATTCTCGTCTTCATGATGCTGGGAGCCCAAATTATGGCGAATGCAACCAACCGTACGTCGCCGGAAGCCCTTCGCTACCGCACGACGGCTTTCGTGTTTGGAATCACCCGTAAAAAGCCACCAGCTCACCGTCCGGCAAGAAATAGTACAGGTATAACTGGGAGACCTCAGCCCCGACCCAACGTTGTGCTAGGCAGAGACCATGTGCGGTGTACAGCCCAAGAAAGAAGCACTTCTTCCATTGGCTGTGTACGTGATTCTTGGCGGCGGTTGCTGAGGAATCCTCATTGGACTCGCTTGTGGGGGAGCAATTAGGAAACTGCCCCCAGGCCGAGTCGAAATGGTGTTGTGAGCCTGTCGCAATGGCTGGGAACGGTGTGGCTTGCGGTGCAGAACGACCAATGGGATGAAGCCGTCATGTTCATTCTGCAGCGGCATCGCATCCGTCCGGCAGGGTCTTCGGCCGAGTGTCCAACACCAACACCTTTCCCCCATGAACAGGATCTAATCAACGGGATCGATAAGATGCAGCGAGACCCCGATGGAAATGATCCCTCGGCGACCTGGGGTACTGGTCCAATGTTCTCGAACTGCCTTCGAGAGACGCCGGCTACAACCTGTTCCCCGGGCTCGTTGTCACTCTTTGGGCCGCAGTCCGAATCCCACAATGGCACCTGCGTCTTGGGGTCCAGATGCCGCCGTACGTCCTTATCAGAATCCTACTCTCACGTCGTATCCCGACAGACTTCGGGGTATTTCCCTCGCAGACGATGGCGATGTCAATCTGCGGGTCTCAAAAGCAACTGCATGCCGAGAGAGTCCTCGCTGGTCCCTTATTAGTACCGAGATCTCTCGCTACCTAGACATAGACTAGTGCTCCTGGATTGTGAATCGATCTACTGCGTTATCAGTTTCCCAGCTGGTCGTAATAAGTTCAATACGAATAGCAGAGTAGCTAACACGGTAGCGCCAACCCCTAATGGTCGTCGATATGACAGTGTTGGCAGCTATACTGTATTCCACCCGGTACTCCAAGTGTCCTGCGCTATTCCTCGGAATCGGGTAGTGCTCCTGTCACACTCGTTTTATTTGAAGGCGTAAGCATGCTACCGTAAAAGCCGACTTGCATGGGTCGATAGGTAGCATCTGCGCTTTGCTGGCTCTATTTCTTTGGCGGAGAGATCCTCGGCTGCAGTGCCCTTGTAAAGGACGTCTTGAAATGGCGTACGTATGTGGCCTTTGGCACCTTTCTTTGCACTCCTCATGCCCAAGCCACTCTGCACAGGTACAATCTGCGTTGACTCCAGACGGGTGCCGCGTGCTGGACCTAAATATACCATCGTGGAGCTGACCGAGATGCAAAGGCACATACACTGCCCAAAATACACGACCATGTCACACACACTCGTTTGCTGGTAATGACAGTACCAACTCTAGATACATCAAGTACTACAGTAGGCTGGAATGCTGCAGCACAATCTACTCGATGAGGTATTCATCTCTCCAAAAGGAGATCGCCTTCTCTGCCTCGTCTCCCAGGTGGTCTGCTATTTCGGACCGCGATGCAGGACTCGACATCTTGTCGAGCATATCCCTGAAGCTAGACGTAATGTCGGTTAAGACATTGACTGCATGTTCCGACAGCGGCTGTGCCTCAGTACAGTAGGGAAGGAGGGTGCGGGCTGGGTTTGATGTTTTCTCATATGCGTTGCTGCAACCAAGTTGGCGATGGAGGACTGTCAAGCTTGCTGGTACGGCGGCTACTTCTTCAACCGGAATAACAGGCACCTCCCGATCATCAACCAGACTTGGGCCCGTCAGTTCGGACATTCCCAATTGAAACAGAGATTGAATGAGGTCATGAGAGTCAAACAACTCACTATAGCTGTAGCTTCGTGAGCATGGCCACTGGGCTCTGTAGGCCCTCATCTTGCTTGAGAAGGAAGACAATGGCGATATCTCGTCCACCGTTCAGGTGGCACAAGCGTTCGATCCGGCTCTGGGTGTGGTCTGAGCCAACATCCCGTGGTGACAAGAAGATAACGCTGAGTGACCGGTGAGACGAGCCGCCTCGTGGCGGTAGGGGCATTACTGCATCGCAAGCATCAAGTTTGGCCGCCTCTGTCGCTGCGCTTAGCATTGCTGAAACGAATCAAGAAGCAACAGGCAAGGATGACACGGGGAACTGATGTACCTTTCCACTGGCTGGTTGAAAGCAGAAGCGCTGGCAGTGAGGCCCAATCGGGTCGCTTGCGCATGGAGAAACAAATCTTGCAGCTCTCCATCCTACCCGTGCCGCGATCTAACCCGCCTGCTGGTGTTGTGTAGCCTCGCCTCGTGCAATGGGGCCAATGGCGTCTCCGAGTTAAACAATAGGCGCGGCCTGTGTCCCGACCGGTACACGCGTGGCTGTGCTTGTCGACCAACTGCAGCTGCGGCACCACGGCTCACACCCGCTGAAGAAGCGAATGCCCTCGGGGACGTGAAGGCCGGTCCTGAGGTCGGCGGGGTTGGCTGGCCAGGAATAACAGGTCGCCAGTGTGTGCAAGATGTTACAGAGAACGTCCTTTCACTGAGAACTAGACGGTCAGACGGACCTCGTGACGGGTTGACGGGTCGCTATGTATAGCAGCCCAAACCGAGGCTGTGTACAGTACCTTATGCGAAGGAGCCTCTGGACTGAGACTGGATGAGAAAAGGCTAGGCCGTGGACGAAGACCAGCGCCGTGCTGAGAGATGATGTAGAGTCCCTGTGCGGCTTGTGTAGGTAGTGGACAGTCGGTGTTATGAAAGGTCAAGGTTGGGATGGTTCATGGGACCGTACATGTGATGTGCGTCCAACACAACCAAGTTCTCGTCTAGGTACCTATCTGAATCAAATCAGACACACACCTGAGTTGAGTGATGTCCCTTCCTCCTCTGGTTGCCTGCGCTTGCCTCTTGCCTCTTGTGCAACATAAAATGGTTGGTGCTTCCCCTTGATGTCGCTCCTTCCTTCACTTGGGGGTACGACTCCTCATAGGGTTCCAAATCATTTGACTTTTGCCTCCGGTCTGCACCAAATGTGGAATGGATTGAGTAGGGGGTATCAATGATTTTTGGTTCGATTTTATAAGAGCTGCGTTGTCTGGGGCGCCCAAGGGGCCGCTGTGCGTGATGGCTGATATGTACAGGTATATATATATAAACAGGAGTGAAGTCTTTTCGCCCCTTGGTATTAGTACACGAATACATCTGGCTTTGTGTCGCCAGATGCAGCAAATGCGCAGGTATCGAGCTTGTCAAGTCATAGACAACCGTGCATCACACCAGAGCAGGTAAGGATGTGGCCCCCTATCTTCACTATTACTCCTGGCGTGTCCTATGCAACGAGACAGATTCACCAAAGCTGAAGGCTCCAAGGTAGCTATGCTCGGACCTCAGGCTTACTTACGAGACGGAGATGCCACTGGTGTCGGCGTCGGCGTTGGGGTCTCCAGAGGCGGTAATAGCGGCTTCTTTGTCTTGGGATCCTTCACCCCTCTCAGAACATCCTCCAGCGCCAGAACTCTGCTCTGCTGGCGTTTTTCAGCCTCTTCAAGCTCCTTCTCTCGTTTTTCTAGCTGGTCGAAGCGTTCCCTGAGCTCTGTGATCCTCTCGAGATTGGTGTCCGGCTTCTGCGATGACCTGTGGTATTCATACAATATCAGGGCGGTGGCCACCATGAGTATAAAGCCATCGCCAATAACGTCGGCGAACAGGTCGACCGCCTTCGCTTCGGGTAAAGGCCTGAACTTCCTCTTCCAGACGCTTATTATCGGCAAGGCTCTTTTCGAGCGGCTCTCTTTGCTCGTGGTGCCATGCTTGGCTCGTAGTCCCTCCTCCTTTTCGACCTGTTCCTTGGTCTTGACGGTGGGAGCCTCGGCTTTCTCCTTGGCTCTGAGTTCGGCCTCGGTGTTTCGAAGAAGTGCTACCGATGCTCGCATATTGAGCTGGTGGATCTTCTGGCCATACCTCGCAGCGAAATGGCGGAAGCCTGGGTGGTCATGAGCTTGCAATTTAATCCGGTTCTGGCAATGCTCGTCAGTGGTTTGTCTCTATTGCTGGGTAATAGACAGGCTACGTAGTGAGCTTACGGCGCCATATTTCGAAACGTGCCTGAGGAATAGCGAGGCAAGCTTGAACAGGGGCAATGCCACCATATTGGCTGGTAATTGACGTTACCGGTTCTTCATATATGCGATAGCGTGGGCAATGAGCAATGGGCAATGGGATGGGAGGACCTTGGAGGCAGTTTATAAGTTCCAGAACGGACATGGAGTTGCGGCGCATCCAAAATGACATCTGACATGCCCCTTATCGATAAATGGGCCACAGTGGCCGCCACACCCAGGGACCTGGGCAGCCGTGAATCGATGGTCAACGGTCAAAAAGGGCGGCCCCACAGCAGCTTGCCAGCTCTTGCCCGTTGCCTCCCCAACGCCGCCGGTCCTCCACTCATAAACGAACCCACTGACTGCCACGACTGCCCCCAGTGCCAGACGTGCACACCGTCGTTGTGGTCGTGTAATTAATCAGTTGACGCTTTACTTTCTCAACATCGTACATTGTTGCCCAAGCATTGTAGCTGTGCCAGTTGAGCCTCGACTTTAACTCGTCATCCTATCACCACGCCCGATGCCGCCGCAGAGTTTGAGCTTTCTGTGAGTTCCTTCCGTTGCCTCGATGTGTGTGCCATGTTTATCAAGCTTGAAGCTTTCTCACCCCAACTTCCCTGCCAATGTTTTCTCTTGCCTTCTGCACGCGCGCAAGTAGACTGGCTCTCAGGCACTGCAAACCCCAGTCGTATCATAATTATCTCGCGAATTCGCCGTCAACGACAGTGTCAACAACTATCTACGGGGTTGCTGACGTCGGTCTCTAGAAACTCGAGCATCTCAGCCATACAAGCAGCAGAACTCCCGCTGACCTCCAGTCGCCGGCCCCACGCACCCCACCGCTTGATACCTTTTCCAGATGGCAGACAGACTCTTCGCTGCGAAGCAAGGAGCATACACGGACGCGTTATCACCTAGAGACGCGAATGCGCAACTACCGCATCGAGCCACCGAGGTCGCCAAAGTGAAACCAATCGTGGCGTCCAAACCCCCCCAGAAAGAAAAGGAGCTACCTCCTCAACCTCCGCTGCAAGTCCAAGAACCTCCCAGCTCGGACCGCAGAGATGGCGCTACCTACCAGGTTGGCAAGATGCTGGGCAAGGGGGGCTTTGCCGTCTGCTACGAGGGACAGTTGCCGGGACACAGGAAGAAGTATGCATTGAAGATTGTCAAGTGCAAGATGCCCTCCAAGATGGAACAGAAGGTCTGTCGCCGCTCCATTTAGATGATCGGGTAGGGAGATACTGACTAGGGGCAAGTTCCAAACCGAATTACAAATCCACTCCAAGATGAAGCAGCAAAACATTGTCCAGTTCCTCAGGGCCTTCACCTTCGACAACTGCACTTACCTGGTGCTGGAGCTCTGTCCAAACGGCAGCTTGATGGACATGGTCAAGCGGAGGAAAGGCCTGACAGAGCCCGAGGTACGGTTCTACTCAATTCAGATTGCCGGTGCTATCAAGTATATGCACGCCAAAGGCATTATCCATCGGGATCTCAAGATGGGCAACATCTTCCTCGACAAGAACATGGACGCTAAAGTCGGTGACTTTGGTCTGGCTGCCTTACTAGTCACAGGCAAGGACATGCAGACCATTCGCCGTACTACCCTTTGTGGGACGCCGAACTACATCGCTCCCGAGATCCTGGAAAAGGGCAAAAAAGGGCACGACCACATGGTTGATATATGGAGCTTGGGGATCATCATGTGAGCTATGTCAAGGGTTGTCATTACATAGCCGAAGCTAACAGCCTGCTTTAGGTTCGCCATGTTGACCTCCAAACCGCCCTTCCAGTCCTCAACCACGGACGAGATATATCGTCGAGCCAAAAACCGAGACTACGACTGGCCCAGGCCAGAAACTTCTGACAAGTACATCTCACAAGAGGCCAAAGATGTTGTCGCTACCATGTTGGAAGACGCGGATAAGAGACCAGACCCCGATACTATTGTGCAGCACGACTTTTTCGTATCGGGCTACGTCCCGACAGCAGCAGAGATAACCCCGAAGCTGCGTGACTTTCCCCCTGACGGTGACCACTTCTACACGGTTAATCTGACACCGCGGATGGTGTCACAGAATCTGCGAAACCTGAAGGACATGTGCAGAAGCTGTGATGTTGGGCCCTGGAATCAGACGCAGCTGGTCTACAAGAGCACCTGGAGAGAAGTCGCTTTAGAAGAGAAGGCAGGCTTGACGCCAATCATTCCGCTTGCGGAAGGTATTGTCTACAGACCATACGAAGAGGTTAGTAGAGAACTGGGCTTAACTCAAGTACCGATCCGGCCACCTCCACAGCCAGTGGCGAGGCGAGACGACGAAGCCACTTCAACACAGCCAGCACCGACGGGGCTATTACGAGCTCCGCCGCAGAGCTTCGCAGCCCAGCAAAGGGCTCAAAGCAAACCAGCAAGAACAGCTGCGATGCCACGAGCGCGGACGCTGAATGAGATGCCGCCTCCTAGTGCTAGCGGCACTATGCGGCAGCGTGCCAGGCGGGAACTCCCTCCGAGCTCAACGGAAAACAACCTCCCTTTGAGAACAGCTTCGAGTTCCATCAAGGTTCCAGAGCTTCCTGCACTTACTCCGGAGCCAGCATCTCAACAACCGGCTCCGGAGCCTAAGAAGGCTGCAGCCGAAAAAGTGCGAGAGGAACAACATCCCAACCCAAACCCTGCCGAGATTCCAATGGGTACCTTGTTCGGTCCAAGGGAACGCAAGTTGGCAGTAGCAGATTCGAGGCCCGAAATGGTCTTGGACCGGCTCCGTCGGCTCCAGGCTGAGCTTGAACGTGCCCTGAACTCAAGGTCGATGGCGATCGTCGGAAAACAGCAAACGCCTTCACCGCCCCATATCGTCGTCAAGTGGGTGGATTACTCCAACAAGTTTGGACTGGGCTACATTTTGAACGACGGCAGCGTAGGCTGCGTGTTGAAGAGTATACCGGGAAGTGCCAAAGGCAGTAAAACCGTCACCCTTCCGCCTAGTTGCATCCTAGTCCGGGAGGCGGAACAGCATTGCTCTCGGCGGCAAGACAACGGATACCCTGATCGGAACCAGATCGTACCGATGACACAGGCGATCCAATTCTACGAGAACAATGGCGAGGCAGGCCTGTCGACCGTTTTCGTCCACCCTTCACAATTCAAGATAGGTGTGAACGAGGACGGCACACCTGGGAGAATCCCACTGGGTCGAGACATCTATGATTATCGCAAGCGGGAACATCTGGTTTTGTGGAAGAAGTTTGCCAACTACATGATGCAATATGGTCGTGACCAAGACGGCACGACCGACGACACTGGACACATACAGATTCCTACCTCAACCAAGCAGACCATGCCGCCCAGCGATGTCGTAACCTTTTATCAACGAATTGGCGACGTAGGCTGCTGGGTATTCGCTGATGGCCACCTGCAATTCAACTTCCCCGATCATACCAAGCTCGTTCTCGATGCCACGGGCACGTGGTGCCACTTCTGGCATCTTCCCCAAGAAGCAGCAGAGAAGCTGGCGGCTACTGGGGAGCTTGATGAGACGGCCCTAGATGATCGGGCAGTATTGTCGTACCCCCTGCAGACGCTTTTGAATTTTGCCGCGAAACCGGCGGTTCGGTCAGCCCGGCCTATCACTCGAAAGCGTCCAGAAGTAAATCCGATGATGCAGGGCATTCCCGCCGCCAACGACCTGCGCCGGAAGGTCGAGTTCATCAAAAGCATCATCAAGGAGTGGATCACCAACGACGGTCTGGGCAACAGCAAGATGGACCGGGAACATCGGTTGATGTGGACAGGCAGCCGCGAAACGGTGCATAGCGGGCCCGGCAAGCATGTCTGGGTCACCATCGGAGCCAGATGGGGCGACGACAGATACTCTGCTGTTGTCGATCCCAAGAAACCAGCCGAGTTAGGTGACGAGATCGAGCAGAGGTCGAGCTCCTCTTAGCAGCAAGCCTAACGAAGAGGATCGAGGCTTTGGAGGGGCTCGAGACAAAGCTCAGGTACGGGGGCAGCTTGTTTTGATGTGTTCACGGTCGACGTAGATCCACGAGAGATGACATGGCGTTCTTATTTGGTCCTGGCTGGCCGCTGTTTCAAGCTTCCATTGCATGGCGTAGCGTGTATGGGATAATATATTTCTTTCTACCTGAAGTTGTTTGTGCTCCGCTGCTGTTCATAGTGATGAAGGCTTTACGTTTCGCGAGTAGATTTGTCTCCAGCTTTATAGTCGTGTCGGTTGCTGAGCTTATTGAGATAGCTCATTGTGTTGGCAATACGTCCTCTGTTCTATTGCTGCCGATATTCATATATCGCGTGATAGATACTATCCATCCTCGGTTGGGAGGCTTAGTATAACTCCACTCTGGACTCCTTTTCGAGGATCCCTTAGTCTTTCAGTCGGCCGTTCCACCGGGAGTGTACCGTATTTACTCGAACATCTCACTCTGGTGAGGATCTTTTCTGCACGCAAGCCACTCGCGCTAGCAGGGGGGACTCGGAGTGAGATGTTCGAGTAAATACGGTAAGGCAGTCAGCGGGATTGCGGGTCTGATTCGTCTGTATCTACCTAGCTAGATATGGCGATGGAGATACTATATGTACAACTCTGACCTGCCGTGCCGTTCTCCATGAGAGTAGTAAGTACCACAGGCAGGCAATCGATCGGACACGGCTGGCCCTAGACGTCGCGCGCTAACTCTTCCGAAACTCCTATGAATTTATATATATTTCAATCGGGGACGGTATATGAATAGTTAACATGTCAGGTAGGATGTGACAACAGATGGGAGACGATTTCTTCTCGTCCACCAGGGTTAACCCCTTTACTATGTTACCCAACCTTGAGCACAGTCAAGGATATCTAGGGGGAGTATGGACGGCACTGCGGGACGCATTGTTTACCTAATCTAGGTAGCTTTCAGCTCACCAGCACATCAGGGCGAACTTATGCTTCAGCCAATGTATAAGTACGTTAGGAGCTAACGAGTCCTGCTCTGTCGTCCGTGGTCCATCGGGTTCTCCCAGCCCCTTTTCGTCTTCGTCGTGACACACCCATCCATCTACTCCTTCTTGTATGTCTGTGAGTCACGCCCATTTGTTCCTTCATGCTCTGCATGTGTTGCTTACTCACGCATCCCATTTCCCCCACGGAGGAGCAGGCGCAAAACCTGACGAACAGGCACGGGCTCGCAGTCGGCACAAGAGACAACTGTCTTCAAATGAACCAGACGCAACCGGTCGAATGCCATCATCAACTGGCTGGCCTTGCGGCACCATGCAGATATTACTAGTGGGGTACTGTGTATGGTATGTACAAGGAGCCTATAACCCATGGACGAGAGAAGACGCCATCATTGAAGGTTTAGGAGTAGCTTGCGTTCCCCTTATGGCTACCATCCGAGTCTTTCAGATGAATTTCTACCACGTCCAATGTGACCTCGCCCGTTTGCCACTCCCAATATCCATGTCCAGGAAAGATAACCGAAATTGATTATGCTACAATGGCTTGACCACCTCGACCCTCGACAGTATCCAAGACGGTCGAGCCCGATCGAAGGCAGACTGCTGAGCGAGACCCGGCCCAAACCCCATGTCCCAGAAGCAGATAGCGTCCATCACATCACCATGCAGTCCTTATCGTCTTTGGTTTGGCTCTTCTTCATCTTCGGGTTGCGCGGTGGCGCAACGTCCATCGGCGTACCACCATCACCGCTCACAGCAGCACGAATAGCCGCCAATCTCTGCTTTGCTCGGTCATCACCGGAATCAGCTGCCTTCACATACCATACGTTTGCCTCCAGAATATCCCGGCGGCACCCGATACCCATCTCAGTGAAGTAACCCACTGCGTACTCTGCTTTAACGAAGCCTGCGGGGTTACCGTTAGTACGGATCAAGAGACAGTCAAGTTGTGTGTAGACGTACCGAGCTCTGCAGACCGGCGAGCCCACTCATAAGCTTCTTCTTCGTCCTTGTCCAAAATGGGGTCCGCTCCGACCATGTACCAGGCGCAGAGACCCATCATGGCTGCCGCATGCCCATGGTCTGCTGCGCCGGTGTAGAAATGAACACTCAAGGCCGGGTCGCGCGGGCAATTCAGCTTGCCATGCTCGTAAGCATCGCCCATCCGATAACTCGCTTCGGGATGTCCGAGCTCGGCTGCCTGCGTGAAAAGCTCAGCAGCATAGCTTACGTCCTTGAAGATATCGTCGCCGAAGCCAGTCTCGTATAGTGTGCCGAGATGATACGGAGCTGCATTGTACATGGCGTCGGCGGACTCGGTGGCTCGCTTCAGCCATTTCACGCCTTCCCTGTACCGATTCTCCCCCAGATCCCCGGACAAGCATGCCTTTCCAAGTCTCGTCATGGCGCCAGGGTGGTTTCTCGATGCAGCTGTCCTCAAATGCTGAACTGCTTTGGCTGGATCTTTTCTACAGCCCCACCCAAACTCGTAGCACAGACCAGCGCGATAACCAGACTCGGCGTGGCCGTGCTTCGCAGCCAGGACAAACAGAGGAAATGCGGCGTTGTAGTCCTCTTTGCCCTTATTGAACAGGCCTGACGCGTAACCATCTGCGAGATAGTATTGTGCAAAGGGATAACCCCCATTGGCCAACCTTGTCAGAATACTTTTAGCTTCGCGGACCAACTCTGTCGGTGAGGACTCAGCCCCATCTCCCTTCGGACCTCCCTTTGGACTGGGGTTTGTCCGTGAAGGTTCGTCGTAGTTTAGACCTTGTTCCTGGGCGGTCGAGATTAGAAAAACGGCGAATGAGTACTGTATCGAAAAATCATTCGTCTTCTTGACGTTCTGCCGATACATCTCAAGAGTCTTTTGCGCACTCAGCAAGGAAGCATTATTCCCTACATTGTTTCGCAATTGTGAGTTGTCAAAGGTGATGGGCGCAGGGGCTGGCTGAGGGTATGGGACATTCAGCAATTCTGCATATGATATAGGTCTCGTCTCTGGTGATCTACGGGATTGAGATGAGGGAGCCCGAGGATGACCACCCCCCAAACCTGGAGACCGCCCACGAGGGCCGAATTCGGAATAATACGAGTATGACGATTGTGGTCGAGGCATCGAGCTCCTTCGCACGTTGAACGAGTTCGGGGTTAGATGCCGATTGACAGCCATGCCATTTTCGACCAGATCCGACTTGGACGAATTCCTCGAATAAGACTCCAGCGGTACGCTGGAAACCCGAGGCAAAAAAGGCTGATGGTGATATTGAAGTTGCGGGATGGATTGATTCTCGGGTATGACACCTTCAGCGATGGATGTCTTCTTGGATGTACCATCCGACACGGAGAGCACCTGACGCTCGCATGACTCGTTGAGGCCACCCGAGACTGAGCTTGCACTTGTCTCGACAGATGAGTCGGTTGATCCATGTTGATGCGTGCTTGCGGTTGTATCCGATTCCCGGCTACGTCGATTCGGATCGTCACCACGTGGAGTGTTGCTGATGCTCCTGCCATCGCGCTCCGGCGCGGCCACACCGCCCACGTATCTTTGTTCCGAGCCAGTTGAGATGATGGTCGGACTGAGAAGTTCCTCTTGCCTCGTTCTATGCGGGAGATCAACGGCAAAGGTTGCCGGTAAAGGCTTACCGAGACTCTGCTTCTTCGACGGTGACCCTTTCGTGGGCCTGGCCCGGTTATACGTGGGACTATGAGTTGGAGGCGGTGGCGCCACCTCGGGGTTCGCGAGATCTGCATGACCTCCTTCAATACTGGCGTTTCCTGGCCGAGCCCAGTCCTCGGGCTGGAATTTCACCCTCACAGGCGATACAGGGGCGTCTCTTATTATTGGCAAAGCCTCCGCGCCATCTTTGGCAACTCCATCGGAAGGATCGGATCGTTCTTTTCGCCTGGGAGACAGATTCGGTATAGGCAGAGGTTTCCTCTGAGCGGATCTGGGAGTTGATGCAGAAGGGGGCGGCGGCGTGGTGGTCAAGGTAGCCATTGGGCAGATGAGGTCTTGCGGCGGTAGCAAATTCCCACCGACTCAGGTCCCGGACGACAACAGACGCACAAGCGTGCCTTGAACGCGCTCCCGGTCTTGGGCAGTAGTACGGAGCAACCTCTTTTCCTATTGCGATTGCACCACCATCACACACACTCGGCTCCCGAAGTATACCGGCCTCGTTCCACAAGCTCAGGTACAACGCGGTCGACTGGCAAGGCAAAAGGCGGTTCCGCGGATACACGAACGATCGAACGAGGTAGTTTTTCTTCGGTTATCGAATCAATGGGTAACTAATGCTCGGAAGTTGCAGAGCTGGTCGGTGGGTATCTCGGACAGGTATTTGGATGTTGATGCAAATGATAGACAAGAAAAGGCGGAAGCAAGCAACTGCTAAATGGTATGGTGTGGAAGAAAAGGTCAATGCCTAGTAAAAGCGTTGAGTCGACCCGACTCACGTTGAAAGTGGTGAGCAAACAAAGGGAACAGAACAGATGGATCAATGCAATTTGATGCGAGTATGTAGAGGCAAGCAAGGCAGTGCAAGGCGTGCGAGGCAAGGCAAGGCAAGGCAAAGGCAAAGGCAACGAGGTAAAGGGTGCATTGAGTCAATGCGCGCGCAGGGTCGGAGGCAAAGGATCGTATGTAAGGTACAGAGTAAGGGCGGGTCAGGATTGGTGCAAGCCCTGTAGCAATAAAAGTACGGTCAACAGTGTCAGCTGTCTAGCGGTGGACAGCCCTGTTAGTTTGAGTGCATTACATCCAACGGCGCGGCGGAGGAACGGACGGTTCCAATGGCTCCGCCTACATGTAACCAAGAGGGTGCCCTCGTGTCGGTACACGTACAGTGTTTTGTATGGGAGCGATGGGTCACATTCACATAGACAGCCTCGCATCTACAGCTGATGAAATGCGGTGAGATAAGTGCTAGAGTGGTTGGTGACGCTCTAATAATACTTACTAACGACGAAATACACTTTGGAGGCTCCGTTATGTTAATGAAGCCATGTCTTGTTCAGCATGAGTTGGAATAGAACAGGTTGGATCCCTCATCGGACCTCGTGCACCAATGATAAGCAGCCCGAAGCCAATTGCAGTATACCGTACAACTTGTCTTCTTTTACTTTCACTCATCATCTTCTCGATCACCTTGGCACTATAGAGGAATCGACTACGGTAACGACTTCAGAGAAGGGTCCACGAGATCCGACCCCACCGATCCGTCAGATTCCAAACCGAGCCAGCTGTATGATCATTGATCAGGGTCATCCCGGGGCGGCCAGAGAGACCAAGGTGTCACACATGCATTCTATAGCCGCTCATGGCATGGCATACAGCGGTAACCTGGCCTCGTATCTGTGTAAGGTAGGTTGGTAGGTATGGGTCGTGGTACACAGATCTGACAGACCTCCGCTGAGCGGCGAGCCACCGTCACGATACGGTTGGTCAACTTGTCAACCCCATCCGGTGTATCTGGACCCAGCCTAGGTACGATCGCCAGAGTCTGCGCCGATGAGCTAAAGCTTTGAGCTGACAGTCTTTCATTGCGGTGGAGCGTCATGTCAGGCGCGTCAGGCGCCTTTGGCTCCTGATATTTGACTTCTAGAAGGCAGTTGACGGCGTTATGAAAGCTACGGCTCCCATGGGATTCGACGGCGCTTCAGTTCGGCGCGAAAACGACAGCCCGGTCCCTTTTGTCAGCCCTTCATTAGTATGGTGCCATCACGGACAAGATTGGGGTTGGAACTCAACCGTAGCGCCCTACGCGATGAAATTGATAATTTGAGTTCTCGTGCTTCTTCGCTGTCGGTACCTTGGCGTTGGCCGCCAACCCGTGTTCAATGTTTCCAGTCGGACGATGAACAGCAGCATTGAGTAACCAAGCCTCGCCCGGCCACGTGCAACTACCTAACATCTGGTCATCAATCGTTGGAGCGTCTCCAGCGGACACTCACCTGCGAGTTCGTTTCGGGCGCCAACCCACATAGCACTCGAGCACAGACATTCAATGTTGCTATTGGAGACGTTACAGCCTTGTGACTGCGGGAATACGGAGACTGATGAAAGCTCGTCTCTGAACCTGGGTGTACATCATGAAAAGGGGTTCGCACGATAATGAAATAACGATCATTGACTGTTTGTGTAAGAAGTGGAGAGTGACTGCTGATCTGGGGAAGGATGAGCCATAGCTCCAATGTTATAATTATAGTTTATCTGTACCACGCGACGATCCATCCATAAAATAAGTAAGTACCTTGCACTGGCACAGTATCGACAGAAAGACATTCAACGCAATTCTCTACCATCCACCATTAAAGTAAAGTACAACGATTCGGTCGTCGTCTTGTTTTCCTCGCCAATTAACCGTTTGGGTCAAGGAACTGCGCGCCCTGAAATGCAGACATTTGCCAAGTACGGACGAGCTCGCTGACGGGTGCAACTTGAGCGAGTTCCTGAGGGATGGCCCCCACGCACCCTCACTGAGTAGCGCCTCGTATTGCACGCCATGCATATGACTGCTGCTGCGGACAGAATATCGTATGTACAGTCGGTTCACCAACACGAGAAGAATCCAGAGTTCCAATTCGGCAATTCCATCCTGTGACACAGTCTGACAGTGAGGGGAGTATTGTACGAGCGCCGGATGGACCGGGACCAGAGCCAGACGTCTTGGCTCTTATGCGCCGCCCAGTGCGCGGCACAAACATGTTATTGGACTATTACTGGGAAATGCAAACTGCAACTTGCACGACTGACATAGGTCAAGGGTTTGTCAGAAGTTAGAACCTGCCCAGTGCCAACTGACATGGATGGTGATACCTACAAGTGGTTACAAGGGGGATCTCGGTCTGCGCCAAGTGCCGTACAGATAGGTCGGCTCGGCGCAGACAGGTGTACGGAGAGTTGAAGGCGGGATCGAGGACCGGCTCAAGGAAGGACGGAACCCTGGAGGGCGGGCGGGAAGGCGGCAAGTTTGGGCGCACGATGGTTTGTGTGTTGATCTGAGAGACAGCCTTGGATTGCCACTGGTCGCACAACGTCCATGTCATGAGCATACCTCATACATGTTTTATTGAAAGACGGCATGCAGGCTGGTGCTGTACCTGCCATTGCAAGGCATGAGCGAGGCTTCCAACCCCGAGATTGACGCTCTTTTCACGGGACGCTCGCCTATGCAAACCAAACATCAAATAACTGCTCTTTAACGTTTGCAAGCTCCCGAGCCGCATGAGAGCACGCCCATGTGTCAGCACCGATTGGGTTGCTCCCGCCGCGTGCGCATTGGGGCCAACGGGATACATCCGTGGTAGCACCTTAACCTTTCCCACAACATGAAGCTACACCTTTCTTTCTCTTGAAGAGAGACATGATACCCTTCTCGATTGATGCGCGCTTTGTGAAGGCCATCTCCTCGAGGTATGCACATGTCGATTGGAGGCTGGATAGTCTTGATGGAAGTCCATCAAGAATAGTGTACTGTTTACTTCGAATGATATCATACAGACCATTCAGCTCTTGCAGACTTACAGGCCCTGTCGCTGGGCAACAAGAAGAGAACCTTGGAAGCCAAGAAAGACCCCAGGGCTGGATCTGCAGATCAGACCAAAACCCTGGAGTAGCGGGAGTGGCGGGACCGCTACTTGAAAGAAGTACCAAAAAGGTCACTCGAACCGGGCTCAAGCCTGATCACCGTACCGCTTCCGACGAATAGACTTCAAGCTACTTGGTCTGACATTGAGACTCGCACTCAATTGCATCCAATGGCAGGTTCAAGTTCTACATCGCGGTCAGAAGCCCGAGGAGCGCAAGGGGCAGTTCGACAGTGCAGCATTCTGCTACAGCGGCCGTCGTACACTGTATTTTTCTAGCCCCTTTATCCCGTCGTGCCAGTCAACATTGATGAAGCCAGAGCCCCTGTACGACTCTTCAATGCCACATCGATATCGAATACACCCGTCTCGAGTCCCTGCGCACAGCACACTACGATGGATGATGGATGCTTCGTGCCTGCCTCCAGTACTGGAATTGGGGGCCTTCAGAAAGAGTGATCAACGAAGAACACCATACAGTGGAATAAGCAATTCCTGGGTGGTTATTCCACTCATCAGTTTACCCCAAGAACAATAGCTTATTATTAGTCCAGCCCTTGCAGAGGCCAACATTGAACCAACAGGGGTTCTCCCTTCCTGCACGCTACCTGCCTCCTACTGTACCTCCTACAGCTGAGGTGCCCAAGTTGCCCAAACAACAGCCCCTAGGTACCACCTACCTTGGTAGTTAACAACACTTGCGCTTCATTCGTCTCTATGATCTGTAATTTTCATCCTCTCATACAACTACCAAGCAAAGTCACAAACATTCGCATCGACTTCCTTACCTTTGAGAGACCAGCAGCTGTTTGTCACAGGCGCAGGGCTGCCTGCAAGAAGCCTATCAGTCCGTGCCACCTCCATTTCTATCCCGCCTGCATGCCGTGTCCTACCCTTCTTCGGGTGCTGAATGCCATACACTACCCTCATTGAGCAGTCCTCGCCATCCTGCTAACACTCGCTCACCCAGAATCATGTCGCTTCCTGAACGACCAGGAGCTGCGACCCCGTTGTATGGGCACAGGAGTTCCTACCGACAGTCGCCATCGCGCCGAAACCGCCCAGCAGATGTGGAAACCGGGGGGTATCGCCCTGTATCTGGACGGGGCTCGACTCAACACCGCCGTGCACCTTCTACGAACTCGTTCGCCGAGACGATTCTAAGCCCCGATGGCACTACGGAGAGGTTACCACTCTCGCCGACTCACGACGATGTCGACCCTGCTGGCGTTCCGACGCGCAAGAGAAGCCTGATCCGACCCGAGAGGAACAGGATAGACAAAGATCACCCGAACTATCACTACAGAAAACATGCTGCCAAGATGGAAACTCTCCCCTCCAAGACCGGAAACGATCCCATCTACGAAGATATTGAGGGTAAAACCGACTTGTCTGCGGAGCGAAGCCTGGATGCTACTTCAGACAGCTCGCCACCTCGAAGGCATCACAGCGGCGACAAGGAGAAGGCGAAACCGCGCACGTCAACGAAACGGCGGCGGCAATCAGGAGGACACAAGATATCGAAGGCCTCCAAAAGTTCGAAACGTCACGGGCCGAAAGAGACCATCAGCCCTCCGGGTGTGTGGAATATCTACTGCGCTATCGTAACCTTTTGGTGCCCGGACTTCATTCTGAACTGCTGCGGATTCCGGTCAAAGGCGCAGAAAAGAGCCTGGAGGGAGAAGATGGGACTGATCAGCATCATCCTCTACATCATGGCCTTTGTTGGATTCCTGACATTCGGGTTCCAGCGGGTTGTCTGCTTGTCGGCCAGTGTCCGCCTTCACGTCAACGATGTCTCTAGCAACTACATGATTTTCCATGGCGCCGCGTATGATCTGAGCCATTCTGGCCACCCTCCAGCAGATGGCATCCCGCTCAAACAAGATGGATCATACCCCAGCGTTGTGTATGATTTGCCCATCCACTACGGCGGCCAAGATGGTAGCTTCCTGTTCCAAAACGTCAATGGCAAATGCAAAGATCTCATCACTAAAGCTTCAGACTCGGACGTTCCATCTGGAGACGATGGTGACCTTGCCTGGTATTTCCCGTGTGACACATTCAATCAGGACGGTTCGTCGGCACCGAACTTCACCCGGCCATACTACACGGGGTATGCTTGCCATACCACTCAGAAGGCCCGAGACACCTTCTACCTTGAGATACATAGCACCGGGGATGTCTTCTACACCTGGGACGACGTCAAGAACAACTCGCGCAACCTGATCGTCTACTCCGGTACCGTGCTCGATCTTGATCTGCTCAACTGGTTCAACGAGAAAGAGGTCAACATCCCCGATCGGTTCAAAGAATTGAGGGACAGAAGCACTTCTGCCAATGCAGCCGTTCATGGTCGCGATGTCACCCGAGCGTTCTCAAACGCTGAAGACAAGCATTTGGCTGAGTGCTTTGAAGAGATCATCAAAGTTGGCACTGTGGATACCGAGACTGTTGGATGCATCGCGTCCAAAGTTGTTCTCTACGTGTCTTTGGTTCTGATATTGTCTGTCGTAGTAGCAAGGTTCGGACTGGCTTTAGTGTTCCAGTGGTTCCTCAGTCGCAAGTATGCTGCAATCAAAACCTCTCAGACGGCAGACAAGAAGAAGCGGAACCGTCAGATCGAGGACTGGAGCGAAGATATATACCGTGCTCCGCCACGAATCCCTGGAGACATCAGCAGCAGTGTTGGTACGTCTGATAGAACCAGCAAGCGTACCAGCACCTTCCTGCCAACCACCTCTCGCTTTTCGGCGGTATATGGTCCTGAGAAGACATTGCGCCGACCGAAAGCCACGACGATGGCGAGCCAGGCGTCAATGGGGCCTCTGCTTCATCCTGGCTCGATGTACAGGCAGGGCAACGACAGTCGAGCTAGTATGTTACGTTCCGATACATACGGAACGTCTGCAAGCCCTATGGACGGTTATGGTCCTGCTGGCTTCATCCACGAAGCTGTTGTACCTCAACCGCCCTCGGATTATCAGCCATTCGGGTTTCCTCTGATCCACTCCATCTGCCTGGTCACGGCCTATTCTGAAGGAGAGCTCGGGCTTCGAACTACTCTGGACTCCATTGCTATGACAGATTACCCCAACAGCCACAAGGTGCTTCTCGTTATTTGCGATGGAATCATCAAGGGCCATGGCGAGACTATGTCGACACCCGACATCTGTCTTGGCATGATGAAAGACCACACCGTGGCCCCTGAGGAGGTTGAAGGGTTCTCGTATGTAGCAGTCTCGAGTGGCTCGAAACGGCACAACATGGCCAAAGTCTACGCAGGATTCTACGACTATGGTGCTAAGTCCGCCATTCCGCTGGAAAAGCAGCAGCGTGTGCCCATGATGCTTGTTGTCAAGAGTGGCACCCCCGATGAAGCCACCAAAGCCAAGCCCGGCAACCGAGGCAAGCGTGACAGTCAGATCATCCTGATGTCGTTCTTGCAGAAGGTTATGTTCGACGAGCGTATGACTGAGCTCGAGTTCGAGATGTTCAACGGTCTGTGGAAAGTCACTGGCATATCACCCGACTACTACGAAGCCGTCCTCATGGTCGACGCCGATACCAATGTTTTCCCTGACAGTCTAACTCATATGCTCTGTGCTATGGTTCGCGACCCCGAGATCATGGGCTTGTGTGGCGAGACCAAAATCGCCAACAAGAGACAGAGCTGGGTGACGGCCATTCAAGTATTCGAGTACTTCATCTCTCACCATCTGTCCAAGTCATTTGAGTCGGTCTTCGGTGGTGTCACATGTCTCCCGGGCTGCTTCTGCATGTACCGCATCAAGGCGCCAAAGGGTGCTCAGAATTACTGGGTGCCCATCTTGGCCAACCCTGATGTTGTCGAGCATTATTCCGAGAACGTGGTTGACACCCTCCACAAGAAGAATCTCTTGCTCCTTGGCGAGGATCGGTACTTGACAACTCTTATGCTCAGGACCTTCCCAAAACGCAAGCAGGTGTTCGTCCCGCAGGCGGTGTGCAAGACGACTGTTCCGGATGAATTCAGCGTTCTACTCTCGCAACGGCGACGGTGGATCAACTCTACCGTCCACAACCTGATGGAGCTGGTCCTTGTCAAGGATCTATGCGGTACCTTCTGCTTCAGCATGCAATTCGTCATCCTCATTGAGTTGATCGGTACCATAGTGCTGCCTGCTGCCATCGCATTCACCTTCTACGTCGGTAAGTTGACGGTCCTCTGGAAGAATACCTATTGTTTCGCAGTCTAACACGAATATAGTCATCTCATCGGCGATCTCTCCACATCCCCAGATTATTCCTCTGGTGCTTCTGGCTCTGATCCTCGGTCTCCCGGGTGTGCTGATTATTGTGACGGCGCACTCGTGGTCTTACGTGGTGTGGATGTTCATCTACCTCGGCTCGCTGCCCATCTGGAACTTCGTCCTCCCAACCTACGCCTTCTGGAAATTCGACGACTTCTCGTGGGGAGACACTCGAAAGACAGCAGGGGAGAAGACAAAGAAGGCTGGTATCGAATATGAAGGCGAATTCGATAGCAGCAAGATTACTATGAAACGATGGGCTGAGTTTGAGCGGGAGAGACGGCTGCAGGACAACTTCTGGGGCTCAAGGGAGGACGTCGTAGGCGGCACCTGGTCTGCAGGGCCTGGTCACATGTCTCGTCATCCATACGATGATCAGTACTATTCTGATGCATGAAGATGCGTCGATCTTTCGAATCACGAGAGCATGTAATCATCGTCCGTCGATACCATTTTCTTTTCCGTTGGCATAGTGTACATCGACGGCGGCAGAAGCACTAGACCCTTCGAAGTCTTCCTATGGCGCCCAAAGTTGAATATCAGAGGTATAGGTCGTGTTTGGAAGAAGCACACCGGCCAGCACTGTGGATGAACCAATATCCTAAATCCTCATCGGCCTGCGCGGGCGGCAACTTCTAAGGGGGTAACTAACCAACTGTACCTATCTGATCTTTCGTCCAAACACGACAACATAGAAATAACTCGCTCCCATACCCCAACCTATCTGGGTGAGTTGCATACAATGTTGCACAATAGTGTGTTTGGCGTTGGGCATTTAGCATTTAGCATTTTGGTCGACGTGCTGTGGCACCTCAGTGCGCGGGTGGGACAGACAGGCGAGCGAGCCATTGGCACAGGACTTCGGATGGGGCGAGGGGGGGCCAAAGGAGATCGAGAGAACACAAGCACGGACATACACGCGGCGCGATGGATCGGGAGGCTCGGTGGCACGAGATCTCGTGTGTCTGTCTGTGTCTGTGTCTGTGTCTGTGTCTGTATCTGTGGTATCCGAGTCGTGGGGATTCTGAGCTGGACGACATGACCTACGTGAGTGTGCGTTGGGGCGTCTGTGTCAGCCAGTAAAGCCCAGCCAGCTCTGGCGGGTCGGGAATAGTTGTCTGCTTGCTGATAGTGTGTATGCTTTAGGTGTACACTCACGGCATCATTAGAGAATGATGGGCAGTGAGCAGTGCTGTGTCTACTAGCAGGTATGGGAGCTACATGCCTACCATGGTCTAGGTAGCGGGTTACTTCTGGTATCTAACAGTTCCTCGGCATTGGTCGTGAACTGAAATGGCCACTGGATCGCTGCTTATTCTACTGCAAATGGGTTGGTCCTCGGCGTGCCATGCCGTCACTGTGTGTTGCTCACAGGCCCCAACGGTAGCTTAGCAGGCCCGGCCCAGGAAATACGATTATGACAGCAGCCAACAAGCAGCCTGCGCCGCCAGCCTGGCTGGCCCGAACTGAACGTGGGTCACGATCCTAGCAGGACCAGTCTATTCCAGGCAAGCGGTCCGGGACACCTCTCGGGATGTAGTTCTTCACCGAGGGTTGCAGCAACGTCGAGGAGCCCACTGGCATGGTGTTTTTGCAACCAACGACACAGAAGACGGCCCGATAATGATACTATCGAGAGGGAATGCCACCTCAGGAGCCTATCGGGTTTGCGGCACGCCGGCATGGATTGACATTGAACAGCCACAAGCGGAAGGCCTCGTCTGTTGGCACGAACCACACATGGAGACTCAGGCCGGCAGTCTGTCATTCTATCACTTTAGCTAGAGTCAGACGATCCGAGAAGTGGTCTGATTATCTGCGAGCGATGCTGGCAGGTTTGCAGTATCTCTGAACCAACAGGATTTATGTCCCAGGAATTTACGAGCCTACTGCCGGGGAGCTCCTGGATTACTTCAGGGCAGTTGGTGGCACGCAGCTCGCCAGCCTGGCGTTTGTCTCCCATGCCCTCAGACATGGTCGTTCCGCTGCGGCTGTGACAGCTTTCTGTGTAACGGTGCACTTGAGAGGCATTACCCGACACTTTGGACAGTGGAGACGGCTTCAAGATCAGACTGTGAAATCGGACTACTCTCTGCTGCAAGTACCCGAAGCCGCGTGTGTGTAATCCCGTATGACGAGAGCAGGGGCTTTGGGTGGAGGATGCTACAGCTTTCAGCTAGCCAACCAATCAACCAACCCGCCAGCAAGCTTGCTGCAGACCGGAGAAAATGAGGTGAGGTGTAAGCATATGGCGGAGGCTTGGGTTTGGCACTGTCCGTCGAGGTCTTGCCAACGTGAGACCGTCGATGATGTGCACCAGACGACATCGAACAGGGCGGGTGCGGTGTGGCAGCTAGTTGGTAATATCATGGCGGCGCCGTCAGCTTCGGTATGTTTGCTTGGACGAACGAGACGAGATCGTGATGGTGGTGCACGATCCGGTGGTGAGGCAGCTGAGACTAGACCATGCTGGTGCCCGTCCCTCGGGTGCGGGGGGATACCGGCCCGTGGTGATTCTGTGAGCCCTTGGAAATGGTTCAGCGGGCTCGGCGGGTCGAAGCGGTGTGTGCTGACAATATGACAGCTGACAGGATTGAAGGTCGGAGCACTGTGCTGGCTGGCTGGCAAATGCGGACCTGAGATGTGACGAGGGCTTCCCAAGTATCATGCTCACATTCGAGCTGGCCAGACCGAACGATGGAATGGTGGCGAGGTGAATGTCAATCACTGGTCCGCATGAGGCAGGTTATGCGAAGGCATTCACCACGGCCGTCCATTCAGCGGCTTGGCTGGAGATGAGCGAGACGAGTTGTGTTGGGTTATTGATCCCGCCGGTGATCGAAAGCCACCACATTTTGACCGGTCTCGATAACGGAACGGTTGGCCCGGGGTTCGACCTTGGAAAGGTCGTGCGGGCATAATGTATGTAATGTCTTTTTGCCAAGTTGCCGAGTCGAGTGCTGAGTGAGTGAATGGTTCATTGTTTCGAAAAATGATATATCACAAGGTGGTATTCCAGGGGTGAAGGACAAGGCCACCACTCTTAGTAGGCAGACACGCACGGATGGTTTCTGGCCTCCTGACGCGTAGTCGTTCGGCGACATGTGTAGACAGCGGCGAATGTATCAGATCGGGATAGACCTTGGGAGCAAGCGTGTAATCCGTACCTTGGTTCGTTGTGTTCATGATCGACATTTCTCACCAGACGATGATATCTGATAGAGGTCGAGGCAACGAAGGGGTATCATTAAAAAGGAGTGGAAAAGGTGCACCCCCACCAGAGACTGAGAGGTTGATTGATACCCATTTAGACCAAAAATATGCTGCCAACGTCCCGAATTCGACAATTGGCCGCTAGTGATTGTAAGTTTAGTAATGCGAGGGTGCAGGGCTGAGGAGGTGAGACGACGACGAGGAGGGTCTGGAGAAGGGACGGATGATAAGGTAAGGTCCATTAGCAATTGCTCCACTTTCCACTCTGCCCCGGCCGAGTCATCTCGATCCACCCAATTGCCAATCCACCTTGGGGGACATGCCACCCCCGTCCAGTCCGTCGTCCATCCACCTGTCCGACATCCAGGCCCATGGCATCACCCCTCCTGCCCTCCCACCTCCGCTCCTCTCAGTAATTATTATTACCTACTGACTGACTGCATCTCTGGTCAGGCTGCAACTGTGACTGTGACATTGCCCACCTAAGTGAGTACCTGCGCGAGTAATGACAATGGTGATATCTGACAGTCTGCCGTCATCTAGACCTATTCATATATCTCCTGCGAGACTTCGAGTACTTCTACTACTAGGTAGGTAACATCCACATCCGACACTCGACGTCTCCCACCGCCTCTAGTATTGTCTTGCTGAAGATTGACTATTGACTAACTTATAAGCAGCAGGATATACTAGATAAGGAAAGAAGCGACTGTCAACCTGACCCTGGCAGTCCTGCGTGGCGCCGCACGAGGGAACCCCAGCACTACAGACGCCCGATGTCTGAGATCCAATAGCACACGCCCATCTCGCCCATCTTGCCCAACTGCAGACTGGCAACCCCCAACTTCCATCCCAACGATGCGCCATCCAGACCTGCCAGACTCCCCGCCCGCCTCTCCGTCTCCGTCTCTCCAACCAGACCTGCCTGCCGTCGAGGAAGATGCTTATATGCAGAACCACCTCCCCGAGACCTCCTCAGGTGCCGCCGCCACCGTGTCCATCGTGTCGCATCAGCCCGACACACCTGTGAGCCACCAAGGCAGCTACCACTGGTCCACAGCTGGATATACGTCTCCGTCTCTCGCACATGTCGGCTACAACCTTCACGGTGAAACAGACGAACAAGACGGCGCTGACGACCACGAGGACGACGACCATGATATGGTAGATCTTGAGGAAGGTGGCGCACCTTTGACCAACTTCGCTATGGACGACGACCCCGAGCCCATGCCTTTGGAGAACGCCTTTGACGAAACAGAAGCAGCCCAAGAGACTCCAGCGAATACGTTATTACCAGTTCTCCCCCCTCCCACAGCCACCCTAGCTGCCTTCTTGGAACTTGCTGCGGACCATGTATCTACAAATGCTGCCCAAATCACTCAACAGCCTCAACAAGGCCAGGGGGACGCCAACATATTTCAACCTGGGTTCATGGGGCTTGGCAACCATCCGCCCGGCCTGACCAGTGCGAATCCCGGAGCGCTGGGTCCTGAAAATCCCAACGTACACGACTTCTTGGAACTCTGGCGCGAGCACTACGTTCAGACTACTGGTCTAAGAATTCTCGGGCCCCCTCCCGATGATATCGACAGTCTGGCCGACCCGTGCCGACAGCGGGTCGAATATCGGCATCTCAAGGGTGACGAGCACGATATCCAAGGCATCAATTGGCAGCGTATGGGCATCACGAGGGACACAGCTCGAAAGTGCCGCCTCAGGACTTTCCAGAACTACACAAACAAACCGGGCTCGGATGCTAGAAAATACTGCCCCGAGCCCGACCGACGACTGCCTCAAACCGAGAACTATTTTCGATTCTCTAGCATGGATCTGCGACATGATGTGCGCTTGCTACATTTCCAGCTTCGCAATATCTTGGGATGTCATTCGCGCACGCGGGTGTTCTATCCTACGGCTAACAGGCTGTCCAAAATTCGTGAAGTCGATCCCACTACGGGTAGAGCCAAGAATGCAATGGTGTTTGACAATGATCACGACTCTCAAACATCTACGCTTGCTACCGGAGAGAGCGTTCTGATTGCTGGAAGTTTCCATGGAACCTATCACTATCGTCACCTCGAAGACGAAAACACGGATAGCTTCGGTGGGCGACTCACTGACGATCGAAGTGGCATCACCAACCACGTGCAAATCCATTCCTCTAGACATTCGTCCTCACCTGTCGCGGCTTTCGCTTCCAACGATTTTGGGTTTCGAGTACTGGACCTGACGAGGAACACAATCATATCGGAGAAGAAGTACGAGTATGCGTTGAATTGCTCGGCTCTGAGTCCGGACAAGAGGCTTCGCGTGGTGGTCGGTGACAGCGAGAAAGTACTCATCATGGACGCTGAAAGTGGCGAGATATTGCAGAATCTCGAGGGTCATAGGGACTATGGCTTCGCCTGTGACTGGGCCCCGGACGGTTGGACTGTAGCCACAGGCAACCAGGACAAAAGCATCAGGATATGGGACGCCCGGAAATGGACCGACAGTAAAGGCACAGGCACTAGCGTTGCTGTCATTCGTTCCGAGATCGCTGGCGCGCGTGGCTTGCACTTCTCTCCCCTGGGCTCTGGGAAAAGGATTTTGGCTGCGGCAGAGGAGGCCGACTTCATTAATCTGATTGATGCCCAAACTTTCAACACAAAACAAACCGTCGACATATTTGGAGAACTTGGTGGTATCTCATTTACGAGTGGAGGCCAGGAGCTCATAGCGCTTTCAAGTGATATGTGGCGGGGAGGAATACTTCGCCTCGAGCGTTGTGATGCTGGCGCCGAAGATGCATTCAATTATAAGCAAAGGCGGTATTTCGGGGAGACGTCGCAGACACCCGGATATGACTGGCTGCAGACTCCGCAACAAATCGTTGAGCAGCCAGACTCGCAAATGACTCTCACGCAGAAGAGACGCCAAGCTGCCATGTCCGAGGACTGGCTACTCTGATACGACTCGGACGGTGTAAAGAGTACGAGGCGATGGTCGGATAGGCGTTTGGGTTCCATTTAGAGCGTTGATCATTTGCAGGCGGTACTGGTCATGCTACGCTACATTGCTTCTTTCTTCTTCTCTGCTCAATATTTCCTTCTGGGGTTCTTCCCACTTCTAGACAATGTGTCAGTTTTTCGGGATGGCATAGGATTGCACAAAGATACCAAAGGGAGGCGCAAAACGGGGTCCACGACCGAAGGGGCGTTGACAATAAGCATCGGTGAATCGCAGATACTTCACCACCTCGATCGTGCACTTTAGGTGCCATCCAATTAGATCGCTATACTGGCATTCAACGGGGATTGGAGTCTAGCTTCCCTTCGCATGGTTGTACGGGCTTGAGATGGCAAGGGCTGTCTACTGGTATATCGCCTGGTGGAGTCGATGTTTTGGAGACTGATGCTGGGATATGAGTTAGATGAATTATAAACGAGATACATACGTTACCCCCTTACAGACGTCAGGCATTGTGAAGCGATCTTCTTGCCCTTGACTTTTTGCATTGTGTTGTCTCCATCGTCTTCGACCCGTTACTCGTTCTGGGGCGTTCATGTTCATAATCTTGTGGAGCTGAACAGCCACCAAAGGCTTTCTGACTTGGGTGCAGGATTGCCATACTTGTGGGCGTTAACCTGGTCATTGACCTGATCTTGCGTACCGTCTCAGAAGGCGATTTGACGGGTCTTAGGAGGCTGTGATATATAGCATGCTCACCCACAGGCGACAGGGCGAGTGGGGGAGCATTCTATTTGTAGGGGTGATGCAGATGTTGCCGTCGTGCTCCTCCTAGGCTCGATAAAGGTAGTATTATTTCTGCAAAGCTAAAGTACCCGAAAAGTTCATAGGGCCTAAAGCAAGTATCACTTATTTACCTAACAATCTCACTATCACCAACGAAGACAGACGAACGTCTGCCCTCTTTACCTTAGTACCCAAGGTTGAGCCAAAGCCCCTATAACACCAAGCTCACCCCAACACCCGATCAACATCCCGCTCCTACGACGCGGCCACATCAACAGTGACATCCTGCCACGTGCAGCCCGTCGCATTGTACCGCTCGCCGTACAAGCCGCCCAGCACAGCATCCAGGAACGCGAGCGCCCGCGGCTGCCCGTTGACGACCTCGGTCCCGTGGTCGCCGACCGTGTTGCGCTGGTACAGGACGTTGACGTCGAGCGCGCAGAAGATGTCGATGAGGTCGTCTGAGGAAGCGATGTGGCTGGCCTGGTCGGCGATGGCTTCGTACTGGAGAGGGGAGGGTCAGGTCAGTTGCGTTGTTTTCGCTTGAGTTGAAATTGGGAATAACGGCGGAGGTGAGTGAGGTTAACTATAGGACCGCTTCTCTTGCAACAGATTGCGAAAGAGAAGAAAAAAAGGGGGGGGCGGTGTGGTAGGGACGGCAGGGACTCACAGCAAAAACAGGCATCTGCGGTATACCATGATGTCCCTGAACACCATTATTAGCGATCACGCGCGCCATCTCGGGCGCGGCAAGGAAGGTCTCGAGCGAGCCGCCGGCGAAGTAGGCGCCGATGTCCTGGTTCGCGTACGCGACGATGCTCTGGTCGCGGGTCAGGTTCAGCGCCGCCAGGAACGTGGACGCGTTGTAGGCGTTGAGCTGGCTGACGAGGAAGGCGCGCGCGGCGGGGAACTCGGCCGTGAGGCCGAGGAGCAGCTGTGGCGCGAGCCCGGAGAGGGCCGTGTTGGTGAGGGAGTGCAGGACCTCGGTTACTGTGGGGAGGAGAGGAAGCGGTGTTAGTAAGGTAGATAGATGGTGGATCTGAGGTGCTAGGGAAGGATGCGGGATAGGGGCTATAAGGGGGAGAAGATCTGAAGCCAGACAAACAGAGGACTGCGTGCTCAGTCTCCGCGAATTTACTGCGAAGACCCATCTGCCAGCCCAGGAGCCGTCCAAGGAAGGGGGTGAAAGAGGGCAATGCTGAAGGAGAGAGAGAAATACTAACAGTTCGGCACCAAACCCCCAATAGCCATGCCCGCAAACCGCACCTTGGGCGCATAAGCGGTCTGCCTCTCGGCCGCGAACGTGCTGGCCAACGAGCCGCCCGAATACCCCCACAGCGCCACCCTCGTATCGCCCTCATTCCTATCCTCCCCTTCCTCCCCCATCCGCTCGCCAGGAAAAGCGTCAGATTCAAACACGGCCCTCACCGAATCCAGAACCGCATGCGCAGCCTGCGGCCCGGCCCCGAACGCCGCGAGCGGACCCTCGAAGTCGGGCACGACGACGAACCAGCCGCGCGCCAGCGCCGCCCCGATGTCTTCCGTCGCCGGTGGGATGCCGATCATGTCGTTGGACGCGAAGCTGGTCGAGAGCAGGTAGCTTGGGCTGCCGTCGACGCTGGCGGTATTGTACCAGATCTGGTAGGAGAGCAGGGCGGATTTTTTCTCCTGTTCCTCAACGCTGCTGTTATTGCCGCTGCTACTGTTGCTGCCGCCAACAGGCTCCCTCGGCACCAGCAGCGTGGTCACGGCCCACGAGGCAGCGTACCGGGCGTCGGTCGTACGGTACAGGATATTGTACGCGGCCACGCAGTCGTCGAGCACGGCGGTGATGTTGCTCGGGTCGGTGCGAATCCTCAGGATGGTGCCAGGCGCCGCGGTCTCGAAGCCGGCCGGCGCCGTGTACCACGGGTCTTGGCTAGGTGGCATGGCGTTGTTGGGGACCTGCACCCCGGGCTGTTCGCGAGTCTGGTGAGCGTGGGAGACGCCAAAGCCGTGGGAGCCTGTGATGAGCAGGCCGCTCAGGGGAAGTAGGAGGGCGGCGAGGAAGTGCATGATCGATGGCTGACTGGCTTCATCCACAAGGGCCGGGATGTGTATGGTGCGATAGGCTTCTCTGAGCTGCCGGTGGGTGGCTCAACTCTTTATAGAAGGCGACTGTCTCTATATACAGCCATCATCTCCCCCATGAGCCTCGTCCGAAGTCCAGGAGCCTCGTCCTAACTCCATGGTTAACTCCCGCATGTTGATTTGTAAAGTCCAGGGGGCGCAAGGTCGAAAAACCACCCCTTACCTCCGCACTAGTGGCACAGCACAGGTCGTGATTTCAAAGCGAAGTGAAATTTGCTTCGGAGTACGGATGACAAAGCTTCACGACGAAAGGCAACTGACGCAAGTCCTGATGCAAGTCGGCGGCGTCGAGTGAAGGCTGGGGCAGTCAGATCTTCTCGAGTCATCTACCGTAGCAAGGTGGCGAGTAGCTGCTTGTCGCTCACGTAGGGTTTGTGCCAGTTCAAAAAGCCTTGTCTCTCAAGGCGAGATCGGGGTTCAATACCAAGAGATGACCATATCTTGCTTATGGGTTCGAAAATCCTCTGCATGCTAGCCGTCATACTCGGCGGTAGCCACGGGATGAGAGCTTGATAGACCCAAGTCAACAGGACCAATGACCCAAGGCTGTTATGAGAGTCGAGAGACGACTGCTGTCTGGTTGGAAGTAGGTCACAGACCAGTATCGAGAGGCCTTGGAGATACCCGCAAGTAAAGATGGATCGATTATCGAATTGAAGCGATGTGAGACCAGTCAAAAACACAGGACACAAGATGACACAGATGGCCGTCATTCCGAGTCTAGAAACGGTCTCGGGACGGCGGAGTCTGGGAGGAGTGCCGTGAAACAACTCCGAGCCCGGATCGGCTATCGCGGCCGCGGAAAGCTAAGCGAACGCGACTTGGACATTCACTGTAGGACAAAGACGGGCAAATTCCCGAGCGATTTTGTCTCATGACAAACAGCCAATTCCATAATAGACACTAATAGATTACAACATTATGATCATGTACAGATTGCCGATGCGTTGGCGAAAGTAGATAGATGCAGGCGTGTCAAATACTTCTTACAGGGTGATACCAAGAACCGAGGCGCAACCCCAGTGCTGCTCGCATCCGCAGTCGGTGTTTTCGTCCTTCCAAGCATCCGAGGTCAGACTGAACATGACAGCCTTGTCACCAACGGCCGCAACAATGGACTTGATGGCAATTTCTTGCTCAGAGACACCGGGGACGGCCTTGCCCATGGCGTTACCCTTTGTAGGCCAGCCAGTCTCCATGATGTACCCCTCGAGGCCAGCGCACGCTTTGTTAATGATGTCAAGCTGGCTCTTGACAAACGCACCAGCCTCGGAAGCGTCGGTTCCCTGGTTGAAGAAAGCGTGAGCGTTGGCACCGACGACGTCAATCACCGGGCACATGGCGCTGGTGAACTCTTCTTGTTGCCAGATGTTGACCGTCTCGGAGGTGGAGAACGGTCCAGTGTACCCGGTGAAGGCGCTCTTGGCCTTGGTGACAAGAGCGGCGAGCTCAGCCGGGGTACAGTAGCCGTGGAGCACAGCCTCATTTCCAACAGTAATAAGATCGACCTGGTCCCAGTTGGCCCATTTAGCGATAAGGTCAATCTGCTCCTGAACACTGGGGTTCGACGCATCGCAACCAGCGGTGTCAATGAAGATACCAACGATGAGCTTCACGCCGCTCTTGTCGCAAGCAGGGGCGACCCAGTCCAGGGTGTGGCAGTCGGTCGAGTAGACACGGATGGTGGTGATGCCCGCAGCGGCGATAGCAGCAATGTCTGCCTCGATGACAGACTGGGACTTGCATTCACCTGTCGAGTCAGTGGTGTAAGGCGTGTAGGTTACGCCCCATGGCTGACCAGCCGCGCCACCCAGGCCGCCGGTGGGTGCAGGAGCTTTGGACGAGGAAGTCGGGTACTCAGTTGCCGTGGCGGCCGAGGTCTCAACGGAAGAGGTCACGACGGGGTAGGTCTCAACGGCCGAGGTTTCGACGGCCGATGTGGTGACCGGAGCCGCTGAAGTGGTGACCGGGGCGACTGAGGTGGTCTCCGCCGTCGGGGTAGGTACATCGAAGGGGCAGTAGACGACAGTGCTTGTCTCGGTGATGGTGGTGACAACCTCAGGTTGGGTGTAGGTGCCAGGGGTGTAGCTGGTGACGCAAGGCACAGTCACCGTGGTGTCCTCAGTTACGGTCGTCGTGATAGGGGCGATGGTGTAGGTGCCGGCGGAGGGGCACACGTAGGTGGTGGTCTCAATGACGCTGGTGGTGACTCCCTCGCTGGTCGAGACGGTGGCGTAGGGGCAGGTGACGGTTGTAGCGGTGCTGACGATGGTGGTGACACCACCAACCACGTTGGTACCACTGGTCACAGCAGTCGTTGTCGGGACGGCCACCGTCGTCGAGTCGGTCAATGTGACGGTGGTGGCCGGGAAGGTGTAGACACCCGTGGTTGAGCACGTCTGGGCGACTGGCGTTGGTACCACGACCTGGGTTTGGGTGAGTGTGGTTGGCGCAGCAGAGCTGCTGGTCGTCGGTGCTGCCGCTGGAACAGACGGGAATACCACTGGCACATCGGGTCAGCGACACAGGTTGTTAGCAGCTCGGAGTATGGCACGTCGGAACGTACGAGTAGGTTGACCGTAGTAGGTGCTGTAGATGGTGGTGCAGCCACAAGTGCTGTTGTCGTTGCTTTTCTTCTCCAGGGCGTGGAGCGCGTCGTGAGCATGTCTGTGGTGGATGCTGGCCGCGTTGGCACCGGCAGCAAGAGCCGCTACCGCGTAAGTGGTCTTCATTATTACTGAATTATAAAATGGCTGCTTGTTGGCTTTATTTGATTATTTCGTCGAGGTAAAGAGTGCCCGCTGAAAGAGTGAAGCGGTGGGTGGGAGAAGAGACGAAGGACGAAAGCTGGGAGATGCTTTCAGGCTGTCAGGACGAGGGCATTGACGGTGTCGTGGGGAGGAAAGGGAAGGGACAGGAGGGTATCATGAGGGCAGCAGGGTCGGTAGTTTTATGAGTTGCCATATCTCCATGGGTGGTTCGGCGGCAATCTCAGCTGTTGATACTTGATAGTAGACTGTAGGGCAGCACTGAGCAGGCCAGGCTACGTACGGTGAGCCAACGTGTAGGCTGTGGCCAATGTCGGGACCCCCTTGCTCCTCGTCTGGACATCTCCACGTCTTCTTGGGATGGCTTGGCAGCCTTGGGTCGTCCTGTTGATGGATCCGGGCGAGCTAGACCGGGAGTTCCTGGTGTACATGGCGAGTACATGCACGTATCTTGAAGCCCTTGACCGTTGACGACCTCCCGCACACAGTAAACAGCACTCGCTGGTGTTGGTGGCAGACGGGTCTATTTGGTCCCCTGCCGTGAACGTACAAACGACCTGTCCGCGCCGTCTCATATCAACGATACCAACTCAGGGATGTCAACGAGCTGTACCGTGGCTACTGGCTAGGTAGTTGACATAGCCCGGGTTCAGCTGCACTTCGTATGCACCATAGTACACCAAATTAGCCAAAAATGGACAGGAATAGGGGGAGCGGTGCTGAAGAGAAAGCCAAGAGAGGGACCATGAGGGACGACGGATCTCGAAAAGTGTTAGTGGCGCAGGGTAGGGTCGGCGCCGTGGGGCTGACAGGGACCGTGGGAAATTGCCCGATGCTCAAGCGAAATTGCTCTTCCTGGGCAGCCCGGTCAGGTCACCGGTGCCATGGCGAAGTTCGAACAGCTACCGGCACCGTACTAGGTGATAAGCCTGCAAGCGCCCGCACGTGTGCCTCTGGCGTCTTCACCGTCGTGACCACAGACCTTTTACGAAAATAGGGGACGGCACTGGAATTCGCCTGTTTGCAGGTGATGTCACGATTTGGATGTTGGATGTGGTTCGGGTTCCGGTACCTGCATGAAAAACAACGAACAGCCCGAGACTGGCATCTGCAGGCGCTAATTAAAGAAAAGCCACTCGGACATCGGGTGGATGGATTGAGATGTATTGCTCCTCCCCTCCTTCCTGTGCGACCTGTCAGCTGTCAGGCTGTCACGTCACGTCACAGACAACAAGCTGACAGCCGTGAGTCCGTGACCCGATCGAGCACCCGTCAGACCGTTGCCTACCGGTTCCCCGCTACTAAAAGCCCCCTTAAAAAGTACTAGTAAAAAGAGGGGTCCTCTCGCCCTAGGTATCTTGACTGGGGCTGGTTGGGGTGGACCTGGCAACCTAAAGATTGTCCCTCATCTCACCTCATCGATCTTCAATCTTCAATCGCATCAGAGTTCGGGGACCACACCCCCCCTATTGGGACATGGGCCGTATCAGCCTTGAACTCATTGCAAGTTGCAAGTTCCAACTGAGCGACAGCATCCTCCAGTACACTTTTGGATGAAGATTCTATCAACTTCCGTCCAGGGGCCGAGACCGCGCAGAACTCGATGTCTCCAGTCTCCAAGAGCTTCTGGCCAAATGTTGCTTTGAGCACCTGTAATGTTGATCCTACCGCCACGGACGGGCTGCCCAGATGCTAGCCCAATTTGCTCAAAGCATCTCACGGCTGCTAAAGTTTCCGAGCAAGCCGCCTTGATCGTGGATCGTGGATCGCTTCCTCTACTAGTAGTCATAAGTCATGGCTAGTGTCGACCAAGTTGCCATCCGACTCTCTTGCGCTGCTCGGCTTGCGCGGATGTAAATTATGCCCACCTTACTGCTTGTACCGACGAGTCTGATCACATGATCTATGACTTCCGACCACACCAGCAGAGCAGTACTAGCCCCATCATCATCGTCACCTGGCAACGAAAGTGCGAAATGATGAGTTTATGGGTTACTACTCTACTCATACTCCCCAGATCAACCCGCAGTGGTCTAAGTAAATGTGGTAATTCAAAAGGACTCTGGATAGCCTATCCAGTTGCCCCTTTCCCCCTCCAGACACATCGCGCCGGATGAGGTTGAATATGACCTTTTCGAAACGCCGAGACATATGAAAGGTTGGCAGTCAAGACTGAGGTGTCGTCCCCCCTTTTCCTCCTGTAACTATTAATGTTCGTTCGGAGTTCGAGCCCTTACAGCTGAATAAGTGCAGTAAGTGCAACCGAGACGACAAAGAGACCGACCTGCTCGAAGAGTTAGTCACGAGAATCCTCAAGCACCTTGGGGCTCGAGAGACAAACAGAGATTCCGTTGACGACGGCAGAGCCTGCCACTGGCTGGCCAGTCTTAGTGGCATTGGGCGTCGTCATGCCACCGGTGCCCATCGGCATGCCGGCCATGGTGGCCATCGTCGTTGGCATGTCGCTCATCTGACTGCTGGTCACATCAGGGTCCATCGAGCTGGTCATATCAGTATCGTCGCCCGACGTCATGGTTGAGCTCATGTCGTCGGAGGCCGTCATGCTCGAGTCCATGCCATCCGCCGCCATGCTCGAAGTCATGTCAGCTGCCGCCGACGAGCCCATGAAAGGGGTGGTCATGGCCGCAGCAGAATCCGTAGCTGTCGAACTGGTATTAGTGAAACCGATGGGTGAACCCGTGAAGATCGAGGTCGTCTCACTGGCAGCAGAATCGGCCATGGCGGTGGTGCTGGTGGACATGTCGGCGTCCATGTCGCTCATCTGCGCAAAGGCAGCAGCGGCAGCCAGGGCCAAGATCGCAAATCGCATCGTTGCCATTTTTGTTGATTCGTAGGTTATAGGTTACGAGGTTCCAGGTTATCTAAACGAGAGAAGATAAAGTTGAGCTGCTGGGAAAATGGGGAGTGGCACGAGCGAAGACGAACGGGAAAGCAGGGGTAGATGAACTCAGGCTGGACAAAGACGACGGACTCGCCTTTGAGGAAGCGATGTCATTCTTTTATTGTCAGCCCGCGGAGGCGAACGACGGCAGCAGGGGCTTTGACACATTCCATGAGTTGCACGAGCCGACGGAACATTGCATGCCTTCTTCGCCGCATCGCCATGACAGTTGGCTGTTGAAAACGGAGAAATGTCTCGGCTCGTCAGCCGTCTTTCATGTCGAAAACAGCACCACGCCGGCCGTAGCGGCAGAACCGGACAAAAGACATATTCAGCCTTGGCCTTCGATTTGCAATAATGTAGATAGTCAAGCCGCGATTCCATAGTAAATGATTTGATTTCGCCTGTTGCTTTATCGTTGACTGAAGGACTGGCATGGACGTTGCCCTTGCACCCGTGCCGGCCAGCCACGTCCCGCCGATTACACGTACACTACCGTACTGCGTTTAGCGGCGGGCCGGGACCAGCTGATGTCCAAGCTTGCCAGGTGTCCGTGCCAAACGCCAACCAACGCAGAGATTTTGTGTGTATCTCATCAATCGCATCGAACGCCACCATCTCATTTCATCCACTGTCTTCAGGTCTCATCAGGAGAGCAGCTCAATCAAGCGATGCTGCAGGCTTCGGGTAGATCATATATGTGTTGGAGGTGCGCCTCCCGCAGAACCGGTTCAAATGCAGCTTTTTCGAGGTCTGATGCGCTGTCTCTGCCGTGGGTCGCCCGTAGCGTGACGCAGCAGAGTAGCCCCTTATCAAGAAGAGTAGGTCAAAGGTGCTCCCAACCACGCTTTGTACAGATACTAATGCACCATCACAGAGCTTTGCAACTGTGCAGCATCTAGTTTCAGGCGATGGATCAACTACTGCCCGGCAAGGGAAGTCCGGGAAGGGGAAACCGCCCTCAATTCGCCAGCGGTTGCGGAAATGGGATGAGGAGAACGTGACCGAAGCAGAGGCTATGCTGACCGACTTTGCCGAGATGGGCGAGCTGTCTAACACATTCACGCGGCCCCAGAACGTGTCTATGGCCCAGTTCGAAGTTGACACGCCGCTGTTTGACGGCGATGAACTGGGAGAGTTGCGTTCCGATGACACCGTTCTAAAGGCTGGAGATATGGTCGAGCTTAGGTATGTTGCTTCTCTTATCCTTGGTTACTTAGAGACTGACGATCCATCTAGTGCTGAAGGCTCAAGGAGACCGATGCTAGCCATCTGTCTCGGCCGCATCAATGGATATGAGCAGTATTATACGAGCAGTGGCAAGTGGTTCTCCGGCCTGGGCGTAAAGACCTTGTTTGTCGTCCACGGCTTTGCAAAGCCCAGTGAACTCAAAAGCGTCATTGACGAGTTGCCATCCACCGAAACGCCCGTGGAAGCTGTCAATGCATTGCAGGACCTAGGCCATGGCCCTTCACGGAGCATCGGAGCCGCACTTCTGCGCAAGATGTTGCAGTTCATCCAGGCCGCGGAGTCGGTCTACCAGGCAAACGCCGGAACCTTAGACGCCTCGAGTGCCTTCATTGGCGACCCCGTGAAGCATCGCTATCTCACCTTGCATGAGATTGCTGACCTCCTACTTCCCGAGTCGGACAAGGTCGAAGGAAAATTCAATGCCCATTCCTTGTATGCAGTACACCGCGCTCTTCTGACCGACGAGGTCTTCTTCAGACCACTCAAACAGACGGGCCATCGGAGATCGTACCTTTTCGAGGTCAGCCCGTTGTCTGAGGTCCGCATCGTACAGAAGGTGGAAAATATGGTTCGCGAATACATGGACCAAAGATCTCGAAATACGCAGTTTCAGCCGAAAGGAGCATACATCCTCGATAAGTTTATCAAAACGGCCAGCAAGGTCATTGATGAAAGTCGTAAGAGACGAAAGTGGTCCAATAGTGGCATGATTGGACCGTCCTCGCAGCCAGCTCCGAAGCCCCAGAATTGGTCGACTGAGGATCGTGAGATCTTACAGTTCATGGAGTTGTGGGCTAGCTATCAGAAGTTCCCAACTTTCTCACGTCTCCAGACCATGGGATCTGCTATTCTGGGTGCTGTCGACCGATACCAAGAGGCTCAAACGCTCGCCCCTGCAGCAGGCTGGACTTTCTTGCAGGAGCTCGCTTGGATTCCTCCGTGGGAGATTCCAGCTCGATATAGCGTACGGTTTCCGGACATTGAGATCAAGCGAGGTGGTGGCTATATTCGTCCTACTGTGGGCACGCTCGACAGACATCTGAAGCGAGACACGTTGGCACCTATTCGAAAGGAATTGGACGGAACTACTGCGTACTGCATCGATGCTGAGTCTGCCATGGATATTGATGATGCGGTATCGCTCGAGCGCACGACCGAACCTGATCAGTACTGGGTTCACGTTCACGTTGCAGATCCGGCATCGTCGATCAAAGCCGAGACCCCAGTGGCCAAGTACGCCGAATTGATCCCGGAGGCAATATATCTCCCTGGCCACTTTGAGCGCATGTTGCCAGATAACCTCAGCAAGGAAAGATTTTCTCTCGGTCCAAACAGGCCTTGCCTGACGTTCAGTGCGCTAGTGAAGACTGACGGTACAGTCATGGACCAGAAAATCACACCGGGTATCTTGGACAATGTGAAATACATAACGTACGAGGATGCTGCCTCAGCTATCGGGGAGGTACGAGATGAGCCGTTAATGAGTGGCGAAACGATAAGCCTCGGGCCTGCTCCCAAACCACAGCCTGCGAATAGGAAAATGACCCGGCCTGAAGAGCTGACCGAAGAGCAGAAGGACGACCTGACTCTGCTCTCTGAACTCGGCAGGGCAGTGCAGGCCGGGCGACTCAACAAGGGAGCCACTCCGATCTTCGCGCCCCGCCCTGTAGCCTCAGCATACTTCGATGGAGTGCAACAGGAAGATATCGATGGCTTCATCTCCACTGTAGGAGACCCGTCAATCCGCATCGGATATTCAGGTCGCTCTGCCACGGACCTGGTTGAGAACGCCATGAAACTGGCAGGTGAGGTAGCGGCGCGCTGGTGTTCGGAACGGGGCATCCCCATCCCCTACCGCACACAGCCCCACGCGGTGCGTAACGCAGCCCTGGTCCAGCAGTACGCCCGTGACGTCTTCAACCCGCTGCTCGCGGCCGGCGTGCGCCCCGACGAGAACCAGTTCCGGCACATGCGGTCGCTCCTCGGCAGCGACGAGCTGTCGACGTGGCCGGGCCCACACTTCACGCTCGGCGCCGACATGTACACCAAGGCGACGTCGCCGCTGCGGCGGTTCTCGGACCTGATCGTGCACTGGCAGATCGAGGCGGCGCTGCTCGAGGAGCGCCGGCTCGGGCGGTCGCTCGTCGGCCGCAACCGCAACGACAACGACGACAGCTTCCTGCCCTTCAGCCGCGAGCGCCTCGACCGCATGCTGCCGATGCTGCGCGTGCGCGAGCGTCAGACCCGCGCCCTCACCAACGGCGACGGCACCGACCAGTGGATCCTGCAGGCGCTGGTGCGCGCCTGGCGCTTCGGCGAGGCCGCCCTGCCGCCCACGTTCCGCTTCCGCGTCGAGCACGTCTTCCGCCGCCGCAGCGTCCTCGGCCGCCTCGACTGGTTCGACCGCCCGGCCTTCCTCAAGCCCGACGCCCTCAACGACGTGCTGCGCATGGGCGACGCGTGCGTCGGCGACGTTTACGAGGTCAGGCTGCGCGAGGTCAACGTCCACGCCAAGCAGATTCTCGTCGAGGCCGTGCGCGTCGTCGAGAAGGCGGCCGATCCCCTGGCCTTGGTGGGCGAGGCGGCAGGCGGCTCAGGGGCAAGTCGGTGCGGTCTGAACAGTCAGACAGACATATACCCTTTGCAGACGAGAGATGTGCGAGTGCATCAGTCATAATTTTTACTTTGTGAGATAGGGATAGCGAAGTGTATTATAGTACGAATATATGTACTATATGGCGGACCGTATACGTTTTAGAATTGTAAAACAACACGTACTACATTGCCCCGGGGAAGAGATCGATAGCGTAATACAATACAGAGGGACAGTCCACTCTACGATGCGAAGCATACCGCGTATCCAGTGCACAATGTGCTTCTCGTCAAATAACCATGTCTCCAGCCAAGCTGGGAGTAATGACAAGGTAATGTAGCACCGATCACTGATAGCCATGCCCTTGGGTTAACGGGCAAGCAAACTATCACTTCTACTACTAGGCTGGATGGTTTAGAGGATGCCCAACTTATGTGGATGAGCATAGGTCACGAATCGTTGCCTTTACCAGTCGATGGTTCAGCTTGTACCGCCTTCAAATAGCAACTCGGCCATTCTGATATCAGATGGCAGGCAATGTTCACAAAAGCTGTCCTTTCATCGAGATATCGGGAATGCGGATAACTATCATATTGCAATGTGGTGTACTAGCAATTCTATGCGGTGAACGACTCATGGACTCCTGTGAACTGTCCTAACCGGATACTCGCAAGGCCGAGCAAAAGTCCTGCCACCAATGCCAACACACCGGATTGCTTCTGAGTGCTTTTGGCGCGCTCAGCCTGGGTTTGTTTGCGTGAAGCGCCCTTCACTCATATGTCACGATGCAATCCCAACCCTAAGAACCCCGACGATATAACCCTATTGTCCCGAGAAAGTCGTCATTAGACATTATCGGAATCCGCCTATTCCGTTCAAACGCCGGTGCAATGCAGTTGTTACATTTCGATATTAGTCGAGCTGTGGGGCCAGCACTGGGGTATCTTAGCAGCCGTTTTGCCGATGGAATCGGACACATTACTCAATGCCTTCGTTTGCCCACTCTTAATAGTGGTCTCATTCCAAGTTCGAATCCCTGGCTGTCGAGTAGGAATGCTGGTGCACTGCCTGTTCTGGAATGATCATCTCCTCCAACCGACATTCCAGATGACGTGGGCAATGTCTCGGGCCGTGTTGACTGTGTCAATCACACGGCCGACGATCCCCTCGTTGGGTTGAGCGTCACCCTCTTCATACGGCATGAGCATACCAGACTCTGTTCGACGCATGCCGGCTGGTTCTGCAATGAGATCACTGGTAGATGTTGACCGTTGAAGACTTGATGGTCGACTATGCGGCATCGAATCAACAGGGCTAGAATTCGGCGTCGAGTTGGTGCTTTGTGTGTCTGCTCCAAGCCCTTCATCCTCTCCAACGAAGAATGCTCCTGAGGCCTTGGATGGTCGAAGGGTCTCCTGTGATGAAGACGGCGACAAGGCCGGACTTCCAAAGCTACCAGTGCTGTGCTTCATTGCGCTTTCGGGCGGCGCTGGCGAGTCCTCTCGGTACTTGAGAGTTGTCGATGGCAGCATTGCAATTGTCTTGCTCTCGCTGTTGGTAACTGTCGCGGGTTTCCTTCGCAGTATGATAGGTTTCTTGTTGTTGTTGGTCTTCTTCATCATGATGGCCCCGTCATCAGAGTCGCTGTCTTCATCATATCTCCAACGGCAGTGATCTACCTCGTCCTCGTCCTCTTCATCTCCTTTCACATCCACAGCAATGCACTGTTTGACTTGCTCGTCAAAGTGGATATGCCTTCGTTCAGCCGAAGGGGAGACGCCGCCTGAAGTTGCCGTCGAAGGCAGAAGGCTTGTGTTCTCGCGACTTCTTCTCCGAGATGAGAAGGGGAAGGTGATGTAATCGGTCGCGGCACGGTGTAGCACGGGGCGAGCTATCCGACCAGAACCATCCTTCTGTTGGGCCTGGACGACAGCTGTTGCCTGCTTGAGTAAAGAAGAGGAAGATAGTGACCGTTGGAGCATGAGCTCCGACATGCTTCTCTTCTTGAGAATCGGCTTTTTCCGGATAAACGAGTCAGACCTCGATAATGTCGAACTGCCTTGCTCAGTGTCGTTTGGAAACAGTTTCCCGTGCCGTGTCTGTAAAGGCCCGTACAGCCAAGTGACGTCGCAATCTTTCAACCTATCCAGTTGTTAGTGGTGCGGATTCAGGAGGAGGGTTGGAGAATATGTACCAATTCAGAGTTTCGGGAGAAATTGTCCGCAATCTGTTCTTGGCCTTCATCCATGTCCTCCATGAGGCATTCTCCAAGCGCGGTCCAAGTCCACTGGACATCTCCCCTCTTTTGGATACTATATAGCGCCAGGACGACCAGATATCTTCCTCCTTCCAGTTATGTGACAAGTAGTCGACGTGTTGGGTAGGATGATGCCTAATGGCTGTATCGTCTTCAGCATGCTCGGCGGTACCGGGAGACTCTGCATGCGAGGCCGTGGTAGGTGTATCGTGATCGGATGGCGAATTCATGGCGGATCCGCCTGTTGGAGGACTGATCGGAGGATTCAAGCCATCCAGAGGCACGAAGTACGGGCTGTGGTCGTCTCCTAGTAGAAGAAGCGGATCGTCGGGGTATATGCGGGTGTCATCCTCGCATTGTCCGTCTAACGACAAATTGGTGGCGGGAGTAGAGGAGTAGGATGGATCGAACGAATCGGCGTGGAGTGTGCGAGGAGACGAATGAGCGGAAGAGGGACTGGAATCGGAGGCGACATCGACTGACTGATGGTGGTAGTTTTCGTGGAAAAGGTCGCTTATTCGGGACGTCGAAGCCGAGGTGCGGAAGTTATGCGAGTGATTCGAGACGAAGGCGGAATGCGAGTGCGATCGTTTCAAGGACGACGAGAAGAGGTCGTTGTCCTCTGAAGAAAGAACAACCGCCATTTCTGAGGTTGATCACTCGATTACGCTTGGTGAGGGTAGATAAACCAATTCCTCCAACTTGGCAACTCCTAGCGAGTGCGTGGCATCCGCCGTCATGGGAGTCCGTCGTCGTCGGCAGCCAGATGAAAGGCAAGTCCGAGTCTGGTTATCGATAGCCTTGGAAGAGCAAAGGCCGACGCAGCTTGTCTCACTGTTTCGATGCCTGTTGAATGGGCCAACAGCGACGTGAGATGTCTGGTGGAAAAGCAGCGGTTCTGTTGTTGTTGTTGTTGTTGTTGTTGAAGAGGTTGAGAAGTGATGGGGACGGGGTGTCTGGGTGTGCGAGAGGAATGGGCAATATCGAGATAAAAGGGTGTGGTGGTGACTGGCAAATACTGGTCTCGGCCAACAGGATCCGCGGCAGAAAACTTAGTACCGTGGAGTAGGTTTGGGCTATTGGGCTAGCACGAGAAGTCGCATACCGGGAGATCGGAAGGGTGCAGGGATGGAGGAACGGAGGCGGCGTGGGGCCTGGAGATGCCCTGGAGGTGCCCTGGACTGAGGGGTTCGGTTCTCGCAGCATGTATGTACCCAGTCTGCCAGTGCACCTATGTACCTATCGAAGCCTGTAGACAGCGGATAATGAACAGCGGACAGTGGCACCGGGGCCGGCATGGGGGTGACACGGCGCGGTATGTTACGGCAGTAATAGCATGAGGATGGGGAGGATGGGATGGCTTGGAATGGAGAGGACATGGAAGCATGAACTGTGTACACACGTACACATTCGGTGCACCTGTGAATAGGAACCAATGAATGACCTAATCCATTGCACTCATGGACTAAGTATAATACCTTAATAAGTACCTACAGTAATGGATGGATGAATGACGGGCAGCATCCCCAGAAACGGTACACCCAGCTCTACCACCTACCTAGGTAAATACATAGATAGACCTACATGTCCGTGCATGAGCTACTTCTTCCTGCAGTCCCGGAGGCGCAACGCCAGGCGGGGAGACAGGCAAGGGAGCCGGAGGAGAATTGATAGGGCGCGCAAGCAAAGCAATCAACGGACGGCCGTAGGTAGTCAGGTACTACCAATAGAAACTAAATTCGACGCGGGGGCGAAGAAGGGGCGGCGAAGAAACAGCGATCGGGGCGGGTTGTTGATGGAAAAGACGGGCGAATCATTGCGGTGCGGCGATCGAGTCTGGAGGTTCCAAGTTTGCCAAGGACCAAGGTTGTCTCAGCGTGGTTGTGGGGAATCGGGATGGGCGTAGAAGAGAAATAAACTATGGGGAGAACCAAGGCTAGATCGCCAAGCCTAGAAGCCCCTGAAAACGAGAATTCTGCAGGCAGGCAGGCCAGCAGTCTGACAGTCTGACAGTCTGATTCCTGAAACGAAACACCTCTACAATACTACAAGGGACAACATTGAAGTGCCGAGTGTGTCTACATACCTTACTATATGTATGTATCTATCTACCTTACGTGCCCCCTTTCCGGAAGACAGCAGAGTTCAAACCGTCTACGTCGATCAATTCAGTAATGGCAGAAAATGGGAGAAAAGACGCGCCGCGAGCAGTTCGCCTGGGTTCGAGTGATCGGCACACACTGACACCATGGTCAGTGTTGTTGTCGAACTTGCACTCACAGTCCTACCAAGCCTGCCAGCCTACCTCATGGGCGGGCTAGAAAGGCCTAGTGGCCAGGCAGTTGTTGACGACTTGGAAGTTGGAAGATCAAACACATGGGTCCATGTATAATAGACCTGCTGCATGCTTCCAGGCTGTCATCTTGTTTGGCTTCTTCAACGCGTCCTGGCCAGGCTGAGCCTCAAGGACATCGACAGCAAACCCCGAGAATACGGTATACTTGATCAAAGCACGCAACAGCCAGGTCCAGTCTACAAGAAACCTAGGTAGGTATGCCTTGACGTCCGTCGCAGGTCTGTGTCTCAGGAGAATAGCTCGCTGCTCCATTGTTAATCGTGCTCATGAACACCCGGCTGGTCTCTGCAAACATGTGAGGCTCATGAACACCTGGCTGGTCTCTGCAAACATATGAGCATGTCTTGTCGATGCTCATCTCTGACGATCACATCCACGGGCCGTAACTCGAATTACCTTGACTGCTTACAACCTGCTCAAATCATGAGCCTAATTAAAGTATCGTGATAAAGAGCATTGCATGGCGCTTTGGCTTCCGAAGCCACCTTCAGCCCTACTTCGCTATTTTATTAGAAGGGCAGGCTTTATCCGAGGACCGAGCATAGCGGTGGTCTCATAACGCATCTCCCCAGAATACCAAGCATGTGGTGGCTGAACTACATGTAACGGTCCGAGTCCATCCTATCTTCACTTCAGGTTGTTCTCTAGATCCAACTTTGCGAAACGCCTCGACATGCAGCCTGCCTGGTAATCGAGCAAACTTCAGTTTAGTAGTTGTCGATTATCATCCCAAGCTCCCCTTGGCTCCAACTTGCCAAGACACATGGAAGACAGCACGGAGGCTTTCTGACATTCCATTCCACTTCTTCCAGGTTGGCAATCTTCACCCCCACAAAGGTTTGAGATGACTGTGGGGTTCTGATGTCTTATTAAGTACCTAGCGTTGATTTGCCCCGCCTATTACATATGTACCTATCAATGATTGTGTCGTGTGGTTTGCATCTTCGTCCAACTTCAATGTTCACCGTCCCCTCACCGTCACAAGTACATGTAGCCAGTGACTCGACGAAAGTTCCGGCCGTTCTCCTCACTTGCGACGCAAGCACCGGCAACACTCGAGCTGCTTAGCGATCGAGCTGCCTCCTCTTCGCCGCCTGCTAATTGCCGGGCTGGCGAGATTCCGTACAGCAGAGCCGGACCCGATGACGTCGTTCCGGACGTCCATCCAATCTCGCCATTCATCACAAGCCCCCTTGCACGGAGGATTACCGGTAGTTAGGTAGGTATCGAGACAGAAGCCTATCTCGCCCTGCTAGTTGCCCTACTCGACTATCTATTGTCAACAACCTTTGCGGCACGAGAATGTACCGGCAATCCTCTATAGCAAGGAATGGCGTCCCAACATCTGATACCGAGGACGGGAGACAACTATGAGTATCGAAGTTCAATAATCCCTTGGCGGTTAGTCAAACCTGCCCGGAATCGACAGCCAAACACTTCCTATCTATACACTTTTCACCATGCTTGGCCTGAGTTGCCATGCGTTCTTCTCATGCACCTCACCCGCCACAATCAAGCAGGCAGTTGTTACGCAAGTGTGAGCTTGATGACAGGCTCTCCTGCAGGCCTCGTATCGACATGTTTTGTCCGGTTGGACTTACTGGAAGGCCTTGCAACCGTTGAGATCCCTTTACACCGAACGGATGTCATGATTCGTTCCAAGAACAGGGCACTGTCGGTAAGAATAGAACAATAGCCAGGAACAAAAGCTGGAAGGCCCGCCCTGGCCCGAATTACTAGCTATCGTAGGTGCATAGGGCCTGGTATAGTGAAACTCAATCATCATCACAGAGAACGGAAAAACCCGCTGAAGACGCTTTTGCTAATTGCCTTCGCGTAGGTTAAACTCTACTGGACTTCTGGGCATTCCCGCCAGGGGAAACTGGCGGCTACGAGAGCGGCAGAGATCTCGGGCTTGCGCTGCCGTGAACCCTGCCTCCATTATCTTGGTGTTGTCAGCTAGCAGCACATCTGGAACAATTTACTAGGTGACGCGATAGCACGGAGCTCTTCGCACTACCCACTACTATGCCTTCGATGTTGATAGGTGTGAACATGCCAAACGAAACGCAACTTGGGCACACTGGGTCTCGTGTTTTCTACCGGTCTGATCTCGCGCCCTCGCTTAATCGGGGGATAGGACTTTGCGACTACAGCGGTCCATCAACGGGGTTGCTAGACATATGCAGTTTTTTCTGATATCTATCTACCTATAGAAGAACGGCCGAACACTGCCGAGCACTCTCCCGACCAGGACCACGGGAGTTTTCGTTGATTCCGTCATCGGCATTCGCAGCGCAGGCTCATAAGGGTAGCCGAATCCAGCGCTCTATCAGGACGAGCCAAGGTGCTCTCTTATCAGCATGTTGTGATTGCTGCGCATTATCTCTGTGGATGAGGAGGCGTGTGGCAGTGATGGCGATATCCTCGCTCAAACGTCCCGTGTGGCACCTCATATGCCAGTCAGACGAGAGTGCAGAGTCACACCGCGAGCCTGCAGCTTCTCCACTCCTTCCTGCAGATTCCGACCCTTGCATGCGTGGATGTTGTGCACATAGAAGACGGTTCAGATGGATGGATGGATGGCTCGATATTTGTCCCATAATTACATCGTACCACCACCAGCTGCCGGTGGACGTCTTCACGCGCGGCACGAAGCACAGACGAATGACCGGCTGACTTTCGAGGATTGCTGTATTTCGCTTGTTCAACCTGAATAGGGAACACAAGGAGGTAGACGTCACATCCACGGATCTAACATTGTTTTTGGTAGAAGCCGAAGTCCTTGCAAGCCATTCGAAATGATTAGAACTTCCCAAGTGGTTGTCAACTTATCGGCGCCAATACCGTTCCAAGTAGTCTGCCGGGATCAACACGACACGATGTGTGAGGCTGCAGGCCGCTGTTACTGTTGCTGCATCACATATTCGTGTCCCTGTCGATACCACGATAGGCGAATTGGTACAAGTGCCATTCACCGTCGCGAATGGCATATCCAGTTCTCGCCTGCATGTGTGGCTCGCCATCGAAGACAGCACAGCTGCAGCCACCTTCCAGCCGTGCAGCCCGAGATAAGTCTGCATGAGCATGGCACATTATTCGGCCATCCCTCGGAACACAGCTTCCAACATTGCTTTTCGACCTTGATCCTACGATTGATCCTGATTCCAAAAAGGCGGTCTCCGCCGATACAGGAAGCATCCTCGCCGCAAAGGCTCGTTGTCACCCAAGCCTGGACTGGCCGACGGGTAGTTTCCACCCTCTTCCTCGCCAAGAGATGCCTGGACCCAAGCTTTTGCGTATCAATTGCGGACCTCCTGCAGACATGATATGGCCGCGGCCCTGCTGATCCGGCATAACATCCGGTGTGACCTCCGACACCATCCACCGGCCGAACCGCCTGGATGTACCATAGGGGCGCCCCTGCGAGCGACGTACATATAGCACCATCAACCCACTCTGCTTGCAGGTGGACATCCCGCGGCAAAGCGAATCAGAACTTCAACCCGCCTTGCCCAGTGCACCTGAATTACCTCTCTTCACATGCTCTCAGTGTGAAGCTAGGGGCTTCCATGTTTTGATATGTGATATCGGCCTCCGCGTAGCGCGTATCGAGGGCACAGAGGGGGCATCTGGTTGCCGTCCGACCCAGATTACCCGTCTATTTTCACAGAGCGCCCATTTTCTAAGGCCTCAATGCGAATGCGACTTCAGCGGGCACCCTGAACGAGGCGCAGAACATACGTTTGTTAGGTGCCACATTTCTAACCTCCAACACGGCAACCTCGCCGGGCACATCCGGGTCGCCGAGCTCCATGGAAACACCGAGCTCGGCCGCGACCCGCTCGCAGACATCCCGCGCGGGCCCATCGCCCTCCCCCTTGGCCGCGAAGCAGTGGACATGGACCAGCGGCAGCTTCCTATCGGTGTGCGGGGCAAACAGTTGCTCGTGCCCAGCATACAAGCCGCGGAAGTACGGCAGGAAGGTGATGGCTGTGGCGGGGAGGTTCATCACGAAGTGTGATATCGTCGGCGGGATCGCTATGCGCCGAGGCTCAGGCGGCGCCGCCTGTTCGTTGGCGTTGCTTGCTTTTGGGTGCAAGCGGCGCTTGTCCTTCCTCTGCATCTCCACGACGGCGTGTTCGCCGTTGGTGGATGCGGCGTAGACCAAGTCGGCCGCTCTCCTGATGAATGTTCGGCCGTCCTCGTTGAAGGGACGTACATACTGACTGACCTAAAGGTCACGGGTAAGCTTTTACACAGTATTTGCAGATATGCAAGTGTTGGTCTCCTTACCTTGTTGCGCTTGATGTTCTCGTCGAGATATCGGTAGCTCTCGGGGTTGTAGTCGTTTGCCCACACAAAGACGCCCTTCTTGCCTGCCGGTACCGCAAAGGGGCCGATGCCTGCCATGACGTCGCACACAACCTCGTCCGGTTCGAACAGCCTGATAATGCGGCTGTGCTCGCCCTCCAGCTTGCTATTCCAGTAGACCTGGGCGTAGTCAAATCGGAAGACGCACTCGTTCTCGCGCACCTCGACGTTGAGGTCGTCGGGCCCGGCGAGCACCTCGTAGGCGAAGGTGCGGAACTCGGACTGGGTGCCGACCTGGGCGACCTTGTTGATGACGGTGCGCACCGAGGGGTTCTTGTCGACCAGCACCTCGGCGATCAGCCGCTTGTAGGGCATAAACTGCTCCTTGAGGTTCACGTGCGCGACGTGGCCCGCCTGATTGAAGCCGACCGGAATCCCGTCGTGCACTTCGCGCAGGTCGTGCGGCAGCAGCGCCCGCATCACGTCCTCGTACAGCCAGTAGTCGTAGTCGAGCGCTAGGTCGTACGGCACGATGCCCAGCTCCTCGCGCTGCACGGCGTCGCGGATCAGGGCGGTCCAGGTGTCAGGCGCTGCCATTGCGCTAGGTCAGCAGCTCGGACATGAAAGTGACACTCCGTGTATCTTTCGACTGGAACCCCGTTCGCGACTCACCTCCCGGCCTGACCTTGGGGTCAAGCAGCACGCATTTGGTGCCCTGCGACGCGAGCGCCTGGTCGGGGTGCGGCACGACGGCCGATACGCGGTCGGCGGCCAGCAGGGTCTTGTCCTGCTGCAGCTTCTGGCGCCAGCCCGCGATCTTCTTTTTGTCGGCGACGGCTGCCGCGGCGAGGTTGACGGTCTTGGAGAACAGCGACCGGTCGAGGACGCCGAGGGCGGAGCGGATCGTCGGCGGGCGGAAGGGACTCATGTCGTCCTCAGTCGCGTTGTCCTAGATTTGATCATGTGTATTAGCGACCACCTAGCGATACCACTCAGTTGGTCTGCCGACAAGGCCTGCACATACCGCCATAGTATTGAACCACTAATATAATCTGGCGCGACTTCAGTCGCGGTTGTGTGGTCTGGGTTCGCACAGACTTCGGACCCTTTGAAATTTGGGGCCTGACGAAAGTGGGAATTTCTGCCCCCGTTATTTTGGGACGGGACAGGGATTAGCGGATCGCCAATGCAAGGCTGAGATCGACAAGGACGGCGCATGCGTCATAGGCGTGAGGTAAGGCTGAAGCACGCCAAAGGTTGGGTGATGATTCGTAGAGTCTACCTCCCTCTAGGTATTAAGTTACTGACTTCGTACAAAGCCCGTAGATTCTGACCAAGACACTAACAGTTGCACTTTGTTCTAGCCTAGAAATATCATAACCTGGTTACTGTCATCTATACCGCCTCAAACCACGACACCCAGCCGCCCTGATGTCTAAGAAACGGACGATAGACGCCTTCTTCGGGGCGCCGAAGTCCAAGAAGCCGCGTAACTCTGAAATCACTGCGGATAGCGCAGACGGTCATCAATTACCATCATCAGTAAGTTCCCACGTCCTCGGCACAACGAAATCCATACCAAAAGCCCAGTTAGTATCTGAGTTACTAACCTGCATCAGCCCGCCGCCGAGAACAACAGCACATTAGCATACTCCCAACACGCCACCTACCCCTTCCCAATCCCGCACCTCCCCACCCCCATCAGCCACGAGCTCAGCTCGCTCCCCGCCAGCATCGGCCGCGCCATGACCGACCAGCCGGACCTGGACCTGCTGTACTTCGAGCCGTACGTCCCGCCCGGCACCGCGAAGCAGCTATTCGCATTCCTGCGGTCCGAATTGCCGTTTTACCGCGTCGAGTACGACATCCAGCGCGGCGGAAACGCGACGCACATCCGCACGCCGCGCTGGACGACCGTGTTCGGCATCGACGACACTGCGCGCTTCGCCCCTGCCCCCACCCCCGACGATGGGGCGGCCGCAGTACCTGTCGACGCGCGCACCGGGTCCAAACTCCCGGCCTCCGCGTTCCCGAAGTGCGCCCCGCGGCCCATCCCACAGTGCCTCGACGCGCTGCGCGAGTCGGCCGAGGCAGCCACGGGCTGCGAGTTCAATTTCTGCCTGGTGAACTACTACGCCTCGGGCGCCGACAGCATAAGCTACCACAGCGACGACGAGCGGTTCCTCGGTCCCCTGCCGGCCATCGCGTCCTTCTCGCTCGGGGCGCGTCGCGACTTCCTGATGAAGCACAAGCCCGTGGCGCCCGACGACAGCAACCCGGCGTTGTCGGCTAGCCTGAAGGACGCCAAGCCGCTGAAGCTGCCGCTCGCGAGCGGCGACATGATCCTGATGCGAGGCAGGACGCAGGCGAAATGGCTGCACTCGATACCGAAGCGGAGCGGGAAGAACGAGACGGACGGCGGGCGGATCAACATCACCTTTCGGAAAGCCATGGTCAGGGGCGGCACTGCGAATTACTATAATTACAACGTGGGCACCGGCCCTGTCTATAAGTGGGATGCTGCCGCCCGCGAGATGAAGCAATGGGAACTATGACCATGACCCATGATTATGGTAACGGGGTATATCCCTCCAAGACAGCAATTGCTCCGATCCGCTCTATTTCTATACTCTCCCGTTTCATCCGAGAATCCGCCCATATTTATTTGCCAATCTTAAAGGTCGCCTGGGAGTACTTCCGCAGGCCCCGCAGGAAGATCTGGTAGCCGACGCCCTGGTTGTCGGGCTCGCAGTAGATCTCGGTCAGGCGGATGGGCCACGGCGGGTAGCCCTGCAGGTTGACGTAGGGCTCAAACGAGATGAGCAGGTCGGGCTCGCGCATGACGGCGTCGGACAGTTCGCTGTCGACAATATCGGTGGTGATGTCCTTGGGCCGTATCTTCTCCTTCTGGACCATCGTGGCGAGGACCTTAGTAAGGTCCACCATTGCCTCTCGACCGTCGTCCTCGGAGACGAGTATAATCGTCAGGCAGCGCTCTCGCGGGAGGTCTGCTCGGTTCGGCGACTGCAACGTGCTGGCGCCGCGTGTGGCAAGGGCCTGCGGGGGAGCTTGGTTCTTGCCAAACCAGGCGCTGAGCTTCTGGTTTACGGTGCGATACGTACGGTTCATGTACCTCTTCAGCAAACCTGGCGGACTATGATTAGTAATGCCTACAGCAATAGGAGAGCTTCACTGCTTGTTACCTGTCTTCTCGTATATGGATAGTTGAGGGATGCCAGCAGAGGCGCACCAAGCAGCGATTTCCGACACCTCGTTGACCAGCAGCTGCAGCGCGTTGTCTCCGCTGCCGCCATCTTCTAGGGTCAGTATGACGCTGAGATGTTCCGGCAGTCTCCTCAGTTTGCCCACGTCTCTTCGGACGTATTCGGGTGTGTTGTGGTGGTAGTTGAGTATGGAAACGGCTCGCACGGACACCGCTCGATATGCGATGCGCATGCGGATGTAGACGGAGAAGATGGCGTGGACGAAGGCATAGAGGAAGACGAAGAGCTGCGCCTTGACGACCTTTCGAAGCCCAAATCGCGATTTGTCTTTAGCTTTCCTTCCCCGGCTGCTGCTTCGTTCTCGGGCGGGTGGCGCAGGGAGATAGTTCTAGCGGATAGAGTCAGAACCAGACCTGAGAGTGTCGAAGGCCAGACGAACCTTAACTAGCTCTTCCCGCTCTTCCACGCCGAGTTTGGTGTGCCCAGCTCTCTCATCTTCCCGGTATAACTGCGTGTCTCTGGCATTGAAAGACATGGCTCATATCTTAGAGAGTGAAGCAAACTGTTCAATTGGCATTGGGATGGTGGAAGAAGCACGGCAAATTGTACGTTTATGGCACGATGCCGGAATGGTGGAGACCGCAATCGTTCGTGTCCAGGGGTCGGCTTGAGGTGATTCAACCGGAGCGTTGGGAGTATTCCAATGTGTACATGTATACTGTTCAGTCGGGACTGTGATCTTCGAGGCTCTGGCAGGGCTGGGATGGTGTATATTGAATATTGAAGTGACAACATTGATGAAACGAAGCTGTCAGTTCCAAGCTGGAGATTCCCCAGCCACAATTACGTGGCGATCGGGCCAGGCCTTTTCCTGCCGCTAGCAGCTCGCCTGAAGGACCCCCCTCTGCCCCTGTAGCAGGGAGCTGGGAATTGGAATGATTGAAGGTCAGGTTGCGACAGACCCGATGTAGCAAGCATTCGCATTTAAACAAACAACACCCAGACTTTCCCACCACTTCCCACGCTGGACCTACCGACAACACCAAGCCGAACCGCAGTGCATACCCTCCGATAGCCGACCGAATACAGCCTCTGCCCATGTCTCGCACGCCATTCCACATCCTCACTTGATCCAATGGAGCGGACGGGTTCGGGGTCGCGAGCCCTGTTCCCCAAGGGTCCCAGCTTCACCCTCGAGGACTTCTCGAATAAGGACTTTATCGTGCGCGACTTCGTGGATAGCCTTGCCGAGAGCGCTGTATCTCTCAACCGCCGCTCTGGAACATCCCAGCAAGCCTTCGACCCAAAGCCTTTGATCAGGAGCTTTGAGAGTATGGTGTAGCCCTCCCTAGGGCCGTCCCAAGCTCTGTGCTAACATGTTTCCTCCAGATGCGCTGCAAGGACTAGGGAACCTCTCCGAGGAATTGCAAGAGAAGGAGTCAGACCTTCTATCGCAAGTTCGACGTGCAGAAGTCCAACATGACCAGACGCTCGACACTCTCGGCCGCAAGCTCGACCAGTCCATAAACCAGTTCGAAGCCCTCGACCTCACTCTCAACAACCCCGACGCGAATGACAGAGGTAGCCGCGGTGAAGCAGGTGGCAATATCGCTGTGCAGATTGGAGAGAAGCTTGAGGAATTGGACAGGAAACGGAGACGCGCCTTGGATGCCAATTTCCTCATACAGTGCTGGCTCCAAGTGAGCGAGACTGGCGAGCTCACGTCTTTGCAAGATATTCAGCGCCAAGGAGGTTCCGAAAACAAAGTCCGATGTGCCGTAATCGCACATCAACTGATGCGCATCAGTCAAAGGCTAGACTCGGCATCATGGAATAATGCCAATGGGGTTCACCGGAATGGCGTCACAAACGGCGTCACTGTTACTGAGAGGAAACATAACACCCGAGAGATATTGGAGAAGTTCTGCGAGACCTTGGAGCAGGACTTGTTGAAGCAGTTCAACAATAGCTACCGGAAACAAAACTTTGACGACATGATGGAGTGTGCCAAGGTGCTGCACGATTTCAATGGCGGCGCCAGTGTCATAGCCGTCTTCGTCAACCAGCACCAGTTCTTCATCGACAGGGACCAGCTCATTACAGACGAAGTGACGACGGATGGAGAAACTTGGGATCAGCTTGCAGATCCCGACTCTGAGCCACCCGGTGTTGAGCCTAGTCTACAGTCACTCGTTGATGAGGTTCGGATCATCATGCAAGAAGAGTCCTTCATTATCAAAAGGGCCTTCCCCTACTACGAGACCGTCCTTATCAAATTCATACAGCGCATATTTCAGCAGTCAATTCAGCAGAGGTTGGAAATGGTTCTGGAGAAAGCTAACACCATCTCATCGTTGGCCTTTTTACGATCCCTTCATGCTTCGAGGAGCTATATCAGTGCCTTGATAGAGGACCTGAAAACACACGGTCTTACTGAGCACCCAGAACCCTGTTCGGCACAGATAGCCCAGACACTGGATCAGCAGGTGGAAGAGCTATTCGTTCCATATATCATGGGCAACTCGTACATCGACCGGGAGAAGAGGAGCTTGGAAGAGCTGTTCAATTCACTTTTGTTCAAATTCAACATCTATCACTCCCGAAGGAAGAAGGCCCCAACGGGCTTCATGGCCTCGTTGGCCCAACAGACCAATCAGCTCATGGCAACTGCTAAGGACGCTTATCTGGAACGGCTTGAATCGTCTGAGCTCACGCCGACCCAAAAGGCCATGATGTTGAGAGTTGCTGGGGTTCAGGAAAACGACAAGAACAAGAATGAGATCGAAGTCTCGGAAGAAGACGGCATTCTGAGCACTGCCAATGCCAAGCGAATGATGACCTGGCTTGCAGAGAGCGTCCGGCGGACCTTGGAGCTCGGCAGTCAAAGTGAGACCCCCAAGGATGTTGCTATACTTCTCAATCTCCTCATGGCGAACATGGGCCAGGTGTACGTGGAGACGGCCCTGGAGGCTGCCATGGAGAAGGCCACGTCGCAAGAGAGTGTAAAGAACGTGCCGGACCTAAGCTATTTGCCATTGATACGGCCAGCTGTAACCATTACCAGCATCATGTCCCGCTTCATTACGACTGTCTTGATTCGTTTAGCAGAATCCAACACCACGGTACGGAGAAGCATGGAGGCACAGTCAAAGATGGGTATTGAATCCATCGAGAAGAAGGCCAACACCATTATGAAAAGCACCGTGGACGTCATCATCAACTGGGTGACGAAAATGCTGGCCCAGCAGAAGAAACTCGACTTCCTGCCCAAAGACGAGCTAAGCCTCGTCGAATCATTGCAGACCCCGACCTGCACCTCCATCTGCCTCTTCCTGACCCGGGCCACGGGCCTGCTCGGCCAGACCATCGACGGCCAGAACCTCGAGGTCTTCAGCAGCGAGCTGGCGCTGGCGATCCAGCGGCTCCTCTTCGACCACTTCAAGAAGTTCAAGGTCAACGCGACCGGCGGCCTGATGGTGACCAAGGACATCGCCAAGTACGTGGCGACGCTCAAGGAGTGGCCCCTGACCAAGGACGTCGAGGCCGCCGTCGAGCTGCTGACCGAGATCGGCTACCTCTTCATCATCGGGCCCGAGGCCCTGCGCGAGAGGGGCAGGAACTTGGCCACGAGCACCAGCAGCGGCTCCTCCAGCAAGAAGCTGCTCAAGGCCGACTTCAAGGCGTTCATCCAGAGCAGAGACGACGCGAGGAGCATTGGCGTCCAGAGTGTGCTCACGAGTCTGTAGGTTATGGATGGACTGGGTCATGGGAAGCTGGCGTTTGTGGATCTTGTGGAACTTTTGGGTTGCGATGTGATGATGGTGTACAGACAGTTGTATGAGATGAATGAATGATACCATGAATAAGCTCGTGTCTACGAAGTTGCCGATATCGTGATTTCTTAAGAATGCCGTCTATCACGCGTGCACTCACGCAGGAGAATGGCAGTTCAACATAGATTAGACCTTTTCGCCTCGGTTTGAATTCATTACCAACCTGCCCAAGAGCGAGAACGCTACCTAGCCAGCTAGTCAATTCGTATAAAGTTGCAAATGTGACATTGTTGATGGTTTAATAAGACACAAAACAAGTGATCCTCCTCTCCTGCCTGGCATATCACAAGCTCCCGAGGTAGGTAGGGTAGAGACACATATATAGACCATCAACTCGGGCCCAAAAAGCCACAAAAGCCCTGCCGCAATATGGAACGGGAATCAATGGTCAGCTTTTTCTCAAAAGCGCCAACGTTCCAAAGTATCTTTGTAGAATGAATCCGACTTTGAACCAATATCGTTTTCCCCATCATGTCAAGGGCCCAAGCATATCTCTTTTCTTTTCTCCAGTCCGACGGTTCTCGAATATGGGTTTCCACATCCTAGATACCACAGCATGCTCAGGTGGTTTGCTACGACCCCAGACATGTAGCAGCCAGCCCTAGCCGAAGCTGCCGCACATGAGCCGTAGTCATTCGGTGTTGGTCTTCACCCAACCTCTGGTGACTTATCACAGTCCTAAACAGCTGAGGAGTCTATAACCTCCGACCAGGACAAGTGGCGCATCTTCTCAGCGCCAGTTCCCCTGGCTCAGCGACAACAGGCCAGCAATGCAATCCATATCGGGCTTTTTACTGGGCGAGACCTCTCCGCGCATGAAGCGCTCAACCTCGTTGTCGCGCTTTCCGGGACCGCGAGCACGCTGCTCGGCACCGGCATTCTCCTTCTCGCCGTCCTCGAAGATCAACACGAGCGCATTCCCCATCTTTCCACCTCGGGGTCGCGGCGAGGGCGCCGTATTCGCCCTCTTGCTGCCCAGAGGTGTGCGCCTGCCCGAACGGTCCTGCTCGCCCAGAACGCGTCCAGCGCGGCGCGAGTTCTTGGCTCCTCGCCTCGTAGGCAACTCCGGAGACTTGCGCGACACGGGTGGTGGTAGGGGTCGCCTTCGGTGCGACGGGTTGCCCTCCTCATCCGGGCTCCAATTCTCCTTGTCGGAATCACCCGACGGGCTGAGAATCACAGAGAGGGCTGACTTCTTTTCCGGCTCCAGCACTTGGAGCACTTCGGATGCCGTCTCGCGAGCCGTAGGCCTGTCCGAAAACGAGACGGGCGGCAAGCTTTGCATGCGCGCGATGCTGCTGCTCGCTCGGCTGAGCTTAGGTTTCTTAGCCCCGCCTCGGCCCGAGGTCTTGTGAGCCGGCGAGTTACGTTTGCCAGGGTTGCTCTGCAGGACGTTCGGGCTGCTGTGGTTGTTCACCAGGTTGTTGAGGCTGGCAGAGCTGCTGCTGGACCGCAGCAAGCTGATCGCTGCGATTGCTGAGCCGGACGACTCGTTCTCAGCTTGCCTGGTCAACTCATCACGACTGTCGGTTTCGCAACATGACTCCCAGGCGTGAACATCTCGTGACCGGCCACGAGAGAGCTGCGGTGGTAGATGAGCCGTAAGAGTCGAAATAGGAGGAAGGGTGATACCGGGGAGGGCGCTCCGGCTTCTCTGGAGAGTTCTGTTGCTGCGGACTGGCGGCAGGGTTTCGACATCCAGAGGTAGTTGCGGGGCGACTGGACGCGGTGGAGAAGGCTGTGAGGAAACCAGTCCGGCCTTTCCGTCCAAAGAAAGCGAGAGGCGGACCTGGGAGGAGTTCGAAGGTGGTGGCAGGATAGATGGCGAGTTGTTGACGGTGGACGCGGTGGAGGACGGGAACGAGTCGAGCCTGCAAGAGCGTTAGCACCGGGCCCGTGAGTGTACGCACAAGATTCGTACCTAAACGAGTCGTCTCCGGGCCTTCCCAGCGTGGAAGGGGTAGAGAACAAGTTCCCAGCGTTCCAGCGGTTCGACAGGTAGCCGACCGACGCAATGGAAGCCTGCGATAGGGCATGGGAGTCATTCTCCAGCTCAGCCTTCTGCGACCCTGGCGGCGTGGCCGCTTCTGGAACCTGAACTTCGGCCTTCGCAGGGTCTTCTGCAAGCAGTTGGACCGCCTCGACAGGTTTGGGAGAAGAGGCCTGGAATGGATTCTGTGGTCCTGCGTCGTCTTGAGCACTGGATGCTGTTCTTCCCGCGTCTACACATGCCCTGCCATCAACAGGCGTCTCGTGGAACTGTTCAGCGGCACGCTGCAGGCCAATGGATGCAGGTACCGGTTCGATCGACGTGGGTGCCGGATCGGACGACAGAATACTAATCCCACCGCCATATCGCAGAGCTTCGATCTCCTGCGGTGAGAGTGGACGCGATTTCCGACGGTCGTTTTGGCGACGGTTCTGGAACCATATCTGCAGAACGAACACAGTGTCAGTCCCAATTGGAGAGGAGATGCCGTTCAATCGGCTCTCGAGGCGCGTCATGATGTCGGTAGGGCGGGTCACGAACTTGGACTTCTTTCTCGTTGAGGGTGACGCGCTCTACGATGTCGAGACGCGCCGCCTTGTCTGGCTTTGGATTCGAGCTATACGCTGATTCGAGAATAGACTTGTCTTGTGTTCTAGAGAGGATAGAAGGCCAATTGTCAGCTGGACCAGCAATTACAGAGACCGGGTTTCGGGGGGTTTGTCCCATGGGTACTCACGTGGTCCTCTTCCGCTTGCCCTTGGGGTGTTTTTCGCAGTCGGGGTTCTGGGAGGAATACGACGAGTCTAGTCGAAAGGAGGATTCGAACGACAGGTTCGAGGTGTCTGGGTTGCTGTCCTGGGAGCTGTTGAAGGTGTCGTGGCTGTCGTGGGCTGCCGCCATGGTGGGTGGAGTCGACGCGGTGGTGGGGAGGGACATTGTTTGGACGGATGGTGGTTATGAATGCATTATATACCGGACGGGATAGGACGAAAGAGAAGGCTTCTTCAACACACGCACACGCACACAAACAACACTGCAACTCGTGAGTTTCGACGCCGACAATGGGAGAGAAGAGAGTCGAGGACAGACGACAGACAAGAGGAAGCGGGCAGCAGGTGAGTTATTGGAGGTGGTTTGGTGTTTGGTGGGGACTGGACTGTCTTGGGCGTGGTATTATTTGCGTGGGCGTGTCATGTCCAGAACATCCTTGAACCGCGTCCCTTCCCCCCAGCCCCAGCCACAGTCCATCTCGGCCAATCACAGTGCCCCGTCGCGTCTCTCGTCGTCCCAAAAGGGTAACTTATTTTTATTGACTCTGGCCTCGCATCTCCAGGTTGACGGGCTCAGATTCTTAGCTTGTCCACAAACACGCCGTCGCCGTCGCTGGAATCAAACTAATTAACCAAAGACATTTGCATCAATCAGTCAATTAAAGTGCATGCATGATATTGATGTCTACCTTAGGCAACACACCTGCACATATGACTAACTCACCTATATATGTTGTGTTGTCTTATGCATTGTGCATCTTGACTCTCTTGAAACTGACTTGGTAGATCACCAGGTTGAGGACACGATAGCACACAGGTCTAGTCTAGGAAGTGGTATAAGGCTATAATTAGCTGTTTATCCACCAGCCCATCGCATCTTCTAGCGTGGGATCGTTCAACTCAGATTTACGCAAAGTGATTCGTATGTACACTGTCCAAGTACTATGAGCTCTAGCACCTCCATGTTCTAGTCATACTGAAACCCGACACCCGGGCATTTGTAGCCGCGATGAAATCCATCGACCATGGCATATTCGTACCTGTCCCCAAGTCCTCCCCAAGTTCTGCGTCAGAGAGTTCGGCATCTCGTCAACCCCGTCCTCACCCTGTGGCCTACCCGCCTCAAGCAGATCCAGCCCCGGCACCGGTGATGATCTTCAAGAGCGGTGACCCACTGCGAGGCAAAGTTGGTTGATCTCAAAGGTATTTGTAGGTTTCGTGTGGCTTGACGTTGGAAGTTTGATGATAAATATCAGGCCAACGAAAAATGTGCTTTGGCTGGGTTAGGAAGTAGGTAATGTTACCGCGTCTCCGGTGAGCCCGTCTTTCGTGGCTGCCGCTTGTGGAAGCTAAAAAGATATGATCCAGAAACACCATGTACTTATTAATGACTCGCCCACCAGCTTCAAAATACGATTTCTTGAATGGCATACCTTCACGAGTGGCATATCGGGAAGGCATGTTGGAAACAGGTTACATTGCGTCGTTATCTAGACCCCGCGTAATTCATTATTATCAGGATGGTATGAAATGGGTGAAATCAGGCACGCAGGCTAAAACTCATGACCAATGCACGTTTGGATGTCCAAGAGACATATATAGTTCTGAACCGCCCTAGATCAATATTCCCGCCCGGCGCCCATCAACTACCCAAGAAAGTAGGGAATCGGGAAACAAGGATGTCTCCGTGGTTGGTGCTTTTCGCAAGACTGAGGTGATCTATCTAATGGGTCCTCATCTGATCCAACCCAGGGTTCTATTTCTAAAGTTCTAGTTCATCCCCAAGAGGCTCATCTGCCTTCGCAACGGGCTTGCGCTGATGCTGCCGTCCTCGCTTGCATAGCAGGCGCTATCGGTGTCGATGTCCCATTCGGGTTCCTCCTCCTCCTTAATTGTGGCGACCTCGTCTGTCTTGTTGTCAAAGCCTTTCTGCGTGGCAGCTCGTGTGTTCCACTGCAGGGTGCGAGAAACGCTGTCGAACCACTCGGTACCAGTGCTCATGACTGTAGGGAATGGATATTGCGACGCCGTGATGGTAACGTGATCGCCCTGTTTCAACTCTACCCGACCCTTGCCATCGAAAGCGCAGTACGCGGTGGCCCGCGAGTTCCTTGGAACGGAAACGCGGAGAAGCATTGTGTCGCTAAGCACCATTGGCCGAAAAGACAATGTGTGAGGGCAAATTGGGGTGAGGAGGATAGCAGGGATATCCGGATGAACAAGAGAACCTCCAGCAGAGAGAGAGTATGCTGTTGACCCTGTCCGATCGTTAGTTTGCATGTGGCCTTGAGGGGATGTTGATCAGTACGAACCTGTTGGTGTGGAAAAGATGCAGCCATCGGCCTGCACCACAGTCAGGAGCTCGTTGTCTCCATAGAGCTCCAGGTTGGAGACGTAGGGCGACGGGCCGCGGTCAATGACGAGCTCGTTGAGCACCTCAAACTGTTCGCCCTCTTCCATTCCTTGTCCGGACGTCCCGTTGCGGAAAACGGTGCAAGTGAAGCGCATGCGTAGGTTAACGCGCATGCCTTCGCTGCCCATAATTCTATTGAGCTGCTGCTTATACTTTTCAAACTCGAATGTTGTCAGGAAACCCAAGCTGCCCAAGCTGAATGAGAGGACCGGCGGAACAACCCGCTGGAACAGCCAGGACGTGAACAAGACGGTACCATCACCTCCCAGAGTTAGCACGAGGTCGAACTTCTCTGGCTGAGTCCAGCATAGGTCAGGGGACCAGTAACGGAGCATGGACTGGTAACGAGGATCCTCGTCTATGATACTGGCGGCCCCGAAGCGCTTCGAGTTGCGCAGTTTGGCGTCAACGTAGACGTTTATGCCAATATCTGAGCCGTACCGAGGAGTCTTGAGCAACCACATGGTCAACTCCCTGGTCATATACACCAGGTCGTTATCGCGGGCCTTGGTGACTATCATGACGTTGCGCACAGCCCGGCGAATGGGCCTCCGCTGGAGTTGTTTCGATACTTCCCGGACGCCGGTGGCAGTCTGGACAAGTCTGGAGTGTGACATCCACTCATCGTTCTTGATCTCCTCCAGAACCTTGTCGATGTCGACGGCGTCATCGAAGCGATTGTGGTAGAAGCAAGGCGACTGCAGAGAAGGGAAGGCGGTGGTGGGCGTCATGGTATGGTGGGCGAGTTCGGAGAGGGCGTCGGTGAGTTGCTGAGACGACGTAGCAGAGGTGGACGGTCGCCTGTCGTCGGCGGGATGGGCGTTCAGCATGCCGTTCAGAGAGAGTGCCTCGGGCTTGTTGTTGCGGGCGACGGAAGCCAGTGCTTTCATAATAGTTTGGCGTGGGACCGACTCGACAGACAGGGCGTTCTGGCGGTGCCCGCGCGGGTGCGAGTTATAGTTCTGGAGCACGGAGTTTGGGCTCGTCAAGCCGGTAGCAGAAGGCTCTGGCGATGATTCGCCTTGGTCGGCATCGTGGGAGAAGTGAATGGAATCCGAGGCGGCCTGGGGTTGCGGTAAGTCCGGGGAGGCCGCGGCGCAGGTGGTGGGTGATGAGTGGGAGCCCTTGTCGGCAGGGACGGTTGATGATGCGCCGTCAGCAGCAGCAGCAGCAGCAGCATCATCTGGGTGATGTGGGTTGCCAGCAACAGGGTTGGCTGAGTTGGTGCTGAGGGCAGGGTGGACCTCCGTGGGCATGGCGGTGGATGCCGTTGGCGACGCCACCAGACCTAAATGAGCCATTGCCGTGAGACGGTCCCACAGCGACAGACGAAGCCGGTGCCGAGCGTTCCAAGGACAGGTACCTCCCGCACTTGGCAGCTAGGCCAAAGAGAACGGTCAAAGAAGCGCCGGACGAGTCCAACAAGTCCAAAACCCGACAATGGAACTTTGCGAGACCTAATGCCGGATCTTGCACGAGCTTGGAACGTTGCAGATTCCAGTCGCCTGGATCACACTGAGTTCCGCTCCGTCTTCAGCCTTTTAATAGAGGTCGTGTACCGGTACAGTAATTTATCTCTAACAAGCGGTCAGTCTCCAGCGTCAGTCACACCTCCAGATGTCGTGTACCGTAGCACATCTGTATCGGGTTCCGGCAGACCACTGGTTGATTGGTCATGCATGTGCACTTGGCATCAAGACCACGTGGTCGTGGTCTCTGGCTAATCACGGCTGGGGAAACTCACAGTCTCACAGGTCTGGACGAAACTTGGATCGATCTTGCAGATGACAACCTAACTTTCGGTAACCAACAGCTGCGCACTCGGAATTGAGATGGTTCGTCGATCCAACTCGGATGTGTGATGTGCGAGTTGGCCTGCAGATGGCGCGAGAACCGGCTCGTTCGTTGTGTGATTGATGGAAATAGGGGCCGAAGTGACGAAGGCCGTATGGAATGGTTGGCACTGGGTATCTGCGAATCGATGTATATGTCTATTAAAAAGGAAAATTGAAGAGAATGAGGTTGAATTTCCTGGACGAAGAACGACAACCAGGGAAAGATATTAAAAGTAGGTAGGTAGTAAGGGTGTCGAGTAAAGACGATTGAGGTAGTATTGGTTTAGGAAAGAAATGCACACACAGAGACTGGAGATGATTGCAAGAACTACCAGAGCTCTGCTTTGCTGAAGACACCCGGACGGTTTGGGTCTACGATGAGAAGACTGAGGAAGCAAGAGAGAAGCCTCCAAGAACGCCGTGCTTGTCCGTCCGTCTTATTATTCGGCCAGGGTGGAGAAGCTGGAGGCGGTTGGTTGAGCGGGCATGCAGGAGCCAGACACGCCTCTGCCAGAGCTGTTCCCAGTTGTCCCGACTCCCCAGTTGCCGCTACGCGTGCTTAGACTGTGGAGTAGCATCTTGGTGGGGAATAGGACGAGTTCCGATTCTGGAGACTGGAGCTTCTCCATACGAGCCCATATCTGCCCAGCTCAAGCCTCAAGCATCAGGCGCAGAATGAGGGAAGCCGAACAAACGGGGAGGCGTTATCGCAACGAAACGAGGATACGCAGTAAGCGGTGGCAGTTTGACCCACCGCGGCCTGGCATCCATTCTCCTATTTTCCCTCACAGATCTGGTGCGGCTGCTGGAGTCCAAGTCTCATCCTTCGCCCTGGAGCAGGGGTGCGAGGCGAGGAAGGCATAAGGGGAACACATGCTCGTCTCACCACCCGCTCTCTCAAAACATGTAGACTGTACACGACAGGGCTTGCTACAACTTGCACCAGAATTTGGTATGCGACATGTACTGGACACCTCACTCGAGCCTACTTCATCTTCAGCTTCGCAATACCTTGCTGCATAATCATAAATGTTTCGAGCCTTCACCTGACCGCGAATCCCGCGTCTGAAATCTCATTAAGCAAAACAATGCCCCTGGCGGAGATCACGCATCCGGAAACTTCGTGGTACGAATCAAGGTCATAGAACGTAGATTGACAGTGGTAAGCCGCCGTCCTACCGGCTTGTGTCCTCCGCTGCTTCATTGAAGTTCCTTCAAGGTTCGTGGCTTGGCGACTCATCCATCCGTCAATGCCAAGGGCTCCCCATAAACCTCAACAATTAGTCAAGTTTGCCGCTCGTGTTTGCGCACCTCAAGCTCGCATGTCAGGTTTGTCTGCAAGGGCGTGTCAGGGGGGCCTGTGCTGTCGCGACAGGGATGTGATGTTCTCTGAAGGTCGGATGAAACACCACGTAAATCCACAATGACAGCCCCAGACGAGGGCCTGGGACAAGCCCACCAACGTAGCGAATGGGAGACTGCTTTGCTGACCATGGTTGGCGCTGATCGGCCTGTGGACACACAAAGACCTTTCGTGATCTCCCTTCAAGCTGGCAATCAGCATATGCATCTGCATAGTGATCCACGACTACCCAGCGTGAGATCCCGACGTCCCCTCAACGTACAAGATCTTCGGCAGCAATTGTATCATACCTCAGTCGATGATTTGCCACATGCCGTTCTGGACATCAGTCGCTTGGGATATTGACAGTGGATCGCATTGTCTTGGGAATCCCTCGACATTGGTTCTCGCCCAATGAGTACGTGAGCATCAACCGGAGAAAGCTCACGGTGACGTTTACTTCCAATACAGATCCGAGGCTGTCTTCTGCTCCATAGTTGAGCGTGTGAAATGCTTCAAGTCCGATCCGACAAGCTTGTCGTCATCCATGAGGACATCGGTGTCGCCAGTCGTAGTCGGTGGGTAGCATGTACCTTGCGCTGCAGCTAAAGCGTCGTCCCACTCCTTCATGCTGAAGCTTCCCTCGCTTTCGGCAAGGATTAATTCATCGTGTGAGGTGAAGGCGAATACATGAAAGGACTGAGACTGCTCAATTTGCCGTCCTGTCGGACTCGAAATGATCCTCCGATCCCCATGTTCCGGGAGGATAGCTAGGGCAGTCGATGCCAATGTGGCCCTCAGCGGGAGCGCAGCCGAGAGTAGGGACAGAACGGCGGTTTGTAGCAGAGCGGGCAGGATAGGCAGATTCTAGAGCATTGCGTATTTCTTGTCAGCCTTGAGACAAGCCATAGGCAAGAGTTGCGTAGTTGCGTACCAGGTTGGCCTGGGCGACCTTTGCGTTGGCATAGTCGTTCTCTGGTGCGACGGTGACCTGCAGAACGACCTGGATGAGGGTGCGCGGGAAGTTGTTGACGAGGATGATCTGGCGGAGAGTCGACTGTATTAAAGACTCAAGGTGTCGCTCTCGTGTGCCTGTGAATCGATTGCACCACGTCAGATCAGGCATCAGGCCAGAATGGAACGAGTTTCAGTTGTGGCCGTACCTCCTACTCCGGCGGCCGGTCGTACGATGACATCGACAGCAGCCTCTTCTGGCAGTTCGTCTCTTCTTTGCACCTCAATGGGCCCGTTCACAGCGCCGATGACAGTGTAGCCGGCGTACGAGAAGGTGGCAGAGCCATCGGCCTTCTGCAGGTAAGAAAGCAGAGCTTCTGGTTCGGTAGTGACTGTCATTCTGATTGTGTACCGTTGACTGGACTGAGTCGCGCGGCTGGCGTGGGAGAAATGGCGGTTACGGAAATTTTCGTGATGGAGTCGGGTCACGGGTGGTGGACGGACGTCAGGCGGTTTCCCGAGATGGCGGGATTTCAACCCCGCCATTAGCGCAATTCAGCTTCGCAGCTGCACAGAGCTGTTGCTTCCATTGCGCACGTGGAAGTTGGAACCAACAGATGGATGGACCCCTGCAGGAATTGCTAACGAACAAGGGGCAGATGTTCCAACTTCCCCCGCGTGTCACCAATATAAGAGTGGGACGGTTTTAGAGCCTCACCACACCGTCACACCTTCACACTATGGCTCCAACCACCTGCAACTAATAACTACTACCGCTGTCGAGCTCGCCATCTTGGTCGTCGCTTCGATTGGACAGATCTGACCCTCCTCCATACAGCCACCAAAGAGTACTCGATCATCAGTATATCTTTCTGTTTGTGCTTACTGCGACCACTTTCTCTCTCTCATGGGACAGCAACGCTCCCGCGAAACAACATGGCCACCCAACAAACTGCCTCGACGCTTCCTAACTTGAAGGACTTGATTCCCAAGTTGGAACCTCGGCGGCGGAGGCCGGGACCTTCGAATCCACTCCCGTTTCCTGAGACGCCTGCTCTGCCGCCGCCCCCGGATACTTCCACTCTGACCTTCCAGATACCAACCCGAAGGATTTTGTCTACTAAAGACCATGAGCGCTTCCTTTCGTCACCGACCTACGGCCTCATCCTTGCGTTCATATTTGGCCTGTCGGACGCTGTCGTAGATACGCCGATCTCTGCTATCAGAGACGATGAGTGCAGCGCTTCTGTCAAGGCCATTCTCGGTGTTCTTGATGAAGCCGAGGGTCTGGTCCAAAGCACACCCCCGGATGACGCTGAAGGATCACGGTTCGGGAACAAAGTCTTCCGCGTCTTTCTCGACAAAGCAAAGTCCGCGAGCCATTCCTGGCACCAGAAGCTTGGCGTGTCTACAGACGATGCCATCTCCGAGGTCGAAACTTACCTCAACCAGTCTTTCGGCAACCGGACCCGCATAGACTATGGATCAGGCCATGAGCTGAACTTCATGATATGGCTGCTGTGTCTATATCAGTTACGGATCGTGGAAAAGTCCGACTTCGAAGTCTTGGTCTTGAAGGTGTTCACTCGCTACCTGGCGCTCATGCGGACAATCCAGTCAACGTACTACCTGGAGCCGGCTGGCTCACATGGCGTCTGGGGCTTGGATGATTACCAGTTCCTGCCATTCCTATTCGGCGCCAGTCAACTCCTTCACCACCCCTATATAACACCATTGGCCATTCACCAACAATTAACCATCGAGGAGTTCGGTCACGACTACATGTATCTCGGCCAAATCGACTTCGTCAACAGCACAAAGACCGTCAAGGGCTTACGCTGGCACAGCCCGATGCTGGATGATATTTCATCGGCCAAGAACTGGACCAAGGTCGAAGGCGGCATGAAGAGGATGTTCTCAGCAGAGGTCCTCAAGAAGTTGCCAGTGATGCAGCACTTCCTCTTTGGTTCATTGGTTCCTGCCGTGGAAGACATGAGTACTGAAAGTGAAGCTGGTGTCTCGCATGAAGAAGACGAGACTGAAAGTGGAGCGGTGGTAGTCGAACACGATGGCGTCAAGCATGTACACCAAGCAATAGGCTGGGGAGATTGCTGCGGTATAAAGGTGCCAAGTGCCATTGCAGCTGCTCAGGCTGCAAAGAAGAATGGTGCTGGGGAGACGTTGCGTAGGATACCATTCGATTAGCTGGTCGAGCTGCGGTCTCGTACGGCCAAGTATAGCTTGACGAGTAAATGTACTATACGCAGTCACGCGGTACCCAAGTTGTGAATCGGTGTCTGACCTAGAACCCTATCGAGATATAGGGCATCAATGACTTGACTCACAACTTGTAATGGCTACAAACCAGACAGGGGTAAACTCGATGCTGCAAGATCATGTAGCTACAACATTAGCCAGAAGAGAGACCCAACTGCTTGAAGTCTACAAGGGTTACCTCAGCTTGTAAGCTGAGTAGACGCGTCGAGACTGTACACCCGGAAATATGCTGCTATCTGTCAATTCTGTATCTATATCGACGCTGCATCACCCTCACCAATTGTAAAAGGGACCTCACTTCTCTTCTTCGGTAGCCAAGTGTATGACTATTTGCTCAGTCATGTGCTTTATACTCCGCCGGAGCGAGACCTCTCTTTCGTCACCACGACAAGAAATGAGTCGACGGCTGGCAGCACATATTCGACAATGTCCTATAACTACCCCTCCTAGGACCCAGGCCTAAGGAAGATGCGTTCTCCCTTGCTCCCCGGCCAGCGTGACCAGGGCTAATGACCTTGGCTGGACGGTTCCCCATCCAAACAAGCTGATTTGATCATGCTCGGGTCTGCCCGAGACTTGCATCTCCAGCAGAGGACAGCTCCCAAGGGACTCGAGTCTCGTTTTCGGCCATGAGAACTGTGTACTAGTCTTTGCTATATGCAGCCTCGACGGGCCAGGCTATGAATATTTTTTAAGGTAAGTACCTACCTGACGCACATGTCGAACCCGTCACCCACTCCGGGGTCCCAAGGACGAGTAACCCATTTGCAACTATCCGCCGGCAACGTCCCCCGCCGCCCCTGCTCCTCCATGAAACACATCAGCACTCGCTGGCCTCACTGGCATACCCTTCCCAACATGCTACTCGACTGTATAGGTATTCAACTCTCGAACCCGAAAGCCCACCTATCAGTTACGCTGCCAGCGAAGTGAGGAAAGCCTAGTACCCATAGCATATGCCCAGCAGGCAGGATAATGCAGTAAAGGGGCGAAGGACACAAGGGGTAACAAGTTGGTGTTCGCATAAACCTGATAATAGCAGCTTACCACACACGATAACAACTCCTCGTTATGTACCCCCGTATAACCTGCATCATGCACATAGCTTTACGTACGTGCCTAAAGCATATCCTTCTATTATAAGGGGTTATAATTAAAGATAATTTATAGCATTTTAAGGCATTTGCGTTGGCTCTTCCGTTGCAGTCGAAGAGCTTAATAATATAATAAATGGTATTATTCTGTTCCGTGAGGTTAAGGTCATTCCACAACCTCCCTTTCCAACTGTGATGTACCCTTGTTTTGCTCTGTAACTGGATCACCAGTGGGCGAAAAGCAGAACAACTCGGTATTCAAGTCGGCAAAGAAGCTTCTGTCAATTGGATGTGCCAAAGGCAAGCCTGTATTATAGAATTTACAACTCAGGTGAAATTCACCTCTGTAGAGAGGAGATGAAGAGGTTTCAGGTCCGTCAAAGATGGACCACAGTTGGACCCGAGAGAGCCAGGTCAAGGATTGGAGTAGGGTGCCGTACAGTGACTCAGTCAGCGGTTAGAAGGGACTCATAGTAAGAATTCATTTGGTGAAAAGGCTTGTATTCATCGCCCGATTGCATGCGAAGCGGTAGGGCCATCCATATAGGGCTTGACCTCGACACCCTCCGACAGTTGTTACTCTACAAAAATGTAATGCTCGCCAATCTCCGTGATGCCTGTCTTGAGATGAAATGCAATGCGACAGGGTATCAGAGCAACATCTTCGAAACGCCTGAAACTCCCTTGACCCAAACCAGACATGCGTGTGGTAATCGAGTGAAAGCCGCCCAATGCTGTTCCCTTGCCAAATCATCGACACCGCTTCGAGAAGATTCTGATGGTACTGATCAGTCTTCCCATATCGTCTCCAAGTCAAGATCACCACGACGCTCGGCTCCACACACACTCCAGCGCTTGCGCTTGTCTCGTGAGCCAACACCCAGAGTTCTGCCACGAACTGGGACGTCCAGACTGCCTCGACCTTTCAAATCCCCACCATCTGCTGCGTCTGCAGCAGCTTTTAGCTGTGCAATATTTTCAGCTTCCAACGCTGCTTCCTCTGCATCGGGTGTATCCGGAATGGTCTCCAAGCTAGAGATGCTAGGACTCCGTGATCGAACCGAGCTTGGCGTAGATGGAATGGAGGAAGATAGATGATACGAGGGGAAACTGTAACTGCTTGTCGAGCTCTCGTATCTGTAGGATGGCGATGATGCAACAGTTGATGGCGATCCTGGTATGGAGTAGATCGAGGTCGGTGTTGAGTATGCGGTGTATCGAAGTGGGGACGATGCCCGTCTGTGGGAAGCATTGCTCGCAGATGGAAGACCCGGGCCTGGGGAGCTACTTCGCTCTGCCAGTCGTTTCTCTCCATCCAAAACAGAAGATCGAACTGGTGAAGTTGGAGGGAAAGCCTCGTCCACGGGCTTTCGCGGCGCCCGATGTCTGCTAGGAGATCCCGATGGGCTGGCGGGGCGAACCAAAGGTGGGTAGAGTATACGACCAGCACCGTCAACACCTGGCATAGATCGCGTGCGGCCCATAGACGGTGGCGCGAGACTTGCAGCTGACTTGGAGCGAGTATGTGCACCAGACAGAGGCGACGTTGTCCGAGGCCTGTAGGGAATTGATGCCGTGATAGGCCACGATTGCTGGCTCGGTGAATAGGGCTCGGTCGATCGACGCGGGTTGGGAGGTTTGCGATTCTGGTCCAAATCGTTGGGTGCAATAGCAGTCGGCTGGTGCAGGCGCAGCGTTGGCAGAGGCGAGGATCGGAATTCCTCCATCCTCTCAGTCTCGGGAACTGGTTCCATCTTCAATCCGAATGTCAGTCTTGGGCTGCTACCGTGACCTTGCTGTCATGAAAGTGCAGTCGACTGTAGGTTGCCACGTTATACGAGGCGAATATCGGTTTCAGAGGCGAAAGCGGGCGGGGTATTGTCGTCGATGGTGGTGACGCTGGAATGCAGGTTTCAGGTGACAAGACAATATGACCGACCAAACGATGAAGCACCAGGGAGGCGGGACGATATATCTATCGGCGAATTTGGCCTGTCGTGCAACAGTAGAGGATGTGCTGGTTCATATGTGTGAAGTCAAGACTGATCTGGCCGTGTAGGCTAGACGCAGGTCACAGGTCGTACGAGGGGTGACGGTATTTCGTCTGGGCTCCCTCGGCGTCTCGGACAGGCGGATATCTGGTAAGGTCAATCGGAATGGCTCCGAAGTGAGGCCTTCCCTTGTATCAAGACCCGTCGTTAGTTGGCTCGGGTGCTGCAGGTGTCGAGCCCATCAACAGTGATGTGCCGTGGGTCGGAAACACCTGGTACACCTGGCATCTGGTCGAAGGCGGGATCCTCGGTGTCGAAAGGTGCAGGTGCAGGTGTCGCGGCGAGGGAGCAGACGGCAGAGTGAGGAAGAGGGAGAAGAGGCAATCTGAAAGATCTGGAAGTCTGGGAGTGCAGAGACGGAGGTCAAAATAGGAAGAAGGGTCCCTTGGCCGATAGTCGCGGCTGTTTTCATTCTCGGCCTGGAAGAGGGGATGCCAATGGCGGGCGATAGGACGGTGTGCATGCCCAGGTGTGGAGGTCGTGGTCGTGGTCGCTTGAAGATCAGCTGCATCTGGCGCGCGCCCTGCCACTAAAGCCACTAAAGTCACTAGAGGCGCCCATGCCGCACCACCAACTGGCACCTGGCAGGTGCCCGGGGCCCAGATCCCAGACGGCCTCGCTGCCTTGACCCACCGCCTTCAACCTTTTAACCTACGCTAATGCCTGAACTCCCCTGGTTGACCCTGATCTTCCCTGGTGACACCTCCTGCCTGCCCCTATCCCTCACCTCTAATTGGTGCACATGAACTATCTCCCAGCAATATGCTGGCCCATACCTAAATGTTATGGACATACAGTACATATGAAGAAGCCAGCCCTTTGATATCCATTGTTGGACCGTCACCGCCAGACTTGCCTGAAGTCACAAGTGTCGACGAAGCCTCCGTTGTCATCTCTGCTATGCTAATGACCGAGCAATTATCCGCAGCGCTAGGTTCAGTCCCTTACCCACTGACTCGTTGTCAATGCTATGCAGTCATGACTCAGGAGTGATTCTAGACTGAGTCTGGCTTTATGGCTCGGCTCGGCGCACAAAAGGTAGTCCTGATTCGTTCCGGGTACGACTCTCATGACGGGAGAGTAAATAAAGCCAGATAGCAGCTAGACGAACCCCTGTCAACTGTGGTCAGCGTCTCTCATCCAGAGTCATTTCTAAAGTCACCATAGATGTACCTACCCTGTCGACAGTGATGATAGACTTCAGCATTTGCACTAAAGGGACACATTACCTCAGGCATGGAGGCCAAGCAGGGGGACTGAACGTTGATAAGTTCAAGCCCAACCCAGCGTTATGAGCAACAGCCCAATGAACCACACACGTGCATATTGTTGATATTATGAAGTGATGCCGGGATGCGTGTGCCATTATGCGACAGTATGATAATACATCCTCAGCTCAGTCTAATAAGCCTGTACACAGTAGCAGTACGACTTGTGCATGGCCAGTCATCTTTACTTTCACTTATGGTCGTGAGGTGGGCATTTGTTTGTTTTCTGAGCATTGACATGCATCTGATAGACTGATACCATGAGCAATGGATGTGAAGGCTTCAGGTTTGGTACCCGGAATGGATCTTATCTCAATATAACTGGAACACCTCCAGAAATAATAATAACTGAGCATTACAGTCTTGGGTCTTATTTTACTGCACTGATATCTTCCAGGTGCGCATGAATGGACGTCCGCACCTGTGACGGCATTTCTGTGGCTTAGCTGAGACTGAGAGGATGCAAGGACCAGGGAGTCGACAGGGAGGGACACTCGAGCTCCAGATGTTCACAGGGATCTGAATACGATGCTTGGCACGAGGAACCCCATACCCATGCCTACCTTAATCAATCTGCGCAATAATAGTAAACACTCGGTCTTGACACAACTGTCTGACCTCGCTCAGATGACTTCATGTTTTGTTGTTCAGCTTGGGATGAGGTTGAGGACTTCTAGTACTTTAAGGAGATGATGATAAATGACTATGCAGGACCAGCATACCCGGAATATTTTGTGCCTTACATGCAGATAGACGAAAGATATGTACCTACCTAAGCTTTCGAGGGAACGTGAGGGGGAAGAGTGGTTTCATATCCAAGACCTGATGAGGCTGGAGGTGAGGCTCGTAGGTCCAGTTCAATGCAACTAGGTCTGGTCAGTGGTGAGCACGCTGCATTCACGATTCCCGTCAACTTCGTAGGTACTTTGTACTTTACCTAGCTCCGAAGTGGGCCCGTTCCTGATACGCTAGAGCTTCATGGGCCTGCACTTATCTGGCAAGTCGCCAGTTTGCCTACATTTCCATTTCACAACGTCTTCATCCTCGCCCTTCCGACACGGTCGCATTCTAGCCAGTTGTTCTGCTGGCGCTTGAGCCCTTACTCTTAACCCAGTCGACGCGACTCGACGCCCTCAATGGCCCGTGCCGGTCGGTGATTTCACTTGATCCAACAGCCGCACTCCTATTTACATCCATGTCCAGACTGTGAGCCGGGGAAGACAGTATCGAATCCCGCCAAATGGCGCGCGGCATGGGGCCAGTCCGGCTACGGAGGACGAACTACGTGACTCTGTCCATTGGAGCTGTCTTGTGCCTCTTTATCATCTATTTCCTCGTCCACAGCGGTTCCGACGCCCCGTCCTCGACCTCGACCTCGGCCTCGAAAAACGCGAACCGACCTCCAACCCGCAAACCGGCCTTGAAGTCGAGTCTCATCGGTGACCGACCCCCCGTACGCCGCTTCAACCTCAACAATGTCACAATCACCACCGATCCAATTGGCAACCAGGAGGCCGTCCTCATCTTGACCCCGATGGCGCGCTTCTACCAGGAGTACTGGGACAATCTGATGAAGATAAATTATCCCCACGACCTCATCTCACTCGGCTTCATTCTACCCAAGAACAAAGAGGGAAACGCGGCCACAATTGCGCTACAGGCGCAAATCACCAAGACGCAGAAAGGGGCAGCCAAACACAGGTTCAGGAGCATCGTTATAGAGCGTCAAGACTTTGACCCTCCCCTCATGTCGCAAGATGAAGGTGAACGACACAAAATGGAAAATCAGAAGGCGCGGCGCGCTTCCATGTCCAGAGCACGGAATTCGTTGCTGTTTACCACCTTGGGACCTGATACCTCCTGGGTGCTCTGGCTGGACTCCGATATTGTTGAGACGCCACCGACTCTGATCCAGGACCTCGCAGCACATGACAAGGCCCTCATCGTACCGAACTGCTTCCAAAGATATATCGACTCCGAGACGGGCAAGCCAGCGGAACGGCCTTACGACTTCAACAGCTGGCAAGACAGTCCCACAGCACAGGAAATCGCCGCCAAGATGGGCCCCGATGATATTCTTCTCGAAGGTTACTCCGAGATGGCGACCTACAGAGCTCTCATGGCCTATATGGGGGAAAAGGAGAATGACGCAGGCCTCGAGGTCGACTTGGACGGCGTGGGAGGCACGGCACTGCTGGTCAAGGCAGACGTTCACAGGGACGGTGCCATGTTTCCACCCTTTCCGTTCTACCATCTGATTGAGACAGAGGGCTTCGCCAAGATGGCGAAGAGGTTAGGTTGGCAGGCTGTAGGCTTGCCAAACTACAAGGTAACATCTCACTTGACATGGAACTCTCCGAGGGCTTTTACTGACTGAACTTGTCACAGGTCTACCATTACAACGAGTGAAAGTTGTCTTACGAAGTATTGTCATCTGTCATGAGTCTCGGGACTTTGCATTTGGGAGGCGAGGAGTTTGAGCCGCCCGTTCGGCACGTAAACGCATCGTAGTCGAGCGGCATCGGGCCGTCGAGGCTGACGGGGGACGGTTCCTGTAATATACCAGCATCATCACGGCAAGGGGTTGTCATTGCCACATTCTGATGTAAAAGGCAGGGCCACTGATAGACGGAGCCCTCACGACTACTATACAGAGGTCCAAGGCGTATTGGAAAGCATAGAGGCAGTGTATGCCTCGCCCAAATGACTGCAATCAAACATTTCGATTTGCTTTTCACAGAAAGCAAACCTACGGAAGTCTGAATACAGTATGCCAATCTTAGTGTGATTTCGTAGAAGAAGCAGGATCCCAAAATCTTGCGTACTCTCATGAACGCCTGCCAATTCCCAGCTCGATGTACAGTTTGCCAATGGCTTTTTCCCCAAGTTGATACAAGCCCTTGACCAGAGCAGTCGTACCATCTTGGTGGATCAATGGCTATACCAATTTGATCTTGTCGCAATATTCCCTCGCTTGTTGTGTGAATCATGCTGCGCTCCAACGATAGAACCCCGATATCAGAAACACACTCCTCGGAACCCCTATACCTTCGGTACATCACCTAGCGAACCACGCACAACCCAAGCACGCAACCCCCTAAGGCCCCTCATACCGCCCCCCCTCGTCGCGACACCAGCACCGCACCAGCGCGGCGGCGCCCACGGCGTCGCCGCCGCGCAGCAGCGCCGCGACGTCGACGTTGAGCGGCGAGTCGGTTTCGGGGCAGCCGAGCAGCATGCGCACGGCGCGCACACACTCCAGCACGCTGTACGCCGGCGTCCATGCCTTGCCCAACAAATCGAGGCAGATCTCGCCCGACCGCAGCGCCACGTTGGCGTGCACGACGGGCGTGCGGAACGCGATCTGGGGCGGCTGCAGCGGGTAGGCGGACGGGATCGTTATGGTTAGGAGCCAGCGGCCTTCTGTTTTTTGGGGGAAGGGGAAGATGTTAGTTTGATTGAGTGGTGATTTGGGGGAGAGGGAAGGAAGAGGAGGACGGGAAAGGAGGACGTGAGGGAAACACACCATCGTATCCGCCCCCGACGCCCCGGCCGTTGATCACGGCCTCCCAGCGCAACAGCTCGTCCTCGCCGACGGGGCCGAGCCGCTCGATGCCCGTCTCGCTCGGCGCCTCCTTCTCCCAGACGGCGAGCTCGCGCAGCAGGCGCTTCGTTGCGTTGCGCGACGACGACGATGACGACGACCCCGCCGACAGGGCCGAGGTCGCCGTCGGGGACTTGGGTCTGCTCGACATCTACGGGCGTGTCTGTCTGTCCGTTGTACGTGTATGCGCGTGGCTCGGCTGCGGTATCGGTCTCTGTCTGTCCGTCTGTCGGTTTCGGACACTGGTGCGTCGCGCACCGGGTAGTGGATCAGGGAGTTACTGGATTGTTTGTGTCCTCGAGCTTCTGACGGAGCGGAACCTGTTGGAGCGCGTGAATAGTTGATTAGGTACTTACTTTGTACGGGAGCGTGTAAGCCGAGTCTATCGATGAACGACATGAGAAAGCTTCCAGAGCTCCACGGCCTCCAGCTGCCAGCCACAGTGCTGCGAACAGGGGTCCGGTGCGAATGGCGGGCGAAAGGCGGGAGCAGCCGTTGACTTTGATGAGTGGATCGCGTCTCGGTATAACACTACATCCTACACGTACATACGTGGCCTATGAGCCTAAGGGGGATTACTATGTAGACCTGTTCATACCACACTTCGTCGCTCAAGGGCGAAATGTAGTCCGAATTGTCTCTCATCAGATCATCCCTCCCAGGCGACAGCAAAGCTCATTCTCGACACAAATAATACAATCTAACTGTTGGATCTATGCGATTCCACATTCAAACCATCCATACCGAACCCACATGTATGATTAGATAAGAGATTAGATACCGGATTGTGAGGTCACTTAGCCAGACCTGCGAGTCCAGCTAGATCTCCCAATCCAACCATCAGCAACATCATGACCTTGACCCAATACTCGAGGATTATGATTGATCGTTCAAGCCTGTTCCAACACTAACAGTTATGCTACGAATCGACGCTCTCTACATCTGACCCGTTGTTCCCTACCTTACCTTGATCATTAGTTTTGGGACAGCTACAGCCACAATCTTAACCAGCATATAGGACCATATTAAGTCCAGATTACGTTCTGGGAACAATGCATCAAATCAATGTATCAGCAATATATGTTCTTCATTATGTTGTGTACAGCTGGAAACCGCGGCCAGTCTAGTGGCCAGCGGCCAGACGGTGGGCAATGCCCAACACTCATTTTCGAGTATCAAGTTCCACCAGATGCTTGTCCCATCTTTGCATCACATCATCCTCTGCCGCAATGCTATGTCCGAGAAATCAACGCCACCAGCCCTACCCTCTCCCGATGGCAGAATGACGTGTTCCGCCCATGTGATCATACAATTCTTCGCGTCTGGAAAAGCAAAGACGAGGTAGATAATAGCCGGGCGAAAGGCAGATCATCATGAAATGCTCGTGGTGTGGTCATCAATCATCGTAAACCAGCCCTTCATTGAGTCGAGACAATCGATTCTGGAATAGTCAAGACGTCTCCAGTTCATCGACTGTGAGGTATACCGGCGGAAGTGGGCCTTATCGTAAGAATCCATAGGGCCAGTGGCCGTGTAAAGGCCGCCTGACAATTGCGATAGTTGTCGCGCCCAGATAAGAAACTGCGTGGACATCATCTTCGCCCACTCCGTCATCGATGAGCCGAATCAGGTACTACGTTTCCGCTACCCTTCTCAACTTCTGCCTCGTTGTGCGCTTTGGAGGAGCGCCGTCGATGAAAAAGTCCAGCCAGGACAAAATGTCGAAGTACCCTCTAGGACCCAGTCGACGTTTTCGGCTTCCAAAATTGCATCATGCGACTCAAGCGCTTCGACTTGCTCGACTTCTCCTTTTTCTCCGATTCATTGTCGCAAGGGACCTCCATATTCAGTTTGCTTCTTTCGCCGTGGGCGCTACTGATCAAGCGGCTAAGACTGGCCAAGCTGGATCTACGACGCCCAAAAGCGGTAGACGTGAAAGAAGCTGGCCGTTGATCATGGAAAGGCATGTTCCTTGGTCGAACACCTGGAGCAAACGTACTGTCTCGAGTCATAGTTGAATTGCTGCTCGTTAGAGAAGGGACATCCACCGATAGTCGCACAACTTCAGGCCCGGGTTCTCCCATTAACAATGACTGAAAATTGGTTTCGTCAGTGATGGAGGACGGAGCCGTAGAAATCCGTTGCGCATCGTAGGACACTGGCGAGCGTGGTGATGGGAACGAAGAGGCATGGCTCATCGAATATGGACTGACGGGTATCGATAGGGCCGCAGTGGGCGCCACTGGGTCTGCATTGATTGAAGCGACATCATTGTTGCTTACGACCCTGCGCGGCGAAGGTGCAGCTGAGCCGAAAGCCTCTGCACCAGCTGCATACACGACACGGCTCTTAGATGCGCTGTGGCTGGTCTCCTCTTCCAGAATGACATGCTCGTGCAGCGAGTTGGAAGAGTTCTCAGTCCTCACTTTGGAACCAGGAGGTTGCATGTCTAAGCTCGAGCCGCTGCCCTTTCGCTTTACGGACGCGGCAGTCTGACTGTCGGCGGGCCCAATCGGTAAGCTGAGATCGCGCTCTTGTGTGGGCGTTGAGGTGGCGTCATCAGTATCAGATGCTTCATCGTTCTCATCGTTTGCAGACTCTTCAGACGGACTACTCGCGCCTTCGTCGTCATCGTCCTCTTCTTCGTCCTCCTCAAAGACGTCGGCCATCGTAGAGGAGCTACCAAATCGATGGATACCAAATCTTCCAGCCTCGAAGGGTGGCATCTCAGGCGCACTCTCGGCTCGGCGATGGTAATGCATTCCGGGACCGCTGAAGCCTCTCAGTCCTGCGGCACTGTGGAGTTGCCGCTTAGGCTGAGTGCCGGGCTTCTGCGCCTCTTCCCATTGCGGATCCCGAGATGACGGGGTGTTAAAGGGGCCTAGTGCGGCATCAAGATCAATCATGGGATAAGACCCCTCGTCGTCAGTTGGAGTGCGTCGTGGCTTTGTGATCTCGGAATCTGAGGAAGGATGAACATCATTCCCACCTAGGTTGTGCGAAGTGAACGAACTACGAGGTCCTAGAACATCATCCGAGTCCTCATGCCTTGCCATACGACGCAGAGGCGGTGTTTGAGATCGGCGACGTGCCTTTGACTTCTGTGATGGTGACTTCGACTTGCGCGTCAGAATTGAGCCTGCCCAAGACTTGACCTTCTTCTGCTTTTTCTTTCCGGGAACCTTTCGACCTTCCGATTGGGACGCGGGGCCACTGGTGTTGCCATTGTCTGCGTTCATGCTCTTCTCAACCAAGGGGGCCACAGCTTCAGTCATTCTCGGCGCAGAGACCGACGAACTTGAACTGACGGGGCGTGCTTTTGTGGGCGACCCAGCGCTGGCCAACGATTCTAGGCCGAAGAATGACCATCTTTTTGGCGTCTTTATGGGACTAGGCGCAGGGCGCTCAGAAGACTTCCCTTCGAGTAACTCATTCAAAAACGGAATAGAGTTGCGCCTCCGAGGGGATGGAGCGTTTTCGGTTAAAATGTGGAGGCTCGGAGTACGTTCAAGCACTGCACCTGCTGTACTGGGGCGACCTGCTGTACTTGGGCGAGAACCAGATTTGCTGCTCGAACGTGGTGACCCTAGAAGGGCCGGCGGATCACGGTCTGCGCTTGTTGTATTGGTCGCGGATATAATCGAGGAGATACTTCCGGACACTGAATGCCCAGGTCGGCCTGTTACTGTACTGGCTGTATCCGTCGATACCAACGACAATGGACGTGGGATAAATTCGATGGTTTCGGAAAACCCAACTCTTGCACGCGTGGCTGGCTTCGCACTTGGTTGAGATTGAGGACGACCTGTGGCTTCCTGAACGTTTTTCTCATGTGGTGCTTCGCGTTGATCATCCACTGTTGGTTGCGCTGCCACATCTCTACCACTCGGCTCGGGGAAGATGCGAGGTTTGTCGTCGAAGTCGGCGGGGCTGGCGGGAGCACTGCTACCTCTGGAAGGGTTTGGACTAGTTGGTTGCAGTATCTTTGAAAGATCATGACTCGAGATTGCAGCAGAGCGCCGATGAGCATGTCCTCTCCTAGAGCTAGGCGCGGTCGTCGGCGCTAATGTAGGCGACGCAAAGCCACTCTCTGACTTGGTCGGGCTTGTACTCATCAATGTGATCGACTCTCCCGATTTCAGTTTGCCGCCTACGAATTCACTGGTGCCCCGTCGGTGGCCTATGTTGGTTGGTATCGTTCTTGGTGACTGTGGAGAGATTGGTGGGCTCAGTAGAGACGTGACCGATTCGGTTGCTGAGCCAGGATTGAACGAGAAGTCTGGCAACGCAGGCGATTTCGAGAGGCGGCCCACGGTTTTCGGGCTGAGTGTGGCGCCCGGATTGAAGTTAAAATCAGGAAGCGCTGGCGATCGTCGTGGGCGATCGAACGACGCGGTGCCAAAATCGAGACTGCCGTCCTGTAATTCCACAGCAGATTGAGGCCGTCGTCGGGCCGTGGCTTTGGAAAACGAAGAAGGTGCCGACGAAGCTGAAGGACGAGCCGGAAAGACGAAGTGAGGATTCGGCGGTGGAGGCAGATTGATGCGAGGCGACGGCTGGGGACTAGCCTGCGCTGCCATAATGTCATCCGAATTTGTACGTACCACGAGCTGGTGTGTTTTGACATCGTTCGTATCCCCAATGGCAACGGCTTCCATTGGGCTGTTGGTCGCGAATACAGTTGCCATCTTCCCTCCAAGCCGCTCCCCGGCACAGAACGAAGATGCAACTAGGTACAGGAGGGTAGCATAGAATATCGAGTGAGCCGCGTCAGCAGGGAGAGCGTTAGGTCTTGGATTTGTCGTTTAACATGGGATGGTATTGCGGTGATGGGGCAGTCCAAACCGTGGGACCTCTAGGATGAAATGCGGGTTAGTGACTAAATAACAAGTGCTGCCTGCGGTGACGGCGTGGACGGCTACGAATCACAAGACTCGCAATCCGACTCGTGATACCTCGGTACGTGGGTGAGGGCAGTGATTTCGGGGAGTTACGAACCGGACCATGGATTGATGGTGGCGTGTGTTGGTGGTGGTGTTGGTTCCCTCGACGCAGCTTGCTGCAAATCGATCGAAATAAGGCAATGCTGGGTAAGGGAATGGAACTGAAGATGCGAAGAAAAAAGGAGCGGACGGCCAAGGCCAGAGCAAATCTACAAAAACAAAGATCTGCTGCTGGAGTTGAGCCAGCACTTAAAGGTGGTGATCTAGTCGAGGTGAAGGGGATGAGAATGGCGAGGAGAGGAGGAGACGACGACGAAGAGATTGGTCCCACTGCCAGACTCTCAGCCCGGGTTTCCGCCCTACAGACCACCAGACCACGGTCCACGGTGCAACTGCCCAGGTGACGCCTCAGGCGTGAAGTTCAAGGGCAGGCTGGGCGTGCTGGGGCCGCCGGGGGACATTGGATGGCCCGTGCAGAGAGGTACACGGCGCAGGCACAGGATTGAGATCGCTCGCCTGGCGTCGCGCTGCTCGCGCCTGTTTTTAGTTGTCTAGCGCAGCCAGGAGTGGGGCAGCAGCGACATTGGAGACAGGGGCCGTTGCAGGTACCTCCACAGCTGCTAGCTTGCATCTGGACAGCCCTGGCACAGCATCCACGGGCTGGCACGGGTAACGGGTGATAGCGATGGCGGAGGAGGGAAACAACCCCATGATACCGGACAGCAACAAGCCAGCAACACACCAGCTGACCAGAACCCCGATGTTGTTCTCAGCCTTCTTCGAGATACACCACCTGAGCACAGGTTTCAGAGCTACACACGTCGAACCGAGAGCATCTGTGATGTTCTACCAGTAGCCCTGCCTATTTAGTATTTACATTTTGTAAGAGGCAGCGAGCCTCTAGTCCTTGGCTATATTCAACTGTCTTTATTGTGTCGTACGTAGGCAGATAAGGTAGATCCATATGTCACGTTCATCTTGGTATGCTTCAGGCATTGGTGTTGCTCGTCGGTAGCTACTGTTAAACATTCCAGACTTTCTCATCTCTTGATACCATATGCCTTGGGTACTTGCTTTCACACAAGTAGCCATGGACACAGCGAGGTAGTTACGCTGCCAGATTTCTCTCTCAGGGGAGATAGGCGGGTAGGACGATGTAGGAACGTCAATGATCAAAGCGCAAGGTATCTAGATAGAATCATAGATATCTGTGGAGATGCCTGCCTACAATCCCACAGCGGATCTCTCGAGGACAGGGGAATGAATCGCACTCGTCTCCAAGCATCGGCGCCATTCGAGACTTATTACCAGATCTAGCTGCACTGAGCGACTTTCGTCTGAAAAGACATGTACTTCGGTTTCTCTTTGGGCAATATCACCCGTGGTGATTTCGGCCCCTAAATCTCTCGTTATTATGACTGAAAGCATATTACGATGAGCATCCAGTGAAACCAGTCACCAAAGGCTACCTACTTGTGAAAATGAACCGCAAATTCAGGTACTGGTGGCGGGGTACTTAGCCCAAGATAAATATAGACACCATAACATCAATATACCGGGTTGGCCAGTTCAAGTTTATCAGTACCGGCTAATCAGTCTGCCACAACTCCAAACTAGATGTTCATTCGGCAGCGAAACATCAGCCCCTTGGAAGGGTTTGTTTTTATGAACAGCTTCCTGGAACATCCCTGACCGCCCGTGTCGGCCGTGGTACTGGACACTGGCAGACTGAACAGCCCCGTATCGAGACCCTGGAAATTATGCAATTCGACGACCGCTTTCCTATTCGGGATGACTCTGGGGTTTCCCTGTTTGCTCTGGGATTTCTCCTGCGGCACGCATGCAGTTGTGGAATGCGCCAAGAATTGTAGAATAATAAGATGCCTCTCGCTCGAAACCCATTGGTATCTTTGTTTCCAGGCGGCTGCGCCCTTCATGCTCTCTGCCCCCAGCTCCAGAGTCGTTTGGTTTCGAAGTCAACTGCTCGAGTCAGGCCACGCCTCGGCCTGAAGCATCGACAAGATGGGAAAACACTAAAAGAAGCCGAGCTGAACACTGTAGATATTCTCCTCCACTGGACCTGTGATCGACTACAGTAGCGCTGCACAGCCGGTCTAGCCGTAGCCCACATCTGCATGCTGTTGCACACTTGCAGGGCCGTCAGCATTCCCACCAAGGCCCATGGGCCAACCAAGACAAACGGATCCGGTGGGGGCAGATAACGCTGCATGATACCGCCGTGTCCATGTGGGTATTCGGCCGGGTAAAGGACAAGCAGATCTGGCTCTGATTGCATGGCCACTGACGAGGCCTGTCTCCAATCCGGTGTGCTGCAAGAAACGCAGCCAATTCGCTATCATCATGGGGATTCTGAGCTTGACCGCCGCTTGCCTGCTTGGTTACCACTAGGTAATGTACGACACCTGCATGCAGATTTGCAATGCACACCTGCAGACGGAGCCTCCGATAACGTTGTCGTTTCCTGGCTGGTAGGATGGTTGGCTGGGCGTCTGGATTGACCTAAGATTACTGGATGTATCCATGTCCTCATTCACGCCTAATAATGCAGATAATGCAGGTAGTAGTTCAGCTGTGACCTGTCAGGTTGTGACTTGGCAACCACCCTCGGCCTCAGCTGTCGCACTTGGTAGCCGGCCACGTCCCAAAAATATCGTGGGAAACAAGCAGTAATCTCGCCTCCAGCACTGAAGCCGAGGAGTCACGAGGCGACCTCATTTGGAAGATATGTCATAAGACAAACATCGGCGTGTTATTGCTGGCGGCTACGCCTCAGGCGCGCACGCCTCGTTCTCCACAAGGAGCGAACCCGGCAGTGGGCGGCGCTCACGTCTAGTTTGTTGTTGTTACCAGGCAGCCCAGGTCAGATCTGGTCAAGTGATGCCAGAGAGCATGCGCAGTGGATATTATGGCTGGGCAATATCGGAGCTACTATGGTGCGACCCAGAGCTACCGTAATGAGACGCTGGTTACCGGACGCGGAATCGAATTAACCATGAGACCATGACGACGATGTCGGGTAGGCTGGTAGGATGCCATCGAAATCCCAGGATACGCGGCGGAGGCGCGGGGGTCAATCTGGCACATCTGGCAAGGCAACCCCTTGTGCGACAGATTGCCATTCTGCAAAAGCAATCTGAAGTTCTCGAAGTTCGAATTTGATCGCCTGTCACCTGTCAGCGCCACTCTGTCGGGCTAGCAGGCAAGGCAGGAAACATCTGAAGAAGGCCACGCGCCGTAACAATGCTTCCTTACCTTACGTCTTGTATGGTGGACGAGTGAACCAAAAGAGCCATCTAGACTCCTAGACTCGGGCTGGACAACAAAGGCTTTCGATATGTGTAGATCACTGACTCGAGTACATTATGTAAAGTGCGGGCAACAGCCTGCACTTTCAGGACTGTATGTAACGCACCTACTTTACATACCTACCTGGAGACAACGTATCATTGATTCTCAGACAACCTTTTGAATGTGAACGAACGCAGGTATGGAGAATATTTCCATCGCGCAGCCGTCCACTGCCATTTGGAGTCGGCTGAGCCCCACTGGACCCAAACCCAATCGAATTATCGAAAAGACCTCGGGAGCGGGGCTCTGCTGAGCTTGGGCCAACCTACCGAATGAATGCAACGGAAAAACTCTTCTTCCCCCGCCTGTCTTTTCCCATTGCGTCCCCGAAAAGTAAATCGAATCGAGGGATGGAGTCGACGTCTTTGCGATACACCATGTTACAGACCAACATATACTTGCGCGCACCCCAATAAACGAAAAGATATCCTCTGTCGGCAATACCGACCCGTTTGACCAGTCCGCTACCATACGTGCCATAGCGTGACCGATTTCACTATCATCATGTCCAGCGAAGCCGTCCCGACGACTGAGGGGCAAGCTCAGCCCCAACCCCAGGGCATGCGGGTAAATGGTACGCGATGCCGATATTCTTTCAACGATGACGAAGTAGTTGACAGCTGTAATATAGGCAAACAATGGCATGCGCCTCGAAAGGCCTTCCGCCCGACCTCCGGCTTGACCACGTTCGAGAAGCGCTCTAGGCAACGCATCGAAATGGCGGCGATGAAGGCAAAAGAGAAGGAAATGAAGGACGACAAGGAGACTGAAAGAAAGGTGCGCTCATCATCGTCATCAGCATGTGGTCTGCGACTCTTCCCAGGCTGAACTACTGGATTGCAGCAACGAGTACAACGGATCAAGGACAAGCGCGCAGCGAAGGAGGAGAAGGAAAGATACGCCAAGATGGCAGAGAAGATGCACAAGAAGCGGGTTGAGCGGTTAAAGAGGAAAGAGAAGCGCAACAAGGCCCTCAACTCGTGAACGATCCCGACCGGACATGCCAAAATCTCCATCTATATCACCCTGTCGCTACGACATCGGAACGACAGTCAAAGAGGAACAGCCTGTGGGGCAGTAGAAGGGCCTGAGTTGGACATGAGAGTCTTGAGGTTTCGTGGACGGTCTGAAAAGATCATGCAGTAGACGGATATCGCGCCTCGAGGCGGGACAAGGGAATGGCCCATTTCCGTCAGCTGGGATAAGCGAAGAAGACCGATAACTCCAACGTAGTCGATGCTGCCTGCGTCAGGTTGCAGGGGCTATTCTCTGCCAGAATATGACGAGCAGCCACGTTTTGTCATAACTAGCAATCCTCATGTGCTATCCAGACCCTGATATTGTCTGAGTGTCTCTGCGTGTTCAGCCCTTTGGCTCTGCATGTGTGTCGAACAGTGACATGTGAAGGCGGAACTTGCCACAGTGGGGTTATCTACCGATCGCCGTTGCGTCTTCGGCCTACGTATTCCCAAAACGCCAGCCAGATCGGGACGGGCGTTTCATTATCTCAATTGCTGCAAGCTCCCACCTTGCATTCGAAGGTTGACATCTTGTTGCTTTGAACCGCAAATCAACAAGGGCACCCTGAGATCGTGTGCTGGCTACTTATTCAGCCAGCCGCTCCAGGAGGCACCATGTCTTCCAAATTTAATGATTTCGAGCCCCTGAAACAGTCCGCTACATCTCCACAGCGCTCACGCCACCAGTTAAGGCGATCCATCACCGAGCTGTCGTCACCCGTCAAGCTGCCCCGACATCATCACCTCCACCATCACCACCACCGGAAAGGTCGCGATCGAGATGATCACGTTTCGGTATCCGCAGGCCCAATGTCGCATCTACCGCGCGGCTCGCTCGACCTCCTGCCACGATCCGAAGGTACTACGCCCGGGGTCATGACCGACACCGGCAGCCGACCAGACTTCCTGCAGTTGGAAGCCGAAAATGCCGATGGTGCTCCAGCGTCTTCGCTGAGCAAAGACGAGCAAATACAGAAAGAAAGAAGAAAGGCAGCATCAGCCACAACGTTCGTTGCCCGGGCCCCTTCATTGCAGCTAACTACAAGACTGTCGCTGTACTGACGAACGAAACACAGAGGGTTGAGGAAATCACTCGTCGACTTGAGTACCTTTTCGAACGCGACGATGAGACGCCTGGATGATACATACTACTCGGTCTTGGAAAAGCTCAGCCTGCTGCAGAACACAATAGTCGCAATGAAGGAGGTTGCTGGCATGGCCGACGAGGTGAACGATGAGTTCAAAACGGAATCCCAGGGGCTGGTTAGCGATATTGAAACGCAACTCGAATCGTTCGGCCAACTGGACGATCAGCAACAACGCATCAAAGAGTTGCAGGGCCGTATACATACCGGCCGCGACAAAGTACTGGCTCTGAGCAAGCGAGTGGACGTTGTCCGTGAAAGAGTTGAGGATTGGGAAAGAGCCGATAGGGAGTGGCAGGAGAGGACTAGGAAACGCCTCAAAGTCCTGTGGACCATCATGCTGTCGGTGGCGTTTGCCATGATGCTCCTCTACGTCGGGGCTCAGTATGCGCCGGCGGCTATGGATGTATCTATCATCACCGAGTTGGCGTCCGGTGCCAAGAATGAAAGACCGTCAATGGGCGAGTTGACTGGGAACTCAAGCAAGAGTGCAGCCGCTATGACCGATGAAGTGAGAGAAGCGCTCAGTCGAAGGAGAGATAATAGCCTGGCTAAGGACGAGGCGCTGCGAGCCCTTGACGAGTTATAAGCGTATTCTGTACACATGTCTTCTGCGTCATGCCACACATTACGATGAAGGAGGCTCGCCGGGATCAATGTTCTACAGACTCGGAGCATTTAGTTTTGGTCCCAGGATGCATATATGTACCCATTTTAGCTTATGAAACGTCTTTATTGACTTTGAGCTGGCAGGTTTATCCTTGGTTTGCTGTGTTCTTGTGACAGATCTACCTCAGGAGTACCTAATCTATCTACCACTATCAGTAATGAGCAACAAGCCAAGAGTCATATGTACACCAACGATATCTCTACGACATTGGAAAATACATATAATACTGCGTTTAGACTTGCTACCCATGGGTCAGCACGCCGAGGCTAGTGGGATGAATCACCAAGCTTGTTGCATGAGGCTGGGCACACCATCGTGCCGTTTCCGACTACATGTGGCTGGAATACGTGTCATCGACCCCGCTTCACCTTAGCTTCACCTTGGCTGGTGAAATGGATATACGGCATCTCATTCACGGGTCTCTGACTAAGCCAGTCCACTTAGCTTTCAAATGTACTCCGAGCACGGCGGCAACCCGGGTATTCGGATAGGTGTTTCGGTGTTTCTTTATTAATGTTGGCCAACTCTAAATAGTTGTGATACCAGGATTTTAATAAAGGGGCATTCAACATGAATGTACAGTACAGGGTAAGCAGGGGTGCTGCGCACACATGATCGACTTAAAGCCCCCCCGCCAACGTCATGTCTAACAGCCCTTCTGAGCCTGCGCGTGCCAAGAATCTGGGCAGTTGCACCATAGCCGCCAATTGGTTGCCCTGCCCAACGGGCATCAGGTCGTTAACTCTAGCGAGTTGGCTCTAACGATGGCTCCTGATCAAGAAATGGACTGGCATTCTATTGGCACGAGAGTCCAACCAACGGCAAGCGGCACGTCTGTTGATTATCTGCTGCAGTGGTTGCGAACTTGCGACAGGATGACAGGGTAACCGGCACGTAACTCTGAATTGTGACTACACATACCGACCTAAACCGATCACCACCTGGGCACCCTCACCCTGCTTCTGCTTCTGTGTACCTTACACGCACTTGTATCCCACCGCCGTGCTGCTTTACCTACATTACTGTACATATCCTAAGTCTATAACGCTTTTTGGCTTGTGCTCATCGCTTTCTTCCCTTTGATTGCGCAACTTCTTGTTCCAGGCAGACCCGATCCCACGCTCGAGACTGGCTGACTGGGATACTCTATGTGCACGAAGCAGCCTACGGACAGGTAGCTAACAAAATCCACCGCGAGCTCACGACATCACAGTCACCAACCTACCCCACCACCACCAAGGTACACGCCATGTAAGCTCCAAGCTTCCTCTACTTTCAAGACTCCCGAACCTGGGAGTAGCCGTGAGGTGACCAGTCTGATACTGACCGACGATTCCACAGAGATGTCTTCAGCGACTCCATCGCAAGATGGCTTGTCCCGCGCGGCGCCCGTTCCCGCCCGCAACCAGAGCACCGCCTCGATACCTCCGCCGGGCCAAACACTGACGGGCAAGCAAGAGCACTGTTCGTACAGCCGGACCCGGTCTACCGTGTAGCAGGTAGCTGACAACCGTGCGATAGACCTCAAACGCGAGCTCGTCGCCGAGCAAGTCAACTGGGAGATATCCGAGCTCAATTCCCCGACCGCTCTGCGCAGATTCGGTGCGCCCTTCAAGTCGGATTTTGGAGAAGTGTCACCACTCGATTCCGAGCTACCCATCCTACGATACATTTTTGTACATTTCGTACGCGAGTTTCCCTTCCTCGACAAGGCGAAAGAGAAGGAGTTCTGGCAGGACAAGTTACAAGTGGTATGTGGCCGTCCTTGGCAACATCACTTCGACGTTGGGCTGACATGGATATGTTGGATGTCTAGTTCCTCGAGTCCTTCGCGAGTAAGGACATCTCCGGCTCCGAGGATCGCTTAGAAGAGACGAAGCGCAGGAAACTTGCTATAAAATGTCGCAAGCTCGTGGAGCTCATGATGGTGTCCGGCGTGCCAACCGCCTCGGGGTTTGAGGAGCGAATAAGGTTCGCAGAGATGGAGATCGTCGACCGAGATGCCATCGACACAGGCATGATGAACACCATACCGGAGGGTAATTACGTCAACGGCTGGGATGTCAACGTCGCCGGTGTCCGCATCACTTCGGTCAAGAGAAACATCAGACACCATAAGCATGCGGCAAGCATTCCTCTTCTCCCGGATGGAATCGCAACAACTGACTTTTTCTAGGAGTTCCTCTTGCGCGTGAAAAGGAAGGGCGAACTCGAGACTTTTGTGAGCAGACGCTACGGTGACTTCGCGCGCCTGTATAAACAGTTGCGGGCGGAGCTCCCTGGCAAAGTCTTACCACCGTTGCCGAAGAAGAACAAGTCGGATACTAATGCTGGAGGCTTGTTTTCGCGTATGACGGATGCTGGGGACGATTCTGATGGTTCGTCCATCTCGTCTGTGTCCACAGCCGCGCCAACCCAAGGCAACGGGGGCTTTACAGAATCGATGAAGAATTTGACAGTCCGGGACCATCGTCGTAATAAGTCGACAGCGTCGAGTCGTGCGTCACCAAGGCCGTCCGTGGAGGGTCGATCGAACCCAGTTCCACCCAGTCCTAAATTCGACGTAAGCAAATATTCCAAGGTTGAAGACGACAATACTAACGTGGTCAGAATATGGTCCTGTGGCGCGAGGATCAGCGTATCTCATTGAGAGCGTTCCTGCGATACTTATTCCACGACCAACAGATTGCGCAAACCAAGGCACTGCAAGACTTCCTGACACATGACCCAATTACCCCGACAGATGAGGATGTCGATGACATACTTCGTCGCAAGGCTGTAGACGAGAAGCGAATGGAAGAGCAGAAGGAGTTCTACGAGATTGCCAGGAGAAGGGCGGCCGACCTCGATGTTTACATGGAACAGTTCCGGCAGGACATCGTCGAGCGAAATGGATTGACCATGCTCTTCCAGGAGATCAAGGACAAGCCGACCATCCAAGACTTGAGTCTCCAGTACCAGAAATTTGCTGAGTGGCTGCGCATCGAGGTGGCAGCGACCATCTATCATTTATTCCTCGCCGAGGACAACTCTCCAGAGCTGTTTGCGCAGTTGAAGAGGATTCATTCGCTGATCCCTTACACCATCATGAAGAACGTTATCCGGATCGCCAACCCTGCTGCTGTCATGTCTGGAGTGCTTGACCTCTTCTTGGCACAGCCATTTGGGGCCCGCTCCCTGATGCAGCGTATCTTCACCATGACACTCAACGACGGCATTCGGAGTTACCAGAAGGCCATCGATGGAGTAGCAAGCAAGATCGGTGACGATGTATTTGTGACCAAGCTGAAAAAATTCAGCGATGCAGAAGATAACGTCAAAGCTGCCATACGGGAAGAAGCAGAAGCTGATGATATGGACATCGTTGTGGCTATCTTGAGGTCCGATTTGATTTCTCCGGCGCTTAAGCCTGATCAAATCGGAAGACTCTACAACGCGTATGTTGCGTTCAACAATGCGGTGGAAAACGTGGACGATGAACTCAAACAAGGTGCACAACTGTTCTCATATCTCAAACAGCTGATGAAGCTACAAACGAGACAACGCGACAAGGTCATGATGCTACGTCTCATCGAGGAGCCGGTTACTCTCAAGCTACTTCGAGACCTCTTCACCATCTTCTACGAGCCTCTTGTCCGAGTATACAAGTCGGCCAATGTGTACAACAGCATCACAGACTTTGCAGTCTTTATTGACGACATGATTCAGGTAAGAATACCATACCAGATGGTCATCTTAAATACTGACACCAAGGCTAGGTGGTGGAGAAGTGTAGAGAACAAGACGCTTCGGCGGATCCTAACCAGACAGTGCAAGCCTTCATCGACCTATGTCAACGACATGAGCACAATTTCTACAAGTTCGTCCACGAGGTTCACACGCATGACAATGGTCTTTTTACCCAGCTCATGGGTTGGATCGAGGGCATCCTCGAGTTTCTCAGAAAGGGGCCGTCTGGTGGATCGCTGGACATCAATGCCCTCTTCGAAGGCGGTGTTGCTAGTGGCAGTCTGGACAAGGACAAGGCCATCGATGAGATCAACCAACTGATAGCGTGGCAAGAGGCACGTAAAAAGTGGCATCATGACAAGACACGGCAGAAAATGGCTGCGGAAGGCCAAGCTGGGGTCGATCCGGCGATGCCTGGCATGGCCAGTCTGCATGCCAGTGATTTTGGTATAAACGATATGGACCTAGCAGATCTCAATTACGAGGAGTCAGATGAGGAGGCAGAGGCAGAAGAGCAGGATGAGATGGACCCCATAGAGGCGGAAAGACAAAGGCGCGCCAAGAGACAGGACCGGCTCAGGCGCAGCGCTGGCGAACCTACGAAGCCGGCGGTCAGCGAAGTTCATCATCTGAAAGACAACTTCGTTTTGATGTTGCGGCAAGTTTTGGCTCCTTGAGACCTATACTTAGAGGTAGCTGTTAGGGATAGAGAACCGTGTTATGGCGTCGTGTTGGGCTTTCAGACAAAAGTGACCAACAAGGATTGGTGTTGCGTTATACTCGGCTGGTTGCATTGAACGGACATGGGTAGAAACGGTAATCAAAAGAGTAACTGCATTCTCGGTCAAGACACATTAGACATTATAACTACCTACCTAGGCCAATTGACTACCAGACGGGCTACAACAGTTGGAGAGCAGTGACTTTCAATCCCTTGGTTCTCATAACTGTATATACAATGGGCAAGCGAGTGCTGCCACTATTAGTTATATTTGTCATGAGAGCGCGAACATGTCATTGACCGTTTGATCTTACAGACGTTGAGTCCATGCTCAACTCTAATCATAGTCTATGATGCTTGAACGTTAACGTTACCGTGAGGCTTCGTTCGGGTCAATCCGTAGCTTGAGGCTGTTTAGGAGGCACGTGATGAAGGTGGCTCGCGCCCGCCACCACCCGACCAGCCCGACTCGAGCCGCCCCAGTGGATCGACGGGTGGGCCGCGGTTCTCTCCCTCGGTAATCAACAAGGCCTTTGATGCTATTGGCTGCCGGCCAAGTCTGAATTGCCCTGCCCTGGGAGCTCCGGCCGAACGTCGATACATCATCACTTTTCGCCGTCCGGAACACTTCAAGCTTGCAGGACAAGAGCCTCATCTATCTCTGGTGTCACCAGCTCTCCTCTCCCCTCCTCTCCTTCCCTGTTTTGACTCACCCTGTTGGCTATGGCATCTTCAATGGCAATGAGAATGGTGGCCGCCGGCTCCGCCGTGAGTGTTGCTCCCCCTCGCGCCCAGTCGTACGGCCAGTTTTGCATTGCCGCTTGCCGGTTGGCCTTGGCTGTTGGAGATCGACATACTGATATGTTCTTGGTGGTATAGTTCTCGAGAACAGTTCGATGTCCGACGAGGGCATTCTCCTCCACGCGCCCTGTCTGTATGTTTTTACCCTCTGCCGCGACCGTCGCGCATCCAACTGACTGTCCATGTTAACAGCCCGCATCATTGCGAACAACCCGTTACGAGCAAAAGAGGCCCCGATCCATCTTAGCAGCAAATACCCGGTCATCGTATGTCACCTACATCCCCTTCGATCGCGAGAAGAACGTCCAGAATGGAACACGGGCAATTAACACGCAGTAGGACCACGAATATGATGCGCTCGTTGTTGGTGCGGGTGGCTCGGGTCTGCGAGCAGCCTTCGGTCTAGCCGAAGCTGGTTTCAACACGGCTTGTATATCGAAGCTCTTTCCTACGCGAAGTCACACGGTCGCCGCCCAAGGTGGCATCAATGCTGCGCTAGGAAACATGCACGAAGACGACTGGAGATGGCACATGTACGATACCGTCAAGGGTTCGGATTGGCTGGGTGACCAGGATGCTATTCACTACATGACAAGAGAAGCCCCCCAGTCTATCATTGAGCTGGAAAACTATGGTTGCCCGTTCTCGAGAACAGAGGATGGCAAAATGTACGTCTTGCAACGCTCGAGCCTACTGACTGCTTGTTGACTGTTTCTCTCAAGTTACCAACGCGCTTTCGGTGGTCAATCTCGAGAGTACGGAAAGGGTGGTCAGGCGTACCGGTGTTGCGCTGCCGCCGACCGAACAGGCCACGCTCTTCTACACACCCTCTACGGTCAATCTCTACGGCATCAAACCAACTACTTCATCGAGTTCTTCGCCATTGATCTGATCATGGAAGATGGCGAATGCCGAGGTGTCTTGGCCTACAACCAGGAAGACGGCACTCTGCACAGATTCCTCGCACAGAACACGGTTTTGGCTACTGGTGGCTACGGTCGAGCCTACTTCAGCTGCACGTCAGCGCATACTTGCACTGGTGATGGAATGGCCATGGTTGCTCGTGCCGGTCTGCCCAACCAGGATCTCGAGTTCGTCCAGTTCCATCCCACAGGTATCTACGGAGCTGGCTGCCTGATCACTGAAGGCTCTCGTGGTGAGGGTGGTTACCTCTTGAACTCCGAGGGTGAGAGATTCATGGAGCGATACGCTCCTACTGCCAAGGATCTTGCCAGTCGTGACGTTGTCTCCCGATCCATGACTATGGAAATCCGGGAGGGTCGCGGTGTTGGTCCCGACAAGGATCACATCTACCTGCAACTGAGCCATTTGCCCGCGGAAGTGCTTCACGAGCGTCTGCCCGGTATCTCTGAGACTGCCGGCATCTTCGCAGGTGTCGACGTCCGAAAGCAACCCATCCCTGTTCTGCCAACCGTCCATTACAACATGGGTGGTATCCCGACACGGTACACTGGAGAAGTCCTCACTGTTGATGAGCAGGGCAATGACCAGGTCGTCCCTGGTCTGTTTGCTTGTGGTGAAGCCGCCTGCGTCTCTGTCCACGGTGCTAACCGTCTGGGAGCCAACTCGCTACTCGATCTTGTCGTTTTCGGTCGTGCCGTTTCTCACACAATTCGAGACAACTTCACCCCAGGCACGAAGCCCAAGCCGATCAGCGCTGATGCTGGTGCCGAATCCATTGAGACACTCGACCAAATCCGCAACTCGGACGGCCCGAAGTCGACGGCTGAGATCAGACTGGCTATGCAGAAGGCCATGCAGACTGATGTGAGCGTCTTCCGAACCCAAGAGAGCTTGGACGAGGGTGTCAAGAAGGTCACCGAGATCGATGGCATGTTCCCCCAGGTTGGTATCAAGGATCGCAGCATGATCTGGAACACGGATCTCGTTGAGACCCTTGAGTTGAGAAACTTGCTCACTTGCGCGTAAGTGTCTTTGTTTCTACCGTTTCTCGGGATGTCACACTAATCGTCACCTAGTTCCCAAACTGCCGTTGCGGCGTCGAACCGCAAGGAGTCACGTGGAGCTCACGCCCGTGAGGACTACCCTGAGCGAGACGATGAGAACTGGATGAAGCACACTCTCACATTCCAGAAGAAGCCGCATGGTGGCGTCGACCTCGGCTACAGGCGAGTCATTGGAACAACGCTGGACGAGGCTGAGTGCAAGGCTGTTCCACCGTTCAAGCGTACTTACTAAGGAGTGATTGACCGGTCAAGAAGGGGTGAAACCTGAAGGATCAACACACGCCAGATACGTGGTGTGAAGGGGTAGGCTCGACATCTTAAGATGAAATGGGATATGTCGGCCCATCCGTCTAGTCTGAGCTGTTGGAATGTGGAATTGTATCTTAGACATGCTTAACGGCGAAATGTATAAAGGAAGAACGTATTTGGCTTTTTGACCTTTCGTAACCAACGGTTCGCTTTCATGGCCTCGCGGGGTAAATCCATTGAACCGCTCAGGATGAGGAAGTGCTACTTGCTATTAATGGTTTAACGTACAGTATGACAGCCTGGGTTTTGGATAAGCAGGTCGATGCTAAGACGACCTCGATAACAACGAGTTATACCCAAACTCGGCCATCAGTTTCGTTACTCTGCAGCGAATCCCAGGCTCGGTGCTGTCCCAATGAGGCAATACGGCTCACGCGAGGCTTCACGCTATGGTATCTCCTGTAAGCGGCACAGCTTATTCCATGGGGGACGGTAACCGGCGCTGACAAGACGGTTTCACTTGCGGTTGGGTGGAGGGGGCATACCAGACGGTCCTCGACCATGCGCCGTGTGAGATGGAAGAGGTTTTGGGGTTTGGGTTTGAGGTTCTTGGCGGTTGAAAGCTGGATGCAGGCATAGTCTGTAATGTCACAGTCTAGTATAGGAGTGATGTTTGTTTGTGTATACACTTGAGTATCTTATCATGTCTGAGAAGGCTGCTGGTCCGGCTTGACAAACGAGAGTGTTGAGTACCTAAGGTATGGTGTACCCTGGGACGGGGCCAACTGAATGAAGCATTCGCCGTTTATAACCCTTCGCATAGTCACCCTGAAGAGCTTCCACGTCGTACTGGTTTGTTCTCTTTGCGTTGGTCCTGGAGCAACACTTTGTGACCCATGATGGGACCGAGGGAATCATACTTCTATGTTACCTTAGAATAAATACCCAGGGCGCAATGCATTGGCACTATTAGACCCTTTCACTTCCCACTACTCTTCACATCCTGGCCCTCCATATCGCCGTAGTCCTCCTCAAGGACCTTTCCTCCGACTTCCAAGGGGACGCTCTCCTGGAGCACGTACATCATCCTGGCCCATTCACTAAGAACTTTCGTCAGTACCAGTGTATGTAATTCAGGGACAGTGACTTCAGGAAGGGTAGAAGTTGAGCCTCCACTCAGGGGCTCTGACGTTCGTGGCCTTGCAGACCGTCCCGTCCCCCTCAACGCTCAAGGAGCAGGGCCAATGGCAAGACAAGTTAGGTAAGTAACGCAGGAAAATCATATATTAGCTCACGTCTGACTCGGGTTCCGCCACGCATGCATGGTCCCGCGCTGCACAGCCAAATCCCCGCGCCGCATCAGCCTTGTCTCGCCACTATCGAGCACGAGCTCGACCTCGCCCTCAATTACAACACCATAATCCAAACTAACAGTGCGGTGCATGGGGCTCAGGCTGCCGGGCGGCGAGTCGACGTAGCGCACGACGGTGCCGCCCGGCAGCACGATGCCCGGGTGCTCCTCCAGGAACCCGGTGTATTTTGTGATGTCTTTGTTGGAGGCGAGTGAGACCGGCCGCTCGTCCGTCACGTACCCCAGCGAGAATTTGACCCCGTTGTAGATGGTCTTGCCCGGCAGGGCCTCGGGCAGGGCGCTGGAGAAGATGGCTTGGCCCTGGGCGTTGTGGTCGGTTATGTAACGCGTGAGGGGGGGCAGGTCGTTGGACTTGTGGGCGCTGGGGCTGGCTGAGGCCATTGTGCTGGTTGGGATGGGCGGTGCCGTATTTGTTTTCCAAGCAGGAGTTCAGTCTTTACTCTCTGAAGATTTCGATCACTGGTGCTTTTTATCAAGCGATTAAGTCACCAAGATAAGAATGTCTTGAGGTCGAACGTCTATAAACAATAGCAAGCTACCCGTATGGCGTGACAGGAGGCTCAAGGACCGGGAACCACATGCCGGCAAGTAAAACCCGTCGTCCTCCTCTTCCTCCACCTGGAACCTGTACCCCGCAGCCCGTAGAGAACTCCCGTGGCAGACGACGAGACGCATGCACGGTACGTTGTGACGGAGCGGGAATATGGCATTGTGACGATGCCGGTACTTACACACTGCCCGGCAAATGGGGGTGGGGAGCCGGTGGGGAGCCGACGGGTTGCGCAGGTGCCGGGGAGATCTCACGCAGGTGATGTCAAATAAGGTAATTATTAATAAAAGGGGCGGGGAGTGGATACGTTGCTGCTGCTCATCAAGAGTTATTAAGAGCAAGGATATGTGAGTTGCAAGTGATTATGTATGTAACCGAATTTCTATGGAATACAATAAGGCTTCTCGCTTCAAAGCAGACCTCCGGCTAAATTCATTCTATCCGCCGGCAAGAGGCAACGTCGGGGACTCCCAGACCCTCCACGACCTTCGCGCTGACGACGCCGTAGATGGGGACCCCCGCCAGGCCCGCAGCGATGTGATGCAGCGTGGGCAAGCTGTCCCAGTCGCCGGCGTCGAATTTGATGCTGGCCTTGGACGAGCGCGCCACCGACTGCACGGTGGGCGAGACCGTCCTGGCCTCTTCGGCGTGCGGGACCACGCAGGCGTACTCGACGTCCGCCTTGCCCGGCTCGCCCGTCGCGGGGATGTACTTGTAGGTCAGGATGCCGTAGTCGCTCTCGCCGCCGATGGTGCCGTGCTCCGTGCTCGCGTCATCGGCGTCCGCCTCGAGGTCGTCCAGCGCCAGGTCGAGGAACTTGACGCCCCGCCAGGACGCGGTCGCGCGGTATGACGAGGGTTTGCTGCGGTCGATGGCCAGGTCGCAGTGGATCTTGTTCATGCCCAGCTCGTCCCGCCCGGAGATGATGGGGTCGGCCAGGTTCTCGAAAAGGACCGGCAGGTACGTGCCGACGATCGAGGACCCGTCCTTCTTCTGGTATTCCACGCCGTGGATGTAGAGCCCCAGGTGGCTGTAGCCGTCGCCGCCCAGCCAAGACATGTTGTCGAGCGTTGTGACGGAGAAGCTGGCCGTGCATATGGTGGCCAGGCTCTTGAATCTGAAGGACGACGTGGGGAATAACGTCTCGAGATATGTTCTTGAGGTGATGAACTTGACTGACGTCGTCTTGAAGACGCGCTGAGAGTGGCCTGTTTGCATACGGCCGAGTGCGTCTTGCCGTGGGCCCGGGTATGGCCCAAAGGAGAGGGGCATCCTCCAGTACAGATCGGGTTTCTTGGACCACAGCCATCTCTTGAATACGTTTGCCGAGTTATCGACTTCGAAGTGACCGAAGTTGTACGCAGTGTAGGACATCACTTGACCAGGTTAGCATAGGCTGCTCGCTCTGCTCCCGGCCTACTTACTATCGATCTGGGGCTTGCCATCCACCCAGTCTTTTCCGGCCTGTCTAGAATATTCCTGGATCATGTGAGCTCTGTCGTATCGAATCTTCTCGTAGAGCTTGAGTCGTTCCGGAACATCGGCTGGGTCGGTGCCCTTGGGCAGAACGGTTCCGAGTGCTACGGCGTCTTCCATGGCTTGACCGGCGCCTTGTCCTTGGTCTGGGATAGTGTGAGTAAAGCGGCCAACAACAATAACCCAGTCCAGGGAGCACTTACGAGGAGTGAACGGGTGCGCTGCGTCCCCAAGGAGGGCCAGCTTGTCTTTCGTCCAGGATGGGAGCTTTTCCATGTCCAGTAATTGCCAGACCTTGAGCTCTGCAGGATCAACCTTGCTGATCAGCTTCTTCAAGGCCGGGTCAAAATCCTCATACACTTTCAGCACCTGCTCAATCGAGCCCTGCTTGTTCCATGCTAACTTTTCTTTAGCTTCCATCCGCTTTGGTACTGGCTGTCCTTGCTTACCATCGCTCTGGGTGGCATGGGACTCGGTATCCGGATGTATGAACACAAAATTGAGCGTTGCGTTATGGTTACACGGGTACATTACGACCCTCCTGTCCGCACCAAACCATAAGCTGAGCGTATTGAGATGCTCCACCAGAGGCGCTGTGACCGGATCCTCCAGCACATCTTTTCTCTGCAGAAGAAAGCGGAAAGCGGCTTTTCCTGAGCTGAACAGATTTGACTCCTGGCCGTGAACAAATTTCCTCGTCTTGGACTGCGTGTCTGTTGGTTAGCTGGCCACAAAAGGTAGGTACACCGTTGTCTTACATAGACGCCATCTGCCCCTATAACCACATCGGCAGAGATGGTGGTTCCGTCTTCAAGGCTCAGTTTGCCGGATTCAGCCACTACGTTGACGACTTTGCTGGCAGTGTGCAGGGTGGCGGCAGGTCCTGGTCCATCCTTGCCTGTGGCAGTCTCCTTGAGTCTATCATGGAGAGCAACTCGATGGACCAACTCCCATGGGTGCTGCCACATCTCGTTGGCCCCGGTCAAATCAATATCTCTGATGACGCCCCCAGCTGGGTTGTACTCCATTATCTTGTCCATGCTGTTGGCGCCGAAGGTCGAGGCAACGAGACCCCAGTGGCGCAGGATACCATTGGCGTTTGGTGCTAGATGCACAGCAGCACCGGTCTCACTAGAGAATCTGGATTGCTCGTAGAGCTATCAATGAGGAGTATTAGACCGTTTTCCCTCGGTTCTGTATGTTCTTGCTTACCTCGACATGATGACCACTGCGGCGCAGGGCGATCGCAGCCGAGAGACCACCTATACCGGCGCCCACGATGGCGATATTCAAGGGCGTAGGATGGTCGTGTACAAGGGGGTTAGAAGCTTGAACCCCGTTTGTGGCCATTGCGGTAGAGTCACTCGCCAGTGTGTGCCAGACAAGGAGAGCGGAACACCGGGCTCAGACAAGCGGACAGCTGCTTGTCCCAGCGTGACTTTAGCAAGAGAATGGGTGGAGGCACTTTCTAGTGAACAAGAACGCTGAAGGCAGTTGGTTCACGATGTTCTCAGCAGCCGAGATAGAGCAAACAAGTGACGAGGGAATCGGGATCACAGGAGGGAGGCATGTAGGTGCAACACAACATTCGCGTAAGTCGAACGCGTGGACCTCCCAGGCATCCGATCCAACCGTACGGTAGCGGTTCCGAACTCCGAGGTAGTGCAGATGCAGACACGATGCATTCCCTGCTGACTGATGCTTCAATTATACCTGGTGACTCTGTGGTTGTGGATGGTCCCTTGCCGTGGCCTCTGTTCCGGGAGGACGCTCCCCCACCTTCCGGTGGCAACGACAAACAAGTGCAAGAACCGCGGTGAGACAGACTATCATTTCTAGAATAAGTGTTATGTAAGCTAATTTGTCTGGACCAGTATTGATATATTCATCTAATAAGGAGTCTGTTTAGCGGTCTAAAAATGCAGATCCTGTGCTTCATCTTGGTGAACGACTCACGTCATACCATATGGGGGCAGATTTAAACAAACCGATTGCCCGTCGTCTACTCTGTTATTAGCTTGACCATCTTGCAGTGGGCTGGGTCCCTTTTCCAACTCAAACGTGCTCATCGATGCTGGGTTTACACAAGAGCTTCCGTATGAGGCCAGCAGCGCGTTACCACACTCCCAGAGGCGGAGGGAGTCATAATCTGCAGGTCATAATGGCCACCTGTACACGTACACAGTGACACGGCACAGCGATCAAGCATGGTAAATGAGGCCAAGCAGGTATGGGCCACAGCTATTCGCCAGGCCAAGAGTCACGCAAAGATCCTGCTGCCTTCCACTGCATGTAGCCCGTGTGTGGGATAGCTGTGATTCGAGGCCCGTCTGCTCGTGAAGTGGGGTCCTAAAGGTTCCGACGGCAAGGCATTCCCGAACGGGCAGAACGGGCATGCGACCCGCGGGAACCCCTCACTCGGCCCTCACACTGATTCGCTGCGAACGACACCGAGGACGACCAACCGTTCTCGTTTGCTGCAACGTGTTTGACGAGGGCTGTGTGCGTGCATGCGTGTTTCCATTAACCTGAACGCCCCCCCGTCACCGAGATCCTGTACTGTACTTGTAGGTACGCTATGGAGGAGTCCACCGCCCCCGTGATCCTGGTCACCGCCGGCAGCGCCGGCCTCGGCGCCGCCGCCGTCCGGCTCTTCGCGAAGCACGGCTACCGCGTCGTCGTGAACTACAGCAGCAACGCCGAGCGCGCCACCAAGCTCCTGAACGAGCTGCTGACTTTATCCGGCATCACTCCCAACGACGAGGACGAGGACCTCGCATTAAGTCGTCGTTTCGTTGCGATCCGGGCCGACCTGGGCAGCCGCGACGAGATCGCGCGGCTCGTGCGGGAGACGGTCAAGCGCTTCGGGCGCCTCGACATCGTCTTCTCCAACGGCGGCTGGACGCGCGCGCGCGGCATGGTCAGCATCGACGACAACTGCTTCGAGGACGAATGGGATCGTGCTTTTAACATGAACGTCAAGGCCCATTTGTGGCTCATGCAGGCCGCGAGGGCGCACCTCGATGAGACCGAGGGGGCGTTCGTCACTACGGCTTCGCTTGCTGGGGTGAACCATAGCGGTAGCTCATGTAAGGAAGGGCCTTGCCATCTCATGTCTGATATTGCTTGGAGGTGATAGCTGACTTGAGACGTTGCAGTGGTGAGAGACTCTGAACGCGCCTTGGAAATTTGGAGTAACACGGTATCCAGGCATACTCCGTCACGAAAGCTGCTCAGATCCATCTAGTAAAAGCACTAGCAGTTGTAAGCAGCTTCCCGTAGCATTCCACCAACCTGGATTTGGATTGAAGGCGTGCAACTGATCAGCAATGCAGATGGCAGCCCCGAAGATCAGGGTCAACTCCGTGTCCCCTGGCCTGCTTCTCACGGTAAAGTCACCCCCCTACAACTACAGTACACGGTATCTTATTTTAATGGTTGAGTACAGGAATGGGCAGAGAAGTTCACCGACGAGCAGAAGGAGGCGCATCTGCAGAAGACCAAGCTCAAGCGAATCGTGACGGTCGAGGACGTGGCCGAGCAGGTTCTCACCTTCGCCAAGAGCAGGAGTATGACGGGTGTAAATGTACTCATGGACGCCGGGTTCGTCTTGTGAAGCTGGGCATCCTGTGCGATCACAGCTTGGTGAAATAGGAAGCAATGCAAGTCGTGCAACGAAGTCAAATACCATGTATTATTACAAGGAAATACAGCGTCCAGTCAAGTAAAACTTCGTATCTCATTACAGAGGAGTGGGGCAACTTCCGACTATTCTCCAACCTCCCGGTCATCCGTCCAGTGAACGTAGGAAAGAAACGGCCAGTTCCAGGTCGCTTGGCGCACGCGTTTGCCCCATATGTAGAGAGGAATCCAAAACAGCAGCACAACTGCTGCGATTGAAGCCATGGTCCCGTATGCCGCGCTATAACCCGATTCCTCCACCCAAGGGTTGGTATAGAAAGACAGCAAGAACCCGAAGAGAGCTATACTCAGGTTAGCGATCTTGAATCGAAGCAGTTTGGTTCATGCAACCCACACTTGAAGCCGAGGACGGCGAGAGTGACCTCTCCCGCTACCGGCCGGTAGGCATCTATGACATATACGAGACATACACAGGTTCCTTGGGTAATGGAGAAGTTGACTGTACACAATTAGTAAGGCTCTTGCAACTAAGAAACCGCACACTTACGAAGTCCTAGCCCAATGGTAGAACATATCCAGTGCAACTGCTTCGCGATGCCCACCCCGTAGAGAATCAACGCAAGCGGCGTTGATATCAGACACAGCATCATCGCCGGCAGGCGCATCTCGGGTTCGCGTATTCCTCCGTTGCGCTTCGTAAACCAGTCTGCCGTCTTGTCTCCCAGCGTGCCGCCGGCCGGTATGCCGACGAGGGAGCCGATGACGGCCGCGACGAAGCACAGGCCCGCTTGCCAGGCCTCGAAGCCGTATGCGGTCTGGTACGCCGTGGCGACGTTCGATGAGACAGCCACAAGAAAGCCGATGGTGACGGACTGGACCAGAGCAGCCCAGAGGACCGGGGGTAGGCAGATCAGCGCGAAGGGCCGGACGAACATCTTCAAGAGGCTCTCCTCCGTCAAGGTCTTGCGGAATATCTTCAGGCTTTGAAGGTAGGACTCCTTTCTCGGAATAAAGGTATGTAGTTGTGGGGTTGCGTTTGGCTTCTCGACGTCGACTTCCCCCGACCCGGATGTATTCCGGTCGTTTTGGGTTGCGTTTGCCTTCTCGAGGTCGACTCTCTCCGACCCGGATGTATTCGGGTCGTTTTGGGTATCTCTTTTGAAGGCCGTCTCGGGAAACGTGAAGAAGGCCAGCAATAATACAAAACCTATAAGCGCCGAAGCGACTTGGTATATCACCCGCCAGTCGTTGTTGATCAGGATGAGTCTAGCAATGCAGTTAGCGTGTGGACCATATCGTAGTTTTCGTTCCAGGCTTACCCGTCGACGATGAGGCCCAAAGCCACTCCCACGGACAAGAAGGACGTGTAGAGTGCCATGATTTTTCCTCTTTCATGTAGGAAGAAGACATCCTAGAGTAGAAGAAGTCGGCGTTGGTTCATAGTCACACTCGAAAGGCTTCTGGGGATACAAACCGCTATGGACATAGGGGCTATGCTCTCTGCGGCCCCGGCACCGAAGCCCAAGATGATTCGGCCTCCCAGGAAACCGCCATAGCTTCTCTCGAAGATAAGCCATACTGCGCACACGAAGTATATGAGGTAGCTCGTGATGTAGATAGGTCGACGACCATACTTGTTTGCGAGCGGGATCCAAAGGAAGTTGCCGATGCCCTGTAAGAGTGCCGTAGAGGTGAAGAAGTATGCCACCCGGGATATGCTCTGGGGCAAGGGCCCTCCTGGGAAAAACTCGAGGGTCGTGTCTACTATGGCAATAGAAGGCCCTTTGGACAGAAATCAGTAAGGGCCTTAGAAGTATGCTTCCTTGTATAGTGGTACCTACCTGCTGCGAGGAAGTTACACATGAGCATTGCCAGGCATACGAGACCAGCCATATAGTATTTATATGCCTGGGACCTATCGCCCCATCAGCCACATACAAGCACTGTGGTAATGGTTCCTACCATCTCAAGGGGTCATTGGGGTCTCTGGATGGCGCTGGAATGAGGATGATCTCGTTGGTGTGATGGTCTCGGAGACGGATGTTTCCCAGGCTCCTTAGTTTCAAGCCGTCCGAATTTGACATGGACATTGTGATGGGATGGTCTTCAGCCATGATCGGGGTCAAGTTGGAACGTTGAAAAGTCCAGAATTCGATGAAGGGGCTAAACAATGGGCTAAACAATGGGCTAAACAATGGGCTGGCATTCGTAGGCTTGAGTGACTCGTCTTGCTGAAGATGGGGACGGGTGGTGAACCGGCAGCTCGCAGTGTCTCGGGACTACCTTATGTACATATGTATGTAGTTGAGGTGATACATGGGAATCGGTACAGCCCCTAAAGACTGCAGGTGCGTAACCAACACTCCAATAGCTCCCTCAGTTCACCGATCAACTGGTCTCCGGTCTGAAAGCCTCGTCCGGTCGAATATAAGTAGCGTGACTGGCCAAGTATGGCGGTGATGCAGGTGCAGGTTTGCTTGAACTGTCAAGTACAAGACGGCAAAGCTTAACGGTCAAATGTCAACCGCGAGCTTCTGGTAGCACCCGGCTAGTCCGATTGTAGGGTGCGTCCGCCAAAAGTGAATAATGTGGGTGGTACGTTATAGATCAGACGCATCAGACGCAGCAGACCACCAGAGCCGCCGAGCTGTGTTTGCACTACCGCATATGCAGCTGAGGTGGTTGGTTTCCTGCGTGGTGGTGTCTCCAACAAACATGAAGCCACCATCCCGCTTCAAGGTCGGTTGCTCCTAGCGATTGGAGTCATCATGAGTACCGGTAGGCACAACTACCAGCAGCCAACAGCCATGACGAGCTCGATAGGTGCCAATCAGAACAGACTTTTGACTTTTGCTGCAACGTGCCACACGGGTGCTTCAGACTTCAGTATAGTAGCACCAGATCAATCAGAGATGGTACGGATTCGACGTCGCGAGATGCGACGCTGGCTGAGGTGTCGATGCTGATGAGGTAGGACTCGACGCCATCATGCAAGATGGCTGGATGGTGATTACTGATGGTTGCGTGGCTCTAATTTATTATTTGATGACCCCCTGGGCCCTGGCTCGCCTTGGCTGAATCGCCTTGGCAAGTTGGCGGGAGGTCGGGAACTAACGTGGCTCGGAAGTCTTAAGTTCATGATATAGCTTGGTCTATAAAGTGTGACAAGGCACACCCCGCATTCTCATCGTGATGAAGACATGCTGACATGCAGACATGCAACCATGTTGGTGGGTGACTCGAGCATGCAGTTGACTGGTGTGCTCTGCTTGCAATAGGAAGGAATTGCCTCAGGTCCTACCTACATGGTCAAAGTCATCCGGCCCGGATGAGTGAGAGAGGCTGTCTGTGACCCGTATGTAAGCGGCAGCAACGATTGTGAGCCGAATACAACCGTCGGGTCGTAGGCGATGAATGAATGAATGAATGAATGACTTGCTTATTAGTAACAGCCCGACTCTGTACCGAAGGACTTGTGTATCTAGGATTATTGGCAGAACCACTTTTCTCGCAATCTCTGCTCACGTGTTGGCTACTCCGGATTGATCACCGACAGATCGATCAGGGGGAACTAATCAAATCACGTGATATCTCAGTAAAGTGGTTCTGCCAATAATCCCAAATACACAAACCGGTTGCAGAACAGCCTGGAGTGAATAAGTACTCAGGGCAGAGTACCTAGAGTTGCTTCACTCGAGAGTAGCCCTTCCAATTCCTTACTTATAGGTTACATATGCCATGGTATAAAACACTCGACGCTGAAGTAACAACGCTCAAGGTTCTAGTGTAAAGCGGGAGAAGTTCTATACCTCGTCATGTTTCAACTTACAGGTGAGCCCCTTAGCCATTCTCATTATTCTCATTCCGACTGGGCAAGGAAAGCACGATACGACGATACGACACTAGACGCGCGTCTCGATTGCTTGGCGGTTAGGCGGTTGCTTCGTTCGGAATCACTGTGAAGCATTGCATGAAGCCATGCAATACAGTACCTATAGTTTTCTACACGTCCGAGGTTCACCACCTGCAGCGTTGCCTACCTACCTAACCAAGGTTCTTACTCGAAGGCACAAGCCAAATCACGTTCGATTGCGTCACAACTCACAACTCACAGGCCACAGGCCCTCGCGAGTCTATTTTGCTGTTTTGCTATTTTGCTATTTTGCTGTTTTGCTCCTGACCTCGGTGTTGAACCAATTTGTTAACAGCTTGAAGTGTCAAGTATAATACCAGACGGGCCAGCCCGAGACCCGAGACCCGAGACAATCCAAGGTTGAAACACCATCGCGGGAGTTGCGGGAGTTGCGGGAACACAGGCATAGCCCCTGCAGGTCAGTCGGTCTATTCCGTTGCCGATTTCTGGTGCAGAACACCCAAAAAACGTCTCCCTTGCGTCACAAACCACAACCACAGAAACAGAAACAGCACACTCAACCTCGCTTGATCGCTCAGAGCCGTGATGAGCGACTGATTGGCCAATTAGTTGAGGCCATCATACTGGGCCATGGTTAGGCGGGACTGGACACGCGACGATGCCAGTGGTCGCGTTCGACAACCGACGTCTACACAATCTTCCAAGTCGAGCGCGCCGATAACTAAAAACGAAACGACACCATGTCTGCGCCGTCACTTTCGCATCTGCTTCACTCGAGCGCAACGTCGGAACCAAACCCACCGTCGATAGCTCACGATCCTGCCCAAGGCGTCCCCTCCCAAGGCCACTCGGCCCCGTTCAACCACAGACCTCTCCCGCCTTCTCCTCCGCCGCCGCCGCCCGTCTCAGTCTCGCTGCCTCCTTTGCATTCTTCCCCGAACGGTCCTCAGGTACATGGTCACACCCATGCTCCGGTTCCGGTTCCGGCTCCAGCATCAACACCGACGAACCAGAGTCACTCGATGAACGCGAGCTTGTATCAATGCGCCGATTGCAAACGACGGTATTCTCGCCCCGAACACTTGGCCAGACATATACAGACACATACGTTGGGAAAGCGGTTTGCCTGCCAACTATGCGGCAAGGCTTTCGCTCGCGCTGACCTTCTCAAGCGTCACACTGCGAACCATGAGAACGACGGAGATAGCTCCAAGAAGCGACGGCGAACGGATGCCTCTCCGGGCGCTGGTCGCGTGTCTCATGCGTGTCGCCCATGTGCTGCCGCTCGGGTCAAGTGCGAGGAGGCGAAGCCATGCACGCGATGTCGGAACAGGAACCTAACCTGCGAGTTTGCCTCGACGGAGCCTGGGTCTACGGCTGCGATGCACCTGGTCCATTTCTCCGCGAGCGCCCACGGCAACATGAACCCGCCAGGCCCACCATCCAACATTTCCTCCGCTTCTAGCCCGGCAACGTACCACGATCCAGGTCAATCAGGCCAATCAGGTTCTTCCGGTACCATGCACACCATGGGTGATAGTCCTGGGAATATGTCGACTGCGGTCATCGAACCGGAGCAAGGGCAATTGCCAACCCCAGACGCCATGGTTGAGCAAGGTAGGTTCCCTCATATTTCCCAATTATATGTAGCGTGTCAAGTATGTATCAGCGGCTATCAATTTTTGCTTTATTCTTTTACAATGCCAGTAATGTCAGCGCCACATCTGCGCCGAGTGGGGATGGCATTACATCTCCTTAGTATGAGCAAATCATGCTGTGTTTGCGTACATATAAACCCCGATGCCCAAAATCAAACAATTTCTCTACGTTCGCAGTTTTGGTGTCTGACTCTTGGCAGGCAACTATGATGGACACAATCAGTCTTATGTCGCGAATGGCGCAGTTGACTTGACTCGTCTGCCGTTTACCGACTTTCTCAGGGATGTCTTATACGATCAGGACCCTTCGAGATTGGCAGGAGCCCAGGGCCTGGCCGTCCTGGACTTCTGCGACGATACGAACTATGAACTCAATGAAGTTGACTTTGGGTTGCTGGACCATTGGAACGTTGACGCCATGGGTGACCGTGCTATCGTGACTCAAGCACCGACGCCTCACACCGATGAGTCGAGTGTGGACATGACGGAAATGAGACAGAAACTGGTCAAGATCTGGACCGATTCCCCATGGCGCTGGATACCCGATAATCGGGATCACGGCTACGGGGAACACGGCAACCTGCCTCTGCCCTTTCGAGACTCGGCAAGCCAGCAGTTCCAAGAAAGTCAGAAGCGAATGGATCGGGTGGTTCAAGACAAGCTAGATCCATCAAGCCGAGACAAGGCGCTATCCGTGGTCCTCAATACGTGCCGGAGCGATGCCATACGTACGCGGGTTGCTTCCTCGTTCCCGTCTGCCGAAGTTATGGACACTCTCACGCACATATTCCTGGCCTCCCATCTGTGTTCCGTGTCTGGCTGGATTCACTTCGGTACCTTCGTCCTCAATGCACAATGGCCAGAATGGCTGGCAACCGCAGCGGCTGGCGGCGCGGTCATGACTCCAATTCCGACGTTGAGGAAATTCGGATTCGCAGTACAAGAAGCAGTTCGTGAGTATTTGACATCTATCAGATCCTCCCTGTGATAACTCACCCGCTAATACTTGCAGGTCTTGCTATACCGTCAAGAGTATGTGCTTACGAAATCGCTTAACCCGAATAGGGGAAATAATACTGACAACCATATCAGTTTGAAGAGAACAATACTGGTATTGTAGATGTATGTGCATATTAGAGCTCCTTATTGCCCCTTCTGGCCGTGTCTCAGGGGCGAATTTCCCCTTCTGGCCTGTGTCAAGAGCCATTGCTCCCGAGACACGCATTCCGGCTCTTTGTTTCTCGTCGAAAAGGAGTAATTACTGACTCTAATTTGCTACCAGATCGGTCTCGTACAGACGCTTGTTTTGGTACAAGATATCGGCCTCTGGAGCGGAAACAGACGGAAGATGGAAATCGCCGAGTGCCACTTGCTAATACCAATAACTGTATGTATTCCAAGGCCTGTTCAGGATGCTCTTGCTAACAGTGCTCTAGATGATGCGATATCGAGGAAGATTCCAGCGTTCTTCGTATGCGGCCATCTCGGTTGACGAGCACGATGAGGGCGACGTGCTTGAACATAAATGGAAACGCTGGTACGAGATGGAGTCATGGAAGAGGTTCGTTACCCGACATCCGGTGACAGCTCGACATTACTGACTCTCTCAAGGCTGGCCTTCCACTGCTACCTGCGAGATTCACAGACATCAATGACCACGTTGTCGACTCCAACAATGTCATATGCAGAGCTAACGCTCCCTCTTCCCGAATCCAAAGAGTTGTGGTTTGCCAGAACAGCTCTTGAATGGAAACGACAATTCCTGCCTCGGTCTGCTGGCCAAAGCAAACGACCTCCTTGTCTAGGGGATATTTTGCGCGACATCAACCTTCTGATGACGAATCACCGGCGACTGGATGCTCAGTTTACGGTATCTATTTACCTTCACGCGTTCTGGAATCTTATCTTCGAGTGGCGGCAGCTGAGCGCCGTGCACCGCTCAAACACATTCTTGAACAACTACCAGGCAGGGCCCAATCTCATACTCAACTCGCGGCATCAGGAGCTCTGCAAAGCGTTATCGAGTTTTCAACTGGTCACCGCAGACTGGCATGCATCACTTTCAGCACAAGAGTCATTGCTTCTCAACCTGGTCCTACTAAACTTACACGTATGTCTCGACGACCTTCAGTTGTTCGCAGGCAAAGAAGGGGAGGACCAGGCACGGCGGGTCTATCCAATCCTCCGACGATGGTCAGAAAGTACCGAAGCACGGCAAGCCTTGTGGCACGCAGGGCAGATTCTTCGGCAGGCCAAGATGTATCCACCTGGTCATCTCAAGGACTTCTATGCGGTTGGCGTACACCACGCAGCTCTGGCATTATGGACTTACGGCGTTGTCACAAGGGCAACGCGAAACCAACCCCCTGCGAATATGCCCCAAGAAGTGGTCTACGTTGACGGCATAGAATCGGCCGAGATACAGCGCTTCATTGAGTTCGGACAAGGGCGGCCGACTATCCGGGGGCAGCGCTGTGAGAACGGACAGGAGATAGAATCGGGGTTGGAAGACCCGAGGGCTTGCATGATCATCGTGCAGGAAATACTTCGAATGAACTTCGGCAATGGCCAGGATCTCCTGCCACCCATTGTCGAGAATCTCTGTCACCTGATCAATCAACTTGGCGGGGCGGCGTGGGCAGTCGGACTGGGGTGATTTGGCTGATATGGGCGCCCGGAGCTGCATGTGTTGTGTCGTGTATATAACTGGTCTAACTGCATCTTGCTCTGGGGTACTTGGGCTGAGTGGAATCGGGCACATCGCATTGGTCATAGAGGAAAAGCCTTGGTAACGGAACGGGAACGGAACGGGAACGGGAACGGACTACGCTTTCTGGGATACCATTTGATATAGTTACTGATATTCACGATGAATTGTCTATGCTCGAGGCTATGATTGTCACATGCCATGATAGCTCCTCGAAGGATATTACTGCTTGGGTCGCGAATTTGGCTTTGGTGTGGTTTCGTCGGATAGTAAAATCAGCAGTGATGTCCACGGAACGATCACTAACCATCAGGTGATGATAATATCAATTACTATCTCAATCGTTAGGCAGGATTCTCAATCACTGCATAGGTAGGTAGCTATGTATCGAGACATTCATTGCTTCTTTGTAAACTTCCGTGGGGGCTGACTCAAGTAGGTTAGGTACCTAGCCAGGAGGAATCGCAATCACCATCAGGAGCTCCTCGAACTCATCAACACCAGTAGCACCATATGAAGTCTGATTGAGCTGGGAAAAGGTCATTGTTTTATATTGGGGCTGTCCATCTCTCGATAATGTTAGCGACAGCTTCAACCCTTTCCCACACCCCCCGACCGTTTGCGGTATAAAGTATATAAGTTACGTTTCTGTGAAGACTTTGCGTACATATCTACAGCACGGGGGCTCGGCTTTTTGATGCGATTTGAGAGCCTAATAATAAAATAAATGGATCGCGCTAGGAAGCGGGCGCTGCGTAGGAATCGAACCCAAGCATGGTGACGACCACAGGTCCGGTAACAGCTGCGCCGTCCCTTGCTCCTACTAATGGGGTCGAGCTCCTTCTGCTGTCTAATGATTCCAAGAAGTGGCTCGCGACCTGCACGTGGGGATGCCAGTGCCCAGGCTGGTACTGCTGCGGTACATACGACAATTGTACGGACCTGAATTCCTTGTGTTCCAATTATATATAACTGTCATATCATCAGCTCAGTATGAACCCATATATTGTCATATCATCAGAAGATTCAGGGGCAAGCAAAGATAGCTCCTACGGAGCGTGTAGGAAACTCACATCATGCAAACATCCTTTCTGACGTAGGTCCACTTTTGGGACATGTGTCAAACAGAGCGTGGGGGCATTTGGTTGGGTGAAAACATATATTCTGGTGTAATCCGTGTTCTTGTTGTATCTCTGTGAAAATCCTTCTGTGGGCTAAGTGGCCCAAAAATGCCCTATTGGCCTTGTTGGTGCACTGCGACCTCCCTGAACGCCACGGTGGCTTGCGCGCCATTCAACAACATGTTCGCGAGACTGGGTGGCGATATGACGAAACGGATGTCGCAGATATTGTAGGTGCAAGAGAGGTTGCTTATATGGGAAGAGGACGGGTACTTAACCAAGGGCTATGCGCATCACTAATATGAGCAGCAAATTCACTGATCATTTTACTTCCTTTACAAGTCACACAGAGCCCTTTCTTCGAACAGAGTAGCAAATATTTGTGATCATTGCCGGCACCATTCATTAAGGCTATCCCCCGAGCAGGCACAGATCCCCATAACCCGACCACCGCTGTCCCCATCATGGTCCGCGTACAACATCCTGCTATAATCGCCGCATTCTTGCTATGCTTAGGAAGTACTTCTGTACTTCAAAAGAAGGAAGAAAGCTGGGACACGTTCGATGGTGTTCAAGAAGCCAAACGCAGCGATGAGTCTGGATTCGGAGTCGTGATCGAATCGAACGACGGAAGGACAACGACATTGTCTGCGGATGAAGTCAACAAGATCATCAAGGACGCTTGCGGTAGTGACCTTTCCAAGTCGAGCATCATCCAAAGGGACCCCGACGAGAGCCACGATGAAGGCGACGCCACCCCCGCTGTTTCACCACGCTCTCTTTCCGGGCCGCGAGTTATTAATCCTTCGGGCTACCCGTATTCTGCCTGCGGTCGCTTCGACGGCAACAACGGTTACAGTTGCTCCGTGACACTCGTGGGACCACGCCTGGCAGTAACAGCCAACCACTGTAACCAAGGGAAAGCCGGAAATTCGGATTTTGGGAAGGTCTACCCAGCCCTCTATGACACAAAGGGAACGTATGCAAGAGTTGACAGGTGGCTTCGGAGCAAGGCCTTTTCTGCTGAAGCCGATGACGCGGAAGTCTTCGATATCGCAGTCTTGGTGCTTGATCGGGACATAGGGCATGATTTCGGTTGGATGTAAGTTTCATTCCCATACAGCGACTAAGTGTATTGCCCATGAAGGAGTAGATGCCTCTTCTTGAGGGTTTATTTCCCCCAACCACACTCATTCCCCCAACCATCAAGAGGTGCACAGTGTGCCCATGATAACACCTGTTTCATGCAACCATCGGATGTTGTGTTTCTTGCCCTGATACTACCTCGAGTTTCAATGCTTTCGAGATGAGACTCACACACACACTAGGGACGTAGCCTCGCGGGTGGAGGATGATTGGACAGGAAAAACCTGGTTCCAGAACGTGGCCTACACCGACGCGAAAGACGATATGAAAAAGCCAGTATATCAGGAAGGCATCTCCTTCAAAAGGGGAAACCTGCGCAACGGCGCCGGACCTTTACACAGCGACGCATTGGGATATGGTGGTTCGGACGGAAGTTCGCTATGGTATTACAGAGGGGGGCGAGGCGTGATAGTCGGCGTGGCATCTACGCTGGATAACCGTAACCTCGTTTTCGCAGGCCAAGTTGGAGTTGCACCTTCTGAGCTCACGAGACTTGTCACAGTGGCTCAGTCAAAAATTCCCCTTTCGTAACGTTCGGATCCCGATGGAAGGGCTACGGGAAACATATGCTTGGGGCCATGGAAATGGACATCGCTGCTCTTGTTTCTACTTTGAGGACACACTGCATGTATATACATATCCTCCCACGAATCCACGTTCTTTACTTTCACATAGAATGGCGCACCACATGCACTGCATCGACTGCGGAGACCAGCGTTCGGCCTGCCTACACCACAACAGTGTATAAAGCACCACACCCTCTCTGTCACGCCCGGAAGACTAGCACTTCTATATCATAACTAAACGACATTCCTGTGACAACAGACCCCAGTGCTGTTGTGCAGGCTGAAACACAAGTGCTCCGAAGCGCAGTTGGCCAACAGCATATGCAGGCATCTCTGCATTGCTCACAGGCTACGCCCCTCTGCTATTCCCCATTGGCCTCGTATCGCTCTACTTACGGCGTACCAGAGGGCACCCGGTGTTGTATGTTTTGTTTCACTTTGGCCCATTATTCTTCTCTTTTCTTTGGCTCTAGTTTATCGTCTCATCTACTGTTGAAGCCACGCGGCTCGAGTATTGCCAGCGACAAGCAAAGCAACCGCACAAAGCAACCGCCAGTGCCTGCGCGTCCTCCTCGTCCGTGTCTGAAACCTCATCCGTAGCTACCATCCCCCCCCCCACATCTCGTACACCCCCACATCTCGTACAGCAAAACCCCCACCACCACCACCAAAACACCCCCTTATTCACCCACATGTAAAAGAAGTCATTCAGGTCAGAGAAATCCAGCAAAACTATCATTCGAGAGCGCTGAAGCTGATCATTTATAATATCTAGTGGGCGCCCGAATGAATCGCCCCGAACGGGTCTGCTTAGGCTCCTGTATGGCCTCTGAAGCGGCCTCTTCAGCCGAGTCTTCGTCTTCTGCTTCTTCTTCTTCGTCATCATCAACCACAACTTCTGGTACATCCGCAGAGGCACCAGGGGTGATGGTACCACCCGTACTTAATACCTCTGTGACTGTTCTGAACTTCCTGTTAGGATTAGGGATCTTTTGCCGCTTCTTTGGCCATAACCGCTCCAGTTCAGTCTCCAGGGCCTTGATTTTCCTGACTTTGATAACAAGGTCGGTCTCTTTAGCCTCGAATGCAGTGGCTATCTTTCTGTACTTCAGTCGGGTGCTAGGGGACTTGTTTTTGCCGAAATTCATGATCTGGCGGCTCGTAATAGGGGTCCGTTGGTCCTCTGGTTTAGAGCTTTCAGGGGTCTCAGGCTCAGGGGTCTTCTGCTTCTCTTCCTGGATTTCTGGGTGCACAAAGCACTTCCTGCGGCTGATAGGATAATATCCAGTCGTTTTGAAGCCAGAAAGGATGTTTGCCTTAATAAAAGCAGCAGCTCTGGCCTGGCTGTAGCACCGAATGAAGTTGATCATGTCAACAGGCAAGGCATCCGTCAGAGAATTTAGCTGAGAAAGGAATTTCTGGTAAGCCTTCAGGGCGTTATAGGGCCCGTTATCTAGGGGTTGCATGCCGTGACTAGTATGCGCAGGAAAGAAACAGAACAATATGTTGGCAAAATAATAAATGGTCATGAATTCGTTCTTACAACATGCGTTAGCCCTTATTAAATCAGGAAAGAAATAAAGGAAATCTATATTAAATAAGAAAAAGCATGTACATACGGAGATATGGCTATCATAGCCATTTAGTATTAAAAGAATAGGCTCAGCCTGATCTTTTCCTCATATCTCGTCTACTTGCGGGATGAAGATATCTTCTAGCCATTGGCAGGCTATGTTATTCGAAGTCCAGCTGTTTTCTGAGCATATATAATGCCAATTGGCGGTCTTTCGAAACTCCTCGATGAACCACTGGGCCTGGAGGTCCTTCCCCTTGAAGATAATACCTGGTTTGAGGAATTTTCCAGTTGCAGAGATGGCCTCGATGAAGGAGGTCCAGCTACGGCTTTGAGGACTTTTCAAGAAGGCCTTCTTAGTAACAGAACTACCTAAAACCAAAGAATCAATGCCTATAAAGTTAATTAGAATTTCTATAGATTTAAAGGGTTAGTTATAGTTACCAAAACCCGCCATGATGCCGCCCTTATTGACATTATACGTGTTTTCTGGCTTGACCCAGCCATAATCCTCTAGGATTTCGAAGAACCAGTTAACTGCCTTTGGCATAAAGCCCTTAAAGCGTGCTGATTCCATCCTTTTGCCAACTTTGGTCTTTATCTGGGGGTTACGGCATTTGAAGCCGGTTATAAAGTGGTCTCCAAAGGGGGCCTGAATCTCTGTTCTTTTTTAACACCTTCACGATGATCTCACGCACTAGGGAGTGCGAAGGGGCTAGTCCTAGCTTCTCCTGATACAAAATCCAGTTGATTATAGTGCTTTCTTGAGCAGGGGAGTCTCTGTTGGTATATATGGCCTTTGCCTTTTGAGGGCTTGTCGTTAAATCGGTCAGAGAGCGTTGTAGCAAGGATGCCGTGTTTTTGAGCGCTTTTTCGCAGCGAGAGGCCCTCGTTCGTGATATATAAGATGGCATTTGCCATCTGATCCTCCGTATACGGTTTGGGAGGCATTTTAGGCGGCTATACGATGCTGCGGTGCATACAGAACAAGGCTTCAGACGAGGCTCCAGCACCCGAAAATTTCTATTCGGGGTAGGAAACGCGGGGTAATAGACAGCCAATTACGTAGGCCGCGCGGGGTAAATTCTACATTGAATTAAACTTTAAGATCAGGGCTACCTAGAGCACTAAATACATTCCGAATAGCTTCAATATCAGGCTGAAAGCGTACAAGTGAACATATAAGGTTTAGGTGGTGGTGGTGGGGTTTTGCTGTACGAGATGTAGGGGGGGGATGGTAGAAGCGTGCCGGGGATATCATCGTCCATGTGCTTCCAGCCTTTGGGTTTGATGAAGTCGGCGGTAAGTCGGTACTGGGTCAGAGCGGGCTTGTACTCAAGCGCCGTGACGAGCTGCAGTTCTGCCTCGCTGTCTGGCGTGAGCTGCACGATTTGAAAGTTGCTGACTCGGGTGGCTATGCGGCGCCATGCGGTATTATAATTAGTGGTGTATCTGTGGCGTATGTTAGCATGCTTGTACGTGGAGCCTGGACACTGTTCGAACAATGCCCCTTCCTGATCGTGCATCACCGGAGGACGATAGAACCCGTTGATGTAGGAACATTGCACGTGGGCAATAGCGGGGGTGTTCTTACATGTACTGGAGACCAGGCGAAGCAAAGATGTCTGCGTTTATCTTGGAAGAGCTTCGGCGGGATGTCGTTGTAGTGTATACTTCGAAGCAACTGCTCTCGATAACGTAGTCAGGCGTCGGTGCCGGCGTGACCCCCGCCGTATCCAGCGGGATCGCCCATGTATGCCTGTCCCCAACACGCCGCTGGCCAGACGAAGCTCTGACCGTGGTAACGAACCCAGTCTCGAGCACCTGTGGGGGGCTGGCCTTCATCGTCCAGCCCCTAGGCCGATACTTCTCGTGGTAGCGCTTCTCTTGGTTGTTCAGGCGCTTCAGGGGGATGGTCTCGTGGTCCACGAAGGTGGCGATCGGGAACAGGGAATAGGCCTTGTTCCAGGTGATGAAGTTGACGATGCAGGTCGTGTAGTAGCAGCGCAGAATACCCTGCACGGGGATGTCTTTCGTGGCGATGAGCTGGGCTTTGACGATGGTGGTTCCACGCTCTTGGTAGTACGTGCGGCACTGGAGACTGTCAATATTCGATGTGGAAAGGAGACTAGGGGAAAGGGGGGCGGACCTCCACTACGTCTCTCGTGCCATATTTCCCGCCAGTACCGGTATATACATACTCAGTGACCGGTCGTGCAGTATCCTGGGGTTTAGCCAGCGAACCCCTCTCCTTATTGTTGAGAGAAAACTGATATCCCGCTTCGTTGATTAAGAAGTCATGCATCGCGTCCAGATTGGCACCGACTTGTACTTCGATGTCCAGGTCCGATTCAGCCCAGTGCACACGCTCGAAGAACTGCAGCGCGAAGCTTCCTGCGATCAAGGCATTGCATTGGGCAAGCTTGGCACGGAAGGCGATGGGCTTGTCGAATAATTGTGCGAGCTTTGCGTTGATGTCCCATGAGGCGTTGATGTGTCGACGCATCTCCTTGTTGGTAAGTGAGAGGCGGATCAGGCTTCGCCCGTCGAGGGCGGCTAGGAGACGGTTCCATATCGGGGGAGAAGCGTGTAGGGCCGAAGAGGGATATGAGGTGCTTCTGCTGAGATGGTTCGGCCATGGGTACCTGCTGTTGGCTTGGAGGAGAGGAGGCTAGGGTATGTGTTCTCTCCGCGATATGGAGGATGTAACGAATACATTGCGTCTGATCACCGCCGTACTTATAGCTCAAGGCTCATTACTGGCGTTCAGTCACGATACTGGAAGGTACTTGTCGTAGCTTACTGAACAGGTATGTCAACCTCTCTACTCATCTGCTGGTTTCACACAAGGTCTTGGTAGAAGGAGAGAGAATGCACCCATTGGGACTTCGTCTCATCGGCTGTGAGACCATCAATATTAGCCTGGGTATAGTCCACGGCTACGATACCACTGGATTGGTAGCACACAATGCATATTGTTGACGCAATATGTGTTGAAGGTACCTCTGACTCAAAGCCATACCTACATACCAAGGCTTGTTCGTAGCTCACCGCTTGAATCTGACTTTGGTAAAGTATGAGAATGACTTGGTAGCCTAACTTGAAGGGTTTCTTGCTCACCTCTCCCTTTGTGGTCTGCCCAAAGTTGCGGGTAGCAGCTGTAAGACAACCATGATTCATTGCTGTATATGGATCAGGTCGTGAGCACTCCCCACAAGGCATTCATGAGCACGGTCTCACAGTATCACAGAACCAAACCGTCTATTTTATTTCCCTTACAGCTTCAAGACACTGGTTGCCCTTCGAAAGACCGAACCTCCTGGTACATCAGAACTTATACTTATGGCGGTCCTGCCCTGGCCACTGAGGTGATAAAACGGCGAACATACTGGTTATATAATACCAGTTCAAGGGTCGGAATAGGGGCACGAGGAAGTCGAAGAATGCTGTGTTAGCCATGGGATATGAGAGTCGTGAATGAGATTGCCACGGGTACCATCCCCTGGCGTGACTGTAAGTATTTTTTTAGTGGTGAAGAGGAGATGAGACGTGACGCTAACTTCGAGAGTTTGTCGCATCCAGAATGACCTCAAGTCTTCGACGTTGAGTTGTCGTGGAAGAACTCCTAGCACGGCAAACCCCAGAAGACTGAAGTTATCCTTGTATGTGTCAGATAGGTAGCTTTCACTCGTTAGGCAGGTGACATGGGATAAGTGCTCCCAGACTTCGATATCCAAAAAGTCCTGAATCCCAAATGAATCCCAAATCTCCCTACACCGTTTCGCATCGCTCCATGCTGTTGATCCCGGACCTATGGCTCGGAGTGTCGGAAAGAGAAGACAAGAGCAACTTCAAAGCTTAGCGATGCCACCAACATTGAGGCAGCAACCCTTTAACCATCAGTCGCAAGTGGAGGCTGAAGCCGTTCAAGTGAGACAACCTCGATATAGTACCTAATAGCGGTAAAATGTGAGGGGCAACAATGTGTTTACCGGACAATGATTGTTTGCCGGACAATCATTGTTTGCCCAACAATCATTGTCCAAAATTACAGTGCCACCACCAAACCCCGCTACGGTAATAATATGCACTAAGATTATCTGGTTATCGCCGAAAAGGCCTTCCCGGTCAGCCAACTGCCAGCTTCACAACCAAGACACAGAAAGCCATGGAGACGATATCCAAGTGCTTCGGCGCGCCCGACGAATCCAAGGCGACTGCTATTATCGCAACGACAGTCGTAACCACAATAACGCTCATCTCCGTTGCGCGCTTCGTCCTGTGGCCGAGGAAGACGCCCATAATCCCCGGGGCCCTGACAACGAGCGTGCCGAGGCTGTCGGAGGCTGAACTCCAGGATGTCGCTTACAGGACCGACCACTTCCCCGGCGCAAGGGACGTGGTGACGCCGGTAGGTTTGATCGCTCTCACTCACAATTTTAGATCTCATGATGATGGATGGGCAAATGTGCGAATAATCAAGGTTGCTGACGTCAAGCGCAGTACGGCAACATCCGCGTCTACGAGTTCGGGCCAGAAGACGGGAGGAAGGTCCTCATGCTGCACGGAATTAGCACATCATGCATGACCCTCGCCGACCTCGCCGTAGGGCTCGAGGAGAAGGGCTGCCGCGTCATGCTGTTCGATCTCTTTGGGCGCGGCTATAGCGACGCTCCGGGTGATCTCCCCTACGACACACGCCTCTTCACGACGCAGATCCTGCTGGCGCTCGCGTCGTCGCCGCTGCCCTGGACGGGCGACGCGGGCTTCAGCCTGGTCGGCTACTCGCTCGGCGGCGGCATCGCGGCCAACTTTGCCGCCACTTTCCCGCGGATGGTAGCGTCTTTGCTTCTCCTTGCGCCGGCGGGGCTCATCCGCCCGGAGAACATCGGCCGTGCCAGCCGGCTGGTCTTCACGTCTGGGATCGTGCCGGAGCGCCTGCTGGCTTGGTTGACGAAGCGGCGGCTGCGCACGCCCATCGACAATGCGGTCAGCAAGCGGCGCAAGGCGTCGATGTCTTCGTCAGCTGGTAACACTAATGGTAACAGCTCGTCCGGGCAGACGACGTCTTCGGAGAACCAGGAGAACTACCTCGACGTGGCCGTCCAGGAAGCAGTGGACCCGCCCTTGGAGCCATCGCCAACGCCGACCGAGCTGCGCGTCGCCAGCTTCGTGCACTGGTCGCTGGACTACAACGAGGGCTTTGTGCCGGCTATGATGTCGACCATGCGCTATGCACCCCTCATGGACCAACAACACTACTGGCGGCTGCTGTCGCAGCGCGAGCCGGGAACTACGGCTGTGCTACTGGGACGCAATGATAACCTGATTCAGAGGGAGGACTACGAGGAGGATGCGCTGCCGCTGCTCGGTGGGAAGGATAATGTGTTTTGGCGTATCGTGCCGGGCTCGCATAACTTTCCCTTTACCAACGGGCCTGAGGCGCTGGAGGTCATTTATGAGTTTTGGGGGATGAATTGAGGGTGTCAGGACAATGCCTGGGTGATAGAGCTCACGATCACACGATTACTTCTGACGGCGACAAGAGACAGACGATAGAAGGCGTCAATCATACCATAGATGAGGCAGATTCGTATCGAATAGAGTAAACCCATGTTTACAGGCCGAGTAAAACGACGCTATCAAGTACCTTTACATGCAAGGACGCCGAGCCAGGTAAATGCAAATGAAATCCCATTCCCACCATCATAACTCGTCCTTCCGTCCGCTCCCCGCAACGCCCACCGCCCGCCGCCCGATCAAGCATCCATCGCATCCCGTCCGTTAATCAGGATGATGCACGTAGAGACGGCAACCACCTCATCCAGCTCATTGGCGTTGAGGACGAGCACGGCGTCCTGGTCGAAGCCGTAGCCGGCCACGCGGGCGATCTCGACGCGCTGCTGGTTGAGGCACTTGTAGAGGACGCCGACGCGGCCGTCGCTCATGTCCCAGAAGTAGGGGATCTGCGTGTACGTTAACATCCTGTCCTTGAAACCCGTATAGAAGAAGGAAAGAGAACAACATAACAAAAAGCTTGTTCTCGAAACCAAGCCTCAGTGTCTTGTGATGTGATGGGATGTTTTCTATACGTACGGAGTTCTTGACGAAGGCCTCGTGGCGCTGGGGCTCCCAGCCGTCGCCCACGGGGCACAGCTCGATCTCGTGGCGAGAGTGTTGCGACCCGCTCGGGAACCGCACCGTCGACGACCCGAACGACACGAATGTGATGTTGAGGTCGCACAGCGGCTCCCCGGACCCGGCGTCCGTCAGCGTCTTGATCGTCCGCATCATGTTGCCGCTGCTGCTGATGGAGAAGGCCGGACCGCCGGCCTGGCGCGCTGCCTCCCCGGCCTCGTCGAGGAATTCCTTGCTGAAGTTGTTGAAGCGCTGCCTTATCTTGCCCGTCAGGTCTAGGACCTCGGCGTTGGTCTTGAAGTGGACGCAGCCCTTGAGGTAGTACGTCTTGGTCGGCTTGAGGACGACCTCCTTGTTGATGGGGAAGTCGTCCGGGTGGAATGGGTGAGGCATGGTGTGTGTGTGTGTATGTGCGATCTAAAGGAGAGGGGCTAAGGGTGCGTCTAGTGAGTGACGGCTGGGTTTCTAGATCTGTAGGTATATATAGAAGTTGCGATCTACCTCAAAGACTTCGCGTGTACTTGTCTAATCGCTTGTGAGATGAAATGAAATGAAATGAGACGAATGAGGTTCTCAGCCGCAAGCTGCGTCAGTTGCGTGTCGCCGCAATATATTGGTCCGAGTTTCAAGGACCCCGGAGCTCCGTATGTGACGTCAGGCCGGCCCATTACTTGATTCCCACGCATGTCCTTCCAAGTTTCAGCACGATCGACCCCTGCATCACGAGGACATCTATTTGCAGGTTTGAAGGATATCATTCTCGTCACATGGGTGTCTTTCGAGATGAGGCTTGGAATCTTATAGTAATGTGAGGGAGTATAAGGTATCTCACTTTGAGTCTTCTTATCGGCGGGCTTATCAAGGTTCGCTTCGAGGAAGTGGTGGGTGAATAGTCTACCCCGCGGATCGCCTCGGAGAAGCATCTTTCGCGACCAAGGAGCCAAAGAAGAAGCGTCTTTGAGCAATGAAGGCATGCTTTACTTAAAGCATGAAGTCTCTCAGAAAAGGTGACTAGATATACTGAAGTTTTCGAAGCGTAACTTTCGAGTTATTTGACTTGATACATCACGGAGCTGCTTTGAACTGATAACGATGGACGTGACTGAAGACTTCAGCCCGTACCGAGCAGATGGCAAGCTGGTATGTCTCGTTATGTCCATATCTCCAGACTCGTCCACTGATGCTGACGTTTCCATATGGTAGCATGGGTTTGTCTGCGTGGTGACAGGAGCTTCACAGCCAGTCGGTCAGGCTATCATTCAGGAGCTGGCAGGTGGGGTCCCTTGATGTATCCTCTCAAGGGGCAAATTGCTAACATCCACTGTAGCTCACGGAGCGGCTTCGATATATGGTGGGCAGTTCCCCTTACGACTTCGTGTGACTTGTAGTGGAAGCTGACGTCGGACAGCCTGTGACAAGACCGCCAGCAGGGATGCTTACAAGGCGCTTGTTGACAAAGTCGCGGAAGACTGCCCCAACAGCAAGGTCATACCGTATCCCTTCAACATCGCGAAAGAGGACGAGACATTGGTCTTGATAGACGAAGTTCTCAACGCATTCGGCCGCTTGGACGTCTGGGTTTGCTCATCCGGTCTCTTGGGCCCATCATCAATCGAAGCGACTACGCCGGACGACCTACTCAAGTGTTTCGAGGCCCATTCGATGGCGCCTTTCTTCGCTCTGAAGTACGCTCCAGCTGCGATGGCTAAGCTGACGGAAAGGCCGTCTTACCCAAACGCCGCACCCAAGACTCAGAAATACGGTAGCATTATCGTTATCAGCAGTGTCGCTTCGGTGCATGGTGGTTGTTGGGGGCCTTGCTACACCATGACTTCTCATGCTGCTTTAGGTGTTGTGAAGGCCGGTGTCGCCACACTGAAGGGCACCGGCGTGCGAATCAACTGCGTGTCTCCGGGGCAAATAGATGCGGGCGTTGACCTCCAAGGCGTGAGTTTGTTCCATTGATGCGAGAGAGGGGCATCTGACAGCGAAACAGTTCGACATGCGAGGAATGACCTCGCAATTCCCCCCTGCGAGCTTGCAGAAGCCAGAGGTGAGCAGTTGTTACCTTGTCCGGCAATGTTCATCAGCTGACTCGTCTTAGGTTCAGAAGACGACGATAGGGTTGGAAAGAGCTGGCAAGGCGCAGGAGGTGGCTCGAGTAGCAGGCTTCCTGGCCAGCGGGTTCTCCTCCTACGTCACAGGCGCAAACCTCATCGTCGACGGAGGTGCATCGTAAGCTCACTCGCCCGAAAATATTCGTGATTCGCCCTAGCTGACCTAGACCTCGCAGCGTCATGAACCCATTGACTATTCCCATCTGATGGCTCGAGATGGTCCAAGACTCCAAGCAGAGCGTCGAGACTCCCTACCTTGGCGTGGGTAGCATGGAGTACCAATATGATTGAAACAAGTGGATGGATGGGCAGATGCTGTTCCTTGATGATTCCCGTGAATTGCATTTGTGATAAGGAATGACGAGAATGTGAACATTAGGCTGTCCGTCTTCAGCTGATTCCGTTTTTCTGGAGGCGGCGGCTGGCGGCGCATTCCTGCTATCGATTCAACCCCACATCCGGCCCGCCGACTTGCTCCTGAAATGCCATTTAAGAACCCCCACCAACCTGGTGCTTGTTTGCCTCGAGACATTCACACCAAATCGAAGATGCCTGCCTCATATCCCCCGCAGTATAAGAGCCATCCCAGCGCAGACTCTTCTGCGGTAGAGTCTACATGCCGGGACTACGGGCTCAGCCAGTCTGAATTCAGAGAACTGCACAAGCGCTGTGTTGCCTCCAAGTCAACTGCGTATTGCCCGTACAGCCAGTTTCGCGTAGGCGCGTCCATCATCTCGGTAGACGGCGCCTACTTCAACGGCGCCAACGTCGAGAATGCCTCCTATCCCGTAGGCACATGCGCCGAGCGCGTGGCCCTGGCCAAGGCCGTGACCGAGGGTCACCGAAAGATAAAGGCCGTCGCCGTCGCCACCGACATCTCTCCCCCGGCCAGCCCCTGTGGCATGTGTCGCCAGTTGTAAGATACCTACGGTCTAATCACCGACCAGCTGTCGTTCCCAGAGGCTAATCGCATGCAAGTATTCGGGAGTTCTGCGAGCCCGCGGCACCCATCATCATGTTTGATAAGGATGACAACTATCTGGTCTTGCGCCTCGAGGAGGTGAGTGAGCTGAAGGGCTGGACGAGCTGATCCGAGACCTATGTGTTACATGTGTAACATGAACCTATCCCAGTGAACCTTGCTGATTATTCTTAGATCTTACCTATGTCTTTTGGACCTGAGGCCCTTCCACCACCAGGTTCTCTACCCTCATGAGAGAGTGTTCTCTTGCGCCTCACGGTTCGACTCTCCGGGTTTTCAAGTCAGATCGATGCCACGTGTGGGCGTGATGGGCGTGGAATAGTCATATATGTATCTCTTCTCTAGACTGGTTCGAACATATAGCTGGATGCCTCACCAGGTCCCCGGTCAGCATGCAGCTCGAACCGATGAATGGGAACTGAGACCATATGGTTGAACATATTCCGACGCTGCCGAGGTTGATAACAATGGAAGTCTGGAGCTCCCGGATCATATTATCCCTTGTGATGTCGCTCACGGTGAAGGACTTGACAAGCCGACCCCAGATTACGGTACGTCTTGCACCTGGAGTATGGGGAAGAACGCGGAGAATTGGTGGCACCCTTGGATCCTTTGTAGTACAGAGGCTGTTCAAGTAAGACTCAATTCTATGTCTGGGTCCTAGAGGCCGCTAGCCAAAGGTAGAAAGAGGAGGTTTGGTCCCGAGCGACTCGAGTGACAGGCGGTGGCACTGACGGTTGTGACCGACCGACCGCCTATCCCACTTTGCCGGGACGTTGGCTGAAAGTTTAAAGATGTGTGCGATATGCAGGATACATGCGATGACAGCGTCAAGGGTCATTGAGAGAAGGAGGTGAGTGGATGAACCCTCAAGTCTCTGGCGGCCAACAGTATCACAGCTGTTAATGTAGCAGAAATCGGCAGGACTATCAAATGTGCGATCGGATCTCTTTCCACGTGCACATGCACATGCACATGCAAAACTGTAGGATAAAATACCTGAGGTAGAATCCAGTTTTGGAATGCAACCGTGCACCCGTTGGTCTAAAACAAGCCACCCGGACCGCCTGGCTGAACGCTGAACGCCTGAACGCCCACATCGTGTGGTCCCTCCGCCAATTCAGGTACAAGTTACAACCAGCTCCCTATTATTGTTTTCCCATCTCTAAACATCTCCATACCAGGTGCCTGCGTCCCTAAGGTACCAACATTGACGACCCTCAACGAACCCGACCCGCATCGCAAAGCTATCCCGTCGAATGAAGCCCTAGCTTGCTAATGCCGCCGAAAAATCTACGAAAACACGCGACTACCATGAGATCCTGAGACTTCGTGCAGCGCGTTCAGGAGACTACTCGTTATTGAGCGTCTGCCTTCCCAGGCTGCTCGAACATCCCCCTCCGATTGCGACCTGATACCGCCCTCCTCGGTTTACGCTATAATCCGCAATCATGGACCAAGCAGACATACCAGGGCTTCTGTCGCGACTGGCCAGCGACGAGGATGCTGCGCGCAAGATGGCCGTCTTCAAGCTGCAGTCCTCTATCAACGACCCTTCCTTCGCCGACATCTTTATATCCTCCGGGGGGCTCATTATCTTGCGACGATTGATCATGAGCTCCAGCGGAAACACCCTCGCATACTCGCTACAAAGTCTTAGCCGATTACTCGAGGTGGATATGGGCTGGGATATATTTGAGGGTCCTACGGCGGGAGATCTGGTCGAGCGCGTTGTCGAACTGATCGTCACAAACCCGCTGGTGAACATTCTACGAGGCGCCATGTCCATACTCGTCGCACTCGTCGGCCATTCGCAATCGGAGACGCCAGCCACGCTGAGCACTCCAGGCACATTTGGTTTCCGCGCACTGAGACCTGCCGTTGCCGTCTACCCACAGTTCTTCGACCTCGTCATCCAGAAACTACAATCCGCAGACCACGCGCTCTGCGGCACGACGCTTATGCTCATTAATGCGCTCATAAGGGACGCCGTCTCGAACGATCCCGTTGCGAATAGTAACGGCAAGGCGACCGGTACAGAGGAGTGGCCCAAGTTTATAAAGAAGCTACAAGACTTGGGTCTAATAAAGGCGGTCTACCATCTCATGCAGAGCGCAGCGCTGCAGGACCTAGCACATCCACTGCTGGAATTCCAGTCCCTTACTAAGGTACTGCTCAAGAAGTGGAAAGGGGTACAGGTCGATCTGGAAAGACCCGAGCACAGGAGAGCTCTGAAAGGATTACATATTGCCAGTGCACCAAATAAGGACTACATGAACGGGAAGGGCAACGCCAATGGTAACCCCATTGGAAGGATCGAGGAGCTTCAAGACTCCGGGAAGAAGGGGAGTCGGAGGCATAACCCCGAGAAGTGGAGGAGATTAGGATTCGAGACCGAGAGTCCAGCATCCGAGTTCGAAACCGCTGGTTTCCTTGGTATGATGGACCTGACAGACTACGTCCGGAAGAATGAAGATGCCTTCCAGAAAATGCTACAGGAGCAATCTGCGAAGCCTCTGCACGCGCGATGTCCTGTTGCGCGGGCTAGTCTCGCCGTCACTCTTGCGCTTTACGAACATTTTGACTGCGAACATTCAGATGTGGAGGATGTCAGAGGGCACCAGCTCCCAGACGGGAAACAACAAGAGAAGCTCTTCCGGCCGTTGCTCCTCCAATGGTCCAGACTGCACACGGCGGGTCTGCAAGCTTTCTTCCGATTATGGAAATCCACTGGTGCCGAACAGGACGATTTCGGAAAGGTGGTAGAACTCATACGCATACTCATCGACCAGGTTATAGGACAAGCTGGTCGCGGCAAAGATGTTGTAGAGGTCGAGGAGGATCTTGTCGAATATGACGTGGGCCGCTTGCGAACGCTGCAAATGGACCTATTGGGACTCTCGTTTGAGGATCAATGGGGCAAACATCTCTCCAAAACACGGGAAAACCTGAGGAAGGAGGCTCTCACATTCGTCAAAGAACAACGAGTTAGGTGCTTGTTGCAAGGCTCGTGGTTTTCCAAACCAGCGCCGCGGAAAGCCAGTCGAGGGGAGCCCGAGAAGTCCGAGAACCGACGGGCAACGCACGGTACCCTATGGAGGTATACGAAGCTGTCGCACAACCGTCGTTACCTACACTACGCGGATTTCGCTTTACGGACCAGCCATGACCCGGGCTTGGACGCACTGCATGAGAAGGTGGATCTTCGAACCATCAGCTCTGTTGTCTCCAACGTGTCGGCACCAAACGACGACTCGAAGAGTGACTCGGCATCGAATGCTGCGCCGCTGCCTTCGAGGCACTCGACAAAGATCACGATATACAGCTACGTCAACCCCGAGGAGGCGCGCAAAGACGGGGATGGCAAGGAGCAACCGTTGCTCACCCTGTACCCCTTGAACCACAGCCTGGCATCGGAGTGGCTCGACGGGCTGCTGATGCTGCTCGACCAGGCCCCCATCACGGCGGACACAAACAAGCTAGTCCACTTGGTCGAAGATTATGGGTTGAAGATCAGACTGCTGAACGTCCGGATGGAGGCGACGTACGCTGGGCCGCTGGTGGGCGCGGGAAAGGTGCCGAGCAGGGAGGGCCTGGATGACGATTACCACTATACCATCTGAGATGCCGGGCGTGAGTGTGTCCCACGTTTTCGAGCAGGCGTGATGCGGTGTGGTGTGGAGGACTGTGAATTGTTCGGATGATCATGTGTCGATGTTCTGTATGCATTAGAAGATATACCCAAGCATTGAGGCGGCGGCAGCTGTTCTTTAGACCTGGACCCTTGTGGCGGTCTCGCACTGTACATATCTACCTCCTACCTATATATTGCTGGAGACCCTTGACCGAGGTTCAAATTCGATACCTGCGTTGAAACAGCAGCCACATAATTATTCATGGTTGCTTAAGGCAGGTACTAGTTGCTATCAATGTTGACTTTGTGACCCAGCCCTTATTAAACAGCGTAAATAAGGCTTATATAATTAAAAACGTTATATTTCAATAATTTATAATAGAATATTATTATATAAAGAATTTATAATAAAATATTATAATATATTAAAAACTTTTGTGAGATTACAGAAAGGTCACAAGCCTTTGGGGTGTGAGCGGTCGCTGCAAATGTTGTTGTCATTCTCAAGTATGCTCGGCAGGGCTAATTCACAGCTAAATACCATACTGCACCATGCCAGGGTGGATCCACTGTTCCCTTGACAGCCCCCTAGTGGATACTGCACCTAAGGGCACTATATCTGGGATCCAACATCTGACAATGTTAAATTTTTTTTTTTTGGAATTGTCACGAAGCGTAAATAGGATGAGGACATAAAAGTCCTGATTGCACTACCTACGTGTAAGAATCTCTTGGTGGGGAGGGAAAGAAGGATCTGACCCGCCAGCCAATTCTGGTGGGATTAATGATCCTTCTATCCGCCCCACTATTACCTAGCCTAGTACAGTTGTGGCCACACGTCTTGTGCGCCAGGTCATATGATGCTGCGCACAGGCCACCCTGATGGGTTGACAGACTTCCAGGATGTCAGACCGTCACAGGAATCATGAATATAATTTACATATTATTAAAAGGATTTTTAAAAAAAAATCATAATTTATATACCATTTAATGTCTAAAAATAAGTTTATCATTTAATTTATTATATTGAGCTTTGTCAGATGTTGGATCCCAGATATAGTGCCCTTAGGTGCAGTACCCACTAGGGGGCTGTCAAGGGAACAGTGGATCCACCCTGGCATGGTGCAGTATGGTATTTAGCTGTGAATTAGCCCTGCCGAGCATACTTGGGAATGACAACAACATTTGCAGCGACCGCTCACACCCCCAAGGCTTGTGACCCTTCTAAAATCTCACAAGCTTTTTAAAAAAAAAACTTAATATTTTAATTTTTATAAAATAAATAAATAATGATTATAATTTTTATTCAATCTTTAAATCAATAAAAATATTTTAAGTTTATTATTGGTTTTAGATTATTCTTATATTAATGTTGTTGGAACAGGCTTGAACAATCAATCATAATACTCGTGTATTGGGTCAAGGTCATGATATTACTGATGGTTGGATTGTGAGGTCTAGCTGGACCTGAAGGTCTGGCTAAGTGACCTTGCAACCCGGTATCTAATATCTTATATAATCATAAATATGGATCCAGTATGGATGGTTTGAATGTGGAATCGCATGGATCCAACGAATATCAAAAAAATATTTATATATATTAAAAAACTTATTATATTTCTTAAATAATATTTTAACAAAATTATATATCTTTTAAATATTTTAATTAAGTTAATAAGTATGAATAATAATATAATAAACTTTAATTTAAAACTACCTTAAACAAAGAGATGACGAGTGTGCTGCCTATTTCAGCATGTTCTATATCCAAGTCCAGCAGTGTATTTGCCAGCGATATGTCGCCGCTTTAAGCTGCATACCCACCATACACCAACATGCCCATATGCCTTATATTTTTATATATTGTCAAAGTACTCATTTCTACAATCATGACGCAAATCCTGGACTCTTATTCAGTTCGGTATCTGGCATCGATGCTGTGTCTTTTTCCTTCCCTTGCTTGCTCGCTTGTTAGCAGCATAACCAGAGATGGCTCATATATTCCTTTTTGTTAGATGGGGTGGCTCAGGGTGTGTGATGGTGGTGGTCTGTGCGCGAGGGATCAGGGGTGGTCTGTACGCCATGAGAACGGTCAACTGGTGACCGTTGCCCCACTGCTCAGCCGCTACGGCAACTGGACGCGTTAGTACTGTATTTGCATACAAATACGTCCACCTCGGGTAGTAGTGGAACACTTGGATAATCCACAAACAAATGAACAGTATTCTGCAACCTGAAGTTTGACACTTTTAAATACCAGTTCTCTCGCTCCAGTTGGTCAATAATGTTTTTACGTTTTTTTTTCTTTATTACCTCCAGTTGAGTGAGCGTAATCATTTCTGTTGAACTGCATTTATTATGATTGAGTATCCCTTATAGCTTTATTAGTGTGCCTTTGTCGTAGCGGAACCAGAACAGAGATCTATCACAAGTCTTGCTTGGGATGATCTGTATTCTAGTTGGTGCTTGGTTAAGTTCATATGGGAAGGAATCCCATCCGAGAAGTATTCAAATACCTAGATTACAGTGGGTTAGTTCCTGTCACCTTGGGCAGCCATCCCAGGTAACCTTATCGTAGAACGCCCTGGATGACAAGAGATCCGATAAGGTACTGGTGGCTGGATCAAGTGGCTGGGATCTACAATACCCCCCCCTCTTTTAAGAGTCGTCCTTGACTCCCCCAAAATGCACAAATTTCACCCCTAGTGATCGTTTCTAGTGTTTTCATGTGCCATAAACACACGAGCATCTTTGTCACGGCAAGCGTACTGAGGAGCTGGGACATGGCCGGCAGCAAGCAGCTATTACTCTATTGACGAGAATATCAAGACTAGAGAGGAAAGGAAGAGAGAGAGAGAGAGATAGGTACAGTGGGAGGTTGCCCCTTTAAGGAGATCCTTTGGTCAGATCCTTTGGTCAGATCCTTCCCCTATTGGGAAGTATCCGCTTGTCATGTGGGAAGCTCTGTGCAGGCCTTCACACTACCCCCCCCCCCTTTATTAAAGTCGGTTTACGATGATGATTTCTTCCGAGTTCTCCTTACTCCTTGTACAGAGCCTCTTACAGGCAGGTTGTCTTCCTCATGATCAGTTAGATTCTGATCATCAGCAGCAGCCTCTATCCATTGCTGTAACCTTTGAGGGGGACCTGGCGCCTTGGGATTTGTGTCATGGAACTCTTTGACGCGTACAGCCGAGTTGCTAAAGTTAGCTGCTTGGTACCACATCGGGTCAGGATCATGACCTGTCCATTCAGCCTGGTACTCCAGCTTGGCCCGGGTTAAGCGGGAGGACATGATTCTGTTAACTTCCCACTCAGGAACCCCATCCACGTCGACGGGAGGCGGTGGAGGGATCACCTGACCTGGGACAGGGTCATTTGGTGAGCGTACTAAGCGGCTTGCGTTGATGACCCGATGAGCGTTTATCCCAGGGGGTAAGTCAATCTCAAAGGCGTTTTCATTGATTTCTTTGACAACCCGATATGGTCCCATGATTGATTGATTGATTGTATTTAACGTAGGGGGTAGCTCCTCAGTAGTGCAAACCACGCCTCCCAGAGCCTCTGTATCGCAGGGTTGTGGAGGTCTCAAGATAATAAGTACAGTCAGTTCCGCTCACAGGCCCATCCCCGTTGTTACGGCGGTATGACCTTGGGGTCATCCATCTGGTCCTTCAAGAAAAGCTATCTATTGGGGGCAGATTGTTGAAAAGAACTTGCTCTTCTTCACGAATTTTGCCCATTCTCTGCTCCTCTCCCCTAAGTATTGTAAACAAGCTGTCCTAGGCGAGTACCTAGGCAGCAGCCGATTTTTCCCCAGCCTCTTATAAAAGAAAATGTGTTGTGGTGTTTTCTTCTCACTACAGCTGCAGTGATCATTCGAGTCTGTATGCCCAAAGCGTTCATGGTATCTGGCAAAGTCGCAATGTCCAGATCTGGCTGCTAGAAGTCTGTGTAAAGTACTCCTCTTAAAAGATATAAGGTCTCTTTCAGTTACTGTATGTGTGTATACTTCTTGATATCTAGGTTCTGATTGGTCTTTCTATCATTGGTTGAACTCTTTCTTGCCCTTTCCTTTGAGATCTCTCTTAATCCAAGAGATTGTAGGAAGGTTTATTGTGTCTGTTTCTAGCATGGCACCCTCTTTTGCTAGTGTGTCGGCAGCTTCGTTGCTATTAATATCTCTGTGTCCAGAAATCCACTTGACGGTCACTCCAGGAGTGTGTGCTGTGGCAAGTTCTTGAAATCGTAGAAAAATGTTCTGTGATGTCTCGGGTGGAGTCCCATTGAGCCCATCTACCACTGACGTGTTGTCTAGGCAGACATATGGCTGTTTTTCGTGTCTAATTGCCCTGGCTGCTGCAAGACCTTGGAGAGCACCATGGACTTCAGCATCTATTATTTCTGCTGGGAGAAGTCTGCCCTTTCCCCGGTATATTTCTTGTGTAGTGCCGCCTTTCCTGATGGTATAATCCCATCCAGTGCGGGTTGTGCCTTGGTCGTTCAACTGTGATCCATCTGAATAGATGACAAGGTCAGTGTTCACGTTTCTCTCCTGTAGCCATTGCTTGAAGAGCTCTATTTCTTTGTCTTTGTCTTTACGGATTGGGGGCTTCTTTTATGATGGCCTGGTAAGTATTGGTCTCTGGAAGTCAGGGAGTAGCTGGAAGCTCTTTTGTAGCCTTGTTGGATTCTTGCGAGCTTGTATTTGGAGCCTGCTAACAAGAGGGTATCTTTGGTCTATTCGTCCTAGTCGGAGGCCGTGACGTCGTCTTATTGACTCTGCAAGAACTCCTGCTGGGAGAATCTGCGATTCAAAGTATAGGATATGTCTAGGGTGTGTTTTCTAGACTGGCAAGATAGCCCTAATCGCTGTTCGTAGTACGGCATCTATTGTTCCAAGAAGCCCTTTAATGCGACATGCTGATGTCCCACCTAAGCTCCTAACTTTCTTGATTCCTGGGTACCAGGCCTCCAGGCCGTGTGTAA